ATAGTTGGAATAGTAGACTCTCTGACTATTCTCACTATTCCTACTAATCTAATCACGTGTGTGTCCTGTAAGAGGTGCCACACTTATTGCAGGTACCGATTCCCATAGGTGCCTTTCTAAGGAGGCACCTTGCTCTACACAGGTGCCTTTCCTAATAGGCACCTCTCCTTTGCCGGGTACCTTCCAAGAAAGGTACCTTTTCCCAAAGGTGCCCTCATTAACTAAGCTACCTACAATCTCTGCGTCTATTTCCTGCTGCTAATTAGCCGCAAGCTATTTTACCTTATTATTCCATCTTGCGGCATATTAGTTGCATGTCTTAGCCGTAACATCTATATAAAGGTTTTAATCTAACATCTATATAAAAGCTTTAGTAGAGTAAAGTGTTACGGCTAAAACATACAACCTATATACTATAAGATAGAGTAATAAGGTAAAATAGCTTATGGCTAATTAGCAGCAGGAAATGGACGCAGAGACTGTAGGTAGCTTAGTTAATGAGGGCACCTTTAGGAAAAGGTACCTTTCTTAGAAGGTACCCGGTAAAGGAGAGGTGCCTATTAGGAAAGGCACCTGTATAGAGCAAGGTGCCTCCTTAGGAAAGCACCTATAGGAATCGGTACCTGTAATAAGTGTAGCACCTCTTATAGGACACACACGTGATTTAGATTAGTAGGAATAGTAAGAATAGTCAGAGAGTCTGCTATTCTAACTATTCCCTTTAGCACGATGCTACTATATAAGTAGATAGATAGTTCTTAGATAGGAGCTTCGTGCTCAACTCAATATAGTATTTTGTTATATACTATAACGTGTTTTACAAAAGCCTTTAGTGTCTGATCCCCTGCCTCCTCTGTCAAGTAAACCAACGTAACGAAACCTCTATAAGTCTTATAAGTTAAGACCTAGCGTTATAGGTAATTACTAATAGTAAAAGTAATTAAGTAGTAGTAACAACTTTAGTAGATCTATTTAATGTTAAGAAAGTAGTGTCTATAGGCAATTTAGCTTAACTAATTAGCTTTATAATAGTAGAGAGTCTTTAGGATTTAACGAATAAGTGCTATAGTAGCTGTTTTAGAGCTATAACAGCTACTAACTCTATTTGTAATTCTAGCTTACTTTCTATTACTAACACTTAAAAGAGTAACTATTCTTTTTTAAATTAAACGGATTATGACAAGCAGCTGCTAGGACTGGAAGGAAGACAAAATAGGCTATTTCCTAATAAGATGAGAAAACGATAGGTAGAAGGCGATAACAGACGAAGGGGCTAAGGGTAAATCATAGAAAGAATAGTCATTAAAGGGCGTAAATTGAGATTATGGCTCTATGAATGCGTTCTTTGCTACTGTAGGGTTTTAGGTTCACTAAGGCAAGATTAGGGAGATTCGTTAGGCGGAGTTATGCAGCGTGGAAGGGGTGGAAGGACCAAGCGTCTTACGGTGAGCGCAGCAGGTGCGAGAATGCTGGGAGGGAGGCGTAGTCAGAGGAGAGAGTACTCTTTTATGAAACTTCAAAGCGGCAGCAGCCATAGGCACACCCATTGTCCGATTAGGCGGGCGACAAACGCACAAATCAAACACCACGATCTAGATTACAATTCTTATAGGGTAGTCGCGATATTTTAGCACTTTTGCTTTTTAGCACCTTTGCTTATTTAGCACTTTGGTTATATATGCACGTCAAGGACTTAGGATTATTAGTTGATTAGGTGATATAGAGACTAAGCACAGATAAATTACAGTATAATGAAGTCTGTATTTAACTATAATAACCATGAACTGGTGTTTGTTTTCCTCCTGCGAAAGTGTTATAGGCATCGCGTTGGAGTTTGGTGGCACGACAGGCGAGACACTGTTACGCACAAAGGTCAGGTCCGAGGATGATGCTGGATGTGTAATGTGTGTCGACATAATGGCTCACGCAAATCGTTCGGATAGTTGGTGAAATTCTCGAGCCTATTGTTGCTTATTACGTTTGCGGTCTTCGCTGATCTTATGCAGATTGCTCGCGACGTCACGGTAATTTGCGAACTCGCAGCGACTTGTCTTGCCGACCTTCTCATCTTGCTCGGCTTGAGGTCCGCCTATTCTTTCCCATTCATCCGGATTCTGTCAGGTACGGTTTTGGACCCTTTCATACACAGCGAACATGTCATCCCGTCTCCCCCCACTTCACAGCTTCGAACAAAAATGCAAGAGATCAATCTCAGAGCCATGCGATGGCCATTCCCAGTCTAGAAGATCATCCAGAGGTGAATATTCTCATCAACTCAGGCGATCGGCGATTCTCATCATTCGGCAAATCTCGGGGTCTCCACTCCAGCTGAGCACAGCAGTAAGTTTAGCGATGAGGATGCTCGTCCTGCGAGCCTGTCTCTAGCACGAGGTCACGATGAGAGTGGTCTAACGGCCGGCGTGTCAGCCACCATGCCACTTAGACTGCGACAGACGCCGTGCTGGCACGCCCGTATGGCGGCTGACACACGGGCGTCCCAGTCTAAATGGGGTAAGTCATTTCTGGTTTAGCACATACATGCATGGTATAAACCGTTATACGGCAGGCTACGGGCCGCCCCGAATGACCGTTGGCTGCTTCAGCCTTACAACCACATGCGATTTGTCCTCTCGATATGCTAGCCTCCTACCTTCCTTTTCTTTTCTATTCCCTTTTGCTATATTTTGCATTACTAGCGATCGTAACCAAATTTTTGCTATGCTGTTCTGCCTAATGTTTGACTCTCATTGGCTACAAGTGGGTCATAGGACTTTGATCGCTGTGATCATCCTAAGACTCGTTAATAGTGGCGCTCCCAGGCCACCCAGAAAGGGCCGCTTAAGGAGAAAATGTTTCAAACTTGGATTATTTAACACCGCTCTAGTCCCCTTCTTTGCGACACTATGGGCAATATCATCGTCTCCAGTCTTCATTCTCTATTGCCATTATGCGCTTTCTGTCACTTCGTTTCGCTAGCGCTGCGGCGTTAACAGCCGCCGTGGGAAACTCTCTGTCAACAGACTCAGCGGCCGAGGAGATCATCACTCGCGATGTTTGTATTATCGGGGGCGGTGCTTCAGGGGCATATGCTGCCATCCAGCTTAAGGACCAGGGGCACAGTGTTGTCGTGGTCGAACGGAAGGACCGGCTAGGCGGGCATTCAGTAACTCAATACCTCCCCGGTGGCAGCCATATCAACTATGGTGTTGAGGGGGTGTTCCGTGACACTGTCTCGACGGAGTTTTTAAAGCGGCTTGATGTCGAGTATGAACCGCTGCTCCCAGCCACTCCACTGACCGATTACGTCGACTTCAAGACGGGCCAGAAGGTTCCTCCCAACAACAACATCATCAGCACTACGATAGCGGTGCTGCTTTGGCGGGCCGCAATAGAGCAATTTAACTTTTTGAGCAGTGGACTCTACAACCTCCCGAATCCCATCCCGGAAGTACTGCTGCAGCCGCTTGGCGACTTCGTCAAGAATCACGCCCTAGAAGGTGCTCTTAACCTCATTTTCCAGTTCTCCTCTAACACAGGAAAGATGCTCGAGACTCCGCTGCTCTACGTGCTCCAGAACTTCGGCATTGCGCATCTCAACGCACTGCTTGGGGGTTATGTTAAACCGAGAGACGGCATGGCGAAGATTTACGACAGCGCTGGCGCAGTTCTAGGCTCGCATAATATTCGTTATCAAACGACTGCCATCGAAGTGAATCGCACTGACTCCGGAGTAAGCGTCCGAGTGCAGGACTCGACCACCGGCGCCCGCACACTCATCAAGGCCAAGAAGCTCCTTGTTACTATTCCACCAACCATGGCCAACATGCAGCCATTCGACCTTAACGAGACCGAGGAGCGACTCTTCCGGAAATGGGACTGGAAGACCTACTATGTCGCCCTCATCACCAACCACGGCATCCCAGACAACTTCAACGTCGCCAACCTCGATCCGACTCAACCCTACAGCCTGCCCATTCCACCGTTTCAGTGGGAGCTCGAGTACATGGGCGTTCCAGGCTATCACATCAGCAAGATCGTCGGAGACCGCAACTTTACGCAGCAGGATGCCAATAACCTCGTCCTGGCCGACATTCAGCGCATGGCGGGCACTTACCCCATCCGAGAGCCCACCATCGTGGCGTATGGAGACCACACGCCCACAACGATGCGGGTGTCAGTCGAGGACGTCCGGAACGGGTTTTATCGAGACTTGTACGCGCTACAGGGCAAGAGAAGCACATATTACTCTGGCTTGTCGTTTTGCTCGGACTATTCGTCGCTGATTTGGGCGTATACGAAGGATGTCACTGCCGAGATGTTTGCTTGAGACGAGTTGACTGACGCAATGTAATGGTACTTTACGATAGTTTAAAAGTGGAAAATGTTAAATCGGAAATAATTGAATTGCATACTCTTTATATGTATAAGGGATAGAGTACTAGTAGTATTATTATTACTATAGTTAGAGATAGCCTTACCTTCCTTATTAGCTTTAATATAGAGTATATAGTTTTATATAGTAGCTTTAAAGAACCTTATATAATGTATTAGTAATGTATTAAAAATGTATTATAGTACTAACTATAGTACTAACTAGTAGACTAGTAGATATAGTAGGTACTATTAGTACCTTTATAAACTTTAGTAAGCTTTACTTTATAAGAGCTAGTAAGGTAGGCTCTTAAATTCCTAGTATAGCTATAATAGTACTATAATGTATTAGGAATATATTAATAATATATTAGAGGACTTTACTTACCTTAACCTTATATAGTTAGAATTAAGGATTATCTATTAGCTTAGTATTATATCTCTCTTATTCTATTATAATGTCCTCATAATAAAAGAGCTCTCTAGATCTAATAATAAAGAGCCTATATTACTAATATATTAATAATGTATTAGTAATATATTAAACCTAATATAAAGTTAAAAGTAAAGTTAAGCTAGAATTAAACTTATATCTTTACTAAAAGGCTTTATTCTAAGTAGGCGTTTAGTAAGGAGTTTATAGACTTTATAGGCTACCTATTATAGCTATCTATAGAATTATTAATCAATTAGTAATGTATTTATACATTATCATTAAGCTTTATAGGCGCTATTGTTATAGTAGTAGTAGGTAGCAGTAGACTTAGTAGTGTTATTAACAGAAGGTGGAAGGTTAGAAGTTGAGGATTTATTTATAGAGGGGTCAGCTGAATTTTTTCCAAAAGTAGGGTGGGTCAGCTCAGGTTGGGGGGATGCTCGGGTCACCTACGTTCAGCCCCCCATTTTCTGTGTTCAAGCGAATAAATCACGTGCTTTGTATCACGTGAAATTGTTACATCCGTCGTCACTCGCGAGGCGGGTACCATCGGTGCGGGGGAGAGGTACAGAAATACATATTTATAAACCTCTGTGACAGCGGACCACGAACGGGAGCGTACAGATGTGAGGGTTTCATTTTATTTCAATTTTATTTCATTTCTTCTGTGTGTGACGAGAGATCGGATAGTCGGGACAGACAGTCGGTTTATAAAAAAGAGAGGGGGATCGGGATTTAGAAAGACGTATTTACGGAGCAATTGTTATGATGGCGGTGGAGATGCCGCTGAAGCATGTTAGGCACAGCTATCGAGAGGGGGAGGAGGTGACGGCGCTGAGTACTCTTGATGTTTGGCTTCCTGGAACAAATCAAGATGGAAGCAGTCCTGAGGGAATTTGGATGGTGTATGTATCTCCCCCTTCCCCCCTTTATCTCCGAGTTCTAACAAAAAACAAACAGTTTCATCCACGGCGGCGCCTGGCGCGACCCCCTCATAGACTCCACAAGCTTCAAACTCACCATTGACATCCTCTCCCAAAACGCTCCGCAATCACAACCCCCCTCCCCAATCGCCGGTTACGCATCAATCAACTACCGCCTCTCGCCCTACCCCTCCCACCCCACCTCCCCCAGCACCGCTGGGGACTCTAGCAGAGCTGCAAGACACCCCGAGCACCTGGACGACGTGACGGCGGCGCTGTTGTTGCTGGAGGAGAAGTATAGGATTGCAGGGAGGTATCTGCTGGTGGGACATAGCTGTGGGGCTACGCTTGCGTTCCAACTCCCCGAGACGATGGAGGGGGGGGAGAAATTGCCGCTGCCGTTGGGGATGTTGGGGTCGGAGGGAATTTATGATATCCCATCCCTAGTGGAACGGAATAAGCACCCCTTCTACCGTGAATTCGTCGTTGCGGCTTTTGGGGACAAGGAGGAGACGTGGAGCGCTGCGTCCCCGTCTATTGCATCTCCGGGGGTGAAACTCTGGGAGAAGACGGGGGTTCTGATAATCTCACACTCTGATGACGACGAGTACGTTGAGAAAGAACAGAGTACGGATATGCTGGAGCATATCAAAGCGACGAAGAAGGACGGACAGGGACAGGCGGTGTATCTCCCAGCGGACGGGAAGCATGATGAGATCCATGAGAAGGGGGTGGAGATGGCGAGGATCGTGGGGACGGGGTTGGAGATGGTTTGGGTGGTTGGGTGGGGGGCGAGTTGGGAGGATGTTAGGGGGGAAAGGATGTAGAAGAGGGGTTGGGGGGGGGGGGGAGTGTGGAGGTGGAGGTGGAGATGAGATGAAAGAGTCGTGTCGTCCAATATTGAAACAGAATCTCGTGGCTGTCTCAATCATGATGGGGGGTCGAAGTGATGTGAGTTATGGCATGGGAATTGAATCGATCTAAACAATGGGAGTACAGCCTCTACAAACATCCAGCTGAAACCCAGCCATCAAATATCAAATCCCTCCCCTCCTTACCTCCCTCTAAAACCCCATCCATACTCAACTCCAACTCCAACACAACCCTCCCATCCACCTCCCCAACCCAACACCTGAAACACCACACCACACCAGCTCATCCGATATCAAAACCAACCCCAAAATCCGTAGCTCGTGGCTGTCTCTCCCTCCCTTACCTCACCTCACTTCACCTCACCTAACGTCAAGCTCCCTCCATGTCTCACCCTCCCCGAAGCTATAGCTGTAGCTACTGCAGTATGGTATCCCCGCGCCGAACGGTCTGCATGATAATGTCTCACTCACTCACTTACACCGTGCAAAAGTAGCAGTTCACGCCGTTGGTGCAGGTATTGCGTGGTTTTGTGGTGTAGAAATTCACTCATTGTCTTTTTTCTGGTCCTGTCCTGTCATGTCATGTCCATAGTGTCTGTCTTGCGCCTTGCGCCCACTCCACTCCGGCCATCACGACTCGCATCTCCCACCGCAATCCAGTCTACTCCCGTCACGTCTTATCCTGTCTCCTGTCTCATCTGTAATAGTCCAGCCGCCCGCCATCACAACTCGCATCAACCACCCCCACTCCTGCCATCACATCTTATCTGACTCCACCCCCTATTCAGTCCAACCCACTAAGCTATTCAATCATCATCACTCACTCTCCCATCCATCTCAAAATGGCCATCCTCCGCGGACGGACTCCCCCAAAGATCGACACCCCCAACGGCCATGACGATTCTCAACACGGGACGACGGGAGGGCGGGGGGTTGTGGTGTAGGTGCATGCACGGTGATATAATTGGGCGTGGTCTAGCCAGAGTACACGACAGTACGCTGGACTAGGGTGGCGATCTACAGTACGTATAGGTAAGCTTGGAGGTGTGGGTTAGTTTGGGTTAGTTTGGTGGTGGTCGTGGTGGTTGGGTGTTTGCTTGTGTGGATAGATGGTGGTGGTGGGTGGGTGGTTGGGATGCGAGGGGTTTGTCTGGATGGAGGGGTTGGTTAGTGGGCTAGAAGGGCTAGGCGGTGGATGCTGGATGGTGGGAGTGATAGGTAGATGCGGGGTGATGTGCCAAGGATCGATGGATGGAATGGGGATGGAGGATTGGATGGGAGGGATACGTAGGGGATAGTAGAGGATAGTATAGTACAGTACAGGATCTTGCGGTATGGTCGGTATGGTCGGTATCTCTTTTCTCCACGGATAAACGGCGGGAGTAGAAGAATAGAAAGTATACAATACAATACAGTCAGTACAGTACAGTAAGAAAAAGGAAAGGAAAGACTGGTTGGATAGCTAGATGGATAGCTAGATGCTAGATGGATAGCTGGCTGGATGGCGCGGCGGTCCGCTTCGACCACTGGTCCCCGCGTCGTCACCTGATGGGGCGCAGTTGTGTGTGAGGACGGATGCGCGGGGATACAAAGTGTGTCTAGTATGTGTATGGTATGGTATGAGAGGGATATACGTACGAGACCATGGGATCGCATGGGATGGGATTGTGCCGATTGCTGATGGGTTTGTAACTGTATGTGATGTGAGGGGAAGGGACGTGAGGGATCTGAGGGGGCACGGACATGGCGGCGCCAAGAGGGTAGAAGGGATTGGTGGCTGGGGAAGGGTTCAATATTTGAGTAATGCCGCCAAGCTGGGGGATGGAGATGGGGATGGAGTACTGTGCTCCTTGTGAGGTGAGTGAGTGAGGATGGCGGGAGAGAGAGAGGAGTGTGTAAGGTGGCAAGATTGAAGTCACGCTCTTATATCTGTCTGTGTAGTGTAGAAGACTGTATGCAGACTATATCCTATATACTGACTGTATACTGTATACGCGGATTAATCAGTAATGACGCCGTTGATGCCGTTGATACCGCCGTGCTGTGCTTGCTGCCGTGCTACCGTACCAGCATCCACAATACCACGATACCCAGATCTCTCTCACCCTCGAGGATAAAGATAGATATCTTCGTACTCGGTATGTCATACAACCACTCGGTATCACACACATACAACCAACTGTACACAAACCTGACCCAGACGGCATCTTCCCACGCTGACTGACTGACTGAACCCTCGCTCTGTGGATGCTGCTCTGTGGATGGCGATACGTATCCAGTTTGTATACTCGACTAGCTGTACAGTAGTACTATGGTTCATCCGCCCGAGACACCCACCTGGGTTCACAGGCTGCGTGATGTGTACAAAACCGGAGCGTGTACCCCCTTACAGCTATCCGACTAGACTAGACAGACAGACAGGCGACGACAGACGCGAGTGCTGTGAATGGGTACTTGGGGGATGGGTGGTGGTTGGGTGGGAAGGGATGTAACTTGGCATGTGTGGTGTGTGTGCATGTAACTAATGTATGCGCGCCGCCTTCGCCATCATTTATGTACCCCGACATCTCCGCGCTGTACGATGGATGTGCGATGGACGATACGATATCAGGCGTCGTCGGTCACGATGCTGTTTACTGGATACATACCGGACTCTTAACTAGATACAATACTGTGTGGTCTGTATCTGTATACTCTTTACTGTAAACTGTGGTTTATACTATCTATCTCTCCCTTCTCCAACCTCCATTCTTCACTTCTCCTCACCACCTATAGCTATACCTTACCTTCACTTTCTCCCGCTCTACTACAACATACATACTCCCATACATATACATACCTACCTTACCCGCCTTCCTTTATATCGATCCCATCCCCGGCCTCATCTCATGCCTGCCTTGAATGCTTAATCCCTAACAAGCCCCTCCTCATCACTCTTGTCCCTCTATCCCTCTCTTCTCTTGTCCCTCTCACCTCTTCTCCCTGTCAATCAATCCTCTACAATCACTCTCTACCTTCACTCTTCTCCATCTTTACTACCCTCCTTCCTCACCCTCCTCCATCACCAACTATCGTGAATCAATAAACATATCAACACACAAACACTGCTTCACCGTGTCACTACCTGCTACTATATTGGTTCATGCACACGACACCGCCAAATACCTCGCATGCACGCATACACCCATACTCGCATACACGCATAAACCACATACAACAAACATACAAACACACAAACACCTCAAGTACTTCCCTCCTCTCTCTCTCCACGCTGTGCTGCACGTAGGGTGCGAGTTCTCTGTCGTCGTCGTCGATTATCACCGTCTACTGCATTATACACTGCACTGTATGTATGTACTCTTCTCCACCTTCTCTACCTTCAACCACAAACCACAAAAATCCATCCAGATTCGCAAAATACGACCCCAGCCTTGGCTGTGGCAATCAGCATCCACAAAGTACAACGCTAACTTTCCACAAGTACCAAAACACTGCAAAATCCCGATCCAGCCGCGGCCACACCCAAGCACCCAAGCCAAAATCTAAACCACCCCAACCCACGCACGGCCAAGCCTCCACTCCGCTCCACAACCGCCATCTTCTTACTCTACTAACTCTCCACTGAAACTGCTTCAACTGAAACCACTCTCCTACAACAATCTTCACCTCCCGCCAGACCACCAACTCACCCATCTTCATCGCTCGTACGCGCCCACCACCACCGCGACGACGACAATATATCAATTCACAATCGCATCACCTCCAAGATACCCCGTCGACGACGTACCCCGACAGAGCCTGATCTGGGCCTTCGCTTCAATCCACTTTAACCGGCCTACCCGCCACAACACATCACCCATCCCAGCCTGACCGACGACAACCACCACAACAACCACAAACAACACCGACAGCTCCTCCCGTCGCCGCGTCTGGCACATGCGTCGCACCGCGCCCGACCGCCGCGACAATGGCCGTTGACGCCTCCCACCTGCACGCCGTCCTGCGCGAGACAGTCGGTCTCCTCGTCCGCGCCGCTGTCCCGCCCACAGCCGCCGAAGACAGCGCAGCAACCTCTACCACCTCAGCCGCAGCGGATACAGCAACCACGCCGCCGCCGCAGGATAAGGGGGGGAACTCGCAGTCGCCGCTGCTGTTCTTTGTGGCTCTCGGGTTCGGCGTTGTGTTCACGAATCTCTGGTATGTCTTTGTCTTTGTCCATATTAGCCGCTTGATGACGACGTGGGATGATGTGAGATTGCTAACACGCCACAGGATTATCGTAGGAGTAAAATACTGCTTCCGCTATAACGCACGTAACCGTGCCCTCGCGCGCGGCGAAAACCTCGATCCCATCTCCATGGAGCCGGTGCACCCCCGCCCGCACCGCCGTCGCCGCGAGAAGAAACTCATGACTGTAGACGAGGTCAACGAGCGCTTCCCGCAGATGAAGTACTCGGACTGGGCAGCTGCACGCGCACACGAGGGACTCCCAACAGCTGGGGGTGTGTCAGCACCAGCTGGGAGTAGACCAGCCACAGTACGAGATGCAGAGGGCGTCCTGCCAACTTCCCCAACGTCGACGAAACACTTCGACACCGCACCGGAGGTAGGAGAAGTGCCTTCAACACCTACAGCAACTACAACACCCACCATAACGACCACACCCGCCCCCGCACCCCGCCTCAGCACCGACACAACTGAGAAACCAACCGACACCACCACCGACACCAACACCCACCTCGCCGCCGACCCCGCCCACCTCGCCACCCTCACCTCCACCGCCACAAACGCAACCCACTACGACCCCAAACACCCCTCCGACGACTCCGACGACGAGGACCTCCACGTCCTCCCTCCCGCCCTCCTCGACCACCCAGGCGACTCCTGCGCAATCTGCATCGACGTCCTCGAACCCACCGACGACGTCCGCGGCCTCACCTGCGGCCACGCCTTCCACGCCACGTGTCTCGATCCGTGGTTAACCAGCCGTCGCGCCTGCTGTCCGCTATGCAAGGCGGATTACTACATCCCCAAGCCCCGCACCGAGGGCGAAGAAGCCGAGACCCGCGAGCGTGAACGCAGACGCCGCGAACGTGCCGAAGGTCGCGGGGTTAATCTCCCGCAACAACCTGGGAGCGCGTGGGTAGACGGACGGGTACGGGGACGTTTCTTCCTGCCAGCGCGCTTTGGAGATTCGGGAGGACGGGGGTGGCCGGGATCTAGGCCGGGGGGGGAGGGAGAGAGTGCGTTGGCGGGGACGGGAGGACGGAGTGGGGGGGGGATGGGGAGGTTTTTCCCGTGGCATCGGAGTGCGGGGGCGAGTGGGACGACGCCGGCGCAGTTGGAGGCGCAGATTAGGAGGTGAGAGGGGGAAGAAGGCCTCAAGGAATCTATTGTTTTGTAACTGGCTGGTCGACTGCTGAGGGTGATGGACTGGGGGGGGGTGGTAGTCAATATGGCAGAGCGAGATGATTTCATGCATCGAGTCTGCGCGAGGCTTATACGCTCGAGTCCGCTGAAGACGACACCACTTCTACCACCACTCCACACTACACACGACACAACCACTGTCTCGCCATACCAACCACACATCAATCACCACACACTTTCATTCAACATTTCTACTCGCAACTCCAACATCATCAGATTGGGAAGTACATAATACCTGGCTCGAAAGCGGAGCCGGGCTCGGTTGGGAATCCGGGGGGGGGGTAGAAACGGCGTTTTCTAGGCGTTTTTTTTTCTTTTGTCGTTTTGGGGATTGGGGTTGGTTGGTTATATGGACGGGAAATGGGGAGCTGGGGGAACCGACCTGAGTCGGTCGAGATGGTACGGATGGGATGGGTGGGATAAGAGGATTATAACGATGGGTATATGGAAACGGAGAAGGATGAAGGGAGTGGAATGGGAAAGGAAGGGTGGAATGCTATATCTTGCTTGCTTCTTTTGAGCGTTGCTGCGTCGGTCTGGTCTGGTTATAGTAGGATGGGATGGGATGGGATGGATGGGATGGGAGATTCGGAGATAAGGATAAGGATAGGGGTGCATGCATGGAGGCGGTTGCATACGGGGTGGGGGGTATATATGAGAATTACAGAATGTTCTGAGCTTATATCTGCGTTTATCGTACGTTTTGCTTGTGAGACAGTTGTGTAGAAGGGCTTGCTCTTGCTGTAAAGTGTCGTGCTTGTTGTAAAGGGTGTTCTAACCCACCTATTTCTTGGGCCCCTCTTACCCCTCCTTTGGCCGTTTTTACCATCGCTGCCGTACACACTGCTATAACCTCAAATCAAAATATGGGATCATTAAGAGATATAGTAACGTAGCTGCAGAGATTACGTCTTTAAATCCACGTATCTTGCCTTCTATCCGCGGTAAATGCCACACTCTCCCCTCCTTGCCCAAAGCGGCGCTAACGTCATATCACCACCGACAACCCCACTATTCCTCGAACAAACTCCAACGACACATGAACATCCCATCCCATCCAAGGAAGAAAATAACACCCCCATCAACCTGTGTGCGTAAACAGATATTTACCGTTTCCCCGCCCGAGCCCCCCACGGCTCCTGAACTCCTACTGTAAGCAGACCCCTCCAAACCAGACCCGGGCCGGCGTCGTGGTTGGGCGCTCGTTCCCACTTATACCCGCCGGGTTACACCTGCCCCGCCACAACCGCGCTGTTGACCCTATAGAAACCACAAAAGGTGACAGGATATTGCGAATTCACGCATATAATCCCACGGGATCAGCTAGGATGGGAAGAGGAATTCTAGGGGTGTGGAAACGGGCCGCGCGACGAGCCGGCCGTGAGCGGAGGACGGGGGAGGTAGGGGACGAAGAGGGGGTGGGGGAATGGGAATTAGATGGAGTGTCATTGGACACCGAGAGGGGATTTGAGGTGTGTGAAGCATCAGCGACGGGGACGAGATGATTATTCCTTCCCATAGCGTCGGGCAGTGAACCCTGATGTGCACTACTCACCTGCAGGAGCACCTGCATGAAGCAGAGTCTTCAAATATGTGGCTCCCTGTCTTATTTTTTCCTCCTGCTCCCTCCCTCTCTCTCTCCCTCGAGGGGGTCGTTGGGATATATCTAGCCGTGCAGCCAGCCATACAAAAAACAAATCCTTCCCTCCGTCTCTCTCTCGTCCCTTACTTTTTTGCAGGCGCCTCATTTCCTAGCTTCTTGTCCACGATATGGCTACTCACCCGCGCGATGAGATTTCCCGCATCGAGGATGATGAAGTCGTCAGTTCCGCGGTTGAGGAAACCCACGAGTCGGATGTGAAAATACAATGGGGACAAGTAGTCGAAATCGACGATTCCTACCTCCGCGCCTCAAAGTTCACGAGGTTCTACCGCAGCGTTTTATTTCAAATGATTCTTTTCGGCGCGTAAGCTTATTCCCCCCGCCCCTCCTCCTTTCCCATCCTTCCCCCCCTTTCCTCTCCACCCCACTAACCCCAACAGCCTCTCCTTCGTCGGCCCCGCCATGTCGGACGCCATCTCCAACCTGGGCGGCGGCGGTCTCTCGACCCCTTTCCTCGCCAACCTCGCTACGTCCCTCAACGCCGCCTCAGGCTTCTTCGTCGCGCTGTGTGGGGGGCCGCTGATCAATAAACTGGGGATTAGGTGGGCGTGTGTGTTGGCGGGGCTGGCGATGCCGTTGGCGGGGTCGGGGTATTATGTTAGTGCGCGGTGGGGGGTGGATTGGTATTTGTTGGTTTCGAGGGTGAGTTTGACTTTTTGGGGGAGGGGGAAGAAAAAGGAGGGGGGGGGGGTATGGGGGGAGAGAAGTGGCTGGGGGCGGGGGTGTGGTTGATGATGAATGAATGAATGGCTGACATGGGGATAGGTTGTTGGAGGGGTGTTTGATGGGTTTTTATATGTGGCGGAGACGACGGCTATGTTGTCGTATCCGGATCAGAATGATAGGGGGTTATTTCTTGGTATGCTTGCATCCGTCTATAGGAGGGCGGCAGTCTAATGCGTCCTGTCTAGGCATTTGGTCCGCGATGAGAAATACTGGCAGTATTGTGGGAGGATCGATTAATTTTTACACGAATTATAAGAGGTCTTCGGCTGGTGGGATCGCGTGGTCTACGTACCTTATTTTCGTTGGCTTTGGTAAGTTTAATTTCAACACGTCGAACAGGTAAAAGAATGTTAACGGAATGAAACAGAATGCACCGGTGCCATATGGGCATTCATGCTCTCGCCGACCTCTAAAGTCCGACATCGCGATGGGTCGAAGGCCGCCACCTCCACTGATATTTCTTGGGCGGCGGAATTCAAAGCTCTATGGAAGCATCTACAGAATAAGAAGGTTAAAACCCCCATTTCACGGGCCTGATACAGTAGCTAACACTGTCCTCAGACCTGGCTCATGTTCTTCCCCGCCTTCTACTCCTTCTTCTACGGTGGCACATTGGGAACCTACCTCGCCCTGCACTTCAGCGTGCGCGCACGCGCCTTGTCGTCTCTCATAACTCGTAAGTTCTCACGTTATGGATTGAACAGCCATTCCAATTAATGAACGCTAGCAACCATTACAATCCCAATGGTCGTAGCCTACGGCCGACTCATGGATCAACAGCGCTGGTCCCAGATGCACCGCGCCTGGATTGGGGTCTTGATCTGGCTCATACCGCAAGTTGGGTGCTTCATCTGGATTGGCATCGAATACAGTAAATTCGGCACTGAGAAAGCAGCCCTCGATTATGTCCTGTAAGAATCCCCCCATCCCTCAAACTACCACAACACCCCCCAGATACTGACGTCCATCCCCCCCCCAAGACACACCCGCCAATGGGCAGAAGCCTATCTCCCCTACCTCATCATCTTCTCCACCGGCTACCTAACCCAACTCTCCCTCTACTGGATCCTCGGCACCTTCTCCACGGACGTCAAGTCCTCCGCCCGCACTGGGGGTCTCTTCCGCGCCTTCGAGACCCTAGGACAGACTGTCTCGTACGCGGTCAACTCCAATGCGAAGGCGGATCCGAGGGTCGCGTTGTATGTGAATTGTGGGCTTTTGGTGGCGCTGGTACCGTGCTTGGTGGTATTGATTGGGATGGTGCCGGAGAGGCCGAAGGGGTATGATGTTGATGTTGACGAGGGGCCGCTGTTGAGGAGGGAGGATATGGGGGGTGAGGGGGTGGGGGAGGGGGGTGGGAGGAAAGATGTGTAGGGGGGTTGGGGTGGTAAGTTAGTGGGGATTATATATACTGGGAAAAAATTATAGGGTGGCTGAATTATATCGTTGTTATACGAGTATATATGAAAAATCATAGAATTTATTGTGTATCATTTTTTATTTATTGGAGTATATGTGAGAAATCATAAAATTTATTAACTTATCATAACACACCCCAAATAACCTCCACGCACACACCTTCCTTCCCGCCATCTCGCAACTGGAACTTTACCTCTTTGCCCCTCAAACGGCTAACCTGCATCTCCGCTTCTGTAGGGATGTCCTCAATATCCACGGTGCGATACTCCTCGTCTACCACGGGGGCGGTAATGTCGTCCACATGCGTAAGTACCAGCCGGCAAGGTGATGCGAGGCGAAAGTCGAAATCAAGAGTTAATCGGGGGTTGTTAAGATGTAGCAACAGCGGCGGTGTCGTGGGGGTAATGAGTTGGGAATAGGGGAGCTGAGCAAGGGTGATGGTGACTGGATGGGTGGTAGTTGGGAATTCTATTCTGTGTTCGCGGGCTCTATTTTGAGCCCCCGAGATAGAAGGGATGCGCGATGGTGGTGTCCTTGGTGGGGTAGGAGGCATCGAGCTCAGTTGCGAAAGTACACCATCTAGACTTCCATCTCGGTGTAGAGGGGGTTGTGGCCGGATTGTTGATATCGAAGCTAGGGAGGATGAAGTCTTAGAGCTAGTCGATGGCGTCCACTGCCTAGGTATCGATAGTACACTCTCAGTCGGATACTCGTGTTTATCGCATCCTTCTCGGATCTTGGCCTTAAGAGCTCCGTCTAACTGCGTCGCCAGGACTCCAAGCTCAGCACGGCGCGGTTCGGGAATCGGTAGCCAGTCCGGTAATGTCCACTTCTCGTATAATCTGCCGTGGCTCCGGTGTATGTGGAATACGTCGTGGAGGCTAAAGAAGAGGTTGCAGAGGTAACATGCACTCTTGCTGGAGCAGATTATTCGAGGCCGGGGGAGATGCGGGTGTAGCTCATAGAAGAAAAGGAGCTGGATCTCGGCGTGTACTTTGATATGGTCCTGTTTTAGAGAAAGGGGGACGTCAATCTGGAAGGTCTCGATGACGATGGTCTGAAATACACGGCATTTCTTGTTCCTAGCGGCGCGGACGAGAAAGGAGGAGGCGGAATAGTAGCCGCTAATCTTGCCGAGGGTGTTGAGGAGATAGGGTTTTAAGGTTGGATCTATCTTTAAGTCTTTGAGAAGGAGGCTAAGATCGGCGGGGGATATGAGGTGGTAGGTCTGCCTCAAAATATCACGGATTAGGCTATGTGCGAGGCTAATCTCAGTCTTGATGTCGCGAATGTCTTCTAGCCTAGTAAATAAGTCTTGTAGGTCTGCTATTCCATTAGTTAAGTTTGCTGTAGATTTGAAAGACTTGTCGTTAATCGTATTATGCAGCTGGGTGATAAAGGGTTGTTTTGTAGATTTCGAGTGCCGTGATCGTAGCCTTGATAAGATCCGATGCATGTCTAGAATAACAATCTGGGGAAGAAGAGCATCAATGTCTTCAACTTCAGAGTTCCCTTTCAAAAAGTTAGTTCGCTTTCGGAGATAACTTGAAATCTTATTAACCTCGTCTCGCAGCCTGCTCTAGTATTTCCCCAACTTTTATGAAACCGGCTTTAACTGCTGATAGGTCTCCGCTATTAGATGCTATCCGGATCGTAATCCCTTCCCCACTGCTATATTCTTCAACGCAAACAGCCATTATCTTGCGGCTATCATCTGACGTGGCTGATAGGAATGCTAGATTACTTGCAATATCCTTCTCTTGCGAGAAGGTCAAACTCCGAGTCTGATCTGTCTCCGGGTTGATAGTGTTCTTCGTCGGAGCCTCAGGGACCTTATGTCTCCTGTAGAGGGAATCAATACTTTTCCGCAACTGTGAGCGAGTAGTGGAACCCCCCCACATTGTTGCTTCCATAGTCAGGTTTCCTAACACATGGAAGGAATTGTATTGTTACCGGGCTTGAACATATTATTATTAAGACGACGCAATTACGACCATAGCCGTGAGGTGGCATTGTCAGCCACAGCCTTGTGCGTGCATATAATTGAAGCATATTGGGACATGGTACCATGGTCCATCTGGTAATACCTGCTATTGGCCTCTATCATTAGAAGCGAATCTAATCTAATGGTGTGGTTACACAGGAAAATAGCCCCCGAACCTAGCGAGTGAAGACAACCCCCCAGTCATGCACGCTTGTACAGCAGCGGACAGATGTTTGCTTTGATTTGTTTAATACATGCATGCGCTGATAAAGTGCTGTAGAGCTAACCTTCTCCCACACCCCTCATATATAGCTCCTAACAAGACAACATTTTCTGTTATAATTGCGTCTACATTAGTTCGCTATCAGTGAAACGATCTCACGTTTACAATGCGTGGGTTTTGCACTTCAACACGTCGTGCGAATCTGGATGTTTGTGCTAATGGTAGCAAATTCTCACCGAGGCTATCCTAAATTGTGCAATTGCACCCCCTCCAGTGTAGGGGAAACATATCATTCCTTCGTTAACCGTCTCTTCTCTAGGTGCGAGACAGGAGAAATAGAAAGGCCAGGAACGACAGGAGTGGCAGAGACTGGCCAGCAGTGATGCCCACATGTCCAGCGGGTATAATCTGTTTCAGCCAGTTAGCATCTTTTCCCAATTACAATGATATTTGCCACAGTTGACAAATACTATAGAACCTCATAGAGTTTAGAGTTCCGTCATGATTATCTTAACTTCTAGAACTCTAAAGGAAGACTAATTGAATATAAAATTGAAACTCTTGTCATAGTGGCGGCGGGGTGGGTATAGCGATTGATAATTATAACATAAGCTCTACTACCGCCTCGTGCCCAGCATTCGCAGCCACTAACAGCGGCGTCAGCAGCTTCACTGCCGCCTCGTGCCCGGCCTGCGCAGCCACTAACAGCGGCGTCCGACCATCATTATCCTTAGCCTCTCGCACGGCGCCCTCCTCGAGCAGCAGCTTCACTACCGCCTCGTGCCCAGCCTCTGCAGCCACCCACAGCGGCGTCCGACCATAATCATCCTTAGCCTCTCGCTCGGCGCCCTCCTCAAGCAGCAGCTTCACTACCGCCTCGTGCCCAGCCTGCGCAGCCACCCACAGCAGCGTCTGACTACCACGACCCTTAACCTCTTGCTTAGCGCCCTTCTTGAGCAGCAGCTTCACTACTGCCTCGTGCCCGGCCTGCGCAGCCACCCATAGCGGCGTCCGATTATCATAATCCTTAGCCTCTCGCACGGCGCCCTCCTCAAGCAGCAGCTTTACTACCGCCTCGTGCCCGGCATGCGCAGCCCACCATAGCGGCGTCCGATTATGATGATCCTTAGCCTCTCGCACGGCGCCCTCCTTGAGCAGCAGCCTTACTACCGCCTCGTGCCCGGCATTCGCAGCTACCCACAGCAGCGTCCGACCATTATCATCCTTAGCCTCTCGCTTAGCGCCCTTCTCGAGTAGCAGCTTCACTACTGCCTTGTGCCCAGCCTGCGTAGCTACCCACAGCGGCGTCTGACCATTATCATCCTTAGCCTCTCGCATAGCACCCTTCTCAAGCAGCAGCTTCACTACCGCCTCGTGCCCAGCCTGCGCAGCCACCCATAGTGGCGTCCGACCATAATCATCCTTAGCCTCTCGCTCGGCGCCCTCCTCAAGCAGCAGCTTCACTACCGCCTCGTGCCCAGCCTCCACAGCCACGCACAGCAGCGTCTGACCACTGCGACCCTTAACCTCTCGCTTAGCGCCCTTCTTGAGCAGCAGCTTTACTACCGCCTCGTGCCCAGCCTCCACAGCCAGCGACAGCGGCGTCTGGCCATCGGCGTCTTCAGAGTCCGTATAAACCTTTCCAGTCTCGAGGAGAAGCTCGACCACGTCTGTATGTCCGTTCCCCGCCGCCCAATATAAGGGAGTACGCTTTCTATTGTCTTTTAGATCCGGGAAAGCACCATGCTCTAATAGCATCTTTGGCATTATAATGCTTCCTGCTTCTGCATAATATGAAAGTGCCGTTCTGCCATTTGTGTCTTGGTTATCTACAGTTTCGAGCAGATCCAAAAGAGCAATAACAACTTCATTCCAGCCATATTGCGCTGCTAAAGGGAGCGCTGATTTTAGTTCGACAGACTTAAGTGCCTTGCTTGTAATAAAGCACAATTGGTACAGAGTAGAAGCTCTGTCCTTAAACTCAATACATTTGAGAAAATCCATCTCCTCTCTTAACCGTTCCTGGTTTTGAAGCTCGGTTTCGTCTTCAAACTCCTTGTCATTGTAGACCTTTGAAATCCGAAAGGCGATCTCGTAATAGCTATCCAAGATCTTCTTGATTTCTTGGTCTACTGGTTCTAGTCCGTATTTCTCGATCATCCATCTCATCCCTTTATATCCACCAACCCTTCGCTTTGGATCGCGAAATGAGGAGCGATAGAATTCACCTATCGCGGTCAATGCGGCCGAGAAGTCTGGATCCTCTGACATCCCCTGTCGTTGTGAACGATAATGCGCACACTGCCACTTGAGCAACAGTTCAGCTCGTAACCACTCACCATCTTTCCGAAATTTCGTACTCGCTTTGATGATAGAGTACACCATGGCTTTCCCCTTAGGAACTTCTAGATACTCCCTTGATGCCCGTAGCGAGCACACGAACCCCTCAGAATACGATCCTAGACCGCTGTTGGAAAACGCTGTGGCCATGTCGGATATCTTGTCGTTCTTCCACCGTACTTGACCCGAGACCTCTTCCCAAGTTACTTTGCCGAGATTCCTCCTATCTTCCGCCAGAGCGGCAATAATTGCTATGTAAAGTTTTTGACAGAATTCCGAGAGTCGCTTTGGTGTGCCTGCAAGTTGAACTCGACTGGAGACCTGGATATCATTGTCGCCGATCCATAGGTCCAACTCTGCCCGCGCAATGTCTGAGTCCATAGTAGTAGTTTTAGTTTTACCTGAACATTGCCATGACCAGAGCCAGAGCCCGAGAATACCCTCTAATCTTGTCGAATCAATGCTCCAGTGGCTCAGGATTGATTCATTCGGCGGTTCAAAAACCACCTCGACGAATGATTGCAAGCCACCGCTCTGTATTCCAATGTGGAAAATTACACTTGCCAGGTTATTGGCCCTGCCAATGAGCACCTCAACAGCGCCGCACAGTGCGCGAGCTAGCTCTCGAGATTTACCTCGGACTGCGACCTGATCCTCTTGCCAGTCTTGACAAATAAGTGACCCATAGGGATGAGAAGATTGATGGCCTGTTAGGCGGGCAAGTCGAACTCTATATCGGAGCAGTAGCTCGTGAGAAGAGTTTGCCTGGCGGTCTTCCGCGGCCGAACGCGATTTACAAATATGCGCCTCACCTGTGAACTCCCACGAGGTTTTCGTAGAACCTCCCTCGGCGATCTCAAAGGCGAGCCAGTCTAGTTCGTGGCCCACAACGCTATCCGGGATTTTGCCAAGCTTATTGTCGGTTTTCTGAAGGCGTTGCATGCGCAAGCACCCCCGAAAAAAGCTCATTATCAGCATGATCCCGAGTTGGGCGATAGAGACGTAAGCACTCATACCCCTTAACGCGATGAACTGAACTATGTACCCTCCAAGCGTGAGGGTTATAGCCCCAAGAGCATAAGTGTGAGACTTGTCTAGTTCAATCTTCTGCGAAGTAGTATACTTGTTTAGGCGATCCTTTGATCCGTCTGCACCATCTGAATAAGCGAATGCATCGAAAGTTTGGTCGCCAACAACTTGGCTCCCTGGCTGTAGCCAGAACAGCGTTGACGGTTTGCGCTTCTGTCTACAGCCAGACTTCAGCTCCCAGTGCTTCTTTCGTTGGTAATAGTCCTCGCGAGTGCTTTGACCAATGAGAGCTGCACACCAAAACATCCCAACACACATGGAAGTCGTACCCATTATGAACATGACAGGGGCTGGATTTTCTGAGATAGCCAAACGGATATTCCGGGTTGCCTCAGGCGCTCCGCTCTTTGTCCACTGCAAGCGCAGTGAGAGAACGCCAGCCATGACCACCACGCCAGTTTGAAGAATGAAGCCCAAGGCGGCAAGAGCATAAAAGTAATACCACTCCAGCTTCACAATGCCAATATTGATTGAAAGGTTGGGACTTGAAATGCTCTTTTTTGATAGCCCCATGTGACTTTCCTCGTCTCTGTGGCCTGAATTACTTGAGCGAGATCTGATCCGGCGTCGAAGAGTATGAAAGACGGCAGTCGATCGTGATGTAAATGCCTGTGTGGACGAATGTCCATCAATCTCTGTCTCCCTAGTGGATCCAGCTTTTGAGGGATGCGGGATTTTCGTTCTCAGCCAAGGCCAGCGTCGTTGGGTTTTTTCCCACTCTCCATCTGGATAATTCTCGAGATAGTCACGAAATAGAAAAATGCCCATCTTGTCGTCCCTTCCTCGATGTGGCTCTGGATCTAGCTCATGATGAACTTGCACGATTTCCAGGATTTTGGGTCTGCCCAGGACTCGCGCAATTCCGCCCTTGTTGAAAAGCTCGCAGACGTCTCGGCTGGTGGAAGTACAGAGCTCTGCCTCGATAGCTCCGTCGCCTTCCTGAGCCCTGCCAACGAATGCGCGCAAGGCGGTGCTGCCGCAAACGCGGATCACAGAGACAATTGCAGTTATGATTCCAATTGGAGCCATTGCGAAGATGAAGTAATCCAAGAACGATGTGCTCTCACTGAGGTACTGCTTCGTTACAGCGTCGCCGAAAAGCGTGAGGAGAGGGCCTAAGTCTGTCGCCAGGTTGTTCGAGAAGTCATCTAGCTCCGCGGCATTAACTCCTAATGGTGTAAGTGCAACTAATATCGGCCAAGGCGAAGCCATATTATGGTGTAATTGAGGCAGTATTTCAGCGGACGGTGGATGAGTGAAATTTCTGGAGCGGTAGTTCTGACTACCCTTCGTTATTAAAGGTAACTGAGCCTCGTGCTGCGCGGATTTATTGTTGTTATGCATGCAACAAACCGTAATGTTGCAATATTACTGGACGCCGCGTTCGCCAGCAACGGTATGCATGACTGCGTTGAAGGACTTGCAGGAAAATGTTAGTGAGTGGATGGACGGGCCAAAGTTCGCGAGCCCAGTTGGGAAAGAATTCAGCCACAGAGACAGATCCATTCCGCAAGAGATAATCGTCAGTGTTGGCACGAGCCATGGATCTGGCCGGAGGGTATCGCGAACCTCGTCGGTCACTGTCTCAGGCGCGCGGGGATCGAAAGCGAGACTCATTTGAATGGCTGGTAAGCGTTCATCGATACTATCGGGTGGGGAATGACCGTCGAGGCCATTGGGCGAGGGGTGTGATCAGGACCATGGGGTGCAGGTGGCACTATATTGGTTGGATCAGTGGATGCGCAGCATAGTGAGGGGCGGGCCGCGAATTCTGATCAACGCGGGCCGAACAGGGGGGGCAACTGTGCCAGGGACTGCGCCATCCCGCCTTCTTAGCGCTGTACCTGTGGCTAAATCACAACCCTGGCACGTCTAACCTGTAAGGACACAGGGCACCGTATCACGAGAAGTGGCATATAGGAGTGCAAGTTGGATAGAAGTCGGTACAATCCTATAGGTCTACTATGAAGGATACAAAAAAGATGAAGGTAGAACCTATTAAGTCTATACCCTTAAGTATCTAAAACGAGTCTAACTTAGTTTATACGCCCTAGCTCCTAATATGTAACTATAACAGCTCTAAGGCACAAGACATCCTTACAATTACTCTTTAATTATCTTTAGATCTTTACATTTTACTCGTTGATAATTATACTTCTAACTAAACTTTGCTTTAATTTCTATATAACGCTTAATAAAGTTAGTAGTCTAGTTCTTCCTAATAGGGCTCTTACCTTGTTTAGGGAGTAGAAGATCTACTATTTCCTATACAGCTTGCAGCTAGGGTGGAAGTCTACATAAATCTAAGTTAAGGATATACTAAACAAGAGCTAATTCTTCGTATAAAGTTAATTTTCATAAGTTAGAGGTAGAGTTGCGTTAAGAAGTAATACTATAAGCGTGTCGTCTAAGTGTTGCTTTAGGGACATCGTATGACATTACAGCAGCTCAAATACTTTAAATATAGCCTAGTTTAATTAATTAGATAGCTAGAAGTATCCTGCCCTCTTAATTAGAGGATTTAGCTTAAGTTGGTGGTGCTATTGTTCATATAAGTAAGATAACGCGTTTTTGGTGTTTTGGTGCGTCACTCGCTTGTGTGCATCACTCGTATGTGAAATACGTTAAATAATCATGATTATAATCAATTTTCTAACCCTAATCACAACATCGCATCCGAGCCCTTTAAAAAAGGAAAAACTGGTCCAATAATAATCCTAATGCTACTTCTATAATCTACTCCACATGGATATATCTGTAAGGCTTCGAGGTGAAACTGCCATCCTTCCACCCGATGGGGCGTTGATAAGCGACGCACCCATACGCCGTACCGCGGCACTCCAGTGTGTTATAGGTCGTGTTACTATTATCAGCCCACGAGTGGAACAGCGTAACATGTCCATTATCCCCACCCGTCCCAGGGCCAAGTGTCCCAACAAAGTCACCAGGCTGTAGGTCCTCCCACGCGATCTCCGTACCAATATCAATGAGCCCGACGGTCGACTCCCCTGGCGCCGAGGCATGCACCGCCATGGCAATGAAACCCGAGCAGTCGGTACGGTAATCCGTTCCAGCTGGGTCCGGGTATGCGGCTGACTGGGAGTACGGGACGTGGAGATCAATCCAGACTTGGCCCCGGGCAAGGATCTCATCGCGGCTGATGGGGCCGTTCATGGAGGAGCGGCCGTCGATGGGAGCGCACGCTTCCGTGACCATGCCGACGGTGCCTGTCTTTACAAAGTAGTCGGCGACATAGCAGCCATCGGTTGTGAGATCCCAGAGATAGTCTCCAGTGACGGTTTCGCCAGCAATTTGGCAGGTGAGGGTGACTTCGTCACCCAGTACGTAGGATCTGACGACGTCGAATTTGGTTGAGGGGCCCGAGCGGCAGTTCACGAAGGTGCCAGTGATGGGATATGCGCTGGTTATTGGGAGGGCGACCGCGACAAACAAAGCTAGAGTAGGAAGCAGCATCGTGGTAGATGTGGCGATTGGTATATTTGCGTATGTGGTTTTATATGATAAATGTCAAATCAGGGGTTGCTCAGGATCCCGTTTTCTCTCATAGATGCCCACTTATGACCGGAAATCGTGGGTGGGAACGATTGGGATTTATAAATACGTTTATAGTTACGGTCGGAGTAAATTATCAGAAGCTTACTTCTTTTACTCCATAGTAATATATTTCTGGTGGAGTCTAGTTTGGGCCGGAGCAATTGGCAAGGCAGAATCAAATGCTTACTATTTTTTCGGGTTCACGATACATTTTGGGTTTAATTGTCGGTGGGGCTGAGCCTGTCAGGAACGACATGATCAGCAACATGGACTCCGTTAGCGTTGAAGTCAAACCCTACGAAATTAGATGATCGCCTAGAAGATTTCACTGGGGGTGGCTATGTTTATTAGGACGCAGTTTGTTTCCTTCTATGCGGAATTATACTTTGGTATGGTGGGCTTATAAAATAACCAATATGTAATCAGAAGCTAACTCGGCAGTATTACCCCTATACCCCCGAACTATTTATTAGAATATCATATACCCCACTTACATCCCACCTGCCTTCACCAGCTCCCCGAATCTACTCCCATCCTGTCCAGCCAAAGCTCTCGGTTCCCCAACCTCCACAATCTCCCCAGTATCCATCACAACAACCGTATCGAAATCCATAACCATCTCCAGCCGATGGCTGACCGCCACAACAGTGTAGTCCTTGAACTCCGCCTTGATAACATCTAGCATCACTCTCTCCGTCTCGTGGTCTACACTCGAGCTCACCTCATCCAGTAACAATACTCCTCCCTCCGAACCATCGGACCCCATCCCCAGATTCCGTGCCCGCACCCGCCGCCGTAGCAATGCTCGTCCAAGTGACATCAACTGTCTCTGCCCTGCACTCATCGTCCCCGCGCTCATACCCGCATCGAGTCCACCTCGCTCCAAAACGAACGGCCAAAGCTCCACAGCCACAAGGACAGCTTGGCAATCTGCTGCTGTAGAGACGCCGACAGGGTCCAGGTTCGCTTTGAATGTCGACCCATCCGGTAGGAAGACGGCGTCCTGGGGCACGGCGATTATACGCGTGCGAAGTGCGGGGCGAGAGACGAGGTGTAACGGCGTGGAGTCGATAAATGCGGTACCTGGGGAAGATGGGAGGGGGTCGAGTAGCTTGAGCAGGAAGGCAAGAAGGCTGGATTTTCCACTGCCTGTGCGGCCGCAGATGGCGACTTTAGAACCGGCGGGTATGGTGAGAGTTATGTTACGGAGGGCGGGAGAGGATGTGATATCAGTGCTTTGTGGGGTTAGCTCCGTGTGACTGAGGGGTGGTGGCTTACTTACGAGTAATGAGCGGATACGTCATTCAGCTCAATCACACCGCGCTGCGGCCACTGCTCTGGTGGGACGATATCCTCATCGTCTCTGTCTTCTGGCTTCACTGTTTCATTGAATGTCTTGAGTCTAGCAATGGCACCGATGGACGTTTCTAGCCTGGTATAGAATATGACGAAGCCCGAAAGATTTTCGCCAAAGCTCATGAGCGTGACGAGCGAAGCACCAGTGAAACCGGAGTTGGATGATGGTAGCTGAACGGCAAGAGTGGTCAGGATCGCGGCCATCACCATGACGACGAGGTCGAGAACAAGGTTTAGCCACTGTTGGATCATCACGAGGAGATATGCGGGCCTTTGGCTGGAATTAATCAGAGCAGCGTTCTTTTGGAGGTCGTCGGGGAGAAATCCTGTTTTCAGTATCAGCAGCGGCCCTGGCTTATAGAAACATAGGTCGCGGTTTATCGACCTGATTCATATGGACTCACCAAAAGCTCTCAGGGTTGTAATCCCCTTTACCGTATCAATAAAATGCGTGCTAAACGAATTGAGATTAGTACAGCGCTCAACGATCGCCCAGTATATGGCAGATGGACGAAGACTTACTACAAGGGGCTTTTTGCCTCAAGGTCTAACAACCTCAGCTGCCGGGAGGTTCGCAGGTAGAATCGCTGCACGATATACAGTAGGACGCCGAGGAATGGGTAGCTTATGGCCATATACGGAGACGAAGTGAGCATTACAGCCGCTTGTCCAAGTGCGCTGAAAATCTGAATTTCATGTCAGTCTCGATGATTGTCTTAGTGCTCTCCGGAGAGTAGCGGCATCACTGCAGACTTACGGAAAACAAAGTGTTCAGCAATCCATTTGGCAGCTCTGTGTCTATAAGATTCAGATCTTGCGAAAATAGATTCGTGACGACACCAGTATCCGTTCCAGTGAAGAAGCTCAGTGGTGCTTTAATAAGTGTGCGCAAGGCATCTTGGTGGAGATTTGCGCCCGCTCTCTGCACAGAAACTATTATGATAGCGACGCCGAGAAGCAGCAGCGATAGCAAGCCACATATTTGAAACATCGCATATAGTCCGGCATAGTAGGAATAAGTATGAGCCGGGTGTTCCGAGTAGACGTCCTCAGACCAAAATTTGAGCCCTGGAAAATGAAATTAGTTAATGATACTTATGATACTAATGGCAGGCTCTTAAATCTCTGGTTGGATTCCATTGTTAAGTGAAGAGTCAGCCAGCCATAATTGTAGTGTGCTGTAACTCACAAATTGTTGGAAAGTTTGTGAAGAAACCCCAGAAAAGACCAAACAAAAAACAGGATGCAGCTAGGAGCAACCCCATGCTTTTAAAATAATGCTTGTATACCGTCTTATCGCCAACTTGCCGTGATCCATCTGCGTCCGCCGCAAGCGATGATGTGTTGGTTGTCGTTGTGTGGAGCAGTTGCTGCTTCGTCTCTTTTTTCAATACCGATTTCTCCGACGAAGCATCGCTGTCCGAAGAGCTTTTCAACCCCAGACTATGCACATATCCTGGACGGGCCATTAACGTTTCGAAGTTACCTTGCTCGACAACGCTGCCGTCTCCAAGAGCTATGATGTAATCCGCCGCTGGTAAGTGTCGGATGCTGTGAGTGCACAGCACAACAGTAGATCGTCGCCGTCTGAGAAGTCCATCTGGTCCGAAGACTAGGCGGAAGACCTGTTCCTCGGTATCTGCATCCAAGCCACTGAAAATATCATCTAGAACAAGCAGATCTGAGTGCAAATACAGAGCTCGCGCGAGCGAAATGCGCTGTTTCTGTCCCCCGGATAATGTAATCCCATCAGACCCGACATTCGTTCTGTCGCCCTGTGGGAGTGTGTCGAAGTCAAAACCCAGAGCCGTAGCCTCGATGACTTCAGAATATCTCTCATTATCAAACGGAGAGAACCCAATAATGTTGTCCCTGATTGTCTTGTTTGAGAGGAATGCCGTTTGGTCACAAAATCCAACGTGGGGGAATCTAGTGCTCAACACCACGCTACCTTTGCTGAATGGAATCTCTCCAAGCAGTGCCTTGCAAAGCGTAGATTTTCCCGACCCAACTGGTCCAACGACAATTGTAAGCGATGATTTTGCTACTCGAGTATTTATGTTTCGCAAGGCGAACTTGTCCTCTTCCCAGCCAAACATTCCGTTCTTTATAACAATAGGATATGATAGGTCGGGTTCTGAATCAACCGAAGCCATCGCAACTGCCTGGGGTTTCTCTGAATTCCGTCTCATATCAGCCAGAACTTCGCGAAAGTCGTTGCGCGTCTCGCACTCTACAAAGGCTTGAATTCGGCCCAAGCAGGCGAAACCAGAGATGAGCTGAGGGATAGTTTGAAAGATCTGAGATAGCGGAACCGTTAAAAGCAAAAGATAAGACAAACTCGTGAACATCCTCGTGGCATCCAGTGTTCGTTGAGCGAATGCAAATGTTAGCGGTGGACTGATCATCATCGGAATAAACCCAAAGAGCGCCGCAATAATGCCTATTTTGCGAAATCGGGCCCCAGCTGCCAGCTCCTCCACACGGAGATTCTGCACGAAGTCACCGATGGCACCAGCGAGGCCGGATATTTTTAGGTTCTTCATATTACCGATGACTGTAGCGGTCAAACCGACGCGCTTTTGGACTCCTGCCATCCAGAGTCTCTGCGTGTCCCCTATAAACTTCATGAGAATCGCCAACCCGACGAAGCAGAGTATAACAACTCCTATAGGTGCGATGAAGACAACTCCAAGTTGGTTGTACAACATCCATCCAGCCAGAGCAACCTGTATAATGCTTGCCCAGACATCGTGCATTGCCCGAAAGCCCATGTTGATCCTTTCTATGTCTGTGCTCATTAATGTCAGCGCAGCACTATCATCGCCGGTTCCGATACGAGCTTCTGTAGCTTTGATAAAGATCTCAGTAACCAGTATTGACCTTAACATAGCTAGCATTCTGTGGTGAAAGTACCTAGACGTTTGTATAAGCAGGGGATCTTGGAAAGAGCAGTTTCGTGGGGTCACAATACCAGCAGAGAGCCGTGGAAATGGCAATTCCCGAGTAGATCAGTATACTGGCGCCAATGAAGCCATATCCAACGTTTGCCTCGACCTCCGGCTTGGATAGATGGTCTAGTAGCTTCTCAAGGAAGAACGGTTGACAAAACGTGAACCCCAGAAGTGCCATGCGTGGAGGTATAGGAAGTAGGATCGGGACTTTCAGTGTGCGTATTAGCACCTTGACAAGACCATATTTGTCGCCCTTCATCTTGGAGTAATCCACGTTCCTGGAGTACAACTCGTGGAGATATTGGCTGCTCAAAGTACTATCCAGCGGGTAAAGGTCCTTTAGGGCCAAAATTTTGCTGTATCCTTCGAGGAAGATCCTATTGAGCCAAAAGAAGACCCCAAGAGAGAAAATTCCGCTTGTCTCTTCCGGACTGTGCTCCTTTTCATCCCAGCTTACCCACTTGGCCTTTCGTTGGGCTTCCAGGACCAATATTCCCACCTTCAGAGCTATAGCAGCACTGAATATGCTACTATAGGTGAGCTCGGGCTTGTCACCCGATGACAGGAACAGTGTCCTCGCTTGGGTTGCGTCCAGGAGAAGAGTCAAGAACAAGTAGCTATTCAATAGCACGGACGGCCGTGGGCTCTTGCTATGATCAACGAGACTCAGCGTAATCATAAATAGGGCTGACACGAGTTTGAGAACCGAGGAGGCTATAAACATGCTAGTCACATGGAAGGATCCAACGGCAACCAAGATGAGGAGTGAAAGTTCAAGCCCGACATAGGTTGTAATAGCGCCCTAGGATGGTTTAATTAGCACACTTTGGCCATACATCCGCATAGTAAGAGCGCACCAATTTTATCAACTGGAAAACTGGAGCATTGACCACAGTGGGCTTCCGAGCTTGGGAAACCGTCCGCCATAACGATGTCACGATGAATAGGACGGACGGGATGATAGAGAAGAACAGCTGCTCAAACTGTACGTTGAAGTCGAAGTTGCCCTGGTTCATCTGGAGCAAGCTCCCCTCTCCAGTAGTGAACGGCATCTTGGTCCCCTGAAATCAAAGCCTTTGGCTGAAGTTAATTTCGCTGTGGCCACAGGGCGAACCTCGTATTGAAGAACCCTATCGAGTTCCTGTCGATTGTTCGCCACAGGGCAAGTTTAAAAAGCACAGAAAATCTGGTTGGAAATGTTATGTTGGTCACTCTACGAGGTCAGGCAATCAAGCCATCGCGGTGAAGATATAGGATGAATCACGTTGAGCATGCAATATTTTAATATAGAGGCTTCGTCAGCGACTTTCGTCTTGAAGTGCAACGCCGCGTCAGGGCTGTCGTCTTGAGATCCTTGCTGCCTGCTATCTGGCATGTTGAACTAGCCATATTCCGAACTCCGACGACACATCCGGCCAATAACCAACGCTGACGGGCGGGCGCTCGGCGTCGTTTAGCTAAGATAGGAAGGTGCGATCAGTGTACCGACTGACAGCTCCATCGCATCCTTCGTTCTGGCGACGCGTCGCGAACACGACGGAACATCTTTTCTTCGCTCGGATGGGAATGTGTTTTTAGGGAAGTAAATGGTGATGGTGATGGCGAGGATCCAAGATTTTGACAATTACGCGATTGGGATGTTTTGTGATTTGTAAGGAAACCAGAAGCTTACCGTAGTATATTGCAGGTGGGCCAGTAAAAAATATGCTGCTTATGTTGCTTATATCGTCAGCAACGTCGGAGTTTATCGAGACGCCGCTGTCAACACCTTTATTGTGAGACATCCCCCTCACGTCAGAAATTATCAATCAATGTAGAAAGTACCCACGTCTGATTCCACTATAAGTTACATCAATGCCAGATCGTTGAAGTTGACCTGCCAGCACTCTGACCACATCGTACCGCCGCCACAATGACCCCACCACGGAACCCAATTCTTATCGCCGGTGCCGGCATCTCCTCTCTCCTCCTTGCGCGCTCCCTACTCCGTTCCTCCATCCCATTCCTCCTCTTCGAGAATGACGCCTCCCTATCCTTCCGCGCCCAGGGCTACCGCCTCCGACTTTCCGCCGAAGGCCTCGACGCTATCGAGTCTGTCCTCGGGCCCGATGCGTGGCAGCGCTTCTGGGACACGTGCGGAAAGACGGGGGGCGGTGGTTTTGGGACCTTGAATGCGCGAACGGGGGAGAAACTTCCAAATCCAGGACCGCCGGCAGCTGCTGATGGGAAGAAGTCGGTGACTCAGGCCCTTGCAAGTCGCGATGGGAAGGTCGTGGGGATTTCGCGCGGGGATATGCGAAGATTGTTTATGGAGGGATGTGAGGAATTTGTGCAGTGGTCGCATCGCGTCACAGGCTATGAATTAACTGCCAACGGTGTCCGTGCCATCTTTGCGGACGGCTCAAAGTCGGTGGAGGGATCTATGCTGATTGCCGGTGAGGGTATCCGCTCCGGCGTCGCCAAGCAGCTTTCAGGTGGTAAACTGAAGGTTTACGACACGGGCGCGAGAGGAATCCACGGACAGGCTCCAACGACGTCATTCAAGGGGCTTGGAGAAGGCGTGTGGATCCTCCTTGACGAATCCCACCCCAAGGGCAAAGTTTCCATCATTACCAACGTCCGTCCGGACGAGATGGACGACCCATCCTTGAATTTCGGGTGGACCATGGTCGCCGAGCCCGGCATCGTTTCGCCGCCCAACAATGATGATTCTACGATCGGCATCCCAGCCGCTGATGTGGCAAAAGAGCTTACAGCGGACTGGAACCCGCGCTTTAAACCCCTCTTTGACGAGATGGTGGCCACTGACGCGGCATTCTGGAAGATTACGTGCTCAACTCCGACGGGTGTGCCAGAGTGGGAGAACCAGAACAGAGTAACTGTGATTGGAGACGCAGCGCATTCAATGACGCCTGCTGGAGGGATTGGGGCGAATACTGCGGTTAGGGACTCAGCGCTACTTGGGAAATTGCTCGCTGAAGCGGGGGGTTATAAGGAGGGCGTGACGGCTGCGTATGAGAAGGAGATGAGGGTCTATGCCAGTGAGGCTGTCCAAGCGAGTTATGGGATGGCGAAGAATCAGATGGGGGTTGTGATTGACGAAAATACGAAGACGTTGTGAGGGTGTGGGTGTTACCAAAGGGATCTATTAGATATATTAGTGGCATATTCCACTCAATTCGGCGCAGTTTATAACCAGCAAATAGAAATGTATTTCCAAGTAGATTTCCATATCTTTCTTTGCCACCTAGCCTCAAGTCCGTCATCTTCAACGCCGTCGCCATAAATATGAGCACACAAATGCTTAACTTAGTCACTGTGGCATATGGTAAACTGTAAATAGTGTCACGAAAGGCGACATAAACGTACTGCCAGAGGCTTAATCATTCTCCAGAACTCTATTGAATTAGATTTCTCCCAAACAATCGATCCAAGTGCAACTCCATATAGTCCATTCACCCCTATTCCCTATCACTATGCCCTTTTTCAAGCATCCGTCGAATCGCATGATGGCCATTTCCAGATGCCCTCCTTATAGCATTTTCATACTGCGCCTGTCCGTCACCAAATACGTTTGCTCCGGCATTAAGCAGAAGTTGAACCATATCTAGCCTCCCATGCTCTGCTGCCCCTTCCAGTGCCGTCCTCCCATCAGTCTCCGCAGCTGCGGCATTAACATCTGCTTCATGTTCTAACAGAAGATGAGCGATTCCGAGAAATCCTTGCATGGCAGCGTATTGCAGCGCGGTTGCACCACTTCCAGTAGTGGGCGGAGAGTTCACATCTGCCCCGTGCTCTAGCAGTAAGTCGATAATCTCTTTGCTCCCGTCCAGACTCGCCTCCTGCAGAGGCGTGCGAGGTATATGGTATTCGACACATATGTCGCTATTCGTCTCTTCGTCATCAATAAAGGTTCCATTGGCATTGGCCTTGTATCGAAGAAGGATTCTGATCATTTCCACATCTCCATTATGAACTGCAATCTGAAGTGGCATCCTATAGTCGTCAGATTTGTATTTTCCACCGATTGACACGGAATTTGGATTCGATCCGTAATCAAGGAGAACCCGTGCAGCCGCCTTGTCGTTCCTCTTGACAGCAGATTGAACTGGTGAATATTGCGCACCAAACAGTACATCTGTGTCTGCCTTGGCACCTGCTTCCAAAAGGATTTTTAATAGCTGTAGTCCATTGTTCATCTCGGCCGCCCTGTCAATAGCAGATTCCTTCGCCCAAAAATCGGTATACAGACGCCTCTTCAAGTCCACACCATAGTCTAGTAACGTATTCGGGTCTGCACCGAAGTTTAGAAGCATGCGTACAATGTCGAAACTGGCACTGGAATGAAGCTTCAGGGTTTGAGCCAGCGCAAATGATAGCATGGACTCCGATTTGGTATCCCTTAGATGGCTAAAGAGTATAGTCCTGGCCCAATGTAGCTCCTGGTCTTTGATAGCTACCTTTATAGCCATGGGATCGTCGAGGTTTGCCCCTTCGCGAATAATTAAATTGACCATTTCAGGATCTCGAATTAGAATTGCAGCAGCAAGTGGTGTCATTCTTGACCTAGTGTTTGGGGAGTAACCATCAAGTGGATTATTGATTTTGACGCCTCTTCGAATGAGATCGTACACTAAATCCGAATTGTTGGCTACAAGAGCGGCAGTTATGGGTCTGATGCAATAACAAGGGTGGTGCAACAGAAAAAGACCAGTAATCCCATAAGTCTCTCTCTCTATCCTGTGTACGCTGTCATGAAGATGGTCGACGCCAAAGGCCTCTGTATCAGCGCCCCAATCAAGAAGATACTTGACCACATCACTGTCACCCTGTCTAATTGCAGCTATCAGTGCATTTCCGGATAAATCGTGAACTCCAGAGCAAGATGTGGCAGATGGTACCCTTGGATTTAATTTTGCGCCCATGCCCATCAAGCGCTCAAGTATCTTTTTGTTTCTCGTCATGATTGCAGCAAATAATGGGGTCTGGCCTTCGGGTCCCATCGTATTGACGTTAGCAAATGCAGATAAAAGGGTGTCAATAACTTCGTCCTGTCTTTTCGAGATTGCCAGATAAAGTGAGTCGCCAAACCAAGGAGACAATGGGACTAGGCTGTGCTGCAATATAAAGCGGAGGGCCCTAACATGCCCTCCTGAACAACAGCTTTCAATAGCTTTTGTTAGCTCAGTAGATTTATAGAGAAGAATGCCATCAAAGCTAAAGGTCCCGTCGTTGAACAAGTACTCTATTGTAGAGACATGCCCTAAGTGTATAGCTTTAAGTAGTGCTACCTCTTTTATCCATATATTATATGTCTCCATGAGATGAGCTTGGTGGTCGGTTGCAGGTAATGTCGCTATTGTCGGCACTGAAGCACCAGCGAGTATGAGGTGGTTAAGAACGTGGAGGCTCTGAAATTGAATGCCATATTCAACTGACAGCAATGTTATCTGTGCTCCAGCAGATATTAATATGTTAACAACTTCTATAGACCCAGAGAGAACACCCAAGTCAAAAATTGTGTAGGACTCGGGCCCAGAGTAACCGGGGGGTAATCCATACATAGACTCGGCGTTAAACTCTTCGTGTACATTTGCCCCTGCCTTTATAAGGCTGCTGAGCACACCTACTACGGCATCTTGACCTTTGGTGTCTCGAGACACACGGAATTGATACTCAAGTGGCCGTATGGTGCTAGACAGCAAATATTTTTTCATTCGGTCCCGGCTGTAAATGCAATCGTGCAGTAGGAAGGGGCCCCATTTATCTGTTGGGGGCACCGCGTCGGCACCGTTTTGAATAAGGAGATCAACGATATCTTTTTTCCGGTGTCTAGATGCTGCACTAAGAGGTGTGTCATATTCGAAATCTTCCTCAAAAGGTGCCTTGACAAACTCTATGGAAATATTAATGGCTGCTCCTGCACGAAGTAAAGAGCTACCGAGGTTGAAGAGGCGGTCGTCTGATGGTTTGTGAGTGGCTGCTTGGTTGTCGACACTATATTGGCTATCTTCAGCATCGTATTCTTTATTGTCACCGTCTTCACATTCTTCAATTCTATCATCATCGCTACTCGAATATCCGTTGTTGCGAATCTCGTCTCCAATAATGGCAAACACTAATGCACTGCTTTTCCATCCAGTATTCGGCTCATCAATAGTTGATCCGGCCTTAATCAACTCAAGGGCCATTTCATTGTTTCCTCGGATAATAGCAAACTGCAATGGAGTGAAGTCATCGTAATCGTCTTGGCATTTGTGTCCATTCGGATTTACTCCCGCTTGAAGCAAATATTTGATAGTTGATATATCTTCATCCTCAATCGCAAAACGAAAGAGATTTTCAAGTAGGGCCTCTGCAGTTGGTCCCTTCATGGACGAGAGCGCTTCAAGAACCGATGTGGTGCTATGAGTTTTGATGAGCCACTCTCGAAGCTTTCCACCATTGGTGACTCCCGGAAAATTGTTAGAAGCTATAAATGTTGCCAGGTTTAATAACTTGTCGTGGCTTATATCTTCAGCTCGTTGTATTGCAAATCCAGCAGCGCGTGGTTCTTCAAGAAAAGCCGACAAAGGAAGGAGGGAGTCCAGAATAGGAAGGATGCCACTGTCGGTTTTCCGACGAGGTGATTGGAACATCATCGTGAAGGGCGACATCGACGCAGAAAAAGGCGCAATTGCTCCCGCTACCCGTAACAATGGTTAGAACTACATTTATTAAAACTTGTGAATTGTTACCCACCATATATGGGCCGCGCAAATTTCTGGAATTGAAAAATAGCAAGGTTTTCAAACGCCAATCGAAAAAATGGTTGCGCTAGTGGTGTCCGTATGTCGAATCCAGGGGGCGTTTGAGGAGGTGCTTCTAATAATTTTTATTATAGTCACATTTTTAAAGATATCATAGCAAGCTCACCAAAAGCAACTCTGGCTTGTTCAATGGCTGTCATATATCCTTGTCGAGCAGTTTCCTTCCGAAGTTTCTCTAGGGGCATCAATTGCCCGTCAAGATAGACGCCACTCTCTTTCCCAGCCCTCTTCCGAAGCTGAATCTTGCGGTTCATAATTTCCCAATCTCTTTTCGTACGGTTCTTCTTAAAGCCCCAGTCTTTGAGCTGTTTCTCGTATTGTGCCTTCCTGTGGAATGTTAAAACTGCGCTTTCGAAAGTGGTATTTATTATAATGCGAGTCTGGCCCAGTAAAACTACTGAAGTTCTGTATGAATTGTATAGTAGAGTATAATTGCACACATGCGCGGGTAGGCCAAATAAACGTTTTTGAACTGTACGTGTACTCACGATTTTTTGAATTCGTGCTGGGTTTCCATGATTTTGATTACACCCCCAGGCCCTTCGAGTTTATGTCCCTTGATCATATAGACCCCACGGATGATATTCTTGAACCGGTCCTAGCCTTGCGAGTCGACGGGTTGAGACATTATGGGCTTGGAAGATCGTACTTCGCGGCTTTATTGCTCGAAATGGAAGATAGTGAAGAACGCCGAGTTAACTGCGACCGTCAAGGTGGCATATTTTGAATGCTCGATGACAAGGCTACTGACGGGACACTTGATTCCTTTATAATTCCATGTACATGGGGCGGCTGTGCACATTATGTTCCAGCAGTTGTCAGGCCCCTGCAGCTCAAGGTCCAAAATACCGCGACTGATTGGCCAAATCCAAAATCTTCCTGTACATTTCCTCCGCCCACCTCTATGAGATTTCGGCTCTCAGGCGAGGCTGGAGTATGCCCTGCGGTTACTGGCTCAAACCAAATTATGTCTGTATGATGCCCTACGGTTATTCGCTCAAACCAAATTCTGTCTGCATGATCCCCACGCTCTGGTCAAGCTGATTTCTTGTATTCTAGTCAGGACACCTGCAGGATAGTCCTTTCGGAAGACGACTGTATCATTGGTTGACCCCAAAATCCGTTGCGCTGCGCCATAATAGTCAATAATCTGATCTATGGATCGGGCGATTCAAGCCTCTGATAATTTGGGGCATGGATAGGACCATTCAAGCCTCCAATTCCTAGTTTTGGTACATGGGTACACGTAGCGATTACTGGTCGATGCCAAAAACCGCTGGCAGGCATCCCTGTTACTTCAGCACGAAGGCTATGTATGCGATTTATGTCGGATGTTCCGATGGAACCCTCTCTAATTGGATGTTCCCAAAATCGGCGGTCGTTGTCCCTACATTTGGCTTTAGCGTATTTCTCCTGGGCTGGCTCCAACGTTGGCTACCGCCATTGTGATTTATATAAGATAAGTTGCGATCCATTTTACATACACTAAATGGAGGAGATAGAGTTTAATTTATAACCCACGGCTCACCCTAATAATTTCACATCCAATTCTTCTTAACTGAATTTCTTGAGATAAATGTCTCTCAGCTGTTGATGTTGTACTATACACCTACGACATTCTCCTCCCACAAAAATGGAGCTTTCCGCGGAGGCAATAATCGGGCTGGTAGCTCTCTTAGTTACCTCCCCCCCCTCTGCCCTTCTTATATATAGCTGGGTCAGAAGACGGCAAAGAAGTACTCGAGAAGGAGGTCTGTCTTATTGACACCCAGTGACCGATATAAGAAGCTTATACTGATACTCATACAGATAATATGCCTCAAAGTAGCCTAGCTCAGCAACGAGGGAGAGTTCGAAGCATCCCAGAATATTCAATCGAAAGCATAAGCCCCCAAGATAACAAAGGGGTTCTCTGGAACTATGGTCCGTATATCAATGAAGAAGCCTTCCCAGAATCGATAGGGACGCGGCTAACTTTTGCTACCATTTCCAGAAATCACCTCCCTCTACCTTGAGTCTCGATGTCATGTCTTGACAAGGGTTCATACAATCAACCATCCGAATTATGAAATGAATACCAGAGCTCAGAACACCGCGTGGTGTTGATGCAACTCCATGGGTGGCTCCTGATTGCACGTTGATGTAAATGAGGCGACTTTCCTGCTCTGGCAGAGGGCCATGTATATTTTAAGGGCATAAGAAATATGAGAACAGGAACAGAAGCAACCGTGGTAGGCGGAGCGTTGAATTGGTGTGTGGTCTGGAGAGTCCCTCACAGAGCGATATGATATCTCGGTGTCCCTAGGTAGCCACACGCTTTGGCTGGAGTTTTGAAGAGGGAGCCCCTTCAAGTCGCGGTAAATCAGTCCAGTCTGGGTGGCTGACTGTCGGTATTATCGTCGTCGGCTCGGGAATATCAGGTTCAAGGATGGAAGCTCATGTATCAGTACTTGGCAGCACATGAGGAGAAGGAGAACCCAGCCTTTCTTCAAACAGAATATTTTGGCGCCACATAGAATACAAATTAGACATGAAAACTTGAAAATCAACCGTGCAGTTGCAGGGCTGCGATGCTGCGATGTCAAAAGACAACACTGTGTATATAGCTGACACCTCCTGGGACGGTGCTATGCCTATAGAAAAAAACGGGGGTGGACAAGAAGCAAAAAATACCCATATTATACAATACAAAACAGCACCTAGATCGCACTCGGTTTCTTCACAGGAGCTGTCCAGGACGCCGTCTGTCAGGCTGACACTGACGCCGCAGTCAACGCAGGAGCGGTACCAGTCAAGAACTTGAGCTGTCCCCAAGGTATACTATAATGAGATTCCATGCGTAAAAAAAAAGAGGCGGTAGATCCTTTCTATGCGTTCCAATCATGAATACAGGCTTTCAGAGTTGCCTTGACCTGATGCTCAACTTCGTCGTTGACTTGATGCCCAGGTTGATGAGGTCTCTATTATTAGGTGCGGAGCTATGTCCGTATCGGAGTAACTATTTTCCCAATATTTGAGTTCAGGTGCCCGAGTACCCTCGTTGATGTTTCGAAGGATTTACCAACACGACCGTCCACTCTTGGATAAATACCAATAGAGACCGCGCATCGTTGACGCGCTACCCCCCTAAATATTCCAGTTGAAATTCAGAGTGTTTGCTGGTGAAGGTGCGCATGACACATAGCCTCGCCTTGGTGTGAATGCATGGCTAAGTTTCGAATCTCTCTTAACATCTATCTCATCTCCCTTCTCTTACTCTCCACCCCTCTCCCCGCCTCGTCACCACTGGCACATCCTCAATGCGCTTGAGATACAAGGAGTATAAAAGGTATTGCGTTATGTTATGATCTGAGGTTGAGAATCCAAATTCTCCAGTTCTACGGGCCAAGGCGGCTACGCGGCCAATTTTATGGACATTGTGCCTGTCAATCTGCCTCTTCCAGCAACTACCGACGCGCCGGGAGAGCATCGCCATATATAGCTGTCAAATCCCCCGGGACGATCAGCGCAACGCGCAAAGACATCGCAAGACCTCGTGATCTCTCGATATGAGACTCTCTGCGCACCTTCTTGCCGCCGCCTGGTTGGTCGGCCTCGCAACTGCGGCAACCCCAGTTCGTAAGTCTCATTGTTTCCTGTCTTCGCCCAGACGAACGTAATGCGACTGATGCTAATTTATGGGTGAATAGCGGCAGAGTGCTGGAGTCCAAATCTATCGCTCAACGCCACGAACGTAGATACCCTAACCAACTGCACACTGTACTCTTACCGGTGCTTTGACAATGACGAGGGCGTCACATTTGTCACCACATCTCCACCACCTACCGACTGTATGAAACTCAAATCCAATGTGTTCTTCGACGACTATAACATGACTGGGGCATTGGTGGTCCCTCGCATGGTCGAGACCCAGCAACTTTCCATTCAGGGCCAGCTTACACGCGATCGCAACTCCTCCGGCGGCATTGACAGAACAGTCCGGCCTCTTCGCGTGGACAGAATCGAGTTCCCCGACCTAGTTAATATCACGGAATTTGGAGGAATATCTGTTATGTATGCGCACAATTTGTCCAGCTTGAAGTTTCCAAAACTCGAAAATATGCGCGGCACCTTGGACCTCGATCTGTCGGAGGGGCCTGCCATCAGCCTATCCTTCCCGAACCTTCGTCTTGCCTTCAGTGGCATATGGATCAAGGGCAAAATTGATGCGTAAGCCCCATTGGACGGACCCCCTCTTCTAGACGACATTGACGCTAACTTTATGAACAGACTCGACTTTCCAGTCCTAAATTTTTCGCGGGCAATCAATATTACGTCGATAGGCAATCTAGATTGCGTGGCTTTTGCGGCAACCGTGGTTAATACGACTACGTGGCCAACAGGCTACAAGGAGACGCCCGAATCACTATTTTGCACTTCGAATAAGAACAGCATTAATACCCACCCTGTGCCAGCTGATGAGTCTGGCAGTAGTGGAATTTCGTGGTTCCGTGGGGATTTACTGTTACTGGTAGTCCTCGTTGGCGGCGTGAGTTTGGTTGTTTAATTAATGGGAAAAATAACGACTATGGCGTATACTTCGTATTTTAAACTCAGGTCCTTATAATATATAATTGTTAATGTCCCCTCACGTGTCTGCACCATCGTATCTTTCGGGTCACCAAAAAAACATCAGGCAAGCGCCACAGATACTTCCCGATCGGCGAAAATAGGGGACCGAACCCGGGGATAGAAAAGAAGGGGCCGCGCAAGCAAAGGCTGGGCAAGATCGAAACCGTTCCCATGTTCCAAGCGCGCTGTCGTCGGGCTGCGATGAAACGGAGATGGCATCCACCTTGATACCAGTGACGAACGCGAGATGAGATACGACGGTGCGATATGTGTGGGTGGGCCAGGGGGATGACGATCGCTGCCCCATGTTCTGCAGGGCCATGACCGATATGGACGTACTGGTGTCGCATTTTCGAGATGTCTTGGGAAGCTTAACACGGCCACTAGAGTACCGCATCTCAGTTCCTACCAGCATTCAGTACAGTTCGAGTCCTCTAGTGCCATTTGTTGTATTATTTTGATGTTGACCATATCCGCAAACTTCCAGGGCCCTAAACCCCGTCGTCCTGAAACCAAATACCCTCAGATCGCCGTCCCGCTAACATCGGCCGCCATAGCGCCCACTATAGCACCCCTTCTCGTACTGCTGTGCTCTTCATTCACCCTGTCCACTTCATCCGGTCCACTTCTCATACTAAAGCCCATCAGGCCCCCACAGACCACCGCCCCCATAGCCCTAAGATCACGGTAATGAGCGCGAGACAGCCCGTCCATAATTGGAAATCGCCCTACGCTTGCTAAGTGGCCGGTGGTAGCTGCCCTTTTAGTCCTCTCCACGCACGGCGAGACAAGTCAGGACGCGTATCCTGTCATAGCGGCCATCGGACAGACTGGATCCTGAGAGGAAGATCGGGATTTGGGTCCACTTTTGGCAGATGTCAGTGAGTCGGTCAGCGCATCCGTATCTCGAATCAGCGACGTTCTCCCCACATCCGCGCCTTTCTCCAGACTTTGTCTCTCCCTAAAACCACATCTACGACGCCATCAGTCACCCTTACATAGCTGTACTCTATTCCCGCCTCTCTGGTCGCCGGTATATCGAGACGCAACCATCCGCCCACACCGTATCAGCGACACGTCACATGACACTGCACCCCACGCTTCGGAATGGCCTCGCTGCCGCCCCAGCCTGTTCACCGGTCGCGCTGCGATCACCCGGGGTGTACCCGCTCGTACCTCCGCGCTGAGCATCTCAACCGGCATCGGCTTACACGTGAGTAATTTCGGGTTTTCGCTGTTCGGGATGAGCGGAGTTCAGTGTGTGGGGTTGAAGAGTGGGAGGCTGGGAAACGGAAGGGATGGAATGCGAGGGGAGGCTAAGTGGAGTGAAGCGTAGGACACGCCAGCTAACCAGAGATACAGACGAAACGAGCGCTTTTCAATGCTGTTTATGCACCAAACAGTTCTCACGGAAGTAAGACGTGTCCTCCCTTTCCCCCTCGGGCAAAACGACGTAGTTGTCACGAGGCCGTCGAAATGTCATTTCTAACGCACGCGTCTAGTGACCTTCTTCATGCCCATCTTAAGCGCCATGAAAAGAGCGGCAAGAAAGGAGCCCACTACGCGCGTGGACCTAGTCGTCGCGCCGCCATCCCTGAATCCACGCCGAGCAATGGGGTGAAGCAAAGTAGTTCCACCTCCCCGCCACAGCAACAAATTCCAATGAGGCAGTCGATAGTGCCTGTTCCCCTCCATGTGCCTGCATCTGTGCCGGCGCCGCTGCAGACGTATGAAGGTTGGGCTCCGCCGATTCAGGGCTTGGGGTATGGGGTGGGAATGAGCGGGCAGGAGCTTCTGCCACAGTTTTCAGGGGAGTTGATGAATGTAGTGGGCTCGCAGCAGCAGATGATCCAGGCCGGGTGGCAGGTCCCGTATCCGTTTCAGGATGGTGGAATCTTTGGAATGGGGGGAGAACCCTATCTTGAGCTCACGCCTGGGGGGGAGTATGTCGATCCTTTTGCGGAGGGGTATGGGAATATGGGTGACCATGATATGGGCATTGTGAGTGTTTTATTCTCAGGAGTGTGCGAGTTTGCTTGCTGATATATTGGTAGGGTATAGAAATGGCGCAAGACGTAAATGTTGGAGAGGTCAGTGAAGAGTGTAGCATGTCGCAGGCTGTGTACGAGAAGCTTACGACTGAGCTTCCGGTAACTATCTCGTTAATCTTCAATAACAACTCGCTGACAGATTATAGGACCTCGCGAAACTTTATCTTGGTGACCGCGTATCACTGCTCCAGCTTTACAACCATGGCCTCGACTACTCAAATCTCTGCATGCCCTTTTTCCACCGCCCGACTCTCAAGTTAGAAACGCTGCCGCCACTGCTCATTCTTACTATCTGTAGTCTTGGTGCTTGCACGAATAATGACGATGCAATACGGGAGACTGGGAAGGCGATACACACGCATGTATGGCGCCAAACGTTCTTGGTAGGTTATCCTAAATCGATACTTGTGACTTAGCTGACATGCTGATTAGGCAGCAATGGACGCGAGACAGGTGGATATTTGTACGCTGCAAACTATGTATGTTACTTGTTTATAAATGAATACGTTGGATTCTGACTGGTTACAGGGTTCTGCTTGAGCATATCGGTTTCTATGCATTGTCTCGGTCAGCGCATGAGAAGGCTGATGTCTTCCACGCTATGGTTGTGACGGTAAGCAATTGTTCTGTAATGCTTGATCTTAAAGCATACTAACTCTTTTCAGCTCGCACGACGGAGCAGCCTTCTCGCACAGAATTTTGACAGCACCAATGGCTCGCGGCTGCCTCTTGAAAAACGATGGGAGGAATGGGCCGAGCGCGAGACAATTATACGGTTAGCCGTCCGCCCACATGTATCTCAGTCTCCCAGATCTAACAAATATACGCAGCGTTGCGTACACAATATTTATCCACGATGTCGACTACACAATCCACTTCATGCACCCTGCCCTCCTAACACTTGGCATGCTCAAGCTCCCCCTCCCCTCACCTCCCTCCCTCTGGCTCGCCAAATCCGCAGCTGACTGGTCCCGCCAAACCGAGAAAACTCGCCCCCCGCCACGCACTTCCTCTCTCCGCACCCTCCGTTCGGCCCTCGAACTTCTCATTCCAGTTCACTGCACGCACTCTCGCCCCCGCCGCCGCAACGCTTTCGAGCTCTTCTGCTCTAGCGCATTCACCCTCCAAATCCTAGTCCACGGCCTCGCCTCCGCTGTCTTTGAGCACAAGTTCCGCGGCATCGAAGCCGGTTGCTCACCTGGCTTACAGCTTCTCCAGATCCGCGATTTTGAGGACGGGCTCGCCAGTTGGATGGTCTGCTTCGAGCGTCTGGCGCCAGAAACGGGATGTACAGAGCTCGCGAGGAGCGCGCTGGTTACGTACCACTTCACGTCTATTCTTCTGCGCGAGAGTCTCTCGGATATTCTTATGGCGGCCGGGACGTCGTATTCATGGGGCCGTGTGGTGACTCCTCAGCGAGCGCAGGAGGCGTTTTTGCCGCTGGTGGGTACGCAGCCTGTAGGGCAGGATGCCTATCGGCATGCGCTTAAGATTATGAGTTTGTGTCTTGATAATGAACATGGCACGGCGAATGCGGATGGGGCGCGCAGGATGTTGCATCCGCTGTATTTGACGTATAATACCTTCATTGCTGTCTTGGTACTATGGGCATATGCGCTGGGACTCAGCAGAACGCATAGCGCGAAGACGGGGCAGCCGCAGCCAGCGCAAATGCTTTGGGTTGTTGAGTCTGGGAAGCTGAAAAGGGTTGATCCGGCAAAACAAGCAGCTGGCTCCGGGGTGGTCGAGGCAACGGCATTAGGTGGTATCTTAGAAAGAGGGTTTGCGAAGCCGGAGATTGGGGCATATGAGATTGAAGCTACTAGAGGAGATGTGAGGGGTATGATGAGAATGGTCAGGGGGAGGCTGGAGGGGAGTGCGTGGGAATTATGTGAGTTGTCCCCCAATAATCGGTGGTGGCGTCCAGAGTATGTGCTAACTGAGACCAGCGCACGAGGCGACGCGTGTACTTGATGCTTTACTAGATAAAAATGGGTTTATGGACTAAAGTGTTCGGCTAGATACTGCCGTCGTCTTTTCTTGTACTTTGTAAAATTGGGGTGGGGTTAGAGCATAGAACACGGAATATTCGTAACACTGTACTGGAAATTTAGTTGGGAAGCATGATTTTGGATCAGGCGTTTTCCGGATAGCAGTCTCGTATCGAGAGGGAAACTTTGGAGTGCTTCGGGTTCTTCTCAATCGTCGTTTCTGTGTACTCTGGCATGGGTTACAAACTGGGATCTAGAACATATGGAGAAGGAACAATCTATTTTTTGGAATGCTGTAGTTGCCAGAACCCTACATCTCTAGGAAAAGTGCGGTCGGGATAGCTACGGCTGACAAAACTTACTCATATGTTCAACTATGGCCCCGACTTCAAGACTTCGCAACTCCTTTTCTTCTTTTCGCCAAGGTCGGACGTCGACCAAGAATGCTCTTTCTCCGATCAGGGAAATAAGCTACCCCTGTTCTCTCTGCTATTTTCGTCCTTGTCTTCGTCAAAACTTCTAAGACAACAGTTCTAGACTTTGCCGCAATATTACTCCGAGACAACTCCACATCCTGCCTTCATTACTAGGTCGCAAGTGCCGCCGCCACAACCACTCGGTCGGGTCCTCCCCATCAGCTCCCCATCAGGACCCCCCCCCCAGACGTGTCTCTCCGTCTCCCCTTGCACAGACAAACTGAACACGCGCTTGACCCACCGGCACTAAGATCGACAGCCGCTGCAGCACGGGATGTGCACCCCACGGGATTCCCCAGGGCGTAAACGGGATGTCGCACAGCTCACGCCAAACCAGCGGCGAGCGCGAGACAGCGCTCCACAGTGCGCATGGCACTCACAGGTTCATAACCATGTCGCCACAGAATTCGGGGAGCTATCACGGCGGGAAACCAGGGACCTTTAGAGTTGCGGCGCGGCGGAGGCTACACGTGCGCCCCACCTAATGCCCGCGTTGTGAGCGCTAGGGCGAGCTCATTTAGCTGGTTGTCGTCTTCCCTTGCATACGGTGATCAAGAATAGGAGTATATAGCTTGTGTCCCTCGCGAGCGGCGCGTGAAAAAGATGCTTGTGAATTGGAGACATTCTTAGTTGCAGACGGGTTGTACTATCGACAACCAAAGCGAGGTTTAACTTGTTGATTGAGCTTGTTCGGCTGTTGATCTTATTCGGCTTGTTGAGCTTGTCGAGGCTTTGTGGGGTTTGCGAGCCGACGACGGGAAGTGGAGCTCGGTGTCAGTCCTGTCACCACTGTCAGAGCTACAACATCTCTCTCAACCATGGAGGAGTCGAAGCCGCGGTTCACGGTGGCGTGGATCAACATCTTCTGCGCGATCTTCTCATGTCTTGGAGCTTTCATTTTCGGCTTCGACAGCGGTATGTCAATTCCAATCTCTCGGTCGAGCACGTATTGTGGTTTAGCTAGTGTGGGGTACCATTATTAATTGCCGGCTTTTGCGCATATAGGAATCTTCAATACAACTATCGCTCATGAGAGTTTTAATATCTATATGTTCGGGAGAACTACCGGTGATGCAATCTTGACAGGTGCGTTGCATTCCGCGCTGTGGCCCAGGCCCGACATGCTAACTATCGGGATTTAGGTGCCGTTGCTTCAACATACACTGGCGGAACCGCTATTGGCGGCTTGTTCTCGGGATGGTCAGCCGGGAAGTTCGGACGCAAGAAGACGATTATCGGTGCAGCTGCCATAGGTACGTGCCCTTGGTCATGGTAAACTAATCAATCAACTAACAGCTCTTCAGTCGCCTTTGGCACCACCCTTCAAACCGCTGCCCAGAATTTGGGTATGCTGATAGCGGGCCGTGTCATTGCGGGCCTCGCCGTGGGTATTCTACTGTCCATTGTTCCCGTCTATAATGCCGAATTGGCTGTCCCACAGCACCGTGGGGTCATTGTCGGTCTTTTTGCAGTCCTGGCTTCATTTGGTGTTGTATGCGCCAATTGGATCGGGTATGGCTGCCAATTCGCACATGGAGATGCACAATGGAGGATCCCACTTGGGTGCCAAATCCCCACTGCGGTTATCCTTGCTCTCGGTGGTTTCTTTTTGCCAGAATCGCCTCGCTGGTGTAAGTTTTGCTATCTCACTCCTGTCCTGTCGACATTGAGTATCCCTTGCTGATCCCAGCTCTAGTGATTGAACAAAACCGAAGCCATGAAGCACATAAGAGTGAGACCAACCTTCCATAATCAGCCGTGCGGTATTTAACTGGAATATCTAGTCATGACTCGCATCCATGGTGGATTAGGAGAAGACTTTGTTTCGCGGGAGTTCACGCAAATGCATGAGCAGATCATCGCCGAAAGGGAAGCCAATCAATCCCGTTGGATCGACTGCTTTACTACGCCGTCTGCCCGTAGAAGAATGTGGATTGGTATCTTTGTGAATATCTTCAATAATCTTGGGGGCACACCGGTTATAAGTAACTACCAGTCTAGACTGTTTAAAGAGATCGGCTTCACGGGCACAAAGACTTTGTTTTTATCGGGGTGTTACGGTTTGGCTGGGTTTGCAGGTGTTATTACCAATATAACATTGGTCGCTGATCGGATGGGCCGTAAAGACTCGATGTGTAGGTTGCCCTATCAAATTCAGTGTGTTATATCTGACAATACTAGGGATCGGAGCTATTGTCCTCGTGGTTGATCTGGTGGTCCTAATGCCCCTCACCAAAATATACACCGGCTCCGAGAATCAAGCCGGCAAAGCAGCTGCTGTGACTTTTATCTTCCTCCATTCATATCCCTACTCTGTCTTTATGTACGGCACCGTATGGGTCTACACGGCGGAGATGTTCCCAACACGGCTGCGTGCCAAGGGTGTCGCCATATGCACCTTCTGGGGCCAGGCCTTCAACATCCTACTCCAGCAGATCGGACTTAGGGTCTTTGAGGAGATAGGATATCTCTTCTATATTGTCTTCATTGTATGCACGAGCTTAGCAGCGGTAGTGTACTACTTCTTCCTGCCCGAGACGAAGGGGGCGACTCTAGAGGATATCTCGCGTTTCTTCGGAGACCCAGTCGTGGCCACGATAAGCGAGAGCCAGACGCGCATAGCGAAGGTTTTAAATGAGGTCGATGGACTTGCAGATGCGGGCGATGAGAGTGGAGAGCGTGGCGGGAAGGGCGGGGAGGTTCTGATTGACGAGAAACGAGGTTAGAACTGTAATTAGATAGTCTGCATTGATCGGGCTGCCATTTTGGGCCGGTCCATACCTGGTTCAATAGTTATGGATATATGTAGACTACCAATTCAAGTTAGTGCAGCTTACCCGTGATCCCCAGAAGTCCAAAGCTAGGCCTGTATAGTTGAGGATTGATATAACCTATCCAATCTGAAGGAGCCTGTCTCTTTGCTGCTGTTTATGAGTGGCTGGCTTATTGATTGTAGCCCTAAGTGATTGGACGCTTGTACTCAAACTATGGTCACTGTGAACAATACTACTATGTACAGACCTACTTCGGGTTTTTGGCCGGAACCAGTATGTAGACAGCCTAATCGATCCAATGCAGCTTAGTATATTCTGCATCTATATGCATCCCGTTCTCAAGCCACATCCCGCGCCTCTATGCACGCCCAGCTTCTTTCAGGTCTTGGTGTCTCACAGCTCACATTAGCTCCTTGGAACTCTTCCACAAACCACTCCCTTATTTTTATATAAGGCTGTCAAAACCAGTTATCAGAATTTCGCCTTTAATACTTCCCCAATTAACTACAGCCACCTCTCAGTGTAACGTCCGGCAGTTCCACGCTTGCGGGATCGCGCCGTGCCATCCCGCGTCCGGACCCCACTGCCCCGCATCTTATCTAGAAAATACTTGGAGGGGCAAGTGCTGCCAACCCCGCTCCTCATTAAAATACCAACATTTGCGCGCTATACGAGCATTGTACGAGCAGTGTACGAGTATGCCGCGGTCCACGCGCTTGTGTTGGCTATCCTAATAAGCACGGGATTGTGGATCGTTAGCCCACGAGATGATGCTCCCGTTGCTGGATGCCGCCGTGAATTGAGCACGCAAATTGGAAAGCCGTGGTGGATCATGGGAATAGCGGGGGATGTGATGGGTATATAAACAACTGTTAAGGGCGTGGATTCTTCTTGGAGGGGAATATATATATCCCACTTGTTTCCTTTGTATTTTACTCTTTCCACGTTTGCTATATTTAAGCTAGCTTTCTCATATTTGGCCACGTTTCGCTCATACAACAATGGCACCATCGCTTGAAGCTAGCTCCAAGGCTGCTGCTCCCGTGAAGAGCGGTATGATAAAGGAACCCCTAAAGGTTTCTGGAGCTCTGCCGACAGACTTCTTTGATGTGACGTCAATTATTGGACGCGAATATCCAACCATACAGCTTTCGGAACTGATGAATTCTCCTCGGCGTGATGAATACGTCAGAGATTTAGCAATTACAGGTATGTTAGGCTCGAGGTGGCGCTATGCAAGGCTATGGCTCTATGCAATTGATAAGCCTCCACAGCCACTGACACGAACTGCAGTATCTGAAAGAGGCGTTGTATTCTTCCGGAATCAGAAGGACCTCACGGTCTCAATGCAAAAGGAATTCATCGATCTTCTTGGGAGACTATCTGGAAAGCCAGCAACCTCTGGCATCCATATCCACCCTCTTCTCGAAGGCAAGCGTGATGTAGGCATCAATGATGCCGGCGACGTCGACGACCACATCTCCGTCATCTCTTCCAAGTTAAGCCGCAAACTTCACCTCGCCTCACGTTACACCTTCGCCAGCAAAGGCTGGCATTCTGAGTACTTTCCCCAACCCTTTGGGAATTCTACAGCTAATTCTCCAAGTATGACCTTTGAGCACGTCCCCTCCGACTATGCCATCCTCAAAATGCGCAAAGTCCCTCCCACTGGCGGCGACACCATCTGGGCCTCCGGCTACGAGATGTATGACCGCCTCTCCGCTCCCTATCAGCGCTTTCTGGAGGGTTTGACTGCTAAACATGCCAATCCCGACTTCCAAGCTGCCGCTGCCCGCGTCGGCTTCGAGATCCACCCTGGCCCACGTGGTGCCGCCGAGAACGTCGGCCAGGACCTAATCGCTAATCATCCTGTCGTGAGGACAAACCCGGTGACGGGCTGGAAGAGCATTTATGGAGCGCTGAACCAGATCGAGCAGTTGAATGAGCTGGCGCCACAGGAGAGCGAAGAGGTGTTGAGGTATTTAGGACAGTTGTTGACGAATAATCATGACTTGCAGTGTCGGTTCAAATGGGGTGTTGATGATGTTGCTATTGTGAGTTTTCCTGTCCATGTGGGTATGTGTGGATGGTACTGATGGGTGGCTGCTGTAGTGGGATAATAGGAGCTCGTTCCATACGGGCACTTCTGATGTTGATGTTACCCACACGAGGACGGGGAATCGGGCAGTCAGTATGGGAGAGGTTCCGTATCTAGATCCCATGTCGAGGTCGAGACGAGAAGCTCTTGGTGAAGCTGAGTAGAGGTTTGCGTCGGGCCTTTAATTGTGCATTGTATCTTTCGACATTTAATTTAGGTGAGAATATATTTGAATATAATTACTAAACTTGGATTCTTGGTGTTGCACTTTAACTCAAGCCAGAACAGTGTTCCCCAAAATAGTATTAGTATTTGTGGTTTTCGAATAGTATTCGGCGCCGAGTAGTATTCGGGCAAAATTTGGGGTATTCGGCGAGTATTTGCCAAAGACTCGAATACTATTCGAGTCCTTGGCAAGCACGGCCCAGAACGCCAAGCAACGAAGATTTTTCCCTGCCCTCATAGATAGGTCCGTAGAAATAGATCCAAAGATAATATACCAATTGGTATTTCTACTAGAATGAGCGACTCTGAGCTATCAGCAATTCCAAGTGACGAAGATGAGGAAATTCAGCATCTACCACCCCCTTTTCAATTTGAGCCTTCGCCGTCGACAGCTCTACCATTACTACAAATACAGCCACAACTCCTAAATACCCAGTCACCCTTGTTCTTAAAGAATGTATTTAGTAGAACATTGTTGAGCACTAGCCCTGCAACGATGAAGATTATCTGTATGCAAAATGGCTGTAATTATAGGCTAAAACCGAAGCTTTTATCATGGAATATCACAAGTAATTTATGGAAGCATGTTGAAAGCATGCATCCTGAGTTATACGAAGCTTTAAAACCAGGAACTCCATTGCTACAGCGTGCTCAGAGTTCGCAGAGTCAGAGTTCGCAGGATTCACAGGGCGCTCAGAATATGAGAACTGCCCGAAGCACAACTACCCTGAGCGCCCAAGCATTCTTTACTCCTCGAGTAGGAGGAAGCTCAGTTCTTGCCTCTTAATATAGAGAGTTATTACTTGCATTTATTATATCTAATAACTTACTAATGAGTCTAGTTAATCGGCCTTCATTTCGTCAGCTCATTTACCAGCTTAGCCCGTCAACGTTAGCTATATCAACAACCTCCTTAATGCGCGATTTACATAAGACATTCTGCAACCACCGTATGAAGCTACAAATTGAACTCTAGGCTCATATAGCAAAGGGCGGACGGTTGTCACTTACAACTGATTCATAGTCTGTAATGAATGGCGTAGAGCACGCTGTAATAACTATTCATTAGATAAATAACGAATAGGTTCACCGGCACTGTGTTCTTGATATCATACATCTAAAAGAGCCCATTCATTCTAGTGAATATCTTGCAGAGCAGCTTCAAGCTATTACGGACGACTTCGGTATTACAAATGGGGTCTTTACTGTTACTAGAGATAACGCATCAAACAATACAGCAATGCTTGCAGAGTTTGAAATAAGGGCATGCACGAGTGCTATTTCTATATAGCAACCATAGAGCTTTATAGTAAAGGAAGGCGACGTTCGATGTATGGCACATATTATAAACCTTACAGTTCAAGCAGCTTTAGCAATGTTAAAAGCTATACCGTTAGAGCAGATAGAATCGTATAGGCTTAAGCAAGGCGCTGCTCATACTTAAAGCTTCGTTCTAAATAGAGAAGAAGTGTCGATAGTTCTTATAAAACTACGCTAGCATATCTATGTCTTCTAGAACCGTCGAGCATGGAAAGATGCATTAAAAGTACAAGCAATTGCTATGGGTATTTAGGTGGTTTTAATGTCCCTCGACATGCCTGTACGATGGAACTTAACATATCATATGCTCGAGAACGCTTTGAAGCTTAAGCAGCCGATTAATGCTATATGTGCTTTACAAACGATAGATTTAAGTATACGTAATATTATCATCACATCAATAGAATAGTAAGTGTTACATGGACTAAAGGCGTTCTTTAAGATATTCGTTAAACTAGTAGAGCAAGTTCAAGCTAATAATTATCTAACGTTGAACATTTGTATTCCACACTATCTACGGCTTTTAAATAAGCTTAAGGCAATGTAAAACGCTCCATTGACAATAGCTGTAATTAGCGCAGCTTGTAAAGCGTCATATAATAAGCTTGATACTTATTATAACCTTGTGACAAATCAAGGCTCGAGCCACTCGTCAATTGCTACTATCTGCGACCTAGGATTTAACTTAAGAATATACGAATATTATATGCTAGACAGTATAGACGCTATGAAACGAGACAGGGTAAGAGTACAGTTTGCAGCTTGTTATAACCGGTATAAAGACCGTGAGAACGATATACAAGTTGCTGCTATTAAAGCTACTATTGCTGCTGAAATAGAGCAGCCGACAGCTCAAAGAGAGCTTGATTCCGACGACGAGATGTATCAGCATCGTGGGCCTTCCATTGAGGAAGTTGAGTGGCGGCGATGGTTTAAAGAGAATGGTGTCGACCGCAATACTAATATCCTCAAATATTAGCAGGCAAAGCAGTACTAATATCCAGTTATATCACGGATTGCGCGGGACTATTTAGCAATTCCAGCCTCATCGGCAGCGTTAGAGCGTATATTTAGTGTCGGCGGTGATATAGTCACGAAGAAGAGGAATAGACTATTACCTTCTACTCTTCGATATCTACTCTGCCTACGGGATTGGGGGGTTGTGGGCGACGAAGAGGATTATAGCGAGTAGATAGTTATTATATTCAATTCTTACTATACTACCTACAATTGAGCCTCATACTATTCGGCGAATACTATTTGACGAGTACTATAACTTCGTATGAGTATTCGCCGAATATTATCAGATCACGAGTATTCGGGCAAACCCCGAATACTATTCGAATACTATTTGGTGAACACTGAGCCAGAATATATTTTGTTTCTTAATCTATTTATTTCCATATTTTATAGTTGCCCCAGTCTGAGAATTTCAGCGATTATTGTTAATATTGGGCTCCGATGGAATTCGTATGACACTTGACTTCCAGCGGCTAATGCGCCTCATGTCTCATCGGTGTCTTAAGATTATTGACCTGCAGGACTACCAACGTCCCTGAAATAGATTAGAACGTCCAATCTAAACTCTCGAACAGAAACTATCAGGCAAAATCTGATCTAATGGAGTAAATTTTGTTTCTAGATAAACTTTTATACCTCCAGAACTGCAAAGCTATGTGCAATTATATTTGGCAGGCAGACTTTCCACCTTTTTGATTCATCATGCTGCGTCTCTCATATATCTCAGTGGCCACCATCCACTCATCTATTTAACAATTCAACACCACGGCGTTCGCAAATAACGCATATGTATCAGCATTCAGTAGCGCTAGCTCCGAGGTTAGTGCCGTCGCCGCAGCATACCCATACCCATTATCCTTGGTAGAAGGGGAGAACACGGCAGGCACATGCGTGAACTCGTGAATAGTCGTCGTCGTCTGGTCCTGGTTGTGGCAGACGTCCGTCAGCGGCGGCAAAGCCGTGTAGTACGCTGGGCAGTTGACGACTCTGCTTGAGGCACCCAGAGTGTACGCCACCACGTTGTCCTTGCAGTATGTCTGCGGGTCAATGCAGTAGTACGACACGACCCCGCTATTCGCGGTAGAGCACTCCTTTGCTATAGCTTTGAAGCGCGCAGACACGGCTGCGCGGACTGTGGCGTCGGTAGTCTTAAAGTACTCATTGAAGCGGGCGTCGTTACCGGCGGCTGCGCCTATCGATGCAAAAGTAGCAAGCTTTACACAGTTCGACAGCGCTGTGTTCATGACTGCCAGGTTGGTGCCAGTGCAGTCTGCCTGCACATTTGCGCGAGGCTCGAGGCCAAGGTCACGCTTGGATTTGCGAGCTGCGGGGCCGTCGACGGGGACGGTGACGAGATTGGAGCGGTAGGGGTGGGCGAGGGTGGGGAAGTCTGTCGTTCCAACGGGGCCGTAGGGGATGGCTCCCTCGGCGACGAAGGCGTAGGTCTTGCTGTCAAAGTCATGGACGCTGGCGGCATCAATGGTGGTCTCGTAGGTGGCGCCGGCGGCGAGGGGGATAAAGGCTTCAGCGCTTAGGTTGGTTCGCAAAATAGTGCGAAAGATGCCGGTAAAGGGAATGCGGCTGGCTTGGGTGTAGTCCGAGCTCACCCTGGTTGCATCGGGAACATTGTAGATGTTCAGCTTCTCGACAGGGGAGGGGTCGAGGAGGGAGCCGTATGCATAGAGGTTTAGGTCCGTGGAGCCAGTATTGGTAACTTTGGCGCTGAAGACGGCGTTGCCGATGGGGATAATGGTCACGTCAAGGGGACTCTCCACGGCATCATCGCGCCGGCTCAGAGGAGAGGCTGCGACGGATGATAGAACGGCAAGCGCCAGCAAGAATTGGGTCAGGGCAAGCATGATGAGGCCTCGAAGAGATCTGCAATGGCTATGGCGGGGTACGTGGGATGCGGTGACAGATGCCCCATACAGTGGGTACCCGAGGCGCTTTATAGAGGTCCATTACAAAGACTTGCAGAAAGACAGTGGCAGCTCGTGTTCATCAAGGCCTCTGGCGAAGGAAGAGTAGCGCCGAGGGCCATATATGCCGGTCCATGGAGCTATGCTGTTGGATGCATCTGGATGAAACAAATATAAAATAGTCCCCGATCCTAGCGCTGCACGCACAGTGCCAGTCGACACCCGCTATACGCCGAGGGAATTAGATGCCACCCCAACACCCCTGGTCCACTGGCGCCAACTGCATATTGCGCTCGCACGGTGGTCCCTGTCCATTTAGGTACGCTATCTTGATCTGGGGGTACAGCGGTCACATGGAATCGAGAGCCACTGAGGCGACCAACTTGCGTCTGGAATATTTTCCCACGGGGGGTTCATATCCGGCTATATCCTATCGGAATAGGAATGGAGATGGGGACTCGTGAAGCGAGATAGCCGGATGAGACGTCGACGACGACCGGTGCGTGGCATCGATCAAAGGATTGTGGCATCACGTGTTTAAATATAGGCTACTGAAGCTCATAATTAGGTTTTTGAAGTTGGTATATCGGTTCTCTGCTATCTTGACGCCTTGAGACGGTGGACAACGGAGGAGCGTTCTACCAGTTCGTCAGCAGTGCGAATTCAAACAGTACAGCTATGGAGTTAATTGCTCACATGGCATTTTTCTAAAGGGCCGCATCAACGGAGCGACGGCGCTTACAGTAGCTTATGTACTGTACTGATCATAGTGAAAGAACCTTGTTAGTGGATGAGTTTAACCAGGACCTTGCAATAAAGCCAGGGCCACGTAGTCCGTTCCGAGCTCGGCAAACAGGCCATGACTGAAGAACGCCACAAATCCCCAATCCGTCTTCTATATTTGCGATGCAACTGTGTCTGTCCATTTCTAGACCATGCATAGGCTTGTATTCACGCCCCAATCAATACTGGTCCGAAGAAACATATTGTCATCAATTATCTCAGATTGCATTCGGCAAGGTCTAGACCACGGCGATAATATGGATTATAGCCCACTATAGAGCCTCCAGGGGTCCCAGGGTTCAGGTTGCAGCGTTGATCGAATGAAACAACGTGGGTAAGCGGGTGTAAAGTAAGCTGTTGGATGTTGGTTTGACCTACTTAAGCAGGTCGCCGAAGATTGCCTGTACGAATTATCAAAATTATCCCAAAACAATATTGTGACCCTGAGGACCACGACTATATCTCCTCATATATACGCTGTTATATAGGTGATGGTTTAGAATGACTTGGTGAATTTAACCGCATCTGCCTCAACCTCGCTCGTCTCCGGTCCAGCAGCAAATTCGCTGCTGCGTTTGCCGCAAACGCATACCAACGGGCTCCAGCGATGGATCAGCAGAAGGCCGAACCCACGCCCTTCACCTCCAAGACCAACTCACAGACAAACGGGAACGGCACCAGCCCGCGCTCAGGTCGAGCCCGCCTAATCCCTGGCAGTATCGCCTTCCTCGTCTTCCTTGGCATCGCAGCCCTGTACATGTCAGCAACCCACCTACTCAACAGGGACTCGGTCTCGGTCTCAATGTCCTCTCGCCATGCCAACGACACACCCCTTTTCCCCATCACCGTATCACTGAGTCCGCTCGCGGCTCCCCAGGATACCTCAACAGATGCCATGCCATCCTTTAGTGTCAACGTCACGTTGACCAACACTGGCGATGTTACTCTTGTCATCCTAAAATGGCACACGCCGTTCGCGCATGGCGCACCGGCGATGGGGATCTTCAAGGTTACGGACCTGTGGTGGGGCACCGCGGTGCCGGATATGGGGCTTATGGTTGACTATTTGTTTCCGGAGGGTGGTATTTTTGTGCACAAACAGGGGAATAAGACGAGTGATAACTTGCTGCTAATTAGGCCAGGAGAGGGCCTGAGTGAGGAGGTGAAGATTGGACGTTCGGCAATGTCGATTAAGAGGGGGAAGAAGTATAGCGTTAAGGCGAAGGGGCGTTGGATGGCTGTTTGGCTGGGTGAAGATGATAATGGTAGGTATTCGATGAGAGACTCGATTAATAATGGTCAGTTTGAGAGCGAGGCGGTTGAAGTGCAGACGTAGGGAATGGGTGGAGACAATATTTGTTACCTCGCCATGTTTGGAGCAGCTGGATATTCACTAGTAGTGCTCGCATATCCTTCCATCCTGGACATTGTCTTATTCGAGTTTCAATATACAATTGCAAAATATATACCAAAACTCGGAGACCAGCCAGTCTCAAGCCGCTCAGTGCATGGCAGCTATCAGATGCTAGATAAGCATTAATATATAACCCCCCCTTCTCACTTGGATTTTTCGACCAGAGCATTGCCTTCCTACCCTCCTGGCTTACCTATGCGGTTGGCCCTCGTTCATCCAGTATCGTTGGCTGGCTGTTTGGTTTGGAACTTTCCCCCGCCTATTGAGTATTGGTGTTCGGTTTGAAACCCCTGTCACTTCTCTGTTGTTGTCATTTGATGCTATTGTCGAATAGAAGTTGCTGTCGGTAATCGATGTTGCTGTCGATATAAAGCCGCTGTTGCCAACCATCACCGTCACCACTGCGCCTTGACCACTGGTCCAGTAATTTGTCAAATGAGAACAAAGCCAAAGGTTGACTTATTCTGTGGCTTGATCGTACCTCCCGCCCGCGTCGGTTCACCGCGTAGCATTTCGGTTGCCTGCTTCCACCCCCGTCCCTCCGGGGATTTTCTCTGGTGTCTTACGAGAATAATGGCAAGAAACGGTAATGAAAGTGTAGAGTATGTTGATCCGAAACTTCCGCCTTTTGTTGAGCCAGGGTAATAAATAAAACAATTCGCAATGTGGCATGATAAAAAACTCCATTGCTATTCGTATTAATTTGCCTAATCGAAGTTGAGATTCATATCCTATCAAATAGACGCCCAACACCGAATTGGAGGCTTGCATGCTCCCACACCCTATCCCACAATACATCCCCCCAATATCTGTCAATATATGTGTATGTCTTCATTCAAACTCAACCTCTTCACAGCTCCTTCCCAAGCGCCGTCCACGTCGCCGTAACCGCCGCAGAAGCCAGCAGCACCGACCTCCCCAAATTCATCGTAGCCCACTGATCCAGCAGCTGCTTCACCGACGCCGCCTTCGTCTCCACCTTCTCCGCCGCTACCTCCGCCACCTCCGCCTCGCTCAACAGCACTTTGTTCGTGCCCATCATCACAATCAGAGTGTACGGGATAATACCCAGCGCCAGCGCCGCGGCAGTCGCATACCCGCGCCAGGCGGGGGAGCCGGCGGCGCGGCTGTCGTATGCGAGATAGAGGAGAGATGTGGCGGCAACGACGGTGCCAGCTGGGACAGTATCGTGGCCAGCAGAGAACATGTGCTTGAATTGCTTGAGGAGGAGAGGGGTGGGGGATTCGAGGAGGCGGGGGACGGTGTATATTGAGAAGGAGGCTGAGGCGCCGGCTAGAATGGCGGTTGTTGTTAAGCCGACGGTCTGGAGGACACGGGCGGAGTTGGGGGTAAGGGCAGCCATTGCTTTTTATCGAGGGAGATTTGGTAGTGAGTGATTGTCGGGTTGTTGTAAGTTCCAGAAGAGAAGGATCGAGGGAAGCGGGGCGGATTGGGGTACCCGGCGCGATTATGATGCGTTCTCGGATAAATGTATACCAGCTTCCGTTGCCGAAGTATGGCACGTGACATGTACGAGGTATAGGCGTGTATTAACGAAACTATATCATCTGCTTCTTTTCTCATATTACATTCATTTTCTTTGGTAGTTACAATATGTATATGTATACAACAAATAAACGGAAAGAAAACGATACGCATGCAATGCATTACTCACCTGAGAAAAATCTGATATATCGATATCTATGATACATATACTTATCAATGTTCCACTACGGAAGCACCCTTCCTCCGCCCCGTTACAATTTCCGTTCCTAACTCCCGAGCTCAAGACATACATCACTTGGCATTCCAGCCTCCTCAACATACCCCACACTGTCCCGTCCCTCATTGCCCCGGATCAACCGCGGGCCCTATGATCATCTATCAAATGTATCAGTGGGGCAGCCCTGGCTGAGACTGATGGTGGCCGAGGGGGGCCGATTGATAGATCACATTGGGTGGTCATGATATCATGGAACTGCCGAAAGAGAAGTCCATTTACTTCATATTAGCCCCTCGTCCCCGCATCTTTCTACTTACCCCATCTTATGCATCTACCATAAGTTTCCTTATTTAGAGCACCTCTTTTCTCCTTATATTGCTTCTCCCCCCCACTTGATCACCCTCGTCCACTCCAGCGTCTACAGCGCCTTACCAACAACACACCGCTACTATGTCTTCCTCCGACCAAATCCACACAGTCCCTGCCTACATCAACGGCGCTGAGCTCCCTCTCTCCTCAACCTTTGACGTCAACTCCCCCTCCACAAACACACTCATCCACCGCTCCGCCTCCGCCACCGTCGCTGACGCTCTCTCCGCCGTCACAGCCGCCCAGGCCGCCTTCCCCGCATGGCGCGACCTTCCCCCCGCCGCAAAACGCGACATCTTCCTCAAGACAGCCGAGATATTCAAGAGCCGAGCAGAAGAGCTCACAAAATACATGGTTGATGAGACGGGCGCTGATGCTGGTTGGGCGGGCTTCAACATCCACCTCACTACGGATTTGCTTATTGATGTGGCGGGCCGCATCTCAAGCGTGAAGGGCGATTTCCCTACCACCTCCGACCCAGGAACGAGCGCAATCATATATAAAGAGCCATTTGGCGTTATTCTCGGCATTGCCCCATGGTAATTACTCTCGTCCCATCAATCCCTTCCTCCACCTTCGCCAAACTCCCTCCCTCCCGCTCAGCCACTAACCCCGCCCCAGGAATGCCCCTTACATCCTCGGCGTCCGCGCCATCGCCAACGCCCTCGCCGTCGGCAACACTGCCATCCTCAAAGCCCCCGAGATCTCTCCCCGCTGCACCTGGGCCATCGTCTCGTGCTTCCACGCTGCCGGTCTCCCCGCCGGCGTCCTCAACTCCCTCGCCCACGACACCGCCTCCGCGCCTGCAGTCACACAAGCACTCATCACCGACCCGCGTATTCGCAAGATCAACTTCACAGGCTCCACGGCCGTGGGTCGCATCATTGCCGAGCAGGCTGGGCGCGCGCTCAAGCCTGTGCTCTTGGAGCTGGGTGGCAAGGCGCCGGCGATCGTGTGGAGTGACGCAGATCTAGACTTGGCAGCTACTGAGTGCGCGAAGGGCGCGTTTATGCACACCGGGCAGATCTGTATGAGCACCGAGAAGATACTTGTGCACCGTAGCGTGGCGAAGGTGTTCGGGGAGAGGTTGAAGGTGAAGGTGGGAGAGATGTTTGGGGTTGGATGTTTGGTGAATCGGATGGGGGTGGAGAAGAATGTAAGGCTTGTGAAGGATGCCGTTGGGAAGGGAGCAGCTGTCATGGTTGGTGCTCTGGGTGGAGAGGATGGAGCGAAGATGTCGCCAATAGTTCTTGGAGGCGTGACGGAGGAGATGGATGTGTACAAGACGGAGTCGTTTGGGCCGACTGTCAGTGTGATTGAGGTCGACACGGAGGAGGAGGCGCTGCGTATTGCGAATGATACTGAGTATGGGCTGTCGGCATCGGTGTTCACGGAAGACCTGCGTACGGGGCTGAGGTTCGCGAGGGGAATCGAGAGCGGTGCGGTGCATATAAATGGGATGACGGTGCATGATGAGTCGGCGCTGCCGCATGGAGGCTGGAAGAGCTCTGGGTATGGAAGGTTTGGGAGCGGGGGGATGGAGGAGTGGGTGCAGACGAAGACGGTGACATTTAAGAACTAGGATATAAGTGCCATTTAATTTCCACATGCTGTGTATATTCTCCCGTTAAAATATGGCAGACGAGCTAAGGTACCGGATATGGCACCTTATAGGGAATGGTACATTTGGAACTACACTTGGACAAAGTGAAAGGCAAGTTCCATATCAATGACTTGAAACTACCTGTGGAACAAGAACAACCCACAAGAAAACGCTCTCCAGCTAGCATTTTGCCACTGTACCTACTACTCTCAACTCCTCACTGCCGCCCATCTCCCAACCGCTAGCCTTCTCGCAGCCACGCAACCTCTCACTTCAAGTTCTAACACACCAACTTCTCAAGAACGATTCACTATGGCATGTCCCCATCAGCCTTTTGCCCGGAGAGCATTATCAGGACCACAAATAGGGTTTTCCCCATTCCCATGGTGTCTGTGACGTCCGTGGAAGCTCTTTGCGATCCTCGTGGTTGCTATAAATAATGACGGGCTTGGGTAAGCACCCGCAGTCAGTGACCTTCCTATAGTACCACTGTCTCCAAGCAAGTTAGAAGTGCTGCTCTCTCGAGAATTCCACGAAGTGCATCTACCTCCGTGCCACGGTTCTACTTCGACGATTTCCGTTATGAGAGGTGTCTTCTCTGAGCTGGAGATATGTATCTATGAGCTTCGTTTCTTTGGTTTCTATCGTCTTACCCCTTTTCATCAATACAGCGTTGCCGTGGCCTGCACCATGAGTTCAATCATGTTTCCCCAACCTTCATTCAGTCATTTCCTACCATCCGCTCTCAAATATATATATCCATGGAACTGTTCAGTCTTCGCATCGAACTACAAGTCAGACTGACACTGGGTTCACATCGTGGCGGTTGTCCGTTGCGGTCCTTGTATTTTTTTGTGCACGCAAATGGGCTATGAGTAGGTTGTGTGATGCGTTGCATTACCAGGAACAGCCTCGGTGCTGTCGCGGTGTTGCTGTTGTTGTTGGTTTCTGCTGTCGTTACTGCTGCTGTCACCGTTGGGCTTGTGCTGTCGGACTGCTGCTGTTACTGACCCCAGCATGGTGTCACACAAGGTTCCTACAGATGATGATATCGGGCAAAGTGATAGTTGTGTTTGTGTTTTCGAGGATACCGCAGAACCCTTGTCTTACCCATCTCCATGCTATCAATGATTCTGATGAGCGGACGAGACGGTGTCCATGAGTAGTTTTAGTACCATTGCCAAAATTTATTATTGGATAAGAATAACCGTCTATTTCTTCTTAGTAGGTTCAAAGTTCGCTCTGTCCGGAAATTCAGTGAAATTCCGAATATATTCGTTTGGGACTGGGATATGGATCTATATTCCCAATAATTGTAACGTTCCCCTCACTGTAAAATCCCAGTTGGGTGAGATTAGGACCTATATCCTTTGTAGCCAGATTGATCCTCTTGTTGAGGCCTCAATGCGCTTACGTTTGTAAACCCCGGCCCCGAAATAGGTTAATTTAGGATGGCTTGCGTGTTCAATATTATAGCGGTGCCTCAACTGGTAGATGTGGGGAAGCCACTTGTCGAGGGAGCCACTTCATCACAGCTGGTATTGAGGACAGGATTTCGATATGTCTTCTCCAAGAGAGAAAGATATTCCCCTTTACCTCCGCATTATGATCCGCGGTTTAGGAACCAACTCTGGGTGTTTCTGGGGCCGAAGGAGGGGCATCTGGGGTGATATGTGGAGATAGAGTCTGCGGGATGCACTATACGTAAAAGGAGGTCGGCAAGAGACGGCTTTACGGACGATCATTGGCTGTCAAGGGTAATTGTGCTCCAACATCCTCCTGTAACACGTGCCTAGGCTCAGAGCTGACGGTCACAGCTTGTTATTTCTTTGTTTTTTTGTTCCATCGGTGTCTCATGGTGGATCGTGAAGAGCGGAATCCAGCGAGGGAGTGGGAAGGTGGTACAGAAGGATCATCATCGCTCACCTTGGATCCTTTCCACGCAGCCTGACTTTCAAAATTGACAGGATCTCTTGACAGTGTTTGGTTCCCCATACAACAGATCCTTCGGACAGATCCTTCAGCGTTTCCCCAGGTCCACAATGGAGTTTCTCCAGGAAACGGCAGGCCCGTTGTGGACATCTGGGGATAATTGACGGCTTTCGTCGGGCTCTCCAGAGACTCGCATCATCTTTATGCACATAGTAGATCGTACCGGCGCTAAGGAGCGGAAAGGGTTGCCGGCACTTGCTTCTAGAAGCTTGATTAATTATTGTATGCGGTAATGGCTCGGCGTTGGGCGCGCTATAGGGTCTAGCGTTTGATGGTTAAGTGGCGATTATTTCAGAGTTTTGAGGAGTAGCCAGTGGCATTGTTTCGTTCCAGGATTTCCCGCCGTAGAGATTGAATTTCGGGTAGAAGTCTGGTTTCAGGACTTTGGTGGCCAATGATCGGAAGCAGAGAGATCTGGTTGGGGATTTTCATCGATGGTACTTCGGCAACGGCGATTCCCCATGAGCGTAGGGTGGCTAGTGGAGATTAGCGAGGTACACGCGATGCACCACCGTTTTTTTTCACTTCTCACCCTGAAATGAGAACTTTCTCGTGTCCCTATTATGTCCACTTTGGGGCGGCATAACCCTTACCCTTAGATTTATGCCGTACTACACGTCTTTGTACTACAGGCACAATAAGGTGCTGTAATATACTTTCACCGGTGATGTATCTGTGTTTCGCGCAAAATTCAGGATCGTCGCCACCGCCGGACATACCTAGTGTCACTGTATTACTACGTTGCTCCCCGAGACTTGTGGCCACCGCCGACGAAAAAGTCAGACATAACCAATGAGGCTCCAATATCTTGTTGAATCCTGCCGCCCTCCATTAGTTCCGTGGCTCCGAGGCACATATCGCTCTCTCCGCAGATAACACTACAGGTAGGTGGGTGATATCTCATACTGTCGCTAAATCGGGTGCCGCGCTATCCTGGGTTCTCCATAATATGGTTGCTCCAGTATATAGCCCCAAGTCTCCCCACACTTCCTGTCGATTTCTCAAGCATTTTCTTTTGCTGTCTCTCTTTAAGATAGCTTTCGTTGAAGCCAGCCGTCATGCCTGCGGATATCGATTACCAAGCTGGAGCGCTGGCTGCCGAGCCGAACGCCTCGCAGCCGATTGATGAGAAGCCACCAGTCGGACACGAAGGTGTGGATAGAGCTGAAGGCGAAGTGGAAGTGTATGAGGGCCTTCCCACGCAAGATGAGCTTGAGGGAGAGGACGCTCTGAGGAGAGTGTCCGCCCCTATCCCCTGGACCGTCTACACCGTTGCATTTGTGGAATTGTGTGAACGCTTCAGTTATTACGGAACACAGGTTGTCTGTATGTATTCCCGCTCCTTTCCGCTGGCCTATTCCCATGCTTACAACCCGCAGTCTCCAACTTCATCAACCGCCCACTTCCCAGCGGAAGCCTCCCCGGCTCCAACCCCAAGACAGGGGCCGGCGGCCCCTCTGACCAAGGAATTTCTGGAGCTTTAGGAAAAGGAACTGCAACAGCTAATGGAATCAATACGTTCAACGCACTATGGATTTATACGACACCGTTGCTCGGTGCCTATATGGCTGACGCGCACTGGGGTCGTTACAAGGCCATTTGTGTCTCCATCGGCATTGCTATCATCGGACACATCGTCCTAGTCGTCTCAGCTGTCCCAACCGTCATTACCAACACAAATGCGGCTATGGGAACCTTCATGACTGGTATCATCATCATGGGCCTCGGCACCGGTGGATTCAAACCCAACATCTCTACCCTCATCGTGGAGCAAATCCCGGTGACGACTCTCATCGTTAAGACTCTTCCTTCTGGTGAACGCGTCATTGTCGATCCTACTATTACCCAGTCACGGATTTACCATTACTTCTACCTCTTCATCAATATCGGCTCTCTCATCGGCCAGATCTCCATGGTCTATGCCGAGAAGTATGTTGGCTTCTGGCTTGCGTTCCTCCTCCCAACTCTCATTTTCCTCCTCACCCCCGGAGTTATGTATTGGGGTCGCAAACGCTACAGCCAAGCCGCACCCGAGGGCTCCATCGTCTCCAAAGCCTTCAAGATTCTTATGTTCGCTCAAAAAGGTCGCTGGAGCATCAACCCCGTCAGAACATGGAAGCTCATGCACGATGGGACTTTCTGGGCGTCCGTCAAGCCATCTGCTATCGCCCCTGAGAACCGCCCCTCCTGGATGACCTTCGATGACCAATGGGTGGACGAAGTGCGTCGTGGATTTGCTGCCTGCGCCGTCTTCGCCTGGTACCCCCTATACTGGATTACTTACAACCAAATCATCAACAACCTGACCACTCAAGCGGGTACGATGCAGCTGCACGGCCTCCCGTCCGATATTCTCACCAACCTTGACCCCCTCGCCCTCATCATCCTCATTCCCCTCTGCGACCGTCTCCTCTACCCCTTCCTCCGCAAAGCCGGCATCCGCTTCACGCCCATCAAGAAGATCACAGCTGGGTTCTTCTTTGGCACCGCTGCCATGATTTGGTCTGCCGTCCTCCAACACTACATCTACAAGCGTTCCCCCTGCGGTTACAACGCCAACACCTGTTACACCGACAGCGGTGCTCCACTTCCAGCCACCATCAACGTCTGGGCTCAGACCGGTGCCTACATCCTCATCGCCATTTCCGAGATCCTGGCTTCCATCACATCGCTCGAGTATGCCTTCAGCAAGGCACCCCGCAACATGCGTTCGCTCGTGCAGGCCGTGGCACTGTTCACCAACGCTATCTCGGCTGCTATTTGTGAGGCTTTGAATCCTCTCAGCGCGGACCCGTTGCTGGTTTGGAACTATGGTGTTATGGCTGTGCTCAGTTTCTTTGGGGGGATCATGTTCTGGTGGCAGTTCAGGAGCTTGGATGCTCAGGAGGATGAGCTGAATATGTTGCCTGAGGGACATGCTGTGGCGACGATGAAGGATATGGAGGGTTATCATGATGAGCCTTCGAGGCCACCGACGCCGAGAGAGATTGTGGAGAAGAATTAGATGGGAGAATGAAGTTTAGAGTATGAGCTCGTTTGAGCTGTATATATGATATCCATTGGATATAGAGTTGTATATATTTATGATATAGTAGAGTGGGGTAGATGATGGCGTTCAGGCTTCATGGGGTTTATTTGCAGGCGTCATTTCTGGGTGGAGTAATAATTTCAATACATTTATGAAAATAGAACATTCTGACTTGCTATGACTTCTCCTCTCGCTGGTATTGTCGGCAATCTAATGCTGCTGCCACCTCATCCTCCCACCTCATCCTCCCACCTCAAGCCTTCTCACCACCGCTTGTTCATGCCACCGACCATGTAACAGGCCCCCAAGGCAAGGTCTCGCATGGATATCCTCGGAGTGCCTCACGTCACCTTCAAATCGCCGCACGCCGCCAACGACTTCTTTCACACCTATAGCTGCCTATTTGGCCTGCTATTTTTGCCATGTTCATGCCCTCCGCCTCAAAGTTTCTGCCGTTATATGCTCGCGACGTTATGTTCTCAAGTTACTATTCGGTGTTCTTCGACGTTCCATATTCCTATTTCCCAATCGGTCATCACCACGTTCTACATCATTACTGGAGATCTCCCTCGAGATCTTTGGTGAGAGTGATCTCACATGGGTAACAGCTTTGAAGCTATCGCAAGTACAAATCTGCTGGCTGGTTTTATGATCCTGAAGGGATGTCTATTGCGTACAGATGAAATGCCCTTTCCCAGCCTGGTCGGCTGCTTTTGGTCATGACGCCCCAAGGCCAGTTGCACTCTTTCTATCTCCCTCTCCCCTTCCTTCTTAACCCTCTAGATGTTATGTCCCAGGTCCATTCTACTTCTACAAAGGCTATCCTCAGGGTTTTTCTTCTTAGTAGCCTCTGCTCGTCCATCCCAGTGTCTCAATTCTTGTATCTTCCCCCATCTGGTTCAGACGACATGGGGATAATATCTGTACCACTTAATGGCCGAGTTCCACCGAAGGATCAGAAGGGAGTACTAGAGAAATTCAAGAGGTCCAAACCTAGCATGGTTTCTACAGTCTAGCGAAAATATCGATGGTACCGACAGGACGTGATCCTAACGCCGGAAACAGCACTGTGGCATTACCAAGCAGTGACAGCAGCAACGCGGTGGGAAGAATTGAAGTCTCTTTAGACTGTATGTAGTGACAGCAGTAACGACGCGGTGACAAAAATTGGATGTCTCTTTAGGCTGAACGGACAGCAGCAACGCTGTGACAAAAATTGAATGTCTAATCAGACTTCTGTTTCGACAGTACCATCTTGTCGACAGTTGCGTTTGTTGCAACCAGACCAAATACCTTCAGGGGAAATATCTGTCCATCTCGGTGAATACGGCCATATAACTCGTTTCAGGGGCCAAATATGGCGACGCATTTATACTGCCTCACTCCCAAGCAAAGTCGTGAAACTTTGAAACGATCCCTTAAAATCACCATAAGTTTCTCCACCAGCACATTAGTTGCGTACTTATACTCACGTAGACTAGACACTGCAGGCAAGGATATATGGTGCGATAAACGTGCCCATGCAGACCTGCTTCTCTATTATGCTAGCTAGAGGATCCCAAACGCCAGGAATAGTACATTACAAGAGGTGAACCCCTATTTCCACCTCACAGATCCTCATCCGTCTCCATCTTCTCCCCATTCGCCGTCTTCTTCTCCTTAGTCGGCCCACTCGCCTCCTTATCAATCATCTGCCTGCTCACCGACACGATGTTGTCCTCAATGAGCTGCTGTCCAACATCCTCGAGATGCTTCTTCGGGTCCTGCTTGCCAACGTATCTTGTCTTCAGCTGGTCCTTTGTCAACTCCGTCTCCTCCTTGACCCTCTTCTCGTAACCTTCCGACAGCCCCACGAGACGCTGTAAGCGGTCATTGTTCTTCTTGCCCTCAACGCGGAAATCGTCCATCTGCAATCCCTCCGTCCAGACGTGCTTGTGCAGGTTCATCAGCATGTTCTCCTCCAGCGCCGTCTTGCGGTAGGCGATCGCGATGCTGTAGTAATGCCTGTTCAGGCCGTGGATGAGGGCTTGGATCGAGGGCTTGTTGAGGTGACCCAAGTTGGATGTCGATTGACGGGGCTCCTGGCCGTGGATCAGGGATTGTGGGTTGATGAGGCGGAAGGCGTCGATGACGACCTTGCCCTTGACGGATTGGATGGGGTCGACGACAACGGCGACGGCGCGGGGGTTGAGCTGCTCGAAGGATTGTTGTGTGTTGACATCGACGGACGAAAGCCAGCAGCCAAAACCGGGATGGGAATGGTACCAGCCTACTACGGTTTCCGGTCTAGATATTCAAGTCAGTTGATTGTTGTGACAGGTCGGAATGGGATGGACGAACCGCCCGGTTTGCCTCAGCATATCCATCATCTTTGTCTGGAATACTGGATCGACGGCCTCGACACTGACTCCAGTTCCGCTTTGGGGCATCGCAAACACATCCACCACGCGAACAGTGAAGTCATCGACGAACTCTCCCAGCATCAAGCCCATGACCTCCATGGGGACACCTGCGCGACCATGCCGTAACATCTTCAGAAGGGCGAGCGAGGAAATGTAGACGGTCTCGGAGTTATCAATCAAGCTCGTGTTGTCCTAGCCAGTATCCATTAGTGCGTGTTCCATATGTGACGGCCGTCGTTGATGTATTCGTAGCAACATCTCTGTGTGTTGAATGTCTCGTGTGGTGCAGAACTTACAGAGCCAGGTGCTGCTCCTCCTCCCATCCCGCCGGCTGTCGCCAGCATGCGGTTTAACCTGCTGTCCATATCTCCGGTATATGTCGGGAGGCGTCGGATTGAGGGGTATGATGTGAGATTTGTTGAGTTTCGTTGGTGGTGAGGGTAAGGTGGTGGTATGGAAAGTTATTGAAGCTGTGGTCGCAGAATAGAGCTACAAGGCAGCTTGGGACGCGAAGGCTAGGCTGTTGGGTTGTTCGCTGTGTAATCCACCGCCATGTCACGTGCAGTAGCGCAAGGCTGAGGATCTGTTGTGGTCAGTTCCTTGGCCACCCATGCCTGGCGCCATAACTATATTCACCAAGGGCTGGGAACTGACATATATTCACTTATTCACAGCTTTGGGTGACTTCATTATTCACATGGATAAATACACCTTGTGAAGGATTATTATTTTTATTCAGGCCATCTTATATCCTCCTTATATTCTTAAATTCACCTGAAAGAGGACCAATACAGTGAACGAGGCTGTTGGTGTCAAAAGGTCGACCGAACCAAAACTAAAGCGGGCCCGGACCATCAGCAGTCCAGTACTCCACAAGCCACCGCGAATGCCGCCCCATCCTCTTTCATCTTTACAAACCCAAGCTTCGTTTCTACTGTTCTACCGTTCTACCGTTCTCCGAACAAACGTCCAAATTGTACCTCCCACCTCAATTCTTGATCATTCTCGAATTTGAGGATCAAAGACTTCTTTCACTCGGACTACTTAAACTACTGGACGCAAGATAACGGGACCATGGTGGCGGGCTTCGCTCCAATCGACCCTCCCTCCACCAATGGAGGGGGTTCGAAGAAGAAGGTCGCGTACTTCTACGATTCTGATGTCGGAAACTATGCATATGTCGCAGGCCATCCCATGAAGCCTCATCGCATAAGGTTGGCCCACAGTCTGATTATGAACTATGGGACGTACAAGAAGATGGAGATATATGTAAGTCGCCCACACCTGGTCATCCTTGGACCATGTCGCCCTTTCACCTCCCCCAGCATCTGCCATCCCTTTCAAACGCGCCTGTCTGATCTACATTTGCTAACGCGCGCATTCAGCGAGCGAAACCAGCTACAAAGCATGAAATGACCCAATTTCATACGGACGAGTATGTCGACTTTCTCCAGAAGGTTACGCCTGACAATATGGACGCCTTCATGAAAGAGCAAGGCAAGTTCAACGTCGGCGACGATTGCCCTGTCTTCGATGGCCTCTTTGAGTTCTGTGGTATCTCCGCTGGTGGCAGCATGGAGGGCGCCGCGCGCCTCAACCGAGGCAAATGCGACATCGCAGTCAACTGGGCTGGTGGACTCCATCACGCCAAGAAGAGCGAGGCCAGTGGTTTCTGCTACATCAATGGTGAGATTGTCGCATGATCCCCCTGTGTTCATTTCTGACCCGTGTAGATATCGTCCTCGGAATCATCGAGCTTCTGCGCTTCAAGTCGCGAGTTCTCTACATCGACATCGATGTCCACCACGGCGACGGTGTCGAAGAAGCATTTTACACTACCGATCGCGTTATGACATGCTCTTTCCACAAGTACGGAGAGTACTTCCCTGGAACTGGAGAGCTCCGCGACATCGGTGTCGGCCAGGGCAAGAACTACGCTGTGAACTTCCCTCTCCGCGACGGAATTGACGACGCTTCATACAAGTCGATCTTTGAGCCAGTTATATCCGCGGTCATGCAGTACTACAGGCCCGAAGCCGTTGTTTTACAATGTGGTGGAGATTCGTTATCGGGCGACCGTCTCGGATGCTTCAATCTGAGCATGAGGGGTCACGCCAATTGCGTCAAGTTCGTCAAGAGCTTTGGCCTTCCTACCCTGGTCCTTGGTGGAGGTGGTTATACCATGAGGAACGTCGCACGTACCTGGGCCTACGAGACTGGATTACTTGTCGGCGAAGAGATGAACGCAGTGTTGCCTTTCAACGAGTATTACGAGTATTACGGCCCTGACTACGAGCTGGATGTCCGTTCGTCGAATATGGAGAACGCAAACTCGAACGACTACCTTGAGAAGATCAAAATCCAAGTCATCGAAAACTTGAAGAAGACTACGTTCGCGCCATCGGTCCAGATGCAAGACGTCCCCAGAGAACCTATGGGAGGCATGACTGAAGAGGAAGAGGCCGAGCTCGACGACCTGGATGAGGACGAAAACAAGGATGTCCGTAACACCGAGCGCCGATGGGATAAAGCTATCACCAGGGACGATGAGTTGGATGAGAGCGATGATGAAGAATCAGCACACGCTAATGGTGTCCGCCCACAAAACGGAGTGCCGAAACGCATGAATATCATGGACTACCAGAACGCAAATGCCGTGGATTCCGAGGCAGCAAGTGGGATCCAGACTCCAGACGTCGCACCAGAAGTCGATGAAGCAACAGCAGTTGCGACAGAAGCCAATGCGGAGGTCAATGAAGAAGTCATGCGAAGCAAATCTTTAAACCCGGCGCTTTCAGCTCTCGCCGAAGCTGGCGCGTCAAGCTCAAACATAGCATCACGACCTGAATCACCTGCCCAGGTAGACGCGATGGGTGATGTGGACATGGACAAGCCAGTCGTTGAATCAAAGGCACCTGATGAGCCAATACCAGAAGCTGCTGCCGCTGAAGTAGAGGCTGCAACAGTTGCAACCCCTCCGATATCACCCGTTTCTGCTGCCGCCGCGGTAGAGGCCCCTACACCATCTGAGCCTGAATCAGAAACTAAGCCTACGCCAACTGCAATGGACGATGTGCGGTCTGCAGCGGCAGAAGAACGCGATGCTGAGGATGTCAAGGACGAAGTTGCAGCAGAAGTGGCAGATAAGATGGACGAGTCATAAGTCATTCAGCCTGTGCTTTCACACATCTTGAAGGCATGAACACAATCTTGAATAGCTTCACTGGACTGGCGCGGACATTTTAGCATTATACACTCCATGGGCGGGTTCGTGCGTTTTCGGCGCTCATGTATTTCACGGTATATCTGAAAAGGGTGCTTCAGGCGTATGGTAATGAAAGGGGTAGAGGGGGCCTCCTTGGCCGTTTTTGATGGAATCAGGAGTTTCGAGTTCAAATGATTTATCTCGATGCCGTTCTTAGCTGGTACTTGCTAGAATAGATACCAATGGTAATATTCACATACATAGGCTCATCGAATGAAATTGCACGATCTAACTAGCTGTCAGGCGGATTTGATCTTTGTTGTCATTTTGTATCCTGCAAATTCACGATGCATGCCTCAGGCCACAACAAACTATTTGCATCCGCATCAAATGTACCCAATTCGATCTTCACAGCCAGTACAACAACAGCTCTTCTCATGAGTGATAATTTAGCTACTATTTGCAATAATTGAAAAGTTATCTTGAATAATACAGAGTCGTAATACACGTTTGGCAGCACTTTACAGAGCATTGTCCAAGGAATTTGAAAATTGTGGTGGTGGTCCCCCGTAAGCGAGAGATTAGGGTTTTCTAATCCGCGCTCCAATCCGCACCTCGAAAGAACTTCACCACGACGACCAAGCAGCACATCACGACCCTTTGAACTCACCACCAGTCTCAAAGAACCTCCGACAAAATGGCCAAGATCTCGTATGTGTGCCCTCTCACTCCCGCCAACACGGCGTGTACGAAGTGTCCCCGATTTGCGCCGGATCCGGGGATGCGCGATGATTTGTGTGGTGGATGGAGTTGGCTGACCGTTTTTGCAGTCGTGGTGCCCCAGGTGGCAAGCTGAAGATGACCCTCGGTCTCCCAGTGTACGTCCCCCCTCGAAGACTCCCCGCGACGGACCCAGAATCGAACTGCGATACCGAGACGGAATGGATGGTTGGTGGTGAAGGAAGAAACAGAGGTACTAACGCAAATATAGCGGCGCCGTCATGAACTGCTGCGACAACTCGGGTGCTCGTAACCTGTACATCATCTCCGTCAAGGGTATCGGAGCACGTCTTAACCGTCTCCCCGCTGGAGGTGTCGGTGACATGGTCATGGCGACCGTCAAGAAGGGAAAGCCTGAGCTGAGGAAGAAGGTCATGCCCGCGGTCATTGTCCGCCAGTCGAAGCCATGGAAGCGCACAGATGGTGTCTTCCTCTACTTCGAGGATAACGCCGGTGTTGTGAGTACAGCCCTGTCCTGGTGCTGGTTTTCTTGGTCGTGTGGATGAGGTTGGGGTGTTGGACTCGATCGATGTTTGTTGGATGGGGGGTTTTTGTGCCAGGATACAAGGCTTTGCAAAGGCAGAAGACTAACAATTTATTCACAGATCGTCAACCCCAAGGGTGAGATGAAGGGATCAGCCATCACAGGACCAGTCGGAAAGGAGGCAGCTGAGTTGTGGCCAGTACGTCGAACCTCTGTTCCTACCTTGAATTCTCTGCTAATATTTTCCAGCGTATTGCCAGCAACTCTGGTGTCGTCATGTAAAGTGTCTTTCTTTCGGGGTTCCTGGCTGGAGTTGCTTTCTTGCATGAGTCACATAGCGTCTACAAATCAATGGGCACAATTTGACATCACGCATGCTTTTGAGATATTACTTGATTCGGGACTGTTGTTATGATATGTGGAGATTTGGCAGGAACTGAAGTTCCCAAGTTGCATGCTTACTTACACTTCCACTTCGGTTTAAACCCATTCCGTACACCAACCAGGCGACGGCCATATATGGAGAGTCGATTTACCAACAAGCACCCGATTGCACCTCGAAAACCCAATTATCTCACAGCAACATGTAAATTTCGCCATAGCAAGACTGGATACTTTTATTTTTAATCTCCATGCCAGAGACATATTTCTATACATCTACAGTATCCCTCATTTTCCATTCACCAACCCCACGCCCTTTCCCCTTCGTTTTTCCTCAAAACCTATCCTCCTCCTTAAACCAACGCAATGCACTCAATCTCAACCGGGACATCCTTTGGCAGCTCCTTAACCGCAACACAGCTCCTGGCCGGCTTGTGGGCGAAGAACTTCTCGTAGGTGCGGTTCATCTCAGCGAAGTTGTCCATGGTGGTGATGAACACGTTGACCTTGACGACCTTCTCGAGGGAGGATCCAGCGGCCTCGAGGACGTTAGACAGGTTGGTGATGCACTGCTCGGTCATCTGGGCGATGGTGTAGGCGGGCTGGGTGAAGATCTCGCCGGAGGGGGTGCATGGGATTTGACCGGAGCAGTAGATGGTGGTGCCGGTCTTGATGGCTTGGGAGTAAGGGCCCGCAGCTGGAAGGAGGTCAGTACGGTGTTCTGAGCTCATATGGAGGCAGTTGGACGAGGGACTTGGGGAAAATTGGAGGGGATTGAGGGGTTGTGGGTGGGCTGAGGTTGAGGTTATGTAATGAGAGATAAGGGTCTGAGCTTACGGAAGGCGGCCTTATCGGTGTAGATGATCTCCTGTCCAGACATTTTGAAAGATGTGATTGTAAAGTACGAGTTTATTTGGGTATTATGGTTTAAAAATTGGTTGTTGAATGCAAGTTGTGCTGTTCTTGTATGGAGCTCTTAAATGGCGGGGTGGAGGGGAACCGATGGCGGAGTCCCATGTCCGTAAAGAGCTCCGTAGGTAAGCGATAAGAATCTGTGCCCTATATTTCAGGTCCTCAATTTATCAGACCGGAACATGCCAGTCCTCGGCAGCGCTAGTCTCATAGCGCGCGTCGGCTCGCTTAATGATATGAGCAACAACTGCTCTTTCAACGACATGCCATGAATGGCAACCCCTGGAAAGTCGACGCGCAACGCTCTGGGTTATAAAACGATCAGATATTCGTGTTCAGGGGCTAGATCCATTACGGGATACCCGGTCGGACCTATAAAATATTTCAGGGCCGGCCCGATATTCGGGACTTGAGGTTTTGATGCTGCCAAGCGTCCATTTCCAGTACACACTGTCCCAAGCTGGTGAGTATGAGTTTCTTACGTTTACTGTCAAAATCTTTCATTTCTGTCATTTGCAAGATATTTCCATTCATTATAGGACTCTTAGGGGTATACAAAACAATCCAGGCGCCAAAATATTCAAGTCCTGCTACCCATCCCCGCGAGAAGTCCAGCTCGTCGTCGGAATCGCCCAATCCCGTGATCAGTGCAAGTGCAGCAAACAAGAAAAACCACAAGTGTGCAAAATTGACCTGCGCAACCTCCAAGAAACGCCTTAAGAACCATTACTGCATTTCGTCACATCATAATCATTACAAAAATCCACTCTCTCAATGTCTGCTATGCGTCTTCTGCTTGACAGACACAATATGAGACTTGGCAGCAGCCACTGTCAAAGTCAGCAGGCAGTAACGCAAGCAAGAGGAAACGTCATACTTTGGACTTCCATCTTACTCCCCACAATCTCTCTGCAGCAGTAGCAGAACTCCTCGCACTCAACATCCGAAGAGTCCGGCGTCGGCAGACGATGGAACCGCGGGGTCGGCGGCGGCGCATGGGCCCTCGGTGGCTCAGGCGCCATTGGCATTGACTGCCGCACGCGAGACTTGGACGAGGAAGATTTCTCACCCGAGCGCTTGCTGCTGCGGCGACGACGAGGCTTTTTCTCGTTGTCAATGACGTCGGGTGTCCAGTGGACACTTTTCTTGCCCGACGACGACGAGGTGGAGGAGTATGCTTTCTCACCGCGTCTGTCGACGCCAATGGGCTGGTAGGTAGACACGGGTGGTTGTGTCTCGAGCCAGCCGGCGACCTTGTAGGCCAGCTCTGGCGTAAGCGAGGGTGAGGAGCGGTGGTGGGCTCTGGGGGTGCCGACGGCCGTCTTGGACGACTGTGAGCTGGATGAAGTGCTCATATTGGATGGAGACATTTTAAAAATGATGGCTCTTTGATGTTAAGTCGTTGTGGTGGACGGTGGTTGATGAAATGATGAGAGGCAATGGTATACTACGAGCGGGGTTGGGTGCCTGGGTGACCAGATCGAGGGTACCAAGTGTGCAGAGGAGGGTACCGAAGGTTATCACTTCCGAAAGACGTGCCACGGTCCGAAAATTGTCCCGTAAACTTGGAAAAAGTTTATTGATACAGTATGGATAGATATAGATGGAGTGTATGATAATAGAGGAAGGAAGGAGGAAGTTGGAGAAGGGGGGGGGAGAACAGGTCTTATGAGGAAGAGAAGTCTGATATTCGGGCGAAGCGAGTGTTACTGACCAATAGGAACCCATCGTTCCAATTATCAGAACAGCCACCATGCTCCTCCCCCCGACATATCTGACTCCTAAGCGATTCCTGCAGCCCTGGCTACCACCCCATTTTCGTGTCGGTTTTCAGCATCGATTTGGGAGCCTTGCTATACTCGAAGTTTATCACGACCAAAAGTATGAGATATCTCGAGGTTATGAGTGGTCCGTGCATGGGACAGGGTGCAAGCCGCTTGTCACCTGCAAGGCGTAAAATGCTGTAGTGGTGCATATCACAGCTGAGATGGAAGCTTCCAGTGCGAAATTCAGGGGGTTTTGATGTCTATGCATTTCTATATCTATCCATTATTCTTGGGGTTGCAACCATCTTCTGTGATGATCCCCTTCGTTCATGTTCAGGATGTGTTGTCGTCTGGGTGGTGGGAGGGGAGGCATTTTTGGGGGGTGGGACGATGCCCTCAACGTCAGCTTGACAAGAGACCGAGTAGGCTCAGGGATTACCAGAATTCTACGATTTACGGATACTCTTTGGTAATTGGCAGATATATTGATGGATTGAGTATCTGTACTCTAAAGTCTGTTGTAAGGGGCTTGTCCAGCTGAGTCATCCATTTAGGCTGACATAATACATTAGTTATCAGGAATCCAACATTTCTATTGGTGGATAACGGTTTCAGCTGAGGTAATTACTTAGTCACCCAACCCTCCTCCTCGACTACATGCCATCACGTCCATGCCGCGACAGCATTTCGTGCTGCTATCCGTTCCAATAGGTGATTGAGGATTATAGAGAATCATAGGAGAGGTATTTTTACTGGTTGGTGCTAAGATTTAACTTGTTTTACTATTCTCCTTGTTTTATTTTTTCAGAATCCCACAATCTGGCACATCCTGGCCCAATGAATCTTGTACTCTTATTGAAACTCCGCGCAGTTCTATGCAAACAATTTGAATTGTCTACAAACTCTACAAGCAAATCCTACTCACTCATCCATTCCCCCTACCCTTCCCCAATCCCAACCCCCAACCCCCCCATCACCCTCCTCACCCCTCCCACCCCGCCATCCAAATACACCCCCCCAACAACCGCCAAAACCCCCCTCCTCACCTCCCCCGCCAAATCCCCCCTCCTCCCCACCAACTCCCCAATTCCACACCTCATCCCCGCCCCCACCAGCGCCTCCACCCCCAACGCCCTCGTCACCGCCTCCCTTGCCGCGCGCTCGGAGAGGCGGAGGGAGTAACATGATTCCCAGAGCACGAGCTCCATGGCGCGGCGGCCAAGGTAGGAGAGTCGCGCGTTATTGGAGTGGCCGGGGGTGGGGGGGGTGAGGGCTTGGGTGAGGAGGGTGGGGGTGGTGAAGGTGTAGTTTATGTTGTGTTGGAGGGGGAGGAGGGAGGGGGGGTCGTTGTTGTTGTCGTCGTGCTGCTTGGTAGTAAGGGGGTAGGGGGTGGAAGGGGAGGGAGGTGTATGGATGGGGGTTTGGAGGTTTGGGGAGGAGGAATGGACTGGGCGAGGGAGAAAGTGGGATAGAGTGGTTTGGGTGTCTGGATCTCGGTGGTGGAAGGATGGGGGATCGTGGGACTTTTGACGGGTTCTGGGAGGCCACGTCTCGGTGCGTGTAGACACGGGTATGGGTGAGGACCGTCTACGCTCCTGCCTACGCTCTTTTTCTGTTACCTTTGACTGTAACTCGGCAGGTGGCAGGTCCAGCAGAGGAACGGACGACCTACGTCTTCTTGTGAATAACCCATGAGGTTTTGGAGCTTCAGGCGCGACGGTGTCAGGTGCAGGTGGTGGAGTGGTAGACGAACAGAGGACTTTGGTCCATAGACCTGGAGCGTGTGGGCTTGGGGGTTCAGGAGGTGGCGGCGGGCGGAGGACTTTCGACCACAGTCGTTTGGCGCAGGGAGGACAGGGACCTTGTGGCTGTTGTATCGCGGGAGGTGGTGATGGGTTGCGGTTTTTGGAGTTGAGGCTCTGGGAAGGTAGGGGATTGGGTTCTGAGGGGTGGGCTAGGTGGGAGAGTGGGTTGGAGCGGGGGGTAGATGGGGTGTGGTTGTTAGAGGAGGTTGTCAAATCGCCGTGACTGTCCTGACTGGAGTTGGTGGTGGGAATTGAGCGGGCAAGATGTGTGTCTTGACTGGGGCGAGTAGCATTGCTCGAAGAAGCTGAGAAGACGTCTGGAGGGAACTGTATGTCTTGACTAACGTGAGTACGGTTGCTTGAGGGGGTCGTCAGGGCAAACCGTGTGTCTTGGCTGGTGCGAGTAGGGATGCTCGAAGTAGCTATATAGTCGGGAGGAGACTCTGTATCTTCACTGGCACGAGTAGGGATGCTCGAAGTAGCAATATAGTCGCCCGTACACTCTGTATCTTGACTAGCATGAGTGAGGTCTCTGGAGGAAGCTGCTCTCTCGTAAGCAAACTCTCTACTGACATCATTTGGCGGGTGATCTGGGTCTTCTTGGAGGTATATTTTTGGGCACAGATCGAGGCCCTGTTCTAGATAGGCTTTGTAAGATCCCATCTGCGACTATTTGATAGGTTTAGTGGGGTCAAGAGGTCAGTAGATAACAAATCTCGAATAGGCAATATCATCATTATTTTTTCAATATACATTTAAAATATTAAGTAAGATTTTTATTCACATGCATCTCCACATCAAAATTATTCTCCGATGCCACTACATATTCATTCACAGCATCTAAATTATCCTTAATTATCCGGTATCCGAAGACCGAATACCGAGTGGCGCACGTCGGATCAGTTGAATCCGATTCGTGGTCCTGTTCTCACTTTGTTGCTCTGTGCAGATTTGGAGTCGAAATTGGCTATCACGCAGCAGCATTAGGCAGCTAGAAATCGGCAAAATCCGCGCGTCAGATGCACCTGGTTGCTTGGATGTGGCTTGTAAACTACTCTATGCGGAATGCTATACTCTAAGATGGAGATGACACCTGTCACCAAGGACGTCAGGAAGGTGCGTACCTCTCTCGTACCTGGCCGCCGCGTCATACCGGTCTTTCCCACTCGTCCAGGCATGCGAAGTCACGTGATTTCTCAGTTACTCAGCCCCAATTAAACGTTATCACCATGTCTGTCGTTACCACCAAAAAGTCGATTCGGGTCAGCATCTGCCCCGTGCAAAGCGCCATTCACGCCCAACCAACCGCCTTCCGCCGTATCCACCGTATAATTAACGCCAAGACGCTATCAGCGCGTTCTGCTGACGCATCAACGAAAACGTCAACGACGAGTCTGGAATGGTGCCTTGGGGAAAGATTACTTGATGACTCCCACGATGACAGACCTGCTTGGCGTGCATACACACCACTGAATTTGAGTCTGATTACCCTGAATACACGGGAAATATTACAGAAAACACCACAGTGGACACAACAGGAGAGTATTCTATAGTCCTAAAAGTCCTATAGCCTACTGGTACCCGTACTCTATACTCTATATTTTTCTTCTTCTACCCTATCTACCATCTCCTACTAACAAGGAAGGCGGGGCCGTCTCACGCTCGGTCATCTTCCTGGTTTGACTTCGCACCCTGCGCATAACTTGGACACCGTATGAACACCTTTATTACTCATGCCTTATCCTCCCAAAAACCCTGTCCCCCGTATCTTTCTTTCACCCCGCTCCGCTCCTCCTCACTCTTTGCCACACAGGTGTACTGGCGCCAAGGGCAAGGCAGGAGGCAAAAACGAACTCCGTAACGAGCGGCACTTACTAAGGAATTTGCTAAGATCTTATCAGATGTCGAATTTATGAATCTAGCGCCGACGATGTCTACTGTGCCACCAACCCAGACGACACCCGACTCGGCGCCAACAAAACCCGAGCATGTGAATCGCGCCTGTGAGCCGTGTCGGCTCCTCAAAGTGCGCTGCCTGCCCTCTCCCGACCCTGCTACCAGACGATGCCAGCGCTGCACGAAGAACGGACGAACTTGCCATTATGCCGCTCCCCAGAAGAGGCGCCCGAGGAAGAGGACGGACACCAGAGTTGCTGAACTCGAGAGGGAGGTGCGTGCCATGCGCTCGCTGCTGAATAAGAGCAAGCAGTCGCCCTCGGCAGGCTCGAATCAGGGCTCCATGCACACTGTGGACGAAGAACAGGAGATAGAGGGGTTTCTCGAGAGGGCGCCCATACCCCACTTGGGAATGGAGCCCAACGCATTCCACGAACCCATGGAAGAACCTCGCTGGGGTTGCGGACCTGGCGAGATGGACGGCGAGACGTCTGACACGGGAGAGAGATCGCCAGACGTGATCGAGCGCGATCTGATTGGATTGGAGATGGCGCAGGAGTACTTCGATCACTACGTCAACAATATGATAGTGCACTGCCCAATAGTCGCCTTCCGCCCGGAGCAGACAGCCGAGTCTGTTCGCTCGTCGAAGCCAATACTCTTCCTCACTATCTTGGCCGCTGCTGCAGGTCAGAAGGACCACAACATATATATCACTTTGCATGAAGAACTCCTCCAGGTCTTCGCAGATCGATACATTATGAAATCCGACAAATCGCTCGAGCTCGTGCAAGCGTTCCTGCTGACGTGTATTTGGCTGTATCCACCAAATGACTTCAGAACACTCAAGTTCTACCAGTACGTGCACATGGCAGCGTCCATGTCGCTGGATATTGGTCAGCCAGATCTGCCAGGGTTTTTTTCAAAGCACCAATGGCCGACTGTTGTTGCGGATAATTTTGTAAAGCCCCCCGGACAGGAGTCGCATTCGAACATGGAAGGCACCAATCCACCCCCCGCAGACCCTGAGGCGGCTCGACTCCTGCGCCAGGAGCTACTGGTGCTAGAGAGCAAGAGGACGCACCTGGGCTGTTATTTGATTTGCGCAAGGTATTTTCTCTGAAGTGACCGATGAATGATAGTCGCTAACTCGAGGTAGTGTGTCGATGTCACTGCGCAGGCCGAATATGTTTGCCTTCTCCGCATTCACCAAGGGATGCATTGACTACCTTACCAACTCTCCTTATGCACTCCCGTCGGACAAACTTCTCATCGTATGGTCGAAAATACAGCACATTACCGAGGAAAGTGCAGCTGTATTCGCCTTTGACGACCTGTCTAGCCGCGTAGAGATGTCTGATCCGCGGGTGCAGCTGACCCTGAAGGGCTTTGAAAACAGGCTTGAGGAATTTCGCAAGACTATAGATCCTGTACATCTGTCAGCTACTCTGGAGGTTCACTACTACATGAACAAAATCATACTACAGGAATATGCCATCATGGTCAAGAATGTCGATGGTTTCCAACCGGAGGAGTTGATTGATATCGGGACAAAGGCGAGTCCGATTTCCATGGCGAGCGCGAGCGCTATCATGACCGTGATCGAGTCCGCCCATCTCCTCCTCGACGCCTTCTTTAGCGTACCCGACGAAGTTATTAGATCCTACCCCGTTATCAACTTTGTCCGCATGTCATACGGCATGGTATTGCTGATCAAGATGTACGCCAACGCCAGCCTTCCGGATTCCGAGCTCGGGAAGATCCTCGACGCCGATTCACTCAAGATAGATCACTATCTCCGAATGGCAGTTACCCGTCTCAAGCGCATCACCGAATACCGCGCTGCGAGCAAGTTCCTCCAGATCGTCCTCAAGGTGGCAATGTACCACCAGCAGCGCTTAGCCAACGCCATGCCTCAGACTGGCAAAGGACTAGGAGCGGCCCAACTGATTGCGCCGCTGCTGAACCTCGTCATGAACGGCCACGGCAAGCCTACTCTCGAGGAGCAAAATCAAAGCCCGCCTCAGAAGAAGGGCAAGAGGACTAACGTTGCCGACCGGAACCGTCGCTCCTCTCGACCTGCCTCGGACACCGCTGACGCCACCGATCCTAACAGGCCCTGGTACCCTGAGTTCTCCGCCGGAGTTGGCCCCTACCTCGCCACTAGCAACACCTCGCCTAGCAACCCCTCACCATCGTCGGCTCAAGACTCGTCGTACACGCACAACGCGTCGATATCGACAGCCACCACCGCCACCACTGAATTCTCGGGCACCGGCAACGCCGCTGACCTCGCTAATCAGTGGTTCCCACCCGCGACGGACTTCGGTGGTGGCCTGCTGCCCAATGATATGGATGTCGACATCTTTGCCTTCAGCGAGGGCATGGAGTTCACGACTGATGACTTGAACACCTTTATGCCGTTTATTAGCTCGTCGGTAGAAATGCAGATGTTTGAACAGACGAATGATTGGTCGAACTGGGGACCGGGTCAGCAGTGATCGTCTCTGCGGGGAGGTATTTGTACGAAATATACGTGTGTGTTGGGGACGGATGCACATATGGGCCGATCTATATGGGATGGCACAACTAACTCTACTTTATGGGACCGGGGGGCGCTGGAATGTTTTGCTAGTTTTCACAGGTGTTATTTTATGACCTTTACGGATGGGGGAGTTGGGGGATTATAATACCAGGAAGGGGGCTTTGTGTGTGTATTTGTACAGTATAGTACGCTCTACTCTATATATTTGGCGGGAGGGCGCCCGGAAGAATGGGATCGAGGGCGGATGGACGGACGGATATCATGCTTCTCTCTTCTTCTCTCCACTCAGACAGACGGACAGATAGGGAGCGTTTTGCTGCGCGGGGCAGCGGAGAAACCCATAGAATTCCCCTCTTTAATGCGAAGGACGAAGGAACGGCACCGAGTGGTCTTTTTATTGCTTGTGACTTTGTAGTTTGTTTGGGGTTTAGTGAAGGAAGCTGCGAATGGGGACAGGTGCGACTGAGCATAAGTGCCGATGAAGGCAAATGCGAACGAGGGCAACTGCGACTGAGGACAAGTGCCAGTGAAGGCAAGCGCGACTGAGGGAAGGTGCGAGTGAGGGCAGGTGCGAATGAAGGCGGTTGCGAGGGAGGGAAGGTGCCAGTGACGGAAGGTGCGACTGAGGGCGGGTGAGGCAGGTGCGACTGAGAACAAACGCGGATGATGGCAACTGCGAATGAAGGCACGTGCGAGTGAGACCATGCATGAAAAACTGTCGCTGAGAGTTTGAGGGTAGCTTCCATAACTTATTAATTAAGCGGGCCCCTTTAACCACCTATGAAGTGTCACCCCCCTCTGTGTGCACTTCAGACCTTTGCTACCTGTACCCGGACCTTAGGTTTTAGTGCAACAAATGCATCTTCGACGTCGAATCCGTCCTGTAACTCCTTTTCGGGATTGGTGAATGACAGTTTGAGCTGGTATACGAGGAGGGCTAGCGTTAGGCTCATTTCCATGTATGCCATGCTAGAATCACCTTGTTAGTGGATGCAAATATAAGGGGAAATTGGAGGAATCTCGTCTTGAAGTTGTTACGGACACAGAGTTCCTATTAGAGGGGTAAGAGGATCTTACTTTCTGCCTAAGCATGCTCTGGGACCAAGAGAGAAGGGGGAGAATGCAGTCTTGTTGCATTTGAGGGCCGAGTCCTGGAGCCAGCGCTCTGGTTGGAAAGTCTTGGGGTTATCGAAGTATTTGGAGTTGAGATGGAGAGAGATGTTGCAGACTCCAATTTCGGTCTAAAGATACAAATGAGTCGTTAGCATCATATATTAGAGAGAGCGAAACGATGTGAGAGTCGCAGGGGTGTTTTGTTATGAGAGTTTAGCCTTGACTTACCCCTGGAGGGAAAACGTGGTCCCCAATCACTAAATTTCCTGGGCTCCGATCCACGACCACTCGTGGAATCAAACCGGGACTTGGAGGACAAATCCGCAGACCTTCCTCAATGACAGCATGTAAATATGGAAGACTCTGGAGGCTCTGATACTTAATGTCTTCAACGGAGCTATATGTCCCACAGACTTCACTGGTCAACTTCTGCATAGTTTCCGGGTTTGCCAGGAGATGCCAGATAATCACCGTCAACGCAGTTGAGGTTGTATCAGAACCTGCCACACTATAATTCTGTTAGTTAAAATTCCAAGGCTGGCGAAGAGATTGGTGGATCACAGTTAATACTGGGAGAGGATGGACATACAGGAGGAGAATCGCTTCGCCCATCAACTCGCGCTGATCATACGGCTTTCCAGTTTCCGGTTGTTTCGCGTGGAGAAGGTTGGAAAAGATGTCGCCGCCTCTCTCACCACCTTCGTCTCCTCTCTGTATGCGTTCCATCATTGCTCCAATCGCTTTCTGTGTTGTTTGACACCAATTAATATCACTGAACATGGCTAAGCCGATCGGATGGAGGGGGGTATTGTGACTGATGTATAAACATACCTGATAGACGTATTTCCGTTTTACTACATCTTCCTTCGAGTGAATATAATCCCAGATGCCTTTTGGCCATCTGTGCATAGTTCCCTCCTTAAAATCATTTAGTTGTGTGAATCGCGGCCAAAAGCGGGAAAAACTTACCTTAAGAACCATCTGAACAGATTTCTCCATGCCTTCAAGAATAAGATCCCGTTCCTTCTCATTGTTCAAGGTATCAAAACATTTCCCAAAGCACAAATCAGACAGAATATCCATAGAGAGCGCGCCAAGCATCGCATCAAGGTCCACTTGTCCCGCAGCCGCAATATTCCTACAGAACGTTTCGATATGGAGGCGGATCAAAGGCTACATAGCTTCAAGCTTGCGAGGGGCAAAGGCTGGCGAGAGAATCTGTTTCTTTTGTCGGTACTCCTTGTCATTGGTTGTGAAACTACTCGGAAAACCAGGGGCGAAAGCATTGTAGAATCCGGATTTGAGGACTGGCGCTTTTGCTGAATAGATAGCACTGAGCGCCTCTGTTGTATTCGCAGACACTACATTTGGTTCAATTCGAACGTACGGCCCTTTGTACCTGTTAGCTATATATTCGGAAGCCCACTAGACTTGAAAAAGGAGGAGAGGGTAGAAACCGTATTTGTCGTGGAGCTCCGCTAGCTTTCGGTGTCGTCTTCCGCCCCAGCAATGGTATAAGTGCCATAAGGTGGTGAATTTTGCTAATTGTGGGCCTGGGATATTTCGTAAAGGGTGAAATAGTATTAACCAGACAGCCCGAGCAGCTATCAGAGCAAGGAGAGCATATGCCGCCGTTAGTGGTGAAACTATGCGCCGGGCTTCGTTTAATATGGCCGAATTCATTGCTTGGAGATAAAAATATTGATACTGGTGAGAGTATCCCCAGTCCTTTGATATAGATTGATAGCCAGATAATGGAGGAATGACGCCGCTTATTAACAAACGGTGCTGTTGAATACAGTGGTATTAATACTTTCAGTGGAATATTATCATGTTGGGTTTAGACAACATATAATAGCTATACAGTAGTGGGTACATACGGAGTTCGCACTTTAACCGCCCGGTGACCGTCAAAACACTCGATCGCCGGCGCGGATATCTACCAAATTAGCTCGAAGAAGTGCGGGATCCGTGTCCGGGGATTGATTCTGGGGATATAAGAGTTTAGTAGCGTTTCTGAAATCGTTAAATAGGACGCTTTCGCAAGAAATGGTTATTGTTTTGATATACGAGATATGCACTATGGCCAACTTTTACGCAAATCATACACAAAACAACAAGTTTTACTCGTTTTTAAATACATTGCGGTTGGAGATGGAAAACCAAAATTGGAACGCAAAAGGCGGGCCATAAATTTACATGAATATGATATTAGAGGTGATAGAAGCTAGTCTCTACCCTTCTCGCTTTCATATATTGTGTTACAATACTAGGATAGCCATTGAAAGGCCAATTAATCCATAGAGTCCACATTAGTTTCCTTTCCGTGAGCTTCCCTTATGCCTCATAATATTACCCCCCAGAACAACTTGTTATTTGTAATAACTAAGAATATTTTATAGGTTGGACTTAAGCGCAAATCCTGGTTACAACTTCGATGCTGTGGAGCGGACAATCGCAGTCTCCGACCCCCACAGGGCCTTGATCGCTGCTGTCTCCTCATCATCCTCCACCTCAGCCACCCATCCCATCAACATCATCCCCTGCATCTCCAACACTTCAAGATCCTCCCCATACGCAAACCCCGCCTCCTCAAGCTCCGCCCCGGTCATCTCCCTCCACCTCTGTGTCGTCCTACGGCTGCTAACACGGACAAAGAAATCGGGAAGATTCCTATCAAGTCGGTCGTTGGGGTTGCGGATGATACTGCCGCTATATTTGATGAAATTGTAAAAGAGATGGGCCGCCTGGGCGCATGGGACAGTGAGAAAGTTTGACATTCTCCCACCTGCAAGAAAGTGATGGCGATTGATCCCATCGAGGAGAGCCGCGTCCAGAATTGGGTTGGCTATGGTGTGGGTGAAGGGGCCCACACGCTCAGCAGCAGTGATAGTGGGTGAGTTTGATCTTCCACCAGTGCTAACAATTTTGGTGATGGCCCAGTCGATTATGTACCTCCATGTGGTGTTCTTGGACGCAGCGGCTGTGGCCTGGTAGGCGGTTGGGATAGGCATTTTTGCGGACCGGGTAACGGGCAGCTTTCTGCAGTGAGGATACACGGCTATTGGGGCCAACGCAAGGACCAGGTTTGTATTGTTTTTACTTTGGCGATCTTGATACCGTATCAGTCCTTACAGTATGCGAACTCTGGCACGACCAGAAGGCGAGGCGCGGTTGTCGCTCAGTGTATATGATATTGGACGAGAATGCAAAGGTAAAGAAAACAGACACTGGAGGTGAGAACGGCTTCATTTTGTGGGCGGTGATTTCCAAAGTGACTGAGCTATCTCTGTCAGCTCACCACAGCAGCCGGAGATGTCAGTAAGGGTTTCATAGAGTCAGCACCATTTCGCGGTTATTATTTGAGAGCTAGAGGGTGCTAATTGGCACCGGTAGAGGCACAATGATAATTAGACCGTTTAGTGTGAAGCTAAATGTCGAACCAGGGGAAAGTGGTCTTGTCGTTCCACGCCAATAGCTTCGTCAGCGCGCTCACTGAGTTCATCGGGTTATCATTTTTGCTTTGAACACAACTGTTCGACGCCCTTTAGATGTGTAGCACGTGTATTTTGAGCCCCAAAGAACAAGTTATGCCACAGAGTGTCCTAGATGATGATTTGTGCCTGCCAGGTTCTGGGTTGCACCTGCCGCCGCTTGATTTAGAGTTTTGGGGAAAGGGCGCGGACTTTGGGCTAGCGGATTGACGTCAAACTTTAGCTATTAATTAGCTCCTTGGACATAACAGCTGCTGCGAGTAGGACGTAATTATTGGGTAACTGTGCTGATATAATATTGGGTAACAGTCTCGCCCACAAAATGGTATTTAACTTCTGATATATGTGATAGATTCAGACAAAGTCCAAGTTGGAACGCTGTAGGTGAATATGAAAGGCCGTTAGTGAATTGAAATGAAACATATACCTCTCAGTCCTGCGCGGCTGACCCAGCAATACCCATCTCCCCACTCGCATCTCTACTTGCAACCTCTTTCGACACCTTTCTCAGCGGCCTATACACCGGCTCCCACATCTGCACTCGAATCCACTCATCAAGCTCCCCCTCATCCTCCGGAATGCCCTCCTGCGTCGCCAACCCCTCCTCAACCGCCTGCCTCACCACCGCTTTCGCAATCTGAACGCTAACCTCCCTCACATCCTCCACATCCGGTAGCAGCGGACGTGCGGGGTCTTTCAGCGCAGGAGATTGCGCGCTGAGTGCCTTCACGGCTGCCACAAGCATCTTATCGCTCAGCAGGCGCGCACGGCTGAGCACGGCACCTAGTCCGATGCCGGGGAAGACAAGCGCGTTGTTGCACTCTGCCACATCGCGAGTGGTGCCGTTGTGCGTCACAGGAGGGAAGGGCGAGCCAGTCGCCAAGAGGACTTTGCCATCGGTCCAAGAGTTGAGGTCGGCGGGGTTGGCTTCATGGAGGGACGTAGGGTTGGAGAGGGGGAAGATGATGGGGCGTGACACATGGGAGGCCATTTCTTTAACGATCTCTTCGGTGAAGCTACCGGGTTTTGTGGAGGTGCCGATGAGGACGTGGGGCTTCACGGTCTTGATTACGGAGAGGAGGTCAATGTCTTTGTCGCCATCCCATTCTGAGTCGTCGCGCGCGTAGGGATTTTGCGCGGGGTTGAGCTTGTCACCGTGGCGCTTTAAAAGGAGGCCTGGTTTATCCACGCACCTGCCTTAGTCAGTATCTCAGCACATGTTATATGAGGATATTGGTTACTTACCATATATGCTTGGCGGCTTCTTCTTTGGATTTTCCGCTCTCAGTTGCAATGGCATCTCGGATTTGGTCAGCGACACCCGTTCCTGCGGTTCCGGCACCAAAAATTACAACTTTCACATCTTCTAAGTTGGTCTTTGAGACGTGTAATCCTGCCATAATGGCAGCCAAGGTGACGCAGCCGGTGCCTTGCACATCGTCATTGAAACAAGCCATTGTCGGGCGGTACTTGTCTAATATTCTCCGTGCTACGTTGAATTAGCCTCTATCCGTTCGCGGCTGAACTGATGGGTTGCACGGGGGGTTTTCACATCTTCCTCAATATAAACATGGCCTTGATAGGCAAACGAGAAATTACTAACCATTTGGCAAGCCAAAATCTTCAAAATGTATGTATGCTTTCGGATAGAGCTTCCTCGCAGATTGAACGAAGGTCTCAATAAAATCCTCATACTTCTCGCCCCTGACCCTGGGGTGTTTCAACCCGAGGTATAAGTCATTATTGCGAAGCTTCTCGTTATCAGTTCCGCAGTCCAGTCCCACAGCCAATGTGCGGTTTGCATGGATACCCGCACAGAGCGTAGTTAGAACCAGCTTGGCGATAGAGATCAGAATCCCCCCTGTGCCTTGGTCACCAATACCAAGGATCTCTTCGCCGTCGGTAACGACAATGTAGTCAATGTCTTGTGGCTCGCCCCATTGTGCGAGATCGTGGTAGACACGGTCGATATCACCGATATTGAGGAAACAACCTTCAGGACGGCGAAAGATGCGGGAGAAATTCTGGATTGCCTTGCCTTCAGTGGGAGTGTAAATTATTGGATACATTTCTTTGATGTGATCTTGAATGAGCTTGAGAATGTTAGATTTGCTTCGTAGGAGATATCATGTGATTCTAATGTGTTGTGACATTATGGAACCAAGACATACCCGATAGAAAAGCACCTCATTCTGGTCTCTCATACTCGTCATAAACGTATTCTTTGCCAAGTCGTCGTGCTGCTCGGAATACTGCTCATACGCTCTCTGTACCTGCTGCTCCAATGTTTGCACATTATGCGGCAATAGGCCAGTGAGGTTAAATTCCACACGTTCTTCAGCCGAAAAGGCAGAGCCCTTGTTGAAATAGGGAGTGTTGAGAAGAGCTGCTCCACTAACAGCACAGTCTTGAGGGCCGGAGGTGGTAAGAGGGAGGTGGGAGAACTTGGAAGAATGGTCCTTAGATAGAGGCATGGTGGAGTATAGGGCAGTCGGTGAGATTGAAGGATAGCGACAGACGGATGTTCGAGCTCGGGATACTATATAAGCCTTGCTGAGAGGATGATATGGTATCTTTGTCGACAACATTACTATGTCAGATAGTTGTTGTTGTTGTCGAGCACGAATACAAGAAAGCTACATGCATAGGGTATGACGTTGTTCCCTTATCAAGGGTCCAAGTCAGGAACGTGGAGCCCTGTCATGTCAGCAATTCACACACCAAGGAGAGCACATGCTCCATAGCAAATAAGAACTGCATATGCGAAAACAAAAGCTGTATTATATATTATATATTTTGTTACTGAAGTATGTAGGTCACAAGGAGCCACTCTCTTGTAGGAAGCTCGCGAGGAGTAAGAGAATGGACTATGAAGGTCCTTTTCGTTATAGCAGCAATTCCCTCTATGGAGGGCCGATCCGAAGACCAGCCCCCTTTTCAGTCCCCAAATGAACCCGACACAAGACGTGAACAAGAACACTGGGTCTTCCGGAGAAGATCTCATTTGTTTGCTTTCGAGAAGCTAAGTGACTGATCAAGGCGCTGCATCACACTGTGTGACTTTATGGCTAAGGTATTGAGACGTGTTAGTAGACATAGCAAACCTGTATCAATGTAAGACTTTGTAGTCCACATATATCCACATATCCGTCTATAAAGAACAGACTTTGCCTTTTTAAATGTGTATTGGACTCTCAATCACAGAGTTTGACGCGTCTGAATATTTCTGATCATATACAAAACGATACCAAGCCGAAAAATTGAACACTTTTAACCGCGGTCCACGCTAATTAGTCATCCGCGCTAGTCAAAGTGGTTGTGAACGGACCGTCCTCGTTCGCCATCATTCGCCTCGCGCCAATCCTTCCATCCAACGATATCGACTCTGTCGCTCTTCAAATCTTCTAAAGCTACATCTCCTCCAGATCAGTTTCATATACACCAATAGAAGACATGGTTGGAAAGAAGAAGCGCGGTCATCCCGACCTGGAGGAAGTCCTTGGACGACCATGGTGCTATTACTGTAAGATTTCCCCATTCCAAACATTTTCGTTTCCATTCAGTCACTGACCGCGACATAGGTGAGCGCGACTTTGACGATCTTAAGATTCTGATTTCGCATCAGAAAGCTAAGCATTTCAAGTGTGAGCGATGTGGAAGAAGATTGAATACCGCGGGAGGTAAGTGACTCTAACCCTCCTACTTTGTGGAATCGCGTTTTAATAGTTGACAGGCCTGTCCGTTCACATGAACCAGGTTCACAAGGAAACCCTGGCCAGCGTCGACAATGCGCTCGGCAATCGTGCGTCTCTTGATGTCGAAATCTTCGGAATGGAGGGCATCCCAGAAGAAGTTGTCCAAGCACACAACCAAAGGATCATCACCCAGTTTTATCAAGCCGAGGCGGATCGACGCACCGCGACTGGAAACCATGGTCCGGGCGGGGGAGCTGGAGGACCATCGAAGAAACCAAAGTTTGAGTCGCCTGGCGATCTCAAGAAGCGACTGGCCGAACATAAAGCACGATTGGCTGAACAGAATACTCCAGGTGGAAGCAGCGGCGACAATACCCCTGGCGCGGGAGTTCCGAATAGCCAGAGTCCAGCACCAGCAGTTCAGAGCAATTCTCCATACGCTACCCCGCAGGCGCCATATGCCGCTCCTCCAGGCGCATCGTACGGATCTTTCCCACAAGAACAATATGCACAGCCGGGCCAAGCCTACCCACAGCCGTACGGACAACCTGCATATCCTCCACCCGTCTCCCAATATCCTCCGCAGCAGCCACAATATGCAGCAGCTCCCGCGTATGCACCACCCCAGAGTTATTCTCCAGGACCATTCGGACAACCACCACAGGCTAGCTTTGGAGCCCCACCACCTTCCTTCGGGGCTGGCGCACCCCCAGGATTTAATCCCTACCAACCACCACCCCATGGAAGTCCCCAGATCAGTTCATTGCCTGCTCGACCGGGGAGTTTACCTCAGGCGCCCGGTTTGCCTCAGAGGCCGTCCTTTGGCACGTCGCCAACTCCACCGTACCCAATGCAACACCAAGCACCCCCTCCGCCGCAAGGTAGCTGGGGGCCAAACGGGTGGAATGGGGCAGATCACCAAAATCCAGCTATGTCTTCAGCATACCCTCCTCCTCACCAAGGCTATAATGATAGTTATGCCGCTAACGGAGCTGTTGGCAATAATGGAGCTCCAGGAGCTGCTAGAGAACCAGATGACATTGACGAGTTAATCAGAATGGCAGAGGCTGGCATCAAACCGCCGAAGAAGGGAGAGTCGCCTTCTACTTCCGTTTCAGCTCCAGCACCCAATGCTGCCCAGCCTCAACCAGCCGACCGGGCAGCGGCTCCTCCAGCAGCAGCAACACCAGAAGCCGGCGAAAAGAAAACGAAGAAGGATAAGGACAAGGGCTCGAAAATGGTCTATTCAGATAACGAGGTTAGTCCCGAGGAGAAGATGGCAAAGCTGTCCAGGTACGCATTCGCTCCAGAACCGAAGAATGACACAGCACTTGTCGACGACACCGAGATGCCTGCGGTTGCTGGCACTGTCGATGAATAGACATGTCATCCCAGCATTCTCGGCATTACAATATAATTCACGACTGTCGGCCATGGATACACGCTTCGACTCGTGCTGTTACAATACCAAAATCATCGCAATACCCACACCACACCGATACGAACACAAAGGTGAAGCCCACAAATCTGCAGCTGAGTACTAATTTGGTTCGTCACCCCACCTGTCGGTTTCCTGGATTTTGGGGTGGGACTGTACACGGTGACCTTTTTTGTTCTGGCGCTACTCTAGACACTGAAAATTCGCTTTTTATTCGCGTGGCGTATTCGCGTCGGCGGTTCCGTGGGCGGCGGCGGCAGAGAGAGGTGGGTGTCTCACATGGCGGCATCTGGTGAGTGAGCCTTTTTTGTCACCCGTGTAGGCGTCATCTGGGAGGGAGTTATTGGGAGGAATTACGCGGAGTTGGTGGGCTGGGAGCTCGCCCTTGGGGTGTATTACTGGCAGATTTGTAAGTACTAAAAGGTTGGCGATCTCAATAATATCATGCAATCCGTGTTGTCCTTGCTCCCGTGCTGCGTCGTATGAGTCGTGTAGGAATCCAGTGCTTCACACCGAGGCCAGCCAGAAACAATATTTGCCGGTTAGACCGGTCTAGATTTATTAGTATGTTATTTGAAAGATGTTGATCATGCCCGGAACGGATGGAGGGGTCGAGCCGTAGGATCATAGAGAGTAACATGTTGAGACTGAGCGCTTACGCCGGCGATCTCTTCCGCTGTAGCCTTCTGAGAAGCGCACTCGCAAGGTAACACAGAGATGTGCCGTCCTAATTAATTGTCGATCCCCCAATTGTTTCGTCGACATGATTTGTGATATGCAGTAAACTACAGTCTCAAGGCAATACCTGTGCCAACATCGGTTCAGTGTCACATCCATTGTGCTCTACAAGGGAGAAGGCCAAGGCTAAAAAGCATGCACTTATCACCTCGAGGTGGTTGCACCATGGAAGCAAGGGACCGACCATCGGCAAAAGTTGCAACAACCAACAAAGTAGTAAATCCTTATGTGCCGGATATAATGAGCATGTCTCAGAAAGTGACATTGGGGACAGAAGCGAAAGAATTATGTCTGCATGTTTCTAATACATCCACGCGGACGGGTCAACACATAGAGGTAGTCGCAGCCGCGGGTCGGTTGCGAGAGGTGAATGCGCTGGCTTCCCAATCCAGCGACTGTGGCCGTCGTCGTGGCTTGAACTACCGAACATCAAACGCCGCCAGCCGGAAAGGGGGTGCATTGAATCCAGCCGTGCGTTGCGCGGGAGCTGCGTGAACGAGACGGCATGGCGTTGTGCTCGGATGATTTCCCAGTTTTTTCCTCACTTCAATCGGGATGCATGTCAGCAAAAGCCTCACACAGTAAGCACCTGAACACGAATCCCAAGCAATGCAGTCCCAACATCGCTCCCAACACATACTGCACCGCACTGCATCTGGAACCACCCACACCATGCATCTCGCAGGGTGAAAATTGCCCACCCGCATGCCCCGGGCCACGCTACCGGTCCCCCCGCCAAGCCGCGGACGCACGGCACGCACAACGGTGTCTCACAAGAAGCAGGCGTGGTGCTTCCGTCGGCGTACCGACACGCGCTGTGTCACCACCCGAAGGGGCCGGATTCGTCGTGTTTGTGTGAGGTTTCGGGTAGGACGGGGGGAGGGGTGGTGCCGAATGGTTTAAGGGGGTGCCGATATTGGCCGGCTGAGCAGGATGAGGACGAGGAATGAGAGACGACTTTTATAGCAGGGTTGGGTACGGCACAATTATTGGCCCTATACTGGTAAAATCGCAAGTATTCAGCTCTTCGGGTCAAGTATGTGCAGCGCCTAGGGCGTGGAATATGTGGGTATATGGTGCGTGTTGATGGAATTTTGATGCAGGTGTGCTGTCGTGACATACAGGTCCGATGCAGCATTGGGTCAGCGTTCGACAGGTTCTCTGGCACACACCTCCTCGAAGCCCCAGAAATCATTCCCAACACCGTGGTTCCATTTCGAGTCATAATCAGCACCAGCTGAAATGTATGCACTATACCGCTCCCTGAACAAATCCCGAGCCTTATCTTGGCTGCTTCCCGCCGCGACCCTGGCTGTCTCTGTCAACTCCAAGATCCTACAGCCTTTTTCCACGTCGGTTCCAGGGGACCCATACCCCCATGTAACCGAGCACACCCACCAAGCACACCCTTCGCATGGAACCCGCGCTACAGCCCGCTTGCTGCGGACGAGTTTCCCAAATACAACATTCCTGCACCGTTGCCGGGAGAGCTCCCCGCCGTCGCACAGCATCTCGCATGCACTTCGCGCAAACCGCGGTGCAAGGCGGTCATATTGCAGCCCAAGAGGAGACATTATTTGCGCGCGGGTTGCCTCAATCAGGCTTCTGGCCACCATGCACGGAATCGCGCGTCGATCCCCATCGAGGACCAGACTGGCGGATCCAGTGTGTCCCAGCCTTCCGGTCTGTGGGTGGGGAGAGCGCTAGGTATAAGACTCGGGACCATCCCACGTTGATGGTAGCAATGAAAGAGGTAGCTGCTATCCCAATTCGTATTGCCATTTAGAACTACCCAAACAATTATTCATCATTAGAAAGATTCCCAAGCAAGGCTAGTCGTCTTATTCTGGATACCTGACGCACGGCGTGTTCCCGTCCACACCTCTTCCCGCATACCACGTATATATCATATCTCTGCCAACCCCTTGCGTCAACAGCGCCCCCTTCTCAGTTCTTCAGTGATAAGAAACCCACCGCCCTAGCCAGAGATGGACGACGATGAGAGCGTGTCCACGCCGTCCACAACACCCGCAACATCGCCATCCACAACATCTCCGTCTCTATCCACGCCTCGGTCACCACCAATGTCCGGGACGAAAGTGAGGCTGTTTGACGGCAACAACTACAACAGTAGCCGAGAGAGAAAGAGGCCATCTGTTTTTCAAGGTGATGGACTCGCTGCCTTCATAGATATCTACTGCAGCCCGGATGCGTCCAGGAGCCCAGGAACACCCGAGTACCTGGCACCCCAGTCGCCGATGGAGAGATACTATCAGGAGGAGGAAGTGCCTTGGCAACTGAGTGGGACGATGGATGGCACTGTCGCTGGGGAGCCTAGAGAGGAGAGAGAAGAGTAAGTTTAACCTCTTGGACGTTTCAACCTGTACTAAACAAGTCAGCAGCGAACGCGAAAGGCGGTTAAGCAACGTCGTCGAAGATGCGCTAAAGGTCTTCAGCGGCACAAATGAAGCTTCAGCACAACCTCCAAATTCGAAATCACCGGCTACAATCGAGGTGGTAGTAAACCACGGCAAGAATACCATTCCCACAAGCGAGATGCAGGAGAGGTGGGTGCAACCCCCGTCCACTGCGTTGCCGACCCGTCGTCTCGTATCCCAGTGGGAGAGGAACGTATTGATTGACCGCCAAACAATAGCCTCCTCCACGACCTGATGGTGCCGAGTCAGGTTGAGCGTAAGAAGAAAATGTTCACGAAGGGAGCCGTGTATTCGCATATTCGGCAACGAAAATCTGCGAGGAAAGAAGACGGTGCGATAGTTGTTGAGGACGCGCGTGGGGTGGAGAGGGGCAAGAAGAGGAGGGGGAAGGGGAACTCGGTGGCGTCGGATCGGAGTGGATATGATAGCTCTCAACGCTTGAGGAGTTTCTCTGTGAGTGATGAGGAAGAGAAGAGAGTAAGATGATGAAGCTCCGGGATAGACATGTGTGAGTGCTTATAGAAAGAAGGGGGTTCGGCTTTATTTCTGGGAACGCAGGTTATACAGGCGGCACTTTGGGTTATTGATGTTTTAAAAAGATATCTTAAAATATTTAAACATTTTAATAAAAAGAATTGGTTATTAGCGATAGAGGTTAGCACGCATTGCTTTTATAACCAAAATTAAACGAATACAACTCAATAAGGAATTTAACCCCACTAGTACAAGGGCTGTGGCCATAGAAATGGAATTTGGGGGACAAAAAGGGATGATATTTGTTATCCAACAATCAAATCAACCATCCAATGACCCTCGGCCCGCCAAATTTAAAATCACAAGCAATCACGTACTGTATTCATGACGGCAATGCACAAGATATCAAAACACTTAAACATTACTCGGAACCCCCCCCCAAAAATGGGGAACTCTAGTAACATCATACGACACCCTGCAGCCCTGGAGACTGGAGAGGTCCTCCTACAGCCATTGCCCATTTGACACGGCGAGACTTGGCCTCAACGCGGCCCACCCCCAACAAATACAAATGCTAGACTTCCTGTTGGCATCGAATATCTGATGCTATATGTCATCAACGACGTCTCGAAATTTATGGCATGCTCTGCATATGTCTTGTCGCGGCCCGGGTAGCCGCAGTGTCTCAAACGCAAGGACTGGCATGGACCCCAAAGTTTCTAACGCCACATACACGGCCCTGTCTCAGTCCATTGGACAATATATAGACGGTCTTTCCGATGCATTTGAGGTATATGCAAAACGTTTACCGTTTCATACCGCGCATTCTGTTTAGCGTTCTTGCCTCTCCCGTAGGTGCCGTAATAAGTGATCGAAGCAATACCTTCAACTCGGATTATACAACCCTATCTCTTCTTATCCACCGGCTCATTCAAGCGTATGTGATCTCTGGCCACCATAAGCGCTTTCCCCAGTCTGTTCTCTCCCCAGTGTTTCTGGTGCGCCATAGCATGCTTCGCCGAGTATCCGATTCCCCAAACGGGATCTTGCGACGACGCCTCAACGAGCAAGCGATCGCCAGTGGCGAGCAACTTGCCCCTCAGCTTCCGGTTTCGGGAGAACTTTGCGATGCTCCCAGCAACAACCACGTCGCTTTTTACCTCATCCCATCGCGCGTCGTAAAACCCGTTTACCTGCCTGCCGAGATGCTTCTGCTCTTTGGGGCTGTCGGTCGCGAGGACGCGCCTTTGGGTATCCGTGTCGTGGAAGCGACCGGCTTTGCAGTACATCATAAATTGCTCGGCGCAGGAGAAGGTTATGTGTTCGTCTGTGCTGGGGTTGTCGTCGGCGCCGTCAGAGTCATCGATGAGCGAGGCAATTTGAGAGGTGCTAACTGTGAAAATGGAAGGAAACCACTGACAAAATTCTCCATTCACAGCATTTGGCAGATGAAAAAAGATGGGCCATTCATCCCTGGTGGAATCTTCTTGCTGGGGCTTTGTTAAGGAACTTGATGGGGTACCTTGATCTCTGGGGTTCGTTGGTTGGCGATCCATTGGAATAGTCGCAGCGTTGAAACTGGACTGTGATTTAAAGAATCAGCTTGGAGTGGGTGGATTATAACTGAAGTTAAGTAGGTATAAACTCCACTTTAGCCAAGAGACTACAATATATACTGCTAGTCGAGTAGAGTCACTGCCCGAGAGAGTCATCGGCGTAGAACGCCCCACATAGTAAAGTTTAGCTCCTGGACCGCCCCTTCCCGCAAATTTAAAGTTTGGCAGATGTCAAGGTGATACTTTAGCATTTTTAGTGTTGCTAGTTAGTGGAAAATCATTTCTCCCAATGAACAAACCCTAGGGAACGCGGAGAAAGGACGTGTACCAAGATCAGAGATTGCAGAAATTAAAACTGTATATTTATGAAAATTGCAACAATGGCCTCATTCGCCCAAACTATCCGCTTCGTCCACCTCCGCTTTACCCTTCTCCGATTCTTCCTTCTCCTCTTCGTCATTCTCCGCTTCATCTTTCTCAGCTTCCTCCTTCTCAGCTTCATCCTTCTCAGCCTCGTCAATCTCCATTTCCTCGATCTCAAGGCGATGATCGACCCAGTCGATATATGACAACGCCTCCCGTAGTGATACCCGCTTGTTAGGTTCGTATTGCAATAACTCAATCATAGGCCGAAGAAGGCACTTCAACCGTTTCAAGGGATGGCCCAAGTAGTTCCATGTCTAGGCAGTTGTGGATGCCGTTTGGGCCCTCATGGCGAAACCAATCAAAGAGCTGAATAAAGCCCCTTGGCTTATCCTGTGAGCCTTTGATTTAGTACTTCTCCAGATCTCTCATAGCTTGAATTTCGGGATCTTTGTCCAGATCATCTGTAGAGTCATGATCTTTTTTTATCTTGATAGCCGCCCATTGCCTATTGTGGCATTAGCAGAGGCTAGATACGCTCGGAATATAAAAGCGCCCAATTCAACGCACTCTTCCTGAATATCTTGGGTTAACCAGACAGTTGAGTGTCCGCCATAGCCAAGCTTGTTCTGAATACAGTATCGTCCATTGTGGAATGTGTCTCCCAGCGTGACCGTGTGCAAACCCCCAGCTACATATTCCTGTAGGGGCTCATGCGGCTGTATAATGCTCTAGTCATCATCATACAAATGCCAGTCAATCCGCAACGGTGAAGGATTGTTCTGTGAAGCCATATCCATGTAATATGTTATACGCTGCTCGCAGTTGTCAGTCCTGACCGCCAATCTACGAGGGTAAACGCTGACATCGCGCAGATCTCAGCAAGTATCCGATCTGTGAATGGTTGCCTAATTATGACTCCAATTATAGGCGATTGGCTAGATCATGTAAATTATGCAATTCGAGTGCTATTTTGGGTGATTATACGCAATTTACTCCACAGTACACGGCTTGGTCTCTATAACCATTCGATATGAAATAGGCTCTGGATCAGCAAAGAAGCTGTGGCTGATATCGGGTTGCATGTTAGTCCAACTAAATTGGGAGGGCAACGTTGAATATATCGCATCTTAAATAGATGCATTACCCATCTGGAATATAATTTACAAAGAATAGATTAATATCTACGCAGCTCTAACCCGTGAGCAAGGCAAGGGAGATGTAGTATTGCATACCAGTCTGGTGGCCATTGAAATTAGAAGCTGACACAGAGACTACAACCCTGCATTCATCACCTCATGAGAAGTAGACATTGTTAACCTGGAGCCAACGAGCATCGAAGTACTCGAAGCTAAGCCAAATTTGCACCAGTTCCCTGTTGACCACGTGTGAAAATATGCGGGCCTGTTCTCGCCATTGAAATGCCTCGGTATGTATAATGTAGCCTAGAGTGAGTGGCTGAAGTACTCCGCATCGGGACTTCCCCTTTGAGCCTCGGCGTTTGTTGCAGCTGAAGTGGAAGAGAGAACAGGATTATATTTTATGATTATATTTTACTGCCGCATGGCGTAGAGACATCGCTCTAATCTACATAATAAACAAAAAGGCCTCTGGCGTCTATCCCAGGGCCTGGATACCCATTCATTCCCAAGCTCCAGTGCTGAACCCAACATCAAATAATTTACTCGGGATTGCCAAGGTCCGCACAGCGTGATTTTCAATCCCCAACTCCAGCCCTGAGTCTCTTATGCTTTACTGTTCTGCGCGCGGCTCTTCCGTACCTCCTTTTGGTATTCCTCCTCAAACTGCATCACCTCCATCTGTATCGTAACGCCTTTCGTCCCCTCCATGCTATCCTCCTCGCTCTCACTCCTCCTACTCCGTGCCGACACCATCGCCTGAGTCCCCAAGCGCCTATCTGTCAGTCCCATCACATCGTCCTCGATATTATTATAGCTTCTCCCCGCCCCACTCGGATACGTGCCACTCGGCCCCCCCGTCTTGCTCCCGCCCTTACTCGATGAACGGTTCCACGCCACGAAGAAGGCGCGACAAGATGGCACGCACGCGCAGATGATTGATACATGTACCTCGATCGACGCCCACAGCCAGCCGGCGTAGCCGTACCACGACACGTCGTACGATTTCCGCATGATGATGACTACATACACCAGCCGGACTGTGGAGGCGGCGATGACAAGCAGTCCAGCGGAAAACAGGGATATGAGGTGGACTTTCTGGGTTGTGCGGATTCGGAGGGCGAAGAGAGAGCGGAGCGGGATGAGGAAGATGACGATTTCTATGAGGATGTTGAAAGCGGCGCTGGTGATCATATGTATGCTCTCGTCGATGCAGGTGCCGGCGGATTTAGGGATTAGGATTTCCCAGTAATGCTGGAGGGGTCTGGTAGAGTTAGTATGGGCAGTGGTTGGATAGATTGGGCGATATACCGGCACTGGAGACAGAGAATTAAGAAGGCGGCTATGTAGTAGACGACAACGACTCCGAGGGTGATTTTGGTGACTATTTTATCGATCTTGGCGACAAGAATTCGTAGATAAAAGACGAGGATGGACGCTTTGGCAAGAGACGCGGTTGTCATGTATAGGACCATGCTCGCCCAACTAATCTGTAATGGTAGCCAATGTCAGTGGATGTCAGAGTAAAACTTGAACATATTATAAGAGGATCGCAGGTGAACGGTAAATCGAGTAATTGCTTACCATCCGGCTGGTAACCATATCTTTTGGTGGAAGATCCCAGACATGTATATCCCAACCATATCGTTTGATAGCGAGCATAACACTGGCAGTCAGGCCCATCGCGAACACCTGTTAACGTCCAATTCCGTCAGCTTCGTCTTTCACAAAGGTCTGCGCGAGTAGTCCTCGCGCTGGCACTATTTGGAGCGATAAACGGACCCAAGAAATGATGATCATGGCATCATCCAAACCAATGCCGGCCCTCGTAATAACAATCCTCGCATATAGACGTATGATAACTATTGCCGTGACGAGGACGACGAGTATGGCTTGCACGATGACGCCCTCGTTCCCCCTACGTTGCGGGTCGACATAATTCGGCTTCGGCCACGATGCCAGGACTTCTGGCGGGGGAGATCTCATGATGGCGGGTCGTCAGGCACCATGTGGTCTGTTATCGACGGTGGGAATCCGATACCGACGTTGGAGACCATATGAGGATCAGACGAAGAAATAGACCTGAGACTGTCTGGGGTTTGCCTTCATTTAAGTGCGACAGGGCTGACGTGCTAATGGGCTTTGTGGAGCTGGATTCCCCATTATTTGAGAGCTGGAACCTCAGTGAGTTCACAGGCCAAGAGATTTCATGGATGGAGTGGAGGCGCGATCGACGGCCCCCCTACAAAGAGCTCTCCAATGAAGGCGTTTGCGGGCACCAATGAAGATCTCAGGGGGGTCAATAGATGTGATAGAAATAGTGGAAAATAATCCACAATAATGCACAATAGCGAAAAATAGCTACACTAGTAGGGGGTGGGGACGGGTCAAGTAGGGGACAGTAGATGAGACGGAACATGATATCAATGCACGGGCACAAAAGACGCGCCAGTGTGAGGGTTTCTGGGTCTCTTGGAACACTTTGGCCGAGGCCCCTGATTTTCTGATAGCGGGCAAGAGATGAGATACAGGCGTGGCGCAGGCATGATGCAGCCCAGTTTCGAGTTCTGGAGCAGTACTGGTGGACTTGGCGATATTGGGGGATTTCCAAAAAGGTACCCACGAAATGTATTCGTTGGAAGCGGGGTTTGTGGGGTTCTATCCCGAGGCTGGGGCGGCCCATCACTTAGTAAAAGTAGACCACGGAAGGAAAGAAGGCACGCCCACAGGTAGCCCGAAGATAATATCGACAGTGGCCAACAGCCCGGGAACTCTTTGGAATGAACAACACGGGGGAAATCCGTTTCCCGTCCAAATAAAAAGGCGTTCGACACCGTTGAATTGAGATGTGATATTGCCTGTTTATGTGGCAGCGATGTCCGTTTCTGTAGGGGTTTGATAAGAAATGTGACGAGAATAACTAGGGCAATAGTCTGGCGCAGATCATAGCGGGGTGTATTATATGACCCCTACGGAGAAACCACGGAGTATTTACAAGCCACTCAATTCTCCAACCAACAACACCTCAGACACCCTCGTGGCGCGTACTCATCAAATCCTCAGCACCCATACACCAATTAATGCATCTTCGCTATGATCTACACCAAGCACTGGGGCAGGCCATTATAACAACTCTCACAAAATCCCCAAATTATACAAAACGAGACATAACCCCGATGAACGCACATTACAGGCACGTCGGGCTTGCCACATCACATCGCAAGCTCCACCGGAAGCATCACCAACATCCCCAACACTGCAGATCAACCGCGGGTGGACACGGATCCTATCCTCGCCTGGCCGGGGGCCGGGTACGTACAGTACGGCGCCAAATCCTTCAGCATCGCAATCGTCGCCGGGTATGCAGCTGGCGCAGAACCCCATCGCGCGTCTCACATATCATCTCCAGCGGTCAGTCTACTAAAGCAGTCGTAGTGCTCGCAGCTGCTTGCTAGTTTGCGATGTTACTGCAATGTTAGTTGCTGAACAACAAATGATGGGGATGCGTAACCCCAACATCTTTCCTCTTAGCGCGCCCCACAAACTGACCTACTCACTGGCGTGTACCGGCGTTCGCTGGCGCATTCTGGCGCGCTCGCAAGCGGCCAGTGCACGGATATGATAGCTCCCTACGTAAGTATCGAGGCAGGATCGCCGCGTTGAGTTAGCGGGGAATCTTGGTCTCGGACGCGAAGCCGAGGAGGTGGTGAGGGTGGTCCGGCATCTGGTGGTGATCTTTTATCTGCTGTACGCTACGAAACGAAAGGTTGGTTACAACGATTGCCGAGTTGATTGAGGGTATGTCATTGCGCACGGCTGAATAACACGGCACGTCCAGCTCTCGAGCCCTCGGTAACGCATGGCACGAAAGGCGGCCGGTGGTGGCCATGGCGCAAGATGGCGTCTCATATTACCCTGATGTGTCCCATATTCGGCGCTCTTTGACCTCAGACGGCTGACAAACACACCCAGTCTGCTATAAGTAGGCTAATTCCTAGGGCCTCTAACTAACCCCTAAACTAGAGCTAAATAGTAACTAAATAGGGTAGGACCTAAATTGGCCACGTTGTGCACGTGACTCTACTGCTTAGTAATGAGCCACTAGATTTCACTGTTCGCCTTGGCATTAACATTGTTCAAGACACATAACAAATCGCCAACCACACTAAGGCGGCCTACGTCTAGTATTATATATGAACAATAATGAGTGAACAGTCCGATGACAGACGAGGCAACAAATTCTAGCAGCCAGCGCCTGCGTGCCTGTGATGCGTGCCGGCGCCGCAAGGTTCGATGCAATGGCCAGCAACGATGTCAACAGTGCAATCATCTGAATCTAGCGTGCATCTACTCAACAAATACCAAAGGGCTATCGAGGAAGAATGCCGCCCAGAGAGGGACGATTATTGATTCGTGTAGGACCAATGCAACTAGAACTCTAACTGGAACCGTAACCCGCTCTACCTCGAGCTCGATCGTGGGTAGCATAGCACCAATTCATCAGCCATACAGCACAATTCACATTCATCCTGATCCGTCGTTTTTTACCTCTTTGGTCCCCGAGTATATGTCGTCAGTCTATCCAGTGAACCCCGTCATCACGGAAAGCGAAGTACGGCATTGCATTCAGCGGATAGGATGTGACAGGGATGGAACATCTTTTCTGTACGCTTATGCTGCCGTAACCATAAACCTATCCAGGATCGATAACGTCCAATTCGCACCAGACGTCCAAGAGCAGATTGGCGACCTGCTCACCAAATCCTTTGAGCATCGGGACCAGCTTGGTCTTAGCGAGCGACCAACAATGCTGCGTGTCATGAGTTCGCTGTTCATCGAGATCTGTCTAATGGGTCTGCGTAAACCCGATCTGGCATTCACGTATCTTCGTGAAACCATCTCGCTACTGTACATGCTTCACGTTGACAAGCCCGAAGTTATGAGCTCCCTGCCGCCACACGAGCGAGGTAGGATAGAACGGGCCTTCTGGGAATGCTTCATCCATGAACGCTTCACAGCCCTGACCGAGTTTAAGCCCATCTGTCTGTACCCTCTACACACACCTCCGTCCCCTGACCCGTTGTTACCTCCTTCGTTGGATCTCGGATGGAGACTACTGATTCAGACCTTCTCGCTCGTTGATCGGGAATTCGTGGACCTTTGGCTAGGGGACCGCTCGCAGGTCACGTCAGAGTTCATCGAGCGGAAGCACCATCAGCTAGATGAATGGCAATGGGAGGTCGAGGTACCGACGCTGTCGCCCATGCAGAAGGCAGACCTGATCATCACCCGCCAGTGGTTGCGCACTGTGACTTGGCAGATGGCCATTTCCAACATCCAGCTGCCGGCCGAGAACCAGTCCGAGTCGCTGTCGCTGTCGCTGCCGCTCCGACTCTCGAGCGAGCTACGGCAGTTTCTGGCGCACATGTCACACGAAGACGTGGGGATACACGGCTCCGGTATCCTGAACAAGCTATTCGAGATCACAAATACCATTGCAGACGTCGTGATCCACTTGCCACAAGCTTCGACTAGCGACACGCTACAGCGGGTGGACGACATCCTGGCGCTCAAGCGGTTCTTGTTCTCATTTGACAGGATCGAAAGAATCCACAAAACCATCATGATGGAGAAGATGGAGAGAATGAAACAAGTATACCCTGCGATGGCCGAGATCGACCTGCTCGTAAACTCGCCCACCATGCTATGAATTACGACTAGATTTGAGCATTTTCCTACATATTTATACCACAGCTAGGAAGTATAGAATTATTAATTGTATTATTCTTAGCAGTCGTCGGGACCTTAACTTTGCACATTTCCTTTTGAGGTGAAGGGTTCAGTTGTAAATATGTAGCATAGAATATTACTAGGCGCGTCAGTCTAGAGTTGTGAACAAGGATGATATTGGAACTAGACTGTGATTAAGGTAAGGCACAGTGAGTTGTCGAAATTTCATCAAGGTTTGATTTTAGAGTTCTAGGATTCGAAGCCAATTTATGATAACTTACTTACATGCAGTTTCATTTTTGTCCCTTTGACGAGATACACTTTTCTTCTGATATATCTTTCCTTCCCTCTCACCTCCATTTAACTAGTCCCGGTCTTCGAATTTTGCAAGATTCTTTCTGTCATCTCTATACAAGGCTAGATTTTATCATAGACTTTTATAATGCCGCTCGAAGTTTAGAAACACTATCTAACCCGCGAAAAGCATACGCCAACCTAGAGTATTGGAGCCCTCAGAGTCTATATCTCATCCACTCCGCTATTAGCGTCCCTCGCAGAGCCGGCCGTTCTCCAGTTCAAAGAATCTACTACTGATGTTTTATTCTCGGTGAAATATTATCCGGTCGAGAAATGTTCAAAGCTCTCCAGGGACGTTAGAAGGTGGGTTTGAACGGACTACGAGTAGAAAAAATCAGGGTGAATTCAGGTTTATCCGCAATTTCCTAGGGTTGCATCACACGGAACTGATATTGCTCGTACAGGTTTCTAGGCAAAGCATGGGTGTAACTTTTGATAAATGATACAAGTAGTCTTCTTCGGAAATTTGCTAATATAATTTAATAATATATGTAAAGTCTAAATGCGCCAGTCTATCCCATAACCAGTCGTAAAAAGCATATTTAAATCATTGCGTTAGATAGATCCTACCCTCGAACGGCCTTAGAGTACCACTAACTTCATCATCGTAGTTCCCAGTCAAACGCTTCAACGTAGAGTCTGAAGGCAGGGCGAGTGACTGATCAGTTTCTGTGAAGTTCAACGCGACAATTGCCTTGCCGTTTGTACCCTTCTTCTCGAAGACAAAGGTGCTGTTGTTCTCCTTGTCAAGGACGGTAAAGATGCCATGAACAAAAGTATTGGATTGCTCCTTTCTCAGTCGGAGCATCTGTTTCCAGAAGGAAAGAATAGAGTTTTTGTCCTGAGCCTCTCGCCTGACGTTCACTTCTGGGTAGTTGTCGTTTACCCGCATCCAAGGCTTGTTGGTGGAGAAACCGCCGTTTTTCGAACCATCCCACTGTATCGGAGTGCGAGCGTGGTCTCTGGCAAGGTGTTGGATTGCGGCCTTTGTGCGAGCGAGAGCAGCAGGATCAGCGTTGGTCTTTGCTTTGACAAAGTTATAATAGTTGTTACTGTCGACATCCTTGTATTCCTCTATCGGCCAGCTCTCGGGAACGTTGGTCATACCGATCTCTTGACCTTGGTAGACAAAGAGGGTACCGGACAAGCTGGCGACAAGCATAGAAAGCATCTTGCCGCTCTTTTCACGACCCTCAGGAGTCTTGTCTGAGCCAAAGCGAGAGATAGACCTAGCCTGGTCGTGATTTTCAAGGAAAGAGGTAGTCCATGCATCAGTTCCCTCGATCAGATCTTGCGTTGTCTCAATCGCATGCTTGAGCATGGGGAGTTCCCACCTCCTTGGAGTGGTGTCGAATTTTTGGTCTGCTCCAAAACCAACATCAACGACGTCGAACATAAAAGTCATGCTCAGTTGCTTGGCTTTGGCAGATACGTAACGAACGACATGGCCCTTGTCGTGAGTGTGCGGAAGCTCACCAACAGTCATGGCTCCGTACTTCTCCAGCACGGTGTTCATCTCAGAGAGATACTCATGCATCCTCGGGCCATTGCAGTACAGGCTGGCTGCAAACTGCCACTTCTCCCCCACGTCTATGACGGGGGCATCCCTGTACTCAGGGTCTTTGCTGTACATATTCACGGTGTCGACGCGGAATCCATCGACTCCCTTACGCAGCCAAAACTCCATGGCGGACTCGTAGATGGCAGCGCGAGTCTCTGCGTTCTCCCAGTTTAGGTCAGGCTGCTCTGTGCAAAATAGGTGAAGATAGTATTCTTGGGTGGCATCGTCCCATTCCCACACGCTTCCGCCAAAGTTGCCGCGCCAGTTGTTTGGGGGGTGGCGATTGCCTTGCTCATCGTACTTGGCTGGACGCCAAATATACCAGTCTCGCTTTGGATGATCCTTTGAAGATCGCGACTCCTTAAACCATTTGTGCTGGTCAGAAGTGTGGTTGACGACAAGGTCAAGTAGGACACGGATACCGCGGGAATGGCAATCCTGGATGAGCTTCTCCATGTCGGCAACGGTACCATATGGCGGGTAAACACTCTCATAATCAGAGATGTCATATCCCATGTCGACCTGAGGGCTGTCGTACATTGGGGACACCCATATGGCGCCTACACCCAAGTCTTCGATGTAGTCGAGTTGTGAAATAATGCCAGGAATATCACCGACGCCATCGCCGTTGGAGTCCTTAAAAGAGGCAGGGTAGATCTGATAGATGGTTGTGTCCTTCCACCATGGATGTTGAGTGACAGTCATATTGGCAACATGTAATGTGGTATGAAACTTCAAAAACGTGTCGATGTTCAGAGAGGGATTTAATTTAAGATGCCGATGACTGAAAGAGACCAGGGCAGCCTTTTATCTTCAATCCCCAAAGACATGCACGGCGAAAAGCCCGTTCTGTTTCACGATGGAGACAATAATTAGGGTGCTGTACCCATCTCGCTCCGACATAGAGCGAATCAGCATCGAGGTGGACCCTTATGGCCTGAGTTTAGTTAGCCCGAGTTTTGGCCCCTTTTCGCCCCACATGACCTCCTGAAGTCGTGGATGCTAGTATTGTTCCCCGCCACTTTAGTTGACTCGATTAGGCTGCCTAGTAAGATGAGGGGAAGATGGGAGGAAGATGGGGGAAGATGGGGGAAGATGGGGGGATGATGGGGAAAGATGGAGAGTAGTCGGTGTGGAGTTGGGAGTCGAGCTGTGACATAGGGGCCGACAAGGGTCATGTCGGACCGACATAGCGTTCGGCCTTATTTTGGTCCATTTTTGGTTGGTGTAACCGTTAGTGCCGATCTAAGACAGGGACAGAGTAACACCCCCGCCATCCGTCATAGAATTTCTCAACTAAACATGTGAAGCAAATAAACTTACACCATCTAGGTGGGATATTGACGCGATTGCCAAGCCAGTCCTAAGCCAGTCCTAAGCCGGTCTGCCATAGTCGCATGGCTGGACACGCATGCATCTCATGGGTGTCCAGCCGTGTTCTCGTTGGAATACACTAAGCGACCCACTATGGGGTATTGGCAGAAAATGCGGGGGACTCAGGGTAATGAGATTCCGAGAGCAGCCATGGGGTCATGGCCAGGGATGGAATTATGGTAAATGATAAAATCATCCGTAGGAACACAGCCTCTGATTCGTTGATTCTCGGGCCGCGTCGACTTTCCTCTGAATTTTGCGTCAACACCATGTTTCCAGGCATGAGCATGTTCTCCATAGACTTAATATATAAAAGTAGATATGTCCCATCGCATTCATATCTTAACAAGCACTTCAACTCTTCTGAACCATTAGCCACATATTGGATCTCCGGAATTGGCCTAAGAAAACTTCACACTTACCTCTCTTCTTTTCGAACGGCAGCTCCCTTGAGCTGGACTCGCACAATGGCTTCTCAAGACAACAATGTCTCTGAGAAGGCCGTCGTCACACTTGACGAAGGTCAATTACGCCGTATGTCTATCAGTAAAGCCGACTACAGCCATATCGCCAATGATGCGGCCAAGGCTGCCAAAGCAGAAACGACGATGACTCTCCGACAAGGACTGAAGATTTACCCTTATGCGGTCTTCTGGTCTATCCTTTTGTCAACCTGCATCGTTATGGAAGGTTTCGACAAAACTCTCCTCAACAACCTCTATGCATACCCGCCATTCCAGAAGAAGTTTGGTGTCCTGCTCGCCAATGGAACTTATGAGCTGACGGTCGCGTGGCAAACGGGTCTGTCCAATGCCGCTTTGGTCGGTGAGATCCTCGGCCTCCTGCTCAACGGTATCGCTGCAGAAAGGTTTGGATACAGGAAGACTATCATCACCGCCATGGTTATGGTTACTGCCTTTATTTTCATCGTCTTCTTTGCCGAGAACGTCATCACAATCCTCGTCGGCCAGGTCCTTCTCGGTGTTCCGTGGGGTATCTTCCAGACTATTACGACCACGTACGCCGCAGAGGTTTGCCCAGTCGCGTTGCGAGGTTACCTGACTACGTATATCAACCTCTGCTGGGTCATGGGTCAATTAATCGCTTCTGGTGTTCTCCGCGGTATGCTCACCCGTGACGACAAGTGGGGATACAAGATCCCATTCGCCTTCCAGTGGATATGGCCAGTCCCAATCATCATCGGTGTTATCTTTGCTCCGGAATCTCCATGGTGGCTCATTCGACGTGAGCGCACAGATGAGGCCAGGAAGGTACTGGTCCGCCTTACCTCAAAGGATCCCAACTTCAACGCCGATGAGACTATTGCTATGATGGAGCACACCAACGCCATGGAGAAGGCCCACAACGCTGGCACATCATACTTAGACTGCTTCAAGGGCACCAACCTTAGGCGCACTGAAATTGTTTGCTTTACGTGGGCAGTCCAGACTCTTTGCGGCAGCACGTTCATGGGATTTTCAACCTACTTCTACCGCCAGGCTGGTCTTGGTGTCGAGCACGCATTTACAATGAGTTTAGCCCAGTACGCTCTTGGTGCGATAGGGACCATCTTCTCCTGGATTTTGATGAGCTGGTTCGGTAGACGCACTCTCTATCTTTGGGGTCAGTTTCTCATGTGTGCTTTTCTGTTCATCATCGGCTGCCTCGGAATCATATCTCGCGAAAACATTGGGGCGCAGTGGGCCATCGGGTCCATGCTTCTCATTTACACCTTCATATATGATGCTACCATCGGACCAGTCTGCTACTCGCTCGTCGCCGAGCTCTCCTCCAACCGTCTGCGTGCTAAGACGGTCGTCCTTGCCCGTATCCTCTACAACATCACCGGCCTCGCCACCAACATCATCACTCCTCGCATGTTGAACCCAACCGCCTGGAATTGGGGTGCAAAAGCTGGATACTTCTGGGCTGGTTCCTGCCTTCTCTGTACGCTCTGGACTTACTTCCGTCTTCCAGAACCGGCCGGTCGCACGTACGGAGAGCTGGATGTCCTTTTTGAACAGAAGGTCTCGGCTCGCAAGTTCAAGAGCACTCTCGCTGATCCATTCCTTGCCTTGCAGGCTGAAAGAGAAGCCTACGGTCTGGAGTCTGATGTCGAAGCGGAGAAAGTGGGTCCTACCGTCGAGAGGGTTGAGCGTGCTTGAGATAATTTTAACGGAGCTGGCGCGTGTTAGAGACTAGTGTGTGTTGAGAGTTATGCAATTATGGAATGCAACCTTCCTTGGAAATCGTTTCGTACAATAGGCTATACTAAATATCTTCTTCAAATAATCTTATTCTACCCTGATTCCGCATAATGCATGACTATTGCTAGCACAATAGATCTAGCAAGTGTTAGATATCAGTGACACAGTAGAATTCAACTTTCGCAGACAATCTTGATTTACAATATCTTCATCTTGCCATCTAAGAAAGCGGAGGAACAAACAAATTCATAGGTGATGTAGTCGACTATATTCGCAAATGTTAGATTCGGTCGCGCGATATGCTGTGATGCTATGATAGTTGCTAAGGCAGAAGAGCTGCGCATAGTAATGACTCGTAAGCTAATCGTAGTGTAAGCTGACCTGCTCTACCTGCTCAACAACATCCCTCTCATCTTGTAGCTCCTGCGCCTGCTGTTGACTAACTGATCCCACTTGCTGTAGTCGTGTTTTCCTAGCCCTCCTACGCTTACTTAGTACTTCATTTGCCTGTCGTAGGTTTTAGTAGAACGAGCAGACTGAGATCAAGGAACTCTTCCAAATCACTTGGCAGTCTCTGTATAATTGAGAAAGACCTTGGCGCGCCAAAGCAATGAAATCACTATTAAAAGGGTAGATATAGAGGCTAGCTAGTATAGTCATTACCACGGAGCAATAGCTCCATCGTACTGGTTATTTCCTGCATTCTTCTCCCAACCCTTAACCAGAACCTTTGGCATCAGCCCATTGTACTTCTGCCCTGGTGTAAAGATAATATCCAACGAAGCCTTTGCACCTTGCTCGGCTGTCAAGTCGGCCATGTTGCCACCACCGAGATCGGTTTTCATCCACTAAGACGGCAGTCTCTTAGTATTATTCGACATTGTAGAGGGAAGAGAGAAGGGGTACGTACGCCAGGGCACAGGGCGATGAAGCTAAATCCTTCTTTTTCATGGTCGAGAGCGTATTGGACGGTGAGGGCATTCATTGCCGCTTTCGATATCTTGTAGGCTGGGGCGGGGAGGTAATGGGCTGCAGGAGCTAGAGTAGTAGAGCCGAGGGTGGTAGAGCTTGGTCCAGTTAGAAACTAAAATGGTATTGATAAAGGAGTGATTATTCATCTTACATATTAGCAACCTTTTTGAGGCTGCCCTTCCGTAGAAGTGGAAGGAAAGCTTGGGTCACCCAGTGGACGCCGAGGACATTGATGGCAAAGCTTTCCTCGAGATTATCCCTTGAAGAGCTTTAAGTTAGCAGACCGGGGTAAATTTACCAGCAAAGAAAGTGATAAAATGCGTACATAGACTTCACTCCGTCAGCAGCATATTGGCAGACGCCAGCATTGTTGATCAAAACGTCCAGCCCCTTGCCATCTAGTTTCGCATCGACTTCGGCTGCTGCTAGCTTGATGGACTCTGGGTGGGTTACGTCAAGCTTGACAACGACAACCCGACCAGAAGAGCTCTTCGCAAGCTCATCTAAGTCGGGGGAATCTCCCCGCGCTGACGCGAAGACCTTGCTAACGTCTGTGTCAGGGAGAGAAACAAGCTCGCGGGCAAGTGCTAGACCGAATCCTCTCGAGGCACCGGTAATGAGGAAAGAAGCCATTGTGATTGAGAATATGCCGTAAAGTAACGATAGGCGTCTTAGACTAAACAGTGAAAACTGCGGGGTGAGGTAGTAGGAGGGTAATTCAGCGTCAGAGATGACCGATATTACGTTCTTTATAGTAATTATAGAGAGCTCCTCCTGTCTCTCCAGGCTCCGTTTACAGGGGGTGATTTTGTAAGAGACAGTCCATTTGTAAGTCAGGCTTCAGTATTTACGCGAAGAGGAATTTATAAGCCTGCGCCGGTTGAGATAACATAAGCAATACTTTAAGATGTGATTGCAGAGATCTGCTGGGAATAGCATTAATAAGATTTGTTGGCCGAAGTCTTTGGGCAGGCATGTTGTTGGAACTTCCAGAAGTAGTAAAGTCGTATGTATAGTACGGACATAGCTGTTAAATCCGCTTGCGTTTCCCAGTGCAAGGCCCGCGTTCTGATCATGACAAACCAGACTGTATTGCATCCTCTTAACATATCGTGGTAACTCTTGTCTTCCAACTTCTATAGCTCTAGTCTTACTTGCCAGAAATTTGAAGGCTGCCGTCTCATCATGGACAATATGCCTTCAGCCTCAGGTCCGGCCGGGCCATCTTCCCGCCGAGGTTACGAAACCTACCAACAACACATCAATGCATTTCCAGGGATCATGCACATTCATTGATAATACGCGCGTCTTAGGGGAGAGTATATAGAACCTCATTGGTCCATTTGCGCCTGCTGCTCTATTACTGTCAGCGTTGTCCTACCCCAACTGACATTACCCATACTCACACCTGCATTCCTGCATTATCTTACACTTTCCTGCTTCCCCAATTCTTAATATATCTTCAATTCCCCCAATTCAAAATTCCATCTAGATAGCCCTTCCTTTCTGCCAAACCTCATCTAATACTACAGATTAAATCAACCATTCTCGCATCTCTCATCCTGTATTAAGAGCAGAACAATGAGCACCGAGCTCCCACCAACCCCGCCATGTCTTGCCTGGAACCACAGAATCCCCAACCCATTCGGGTACCAACCATCACTTCCAGCAGCCATCATCTTTTCCACAATCTTCCTCGGCGTATTGGTCACACATAGCTACCAAGCCTATCATTTCCGAAAGCTCTGGCTCATCACATTTGTGCTAGGTACCCTCGGCGAGCTGTCGGGTTGGGTGTCGCGCATTGGTTCCCATGCATGTCCTTACTCAGTTCAGTCGTTCGAAGCCCAGCTTGCATCCCTGATTATGGGTAAGTCTCTTAATAAGAAAAACTCGACGACATCCCCATTTAATTTCAAACCCAGCTCCTGCCTTCACGACTGCTGGAATTTATTCTATCTTAGCTCTGATGATCCCAGTCATTGGCTACAACACATCACCTCTGAAACCCAGGCTCTACTTGATTATCTTTCTGACCGTGGATTTCTTCTCTCTGCTCCTGCAGGGTATTGGTGGTGGTATGGCTGGCGCTGCCTTTAGCAAAAAACAGGATACGACGACGGCTACTACTATTATGGTCACTGGCATAATCTTCCAACTAGGCTCGACTTGTGTGTTTGCGACTCTCTACGAGCTCGTGCTTTACCGCGGTAGGAACGTGCTTCTGAGGAACCGACCTCTGCTGATATTGTCGTCTGCGACCCTCCTGTCGGTGACTTGCATGGTGATACGTGGCATATACCGGTCTATGGAGCTACTCCAGGGTTGGAGAGGCTATGTGGCAACAAACGAGAGATTTGCAATTGCCTTGGAAGGGAGCTTGATGGCTATCTCCCTTGTTAGCTTCAATTTCTTCAACCCTGAGCGATTAATCAGGGAGGCAAGGGTGGTTGCTGCTGAGAATGAGAATCAGGGTTTTTTGACGATGGAACTCGATAGAAGAGACAAAGCCCGGAAGTCGAGAGGTGACACAACGGGCGTGGTTGGAGAAGTCGGTGGTATAGACGAACTTAGTTGACGGGCCGAGCTCTCGGATGTGAGAAGCCAGAGCAGACCGAGGATCAAGGAACCCCTGTGTATAATTTTGTAAGAAAAACTACCATCGGTTTTGTTACACACTACCAAAAGCCATCCCCTTAGGAATCTCCTTCCACTGCCCCGTCTTCATATCCAGCAGTTCCTTCGCCTCCTCCCACTCCCTCTCCACCATTGCCGCCCTCTCCTTACTTGTCGGCACAATATCGCACACAAACTCCTCAGGCATGCACACGAACCCCTGTGTCAGCCTCTCCGCATCTGGCAGGACATCATTCCCCGCCGCATCCTTCCTTGGTCTGATCTCAAACGCCCACAGAATCCGTGATATCGCGATGAACAGACTGCGCTCAGCGACATGGATACCAGGACAGATGCGACGCCCAGCGCCAAAGGTGAATTGATCGCGCTTGGACGCGTCGGGGTTTGCGGCCGATTCGCCGAGAGATTGGAAATCCTCGGCGTACCGCTCTGGTTGGAACTGTCGGGGGTTTGGGAACCGAACGGGGTCCATGTTGATGGTGTAGACGTTATTCATAACACCTGCTCCGGCGGGTATCGTGTAGCCCTGGTAAATATCGTCCTTTGTGACGGCATGTGGTACCGCTCCGAGGATGGTGGTTGGCATCCAGCGGAGAGACTCCTTCATGATACCGCGGATGTACTGGAGGTCTTTCTCATCCTCCATAGTAGGAAGGCGATTGGGCCCAACGACCTTCTCGATCTCGGCCTTCGCTTTCCTCTGGACTTCTGGGAAGAGGAGCATGGCTTGCACGAAGGCGTAGATGGTTGAAGAGGTCGTGTCTGAGCCGGCCTCGAGGACAGTGCCGGATATGTAGCCAGCTTGGTTGTCTGAAAATCCCTCGTTGGCTTGGGAGCGAGCGAGGTCGACGCAGAAGCATGGCTTGGCTGAGCCATCTTTGATGGTTTGCTTGGCCTTCAGCCAATGCCCAACGTATAGCTCTTTCTCAATACGGTGTAGCTCGCGAGCCTTAGCTTGCGCTGTGAGGATAAACTCAGGGAGGTAGCGCAGAATGGGATAGTAGTCAATGATGGCTGCAGTGCCTGTTTGGTTGAGTACGGCAAACTTCTCGAAGCCTGAGAAGAGCTGTTGCAGCTTTGGGTCTTCATGAGAAGGGGTGCGCCAGCCGAAAGTCATCGCTGTTGTTAGGGAGTTGGAGTAGCGGCGGATTGCTTGCAGAACATTTTGAGGCTCGTGCAGGATCTCATGAAGCATTTGCTTGTTCTCGAGCATTTGGTACGGGACGTAAGAGCGGGCGGAAGAGACGTTGAGGAGGTTGTGGGTGAGCTTGCGGCTCATGCGCCATGTTGGTCCGTATTTCTGGGTTGCGTTAATTATTAGTAGAGATTAGCATAGAGAGAGGATATACCATCATCAATACACGGAGCCCGCCAGAGCATAACTCCTGTCCAATGTACATGTCCTGACGATCACTGTAAATGGCACTCTTCTTGTCCAAGAGATCCTTAACGGCCTGATCACTCGACAGGACGATCAAAGTCTTCGTTCCTAGGATCAAACTGTACACCGGACCATACTCCTTCGCCCATTTTTGGAACTGGAGGTGAGCATCACGTTTTGGCATTAAATGCAGATTACCAAGAATTGGGATTGTCGGTGGTCCTGGGGGGTAATTCGAAGGTCTTCTTCCAATGCGCAGGATGCGAACGAGGGAGACGACAAAGATGATGGCCGAAGTCACTAGCGTTAATGATGAATAGGTGAACAACGCCATGATGATTATATAAAGCTCTCTTGAGCGGCAGAGGAACCAAGAGGAAAATAACCTGGGAAGGTAAGAGGTGAGTAGGAAATTCGCTACGGGGGAACTAGAGATTTATATATGAGAATCTCTCTAGCCAGTAAGGATAGGGATATATGCCCCCAGAATACTTAGGTTATAGATTGAGGAAAGGAAAAATGCTAGGGAAAGGCAGGTATATCGATTATTCTGTAGGATGTAGAAGAGGGGCCATGATGCGGGGAACGCTTAAAAAAAATGCGGAGTATGCATTAAAAGTGCGGAGAGAAAATGGGGAATTCATCGATCATCATCGGCATTATGGAGAAGTTGATTGGTCCAGGCTGATTCTCGCCCATACTAGTGCAGATAATACTGCCGTTCTATCTGCCACCATTTGACGATCACTCGTCCCGAAAGCTCGGGCCAACCCCTAAACCTGGTTACCCCGCAAAGATCGCTGTTCCAACGTACTTTCTGCCAATCACTACAGTACACATGCCGATTTCTTAGAACCCAAGAAACAAAGACCGATCTATCTTGGCTAGTTGTAAGAAATTGCTCTAATCAAGATTGGCTTGTCTCTGTAATATGAAGTCGTAGTGCCGTGGATGTCTACCGGAGAACTCGGCGAGTTATACGTTGGCTAACGGGGAAAAGATAAATAGACAAAGAGACGAAAAAATACGAAAGGAGTATCCCAATTGAAATACCAGGACAATACTTTATATTCCCCATCGCAATGCTTACCGACGCTCTCGTGGTGTCTAAGCCAGGGGCACCATTTAAGTTTCAGAAGATTGAGGTGAATGACAATCTCCGCGACAATGAGGTCTTGATTAGAATGAAAGCCACCGGCGTCTGCCACACAGACCTGAATTTCAGCAACGAAACTAGCATCCCAGGGTTGTTTCCTGCTGTATTTGGCCATGAAGGTAGACCGTTTTACTCTTTATATGAATTCTTATTTCCCCAAAGTGATTGTGTTTGCCCACATAATATATGGCAGCTATATGTAGGGCACACAGACCTGCATCGTTGTCCACCGACTTTGTTCTCTATTTCCTTAATCATCACTACTTGTCTCAGCTAACACCTACCTTAGGAGCCGGAACGGTCATCTCCATTGGCTCCTCCGTCACCACCCTATCCCCCGGCGACAACGTCCTCACCTCATACACATCCTGCGGCGCCTGCACCAACTGCTCCTCCCGCCACACCTCCTTCTGCCGAGACTGGGAGCGTGACAACTTCGGCGTCGGCCGCTCCGACGGCTCAAAAGCCTACTCCTCCACCTCCGGCGAGGCAGTCACATCCCACTTCTTCGGCCAAAGCAGTTTCTCCAGCCACGCCGTCGTGACGGAGCGCAGCATCATCAAAGTCCCATCCGACGCCCCCCTCCAGCTCTTAGCACCGCTAGGATGCGGAATCATGACCGGCGCGGGCGCGATGCTGAATGTCGTCAAGCCGACCTCGACCTCGATCGTTGCGGTCGTCGGCGCTGGTGCGGTGGGATTAGCCGCCATCATGGCGCTGAAGTTGAATAAAGAGGAGCAGCCGAAAATGGTCATTGCTGTTGATCTCATCCAGGCGAGGCTGGATATGGCGAGGAAGTACGGCGCGACGCATGTTATCAACTCGGCTGAGGTCAAGGATCTAAAAGCTGCGTTGCTGGAACTCACGGATGGAGAGGGTGTAAGTGGGTCGATCGATTGTACGGGGCGGGCGGATGTGGTTAATACGCTTATGGAGGCGACGGCGAAGAGGGGTACGGTTGTTAGTGTTGGTGTTGGGAAGGTGAGATGCTTATTACCCTAACCCGTGAGCCTTGATCACACTGCTGACTTTCGATGAGCTTGACGCCACCGTGTCGGCGAATATCTTCAACACGGTTAACTCGGGGCGCATCTATACCGGCTGCTGTATGGGTAGCTGCTACCCGCAAGAGTTTATCCCGATGCTTGTTGAGGCGTGGAAGCGGGGGGATTTTCCATTTACGGAGTTGATCAAGACTTATCCGGCAGAGGAGATGGATAAGGCTGTTGAGGCGGTCCTTGATGGATCTGTGGTGAAGGCTGTTTTGACTTGGGAGTAGGCGGAGCATATATAAACAGTGGAATGTCATACATGGCACAGCAGACAGGGTGCCCAGGTGGTGTAGTTAAACAAAAGTAGCTTCAGCTTTAGAACCACTCACGCGATACAACAACTAGTTATCAAGTTTCCATCAACGGGAACCTCAATTGATTGACGATGTCCAAGCTCCTCTTATACCTCTCGAGGAGCTTGGGGATATATACAGAGGAGATGCGTGAATTGACGGACGTAACCCCTCGATGGGATAGGGATAGATAGGGATGGGTCACCCCGCCATCGACGGCTTGGTTCAACGACAATCCATTCCCAACTTCACATTGGGTAATAGTAGGATGCCTCTCTACTAAACGTCTAAGTTAGGAAGGCGCGAATGACACAACCTGTCCATCGCGCCTTTCCAGTTACCCAAAAACCTCAAGTCCCCTCGTCTCTTTTCCGTGTTCAAAGTTGTCTCATCCTGCCACCATCTCCGGCAGCGATGCCCAATTCTCTTTCGTCCATGGTTGTATGTGACAATCATGCGTGTGCTGGGGACTAAATATAACTGCTGACTGCTCTTATGCTGGCCCAGGGCGAGAACTGAAAAACATACATGCATCTTCCCATCTCTTATCTCCCCACCTTCCCCATCGCGGGGATCGGCTATCTCATCTTCTATCTCGCCCCGCCTTATGCAATGGGAGATAACGTCGCACACACAATAGCGGCGACATGTCCCCAGATTCTCCGCGCATTCCGCTTATCTATCTATGTACACCCTGTCACTACGGATAGCGAACGTTCGCGCCGGGAGCTGTGCAGTTGAGGGCTGGGGAATGGGTCTTGTGAGGTCGGGGTGGCGGGGGGATGGGTTTGTAGGGCTGTGGTGGCTGATAAGAGGCTTGATGATCGCCCGTCTTGCCGTTCTTGCCCGGATTCTGTGTCGCGCCGAGGTGAGTGTAGAAGGTGCCCTAGAGTTGTACTTGTTGGGTCTGCGATTTGTTTTGCAGCACAACGACTATGCAGGCCTGACAGTTACATATGCGCCAGTTGATGATGAGTCAAACATGAGTCCCCAAAGTTCGAATGTGAATGCATCTGAATCAATTGATTTTAGACGAGTTCTGGGAGAGCAAAACCTCTAATTCCAAAACTCTAAGCCCCATCTAGCCATTTTTTCTTTCCCATCGCTGTCACACAGCTATAGACAAGCAATTCCTCTAAACACCAAATCTCTGCATAGCAAAACAACCTCACCCAGCGCACTCGCACTCAAACGCCTCCAACTCCCCTCCCCCATCCTTGTACCTACAACTCCCTCCCCTTACTCCTCCCTACCCTTCCCCTTCCCAACCACAACCTCCATCTCCCCCCCCCCTTCCTCCTCCATCTCCATCCCCTCCCCCTCCTCCACCTCCTCCTCCTCCTCATCATACCTCGGCCACTCAACCCCCCACCCCTCCTCCCCCCTAACCCTAAACGCCACCACCCCCCCTTCCGCCACCCCAACACCCTTCATCCCCTCCCCCCCCTCCTCCGCCCAATCAATCTCCCTCCACCCCGCCGCGGGATCATACGCATCATTCGGGACCGCCAACTCTATCTCCTCCACCGACTTCGGTAGCGGTGTGAGAGTTTCCACCACCACCACCTCCATTTCATCGTCACCCTCACCATCCTCATCCTCATCCTCAGCGTCGCCGGTACCAGAGACCCCGGCGGCACGGGAGGTGACCGGGTCGCGCCTGGTAGTGGTAGTCAAGATCGGCAAACCATGAGGATACCGCTCTTGCAGCGCGGAGAGGAGGTCTGCAACCAGCGTCGAGAGGGGGGTGATGGGGGAGGCGAGGAGGAGGATGGTGGTGCGGGCGTGTTTGAGGCGGAGGTAAGTTGATGGGGGGGTGGGTTTTTTGGGAGGCTGTGGAGGGGGATGTGTTAGTTGGTTGGTCTTTGCTATGGGGGAGGGGAGGGGGAGGGGAGTAAAGGTGGTACCATTTTTGCTTGCCTGGGAGTGGTTTGGGTGAGGTGTGTGTGGTGTGGTGTTTGAGGGTTGTTTGTGAGTGAGTGAGTGAGATGGGTGAGGTGGGTGGATATGATGTGTGGTCAAGATTGGGGAGAACAGAGAAAGGCTGTTCCTGGAGGACCAATACGCTGGTGTGGTGTAGATTTCGAGTTGTTTATTCGTTATCAAAGAGTTGGTACAGCTCTATATTTTTCGTGGCACATACACACAATCTACGTGACCAAGAATCCGAAGTTGTTCGTGAAGAACCTCACTCGCATCTCGCCCCGTAACCAAACCTCACCCAACCGCCAAGCCCTCCACCACCAAAACCCCCCCCGCGCCAACCCGCGCGCAAAGAACGCGTCATCACGTGACTCCACCTACCAAAAAAGATCCCTGAACCGAGGAATCCATATATACGCCCCAAAATCCCATCCCGCATCCCTGTCACTACGAAGCTCCAAAGCTTCAACACCCCCAAAAAATGGCGTCAGATCCGCCCAACCCGGCCATAATGGCGACGACGACGACGCCCAATCCCAGCGCCGAGGGGAATTCAGACCCGAAACCAAACACCACCACCCCCACCGACGCCGACGACTGGACCCCCGCCCAAAAAGAAGCTCTTCAAGCGCACCTCTCCGCCCTCCGCACCTCCCGCACCGCCGACGCGCGCCTCTCCCTCCCCCCCCCCCAGCGCCTCCTCCTCGGCACCAGCACCGCCTTCCTCGTCGGCTTAACTCTCGGGGGCTCCCACGGATTCGGACTCGCCGGTTTACGGTTCCGTGCAGAGAACGCGCATCGCTTGCCGAAGGAACCGACGGGGTGGTATTTATATCATAAGAGCAAGAATTATAAGATGTTGCTTGAGGGGGTTAAGGAGGGGGTGAGGATGGGGGGGAGGGTGGCGGTGTGGACGGCGCTGTTTTTGGGGACGGAGGAGGTGCTGGATGTGGTGAGGGGGGGGAGGGATGCGGGGAGTACGGTTGTGGCGAGTTTGACGGTGGCGGGGGGGTTTAGTTTGTGGAGTAAGTTTTATTTTCCGTTTGTGTTTTTTTCTTTTGGGTGGTGTTGGTGATGGTGATGGTGATGGTGTGTGACACGGGGATGAGGGCTAGATGTGGGAGGGAAGGAGCGAGGCTAGAGTGCCTCGTCCGTCGAGAGGGGGAAAGTGCGCCAGAGGGGAAGAGGAAAGGCGATGCGATGGTTGTCTCATCCGGGGAGGTAGGAGCGATACACCGGCGCCTCGTCTGAGAAGGAAGGTGCGCCGGGCGGTAAGAGAGAGCAGCTACGTGGAACATCGTGAGAGGGGAAAGAGCGACACGGGAGTACCTGGTCGGCGGGGAAGGCACGATGGATGGATCTACTAAGCCATTGCGCCATGTAAGGAAAGAGCGACGCGCAACAGCCGACTGCGCGAGTGCCTGAGGGATGGAAGGAGCGTTGTTGGTTTCGGTGTTGGATTTTTTTTGTTGATCATATGACCTACCTACCTGAAAGAAAGACACATTTGCTGACGAACTTACCACCACACAGACCGCTTTCCGATGGCTACGGCGGCGCGGACGGCGAAGACGGGGCTTGCGATCGGGTTGGCGTATGGGTTGGCGCAGGATGCGGTTGGGGCGTTGCGGGGGAGGAGGCCTGGGTATGTGGATTTTGTGATGGGGAGGAGGGGGGAGGGGGGGAGGGAGAGCACGACATTATGAGGGGTGGATGGCTGGGGATACGGGGATACGGAGGAGGAGGGGTGAGGAAGACTGATTGAACGCGAATACGTGAGAAGAGGGATTGAAGGAATACCTGAGAAGAGCGATTGGGCACGAATGGGTGAAAAGGAGCGAATGAACGCGCATTGTCGAAGAACAGCGATTGAGCGCGAAATACTGAAGAACAGCGATTGATTGAGGAGGATATACCAATTGGAGACGAAGAAGAAGCGAAGAGGAAAGAATTGAAATGGGAGGGAGTGAGGGAGTGAGGGAGTGAGGGAGTGAGGACAAGAGGACGGTGACAAAGCGGAGAAAGAACAACGGCCACGCCGCCTCATCACCCTCTCCCTCGTGACTCTCTCCCCTCACAAGAAGCAAAGAAAAGCCAACTAATCCAAACCCCAACTCAGCACCTGCGCACCACCACCTGCATTCGGCCCGCCTGCATTGGTGCGTGTCTTGGTGTCTTAGAAGTCAATCCCGATAACGGCAGCACCGGTCTCGCCTGATGAGGTTTGGGGAGGGTCGTGGGTTCGGGGATGACACCTGGATGACAGTGGATGACACTCGGAAATGGTGAATTGGATGATTGTATGGGGAAAGACTCAGCGAGTATATGCGAGGGGAGATGCACACAAGTACCGTTGGTTTGCATTACGGAGTGTAAGAGTTGTAGTTGTTAGTAGTGTTTTAGTAGTGTTTAGTAGTGTTAGTAGTAAAAAGAGTGGCTCGACTGGGCCCGTTGGCGCTGGTGAAAAGCTTCAAGTCGGAAATATGTGGGGGGGTGGAGGTAGAGAGGTAGGGGCCACAAGGGCCATGATGGGGATAATGGGGGCTGGAGTTACTGTATCAGGCCCATCTGTGGGTAAGAAGAGGTAAAAAGGGTCAGGTGACACCGGCTAGAATCGCGAGTCGGTATGGATCATTCAATAGACTTTGCAATTCATTACTCACTCCCGCTGCAGTGGCGTAGGGTATTTTGACTGTTTTAGGTTTAGCCCCATAGACATCACCAACACAATGGCACACTGTGCTCCTTTCCCGTAGATTCCGTAGACGCAATGTCACCTTCCCCGTAATTTAGTCGCCTTCTATCTCGGCTTTCGTCGGGGCGATGTCCTTTATCTTGTCTGGACCCTCTCGAAGTTAGTGCGACTATGCGACTATGCGACCATACTAACGGATACAGAGCCTAAAGATAGCGTAAGTAGTGTCAAAGTAGTGCATGTACTCTACTTATCTTTTTTTCTATCTTCTTTTTTCTATCTTTGGTCTTTTGGTAGCTGTACTAGGCTGCATTAACCGTGATATATGGTGATGGTGGTGCATGTGGTGTAATCTGGTCTATTATCTGGTGGGGGGTGGGGGGGAAAGGGAAACAATGGATAACAACAAGAGGCCACAGGGAAAATGGGGGGAAATGTCTGGTGTTTTTGCCATTGAACTATGGCATTTGGAGGGGTATGGTATGTAATGGTCTGTATACCTCATAAAGTGTATGTATGTGTGTATATTGTATGTGTGTATACTGTATATCTTGTATTATCTGTATATCTGCATATCTTGTATTATCTGTAGAGCTGTATACCAATTGTATATCCTGTATTATCTTGTATTATCTGTATTATCTCTGCTCTCTATACACAATTGTATACCCCCCTTCCCCCCAGATAAGCCCATACCAATTGCCTCCCCTCCCACCCTCCGCCCACCACGCCCAAGCTTATCCGTACCTCCGCCACCCAATTCCTACCAATTCCTACGTGCACGGTACATTTCCAACCACCACCAGCTGACGCCGCCTCCAACACTCCCCAAGTACCACAAAGGCGATTACGACTTCGAACCACCTCCCACCACCAACCCCGACCGAAACCACCGAACCACCTGCTCCCCCTCCACACACTTTCCCACCTTACACACCAATTCCATTACACACTCACTACCACAACAACCCACCTGATGCCGCAGAAAAAAAAAAGACTACACTTACACATACACCCACCACCACACCAGCACCCACCCACCCGCCCCATCCCCGACCGACGGACCCACGATCGTCTACGCCGAAGTCGCTGTCCTTATGCCATGAGGTGTGTAGTAGTCTCGGCCTGCGATGGGTCTCGGCTTTGTGTTGACTAGCTGTGCTGTGTGTGCTGTGCCTGGATTGTGTGTGTAAGAAGGAAAAAGTGGCGTGTGATGCCATGTGTAGTGCGGGTGTGTGGTGAGATGACTGTAGGTAAAGGAAAATAAGGTGTGTAGGCCACCAACGGCTCTCGTACGGTTTCCCCTCCACCCTCTCCCCCTCCACACCATACGGGTGGGTGCGTGCCGTATCATGGTGGTGGCGGCTGTATATATATAAAGGTAGGTGGGATGCCCAGGTATGTTGTGACGTGGTTCTATCTTCTGTTATCGGTATTATTCATCATCATCGAGTCTGGTCATCTTTCTTGCTCTTGCTTAGACTCCTACTGCCGCTCATACATCTCTATCGTTGTTGTTGCTGTTGCTGTTGCTGTTGCTGTTGTTATTGCCGTTGCCACTATCTGCCGTCATTGTCTGCGCGAGGAAGGAACGACCAAAGAGAGAGATTGGAAGCAAGCGATATACCCGGAGATATTTTTGTTCGCGGAGGTGAAGTCGGATCAATCAACTGTGAGGTTGAGGTGAAGTCGAACTATCGGACCTTCATTTGAAGTCTACCTACCACCGCGATCGTGAGCTTCATTGACGTACATCGCCTACACTACTACCACACCAACCGACCGAGGTATATCCCGGACTGCTATAACACCCACTCAGATACACACGCATCGACTTCACTCCATCGAGCGCACAGCTTTCACACCGCGTCTCTTTGACTGCTCTCCTAGCGAGACACTCCAGTCACCTCATCTCACCTCACTCACCCCATTGTCCATACCCACCACACACACAATGGCCGGCAAATCCCCACCCATGATGAAGCTGAAGCTGGCCACATCCGGCACAAAAATCAGCCAAAACGCCCCCTACCCCCGCGGTCTCTCCTCCCGCACCCTCCAACGCCAGGCCGCAGCATCCACCTCCTTCCCCAACGACACCCTCTCCCAACTCACCACCCCCCCAACCACCACCCCCCGCCCCAAACTCCCCCCCCTCTCCATCCTCCCCCTCCCCCTCCTCCTCCGCAACATCCTCATCTCCTCCATCTCCTCCTCTCGCCTCCTCCTCCCCCCCTCCCTCGCAATCCTCTCCTACCTCGCCTCCTCCCCCTCCGCCTTCCTAAACCCCGACCGCAACCCCCTCCTCCGCGCCCTCCTCAAGCGCACCTTCTACGCCCACTTCTGCGCCGGCGAGACCCCCACCGAAGTCTCCCGCACCATCGACTCCCTAAAGTCCATGGGCTACAAAGGCGTCATGCTCTGCTACGCCCGTGAAGTCGTCCTCGACGCCAACGCCGCCGCTGCCCTCGAAGCATCAGGCGGGAAAGCCACCGCGGCAACAATCACAAACGAAATCCTCCCCTGGAAACAAGGGACTCTCAAGACCGTCTCCCTCGTCGCCCCCGGCGGATTCGTGGCTGTCAAACTCACAGGCGCGGGAAGCCAAGCCCTCTACAACCTCTCGCACAACCTCGCACCCAGCCCCGCTCTCGAAGACGCAATCACATCCGTCTGTGACCTCGCTGCGGCCCGCGGCGTCCGCCTCGTATTCGACGCTGAGCAGGCCGCGCTCCAGACTGGCATCGACTCCTGGGTCCTCGATCTGATGAGGCGCTACAACAAGGAATCCGCGGTGGTCTACTCAACATACCAAGCCTACCTCAAGGGCTGCCCCGCAGTCCTCGCGCGCCACCTCGCCGTCGCAAGAAAGGAGGGGTTCGTGGCCGGCGTGAAATTAGTGAGGGGGGCGTATATCAACTCCGATCCACGACACCTCATCAACGACACGAAGGAGGACACGGATATAATGTACGACGCCCTCGCCGAGTCCGTCCTGCGCCGCACCTACAACTCTGTTCTCCTCCCTGCAAGTACCGAAGAAGCAGACAAATTCCCAGAAGTCAGCCTCGCCCTCGCCTCGCACAATCCCGAGTCAGTCCGCCGCGCCATGGCCGTCCAAGAATCCCAAGCCGCCAAGGGCGAAGCACGCGTAGAACTCGTATACGGCCAACTCCAGGGTATGGCTGACGAAGTGAGCTGCGAGCTTGTCCAGCGCGCTGTCGAGGTCGAGGGACAGGTCGTCGTGGGGGGGGAGGAGAAGACGGTGGTGCCGCAGGCGTATAAGTACCTGGTTTGGGGGACGACGGGGGAATGTATGAAGTACCTTGCCCGCAGGGGGCAGGAGAATAAGGATGCGGTTGAGCGCACTAGGGAGGGGAGGGATTTGATGGCTAGGGAGGCGGTGAGGAGGGTTAGGGGGGTTTTTGGGTGGTAGATTTTTTTTCTTCCTTCTTCTTTCCGTTTCGAGTTGGGGGAGTACAGACGGTATTGAAAATGCGAGATTTGGTGGATTTGGAAAATGGGGGGAGGCGGGGGGTGAAGTTGATTCGTGTTTTTTGCAATACAAAGCGCTAGATTGGAGCGTTTGTTGGGAGTTCGGGAAGATTGTCATCGCGTTTTGGTTTTTTTTTTGGGAAGCTCATCATCTTACCATTTTTGGTATTGGAGCTGGGAGTTTTTTTGAAGTTTGTTTTGCTCAGCGATCCTGTTCTCATGGGAAAGAATGATAGAGAAGCAAAGATTGGTTTTGAGTTTTGAGAATTTTAATTTATAATTTCATGAAATGAAATGAGCTTGCTGTGTGTCTTTGTTTGGTGTTGAGTGAGGTGTTTTTTTGGGTTGATGGCGTGGGGTGGGATATTTTGGGGTCTGGAGTTTCTGGTGATGAGGGGGGTGTGGTAGTACGAGTCCTAAATGGGGGAATAATGATGATAGAGAGGGAAGATGATGAAATACGGTGTCTTTGGTGCTGAGTGGATTGTTGTGGTTTCAGTCGTGAGGGTGCACACTTTGGGGGTTCCAGCCTTGGTTGTGACGATGAGGGTAGTCTCCATTCCTCATCCCCAAATATAACAACTTTTACTTTCAAAGCTTTCGGTCTTTCTTTGAACTATATATCTAGTATCCAATCCAAGGCCCGTCCCGCCTTCCCGCAATCCTAAACCAAAATCGCCTCCACCCCTTTGTCCCCCCTGCCGCCCCCTTGCTCCCGGCGAGCAAAATCCCCATCACATCACCATCACCAGCCCTCCCACCCCTATAAGCAAAATTCACTTGAATAGTATAGTATACACTTATCGTGCCTGTAAATAATTGTCCAGCCCCACTTAGCAAGATAAGCAGGAACTGAATGCCTTTGTTCGACACCGCATGAAGTGGGGCGGCAAGGGCGGCTGGCTGTGCCGCTTACTTTCGGTGTGAACTCACTCTCCTTTCCTTCCTCCTTTCTTCTTCTTTTTCCTTTTTTTTTGATTCAACAACATCAAGGATTTCGATTACGATCACTTACTTCTTTCCAACTCCTTCGTCTTGTTCTTCTCTCTTGGCTTCGGCCTGTCAATACCTACCTCTTTCTACTCCGTAGACATCAAGCACAGAGAGCCAGCACTCCTTCCTTCCTCCCCTCCGGACTTACCTTTCCCCCAGCTTCCACCTCCCCATCCTTCCTCCCCTCCGGTCTTACCTTTCCCCCTCCGGCTTCACGGCCCTGCCCTATCCTCCTCTTCTTTTCCTTTCCGCATCTGCGCATCGACTTTGCCACGGGCCGTCTCCGTGCCTCCTCTTGCTCTCGGCTCACCCTTCCCTCCTCTTCTTCTTTTTCTTCCAGTTCTCAAGATGTCCGGACTCGAATCCTCCAGAGGATGGCACCGAGTAAGTCCCCCCCTTTCATTGCTCTTCATCCCCTACTCTCATCGCTTTTCATCGCAAGCATTCTTGGGCCTGTGAAAGCAAAGCCGATGTTTTTGCCTCTTTGATCGGCTCAACTAATCGGCTACTATCGCTTCCTTTCTCTTGCTCTGTCCCTTTGTCCAGACTTCCTATCATGGCGGTGCTATCCGCCTTGTTCCCCAACACGTCTTTGTTCCCACATCCTCCCTTCTCATTTCTCACCCTGGAATCAACTATAAGTTTCCTTCCTTCCAGCTTTTGCTAACCCACCACCACCAGACTCGCAAACACACGGTCCGGCTGGGTTCTCTCGGCATGGCCAGGAACGCTGCGGGTGCCCTCGTCTACCGCGCGGATGGTCAGACTGAAGTTGCTGCCGAGGAGATCGGTGAGTCCCCCCTCCGCTCCATTCCGCAATCAACAAGCTCTCTAACTCACCATCCAGAGCAATACGCCCGTCTGTTACGTGGAGGGTACTATCCCTCCCACGAACACCCCTGGGAGACGGTGCCAGTCCCGGAGAGACACGCCTGGGGTCGTCCGCCCGCACCCCAGCGCCCACCGGGACTTGGGGCTGCCACTTCAGAGAACGCAGCGCTTTGGTATTTGATTCCGGAGGCAGAACAATTCTGGCCGGCCGAGGTAAGCCGCTCTCTTCCTTTTCCTTCCTTGCCTTCTTTCTTCGTTCACTTCTTTCATGGACCGGAAGATTGGCCTCGCTTCTTGATCTGGATCTGGACTGACTTTTTTTTTCTTCCTCTCACAGTTCAGACAATTCGACCGCAGATACGCGGGTGCTCTGATCACCCCACCAGTGATCATCATCACCAGCGCCGGTGGACCGATCCGTCGACCAACGGGTCAAGTCGCGGGTCAAGCCGCATCACCGAGCCCGGCTGCTTCAGGTTCTCAAACTGGTCGCACCAGTCGCGGTGCTTTCGTGCAGCTCGCCGGATGTAAGTTCTCCTCCTCCGAAGGCCGCGCTTGTGTGGACTTATTCGGCTTGATACTGACTTTGAAAAGTCTTCACCGTTGACCAGCTCCGGAGCTCAGTGGTCATTTTTCCACCCCGAAACATGGAGGGCGAGTCCACCGCTCAACAAGGACTATCTTTAGCAGGTGGTGGCAGCACTCTTCCTCCTGTGGCTCCGCGTGGTTCTGTCTTTCACAGACCACAGTTATCCGCATCGGCTCCTGCGTTCATCCCACGCACAGCTGCGCCAGAATTCTTTCCGCGTGCAGCCACGTTGGCCGCACAGCCCGCTACTTCGGTGACTGTCACGACCTTTCCTTCTTCGACTGCCGTGGCTACTTCCAACCCCGTCCCGATCGTTAACCTGCCTCCCCCTTCCGCGAGTGTGGCATCGAAGCCGGCAGCCACACCGAACTGTCCCAGCGAAGATTCTCGCATGGTCGTTCTCAGCGGGATTCCAGGGTGGGTGTCCGTTGCCAACATGGCAGATTCCGTCTCCTCTGGCCACTACGGGGCATTATTTGCAATCCAATTCGGTGCAGACTACGGCAAGCTCTGTGCCCGCATCATCTTCCGAGATGCGGCAAAGATGGACATAAACCCCGGTGCAACACCCGGGGCGAAAGGATACTTCGATGCTCTCACGGCCGCAAAATCCCAACCCTGGGCCGACCGAAGCAGGGCACTCTGGCCCTTCCCTCCCGGATGCGCCGTCGACGTCCGCTTGGAGAATTTTGCAGCCAACGCCTTCATCCTTGGCATGCGCCCAAGCCTCGGTGAGGATGGGAAGCGAATCCAGGCAGTCAGCCGACGCCTGAGCCTGGTGGGGCTTGAGCAGCTGTTCAGCAGCTTCGGGGAGAAGGAGATGAGGAACGCCGTTGTGGGTGGTGGCTTCGTTCGCGCGTCGAGCATCGAACGAGTGTGCATCTACAACTCCGGCAACGCGACGATAGTCTTCGCGGACGTGCCTTCGGCCGTCCAGGCACTCAAACGATTCGAGACTTACAACACCAGCGTGAACGACGCCCTCAAGATCAAGGCGTCTCACTCCAAGGACCCTTGCGAGGTCGTCGTTCAGTACACCCCGAACGACTCCTTTGCTCCCCAGCCGACAGCTTACCCGCCGCCGCGTCCCCGGCCCGGCCCAAAGTGATCTTTCACCGGAAACAGAGGAGGCCGTTCTTGATTCGCAACGGAAAGTTTCGTGTTTTCGTACGTGGGCGGCTCTATCCCTCCCGTCCCCTTTGGACCGGTAGTCGCCTTGCAGAACTTATCTGCGGTTGGTCTGGCGTTGCTGTCTGTGTTTTTGCCACAGCGGTTTCCTTCGTTTTTTTGGGGGGGGCCGCTGTACGTGGACAGCGACGTCAGGCCATCCCGCCATCCAACATGGTTGTGCTGCTCTGCGCGCTTTCGTTTTCTGGATTACCCCTTTACCTCTCCTGGTATGGGGCGGGGGTTGCTGCCTTTGTCGTTCCACAGCAGCTCCTCGGGGCTGCTGCACGTGGGCAGCAACTCCTGGCTTCTTTCTCGTGAGTGCTTTAGTTCTTGAACAAGGGTTCTATCCATAGGACCTGGTCCGGTTGTCGTGCTTTCCGAATCGACTTGTGTTGAGGATTCTCACGAGCCTGAGTTCTCCATCTTTAATGGGAGTGTGATAATCTCTCGGTCATCAACCAGCGACTACCTATCCGAGATCTTGATCAAATCGGTATCAGACACCGCATTCTCACCGAAGTTGGTACTAGGACTATTTCAACGGCTTCGCAACTCGACTTGGCTATCTGTCCAGGCACCCTCCATCGGATCCATCCGCATACGAGCATACTTTTCATCTCCTATTTCCAGTTTCGCTAGCTTTTATATGACTTCGCATTCATCGACTTTGGCTTTTTTACCGCGAATTTGTTACTTTGGCTCTTTTGTGCGACTCTGCATGTTTCTGCGCTTTGGCATCTGTTTTGGCTTGGTACATTGAGTAACTCTGCAACTTTGGTTTCTTCTTTCGGCATTGGCGGCTACTTCTCGACTTGGTGCGCATATTCATCGACAGCTTCTGCTTTTCCTTTCTGTACGAGTAGACAGAGAAGTCAATAAAGCGTGCTTTTAAATTGAGGTCCTCCTGAATGTGGCTGTGAATGTGAATGTGACATAATTGCGGTGATAAATGCGAGTAATAGAGTGAGGAATTGTGAATGGGCGAAGGGCGTGAAGGGTTCTGTGATTGTGAATCCGCAATCCTGTCTCATTTCACTCCACTCACTGATCAATAACTTCACAGCATTTGAACAACGAAAGATGACACGGTAGATAAAGCGCATTGATTCTCCGGGCTAATTCACGGCTTAGCCAAGAACACAATATAATACGGTACGATATGGTATGGTATACACACCCAACCTCCCAACTCCACCCCACCTTCCCAAACGCCATCCTCACCCAAAATCACCACCCCATCATAGCAAACCCATCCACAAACGCCAACCCCCAATCATACATTTTACAAGTCTCCCCCCCATCTTCATCCCCCCTCACGCACCACCACCTCCACTCCCAATATCAAAAATATTCAACGGCCACGCTCCCCCCGTCGTCGCACCCCCACCATCCCCCATCATCCCCCCCCCCTGCTGCTGCTGCTGTCCTCCCATAACCCCCCCACCCATCTGCCCCATCTCCGCCCCTTGCCCCCCTCCTCCTCCTCCATCCCCAGAACCCCCACCCATCTCCCTCCCACCAAGTTGCATCAGCGCACTCGCGCTGTAACAATCCTGCGGTTCCAGATTCCCCGCCATAGTCGACGTCCACAGCTGCCACGACTGCGACCCAGAGTGCGGATTCCCGTTCGCCCCGGTAGCGGAGCCATTAACGCCCATCCCGCCGACGCTGTTCCCCGTGGCGGTGTTGGGTTGGGCGTTTGATCGCACGGGCCATGCGGCTGGTACTTGTGATGCTTGTGCTGCGAAGGCGGCGAGAAGGGGCGCTTCGACGCTGTCGCTCATGCCGGGTGTGTAGGCGTATCCGTGCTCCTGTGGTTGGTACGGTACTCCTGATGATGCTGGCGGGTCGGGGTAGTACTGTGTTGCGGCTGGGTAGGGTGTGGATTGGTGGGCAAGACCTTGTTGGTCGGGTGTGAGGTATGCATTTCCGGCTGTTGGCGAGCCGTGGGTGTTGTCGGGATATTGGTTTGTGAAGGTGGAGGTAGAGGGTTGGGGGTATGCGCTAGGATTCGCGTGAGTGGGTGTAGCTGTGGTGCCGGTGGTAGAGGGAGCGGCGTTGGTGTTTTGGGATTGTGGGCGGCGGGAGGGTGATTTGGAGTGCTCGGCTGCCGCTTTGCTTTGAAGGTTGCGGCTCAAGAGACCGATTGTACCATCAGTTACAACGCGGACGGCTTCGCGGAGGCGGGTGCCAGAGCCTGGCGATGTTAGTCTTTGTAGGGATAGAAATTGGAATAAGGTAAGACATACCGAGTAGCGCGCCAATATCACCCATGATATTCAGCCACTCATCCATCTCAACTCTCAGTGCCGATAGGTCCGAAGCAGTCGTCTCATTGCGCTTCTCCCACTGCGCAAACAGTGTCGTAGTAATCGCCATCACAAATACAGCGCTATTATACCAAGTCGTATCCAAACTCTTGAAAGTCTGTAGTTGCTTCGCAGCCACAAGCATCTGCCCTGCGCACTCGACACAGATTCGCATGCTCTCCGTATTAAACGCCACATCTTGCGTCATAGACACAGCCGGGTGTCGTAGCAGCATGCGGAACTCGAGACCCCATAGCTCAGCGTACAGAGCGAAAACGCGGGCCTCCTGTCCGTTCGACGCTGACGAGGTAACGAGCTCGCTTGGCAAGCCATCGCGCCACTCCTTGATCTTGGCCTCGAGCGTGTGCACGGCCTCCATGTATGTGTCTGGCGACCGTTGCACGGTGTATATCGTGCTGAACATGCCCAGGAATAGCGCGTGGACCTTGAAGGCCTGCAGGCCGATGGTATGGAGGCACTTCCCGCTTCTCTGTGACAGGGGCATCTCGAGCTCGGCGAATACTTCATCGTCCATTGGCTCTGGAATTTCAACATCGAAGTCCTCGAGGCGGAAGGGCATGGGGCGCCCCAGCTTGCCGCTCAGTGTAATACTGATGACGAGGATTGACCAGAAGATACGCTTGCGGATCTCCTGGTCGTAGGCGCTCACGTCGCTGTCAGGTCCCCATCGCTTGACTGAGCGGTGCAGGCCGAGCTCCATGGCAAATATTACCGTCACCCGCGAGAGGATCCAGCTGGCGCCTGGTTTGGGGAAATTGCGAAGGTGTGAGCAGACCAACGCCATGGCCTGCGCGTCTTCAAGAGTGTGGCTACATGATAGGTCGTAGAACATGCCGAGCGCGTAATGGTAGTGGAGGTTGGACTGGGCGTTGAGGTAGGCTTGCTGCGACGAATCTTCCAGGTTGCGGACAGAGTATTGGAAGAACATGATCGCGAAGACCATGTGGATCATCACGGTCTGAGCGACAGTCGGGCGGAAACTTGGGTCATCGTAAACGCGAGTCAACTATCGTATATTAGAATCCTAAAGGCAATTTGAGAAAGAGGGCAATACATACCAGAGCCATGAAAGTTCCCTTGTGAAGAATTGGCATAAATGAATTGATGACGCGGAAGAACCATTGTGCATATGTGATCCCCTCTTCCCTATCAGGCAGCTTGACCTTATCAAGCTTCGGGTTGATATTGAGGGCACTCTGCAGGAAGGCTTGGTACGACTTATTATATAAATTCGGGTGTAGCGTATTCTGCTCCGGCTCATCGAGATCCTGCGACGGGAAATCGGTAATGTCAATCTCCATCCCCAGAATCGACAGCGCCGTGCCCTTGATCGAGCTCAACGCCGACTTCGGCGGCAACACGCCCAGGTAGTTATCTCCAGGACATCCTGCTCTAAACGCCGGCAGCGCGCGGAACAGATTCGTCTCCTGTGGGTTCGTGGAAGCGTTGTGGCTCGGCGTCGGAGTCGCGTACACGCTGGAGTTCGGACCCGCAGTCCACATCGACGGGAGACCATTCTGAGAGACGTTGTTGTAGTACTGGGCAGCTGGCTCTGGGAAGGTATTCGATGGCTTAACTTCAATGCCATTCTGCATCAATAGGCCCTCTAGCTCGCGGATCCGCGACGATTGATCGCGGTTTTGTTGCTCGATTGACTCCACGTAGCCTCGCGGGGCAGCGCGGCCGGTGATGCGGTCCGTGGTTCGACATTCTGTATTATTTTGTAGGCAAGGCGAGCATCCATTCGTCAGGCCATCGCAGCGAATCTTCCGCACCTGTGAAAATCAATCAGCGACTATAATTTAGTTGCGGTCTCCCCGCGGTCGCATTGCCTGGGGCCGATCCGGCAGGGTTTAGTTAGTTATAGGGGACGTATGCGCCGTACCTTGCATCGGTCGCAGGCCTGACCCGTTCTGGTCGACGACTGTAGACGCTTCTTGACTGAGTTGGAGAAAGTCTCTGGCTTCGTTTCTGGCTTTGGTAACTTCGCTGGCGTGCCCGTGGGCGACCCTGAGGCCGTTCGCTTTGGAGGCATTGGGTGAGCTCGAGGTGGTGCGGAGGATGCCGTGCTTAGGATGCGTATGGAAGAAGCCGAAGGTGACGGAGACAGGGACGGCGACACTGAATGATGACCGAGATGGTCTCGATGAGTTTGTCGCAACGCGCCCACGACAAGCTGAGACGATAACGACAACGACGACGCCGTGTTGTCGCGAAGGAATCGATGGAGATGGTGGTTTTGGGTGTCTTGAGTGCTCCAAGAGCCCATTTTTGGGATCTTGTGGGATTTTGTGCAGTGGACAGGGAAAACGCGCTAATTTTCGAGGCTGGGGGGCTGGCGTGTAAATACCACGGCGCTGGATATCACTGTGATGGGATATATAGGGAGCACCGTGCATCACATTGAGTATATATATATATAATATATATATAAAAATGTATTAATGAGTAAGAAAGAGTATGGGATTTGAGGATATTTGGGATTCGAAGGGGGTGGGAAATGGACAAATGGGATAGGGATGGAGAACAATATATCGAACGACTTTCATACTCTCTGCCGCCTTTATGAATATTGATATTGACATTGATATTGGCTGTCTTGCATTCTCAGGACTGCGCGCATAGCTATGTGTAAGATAGCAGGTGCATATGTATAATGTCTTTCTTTATATTTATTTTTATATCATATATTTAGACTTGGCTGCATCGTGAACAAGCTTCTTCCTTCATACGAGGAAGTATGGACACCCTGCTCAGCCCCGCCAACCACATCATACAACTCTGTCAGCGTCAACTCTGTCATCATCCAGATCTCAGACCCCTAGGAGACCCCGATGAGCCAGGTTTAGTCTAGAGCGTCTGGGGAGAATCAACCGGACCAGCATACTACCACATATACGGTGCAACGTTCTTTCCCAGCCTATCATGAGTTACAAAGCGCCTGAGCCAGCCGTCTGTGAGTGACAGGTCCTGTGCATACATCCATACATCTTTCTGTGATGAATGCGGCTGAGCATCTTTGCAGCACCTCACCTTAAGAAATCCCCGAATACGGCTGGTTCTCGTCCTACATCGACGATTCTTTGTCACCGCATCGTGGCTGACTGATGGTCTCTCTGGACATATTATTGGCATGTCTCTATATATACTTCGTATCGGATGTTCCTGGACAACCAACCAGACAAGCCGATGAGGTAGCTACCGGGCATCCCGGGGCGGCAGGGTAGATGCCGATGCATGTTGAAGCTGCAGATGTGGATATCCTGCAATGAACATCAGCCCTATGGCCGCCGGGTTATGTGAGATGCGGGTTGTTCACTTTCTAGTGGACCATTTATTAGCATTTGTCGCCTAAACATACCCCGCCGGGGCATATCATCGACCATCGACATGTCAAAAACAACCACAACCACAACCACAGATATCCCATCCCGACCCAAGCAACCGCCGTCTTCGTGTCTTCCCGCAACTGCATCTCCTGAAACAATACCAAGAATTCCCAAGGGCTCTATTCTGGAAACTATTCTAGGCCTCATCTCACCTCACCCGCACTGAAAATCACGGGATCGGCGATTGGACCCCAAAACTCAGCTGAACAGCTCTGCCCCGCCATCCCCCACCATCACCGCCACCACCACCACAACCCAAGACATCCAGCGCATATACCTCTCCTTACTCGGCCTCATCACGCCTTCCGCGTACGACCTCACCTTCACCGCCCCCAATGTCTCTCACCACCATCGCCATCGAACACCTGCCCCCGGGTCACGATGTCCATATCGCCCTCTTCCACTCCGTCACCAACGCCGCCTTTCTGCATGCGCAGCTGCTCGCCGGCAACACCGACTTCGAATATGCCCTCATCGATGCTAGCGTCGTGCGTCTCCCCTTCCTCTTCCCGCCCGCCACTCTCCTGTCAGGGTTGATGTGCATCACGTGATCATGGTGTGAACAGGAGAGACTGGCTTACTGGCTACTATAGGTCGTGTCGAAGGTGCAGATCCTCGCCGCAGCATTCAGGGCGATAAACGATAATATTGAGGGCCGATTGCGGACGCGGAACGTGCATTCGGAAATAGTCTTCTGTCTCAGCCCTAACAACAACGTGAGTCAACGCCCGAGTTCGAGACTCCTCCCCACATGGCCACAAGCATCACCCCTCTCGCATCCATACTAACTCCCCCACCAGATCGCAGAATCCTTCCGTCGCTTCGGCGTCTCCCCCACCACCACCTCCCTAATAGCCATCAAAATCACCACCCCCTCCTCCCCCCCATCCCTAACCCCCGCATCGATACAAGAACACCTCACCTCCGCCGTGGAGGGCAAGCAGGCCCCCTTCAGCGACGAGGAGCTCGGCACGGTGACGGACTGGGCGAGGGTGAGGAAGGTGTATAAACTCCCGCTTGTGGGGCAGCAGGGGAAGAAGAAGGGGATGGGGGAGGAGGAGAAGAGGGAGGAAGAGGAGAGGGAGAGGAGGGAGTTGGGGGTGCAGGTTTTGGGGGCTATGGCGTTGAGGGGTGCGTCGTAGTGAAGGATGGGATTGCAAATAGAAATCATGAAATTTAATAAAGTGACTATCTGGTTGCTATCCGTGAGACATGTCATCATGAAGCACCACCTTATAAATGAGCAACCACAGCTACTACTGAACTCAACACCAACTGGATATCATCACAAAAAACCACAAGAACAACCACAGAAACGATGAATGAAGAAAAACAAGTTCTCCAGGAATTCATATCAGTACAATACAAGAAACCGGCTTTCGCCACGCCACGCCCATTCCCACCTACTACTCCCAACCCAAACCTGTATAATGCATACAAACCCTAACATATGCTCGAACTTTCAAAAAAAAACAGCCACACAAACGCCTCGCGCCGCCTCATCCCTTCACTTCCCAACAATCATCACCGCCAACCCCCCTTCCCCACAACCCCAACCACACTCTCCCTCTGCCTTGGCGCCCCCACAACCCCCAACCTAACAGCCTGCACCGCACTCATCCCCCCCACCGAACTGGCAATCGTCGTCCTCCTCGGCGCCCCTCCACTCGACGCATTCTTAATCACCGGCGCCGATCGTGGACTAAGCACACTCACACCCACAATAGGCTCCTTCCCGGACCCAACCATCCTCCTCGCCTGCCCGGCCGAGAAATGCGCTTCTGCGGGCGGACTCCCAGCGGAAGCAGCGGTGGGACTACGGCGGCGCGCGGTGCGAAGGGCACTCTCGGACATACTGTGTGCGTGGCTTCCGCGGGAGCGGCGCAGCGCGGCGCGGATCTTAGCACTATCCGCGTGCGAGATATTTTCCGTGTCCGACGTCGGCGCGGACGAGTCCGGGGTCGAGGACGGCGTGAGTTCATTGGCGAGCGCCGAGGTGGGGGGAGCGGATGTCGAGAGACGGTTTCCGGCTTTGGTGGGGTCGATGGAGCGGAGGGGGGAGGTGTCAGAGGAGGATGGGGATGTGGAGGTTGGGTGGGTGGTGGGAGATGTGGTGTCGGGTCGCTTGGAGAGGAAGCCGGTTTGGAAGCGGTTGTTCTTGGGCTTGATGTCCAGGCTTGGCTGAGGCGCTTCGGGAATGGGCGATGAATCTGTAGCCTCGTCTAGTAGTTCTGAGGCGAGGTCCGATGGAAGCGGTGGCAGGATAAAGCTCGCTTCCGCTGAAGAGGCCTCGGGTGTGAACTGAAGCTTCTGCGGTGTCTTCTCAAACTCCGCGAGGGCGCCCGAGTCGGCATCGTCGCGCCAGCGCACGCTGCGCTTCTTCGGTGACTTCTTGTTTGGCGTGAAGGAGATGCCCTTCTTGCCTGGGATCTTGCGACGTCTAGGCGAGCCTCTCATTGGGGAGGCGGCTACATGTTCTGGGACTGGAGCGGGCAAGGGCTCCAATGCTGGCGGTGCGATCTGAGTATCGTCGTCTACGAACAAATTGACTTGCTTCTTCGTCTTCGGCGTCCCACGCTTCATTGGTGGGAAAGCTTGGGTAACGTTGAGCGACCCATCGGGCTTGATGACGTGCGACGCAGCAGTCGAGCAGCTGTTAAACAACCTCGTCAAAACCGACTTGGCGTGTCGAACGGCATCTTCTTGACTCATGGCGAGGATGTCACCGAGAGAAGAGATCAGGTCGAACTGGGCAGAGAGCAGCACTTGCATAACGCCCGAATCTCCGGATTTCTCTAACTCGACAACCTCCAATAGCGCATCGCGTGCAGCGTTCGCCTTGAGAAGCTCCGCTTCGCGTTCCAAACTCGCGACTTCTGTTCCATCTGTTGTGCCATCGGCCTCGGTCAGCTGACGAATGCTGTTCTGCGCCGCGGAATCAATGGCGCGCTCCCAGTTATTCTTCTGCTGGCGTTGATGGTAATGCTGGCGGCTATGCTCTAGCTCGACCAGGATTCCTTGGGCTGTCTTCCTCATTGAGGTCAAGCTTGGTGGCATGACGCCATCGTCTCTGTTGTCGCAGATGCTGTCGAAGGAAGCAATCCATGCTGACAGGATCGAGATTCTGCGCTCAATTTGGTGCAGCTTCTTCATGTTATTTGACTTCTCCTGCCTCTCCGAAACCGACAATTCGTATGCCGCGCGAATCCTTGCGATGCCTTCTTTCGCGATAACTTCTCTCTTTTCGGTCTGCTTCTTAAATTTCACAAACGCGGCCTCCTCATAATTCTTCTGCTGGGCCCGAAGTTCAGTAATGAGAGCCATTTGCTCATCGATCTTAATTACGAAATCCTTCACATGGCGGTTGACATTATAAACGTTTCTCGTGACCTTCGTTTGGATGTTCTTGGCTCTGTTCGCATACCGTAATGTATTCTGCGTCTCGTCGAAATGCGCGCTCGAGGGGCTGACACAAACAATCATAACCGTCCTGCAGTTGCCTCCGAGGGAGAATTTAAGCAGTCGAGTGAGCTTTGAATTTCTGTATGGGACGTGGTTCTTCTTGCGGGGGTCACATAATGCGTTGATACAGCTTCCCAAAGCTAGCAGCGATTTGTTGATGTTCGCACCTTCAAGAAGGCGGTCTCCTCGATTCTTCGTCACACTTGCGCGCTCGCTGCCCGCAAGATCGATAATGCTGAGTGTTGCCATGGTATGTGGCTCGTTCACGGCGGCGTTCCTGTCCTTTTGCGCCACATTGATCTGTAAAACTGCGTGTGATCGTGATGATGTCGCGTTCGCTTCTGTCGGTGATATTGTGCGGTATTCGTTTCCCTTCACAATCATGTCCATGACTTCCTGGACATCTTTGGGGTGGTGGCTAGATAACGCAGCCACGGAGACAGTCTGGTTCGCATCCTCTCTCAACATCAATCCTTGTTTACTTCCACCAGGCTCGAGCAAATCTCGGATCGTCTCGTTATAGATCTCCAGGTATGAAAGGGACACCTCAGTATGCTTCTCGTCGCTCCTCTCCGCAATCTTCTCAAACAACTCTTGCATTGTCAAGAAAATGATGCCAGGCTGCTGAGCTGTTCCGGTAATCGTATGGGTCTTGCCGCAGCCAGTGGCTCCGTATGCAAAAACGGTTGCATTGTATCCGTCCAGTACGCTGTCCAGAAGGTTTCGAGTCGTCGCTTCGTATACGTCGCCTTGTGTTGTGTTCTCGTCAAATACTCGGTCGAATCCAAAAGTCTGATCCTTGCTTCGCTTTCCCATACTCATGAGGTTTCCCCGAGAGAATTTTGACATGCCATTGTCTTCGGGTGGATCGAACACACTGTAAGAATTGTCAGTACCAGCTGCCGTCTCCAACATGAGCAACATACAGGCATTTATCGTCCACGACTTTGATCACCGGGTGTATGCCTTTATTCGTAATTCTCGAGGTAGGCGCTGCTGCGAGGGACCCATCGCCCAGAAAGATTGTTCCATCATCGCATTTCTTGCTACAAATTGTCAGAGTCCGGATTCTGAGCTGGGGCGGATACACTTACAGTTGCGCAGCCTCCTTCAGCGTGAACGGTCTCACACGAACTAGAAAATGTTATTCCAGCTCATAGGAGTGTATGGTTACCCTTACCAGTTACTGAGATAGAAGACGCTCCTGTAGGTGGCTCCATCTCTGTTGTTGCTCGGATCCTCTGTCAAACCTCCTCCCAGAACTCGCGTAAACAAAGCCCCTTTGGCTCCTGGTTGAGCCTGGTATATCGTAATTATAAATGCGAGTGGCAGAATAATATTTCTGGTATCTTAGGCGTTTGCTGTTGTTAGTAGGTCGTGTCGCAATTGTCGCGAAGAAAGGTCGTTATCATTGTTTGCTTGGTATGGGCTGTAAACTGAGGGTCCTCCTTGATGTTGTGGTGGTTGTCTATCCAACGCAAGCGACGCAACCAACTGCAAGGCTGACGAGACAAGGCTTCACGACTTGAAACATCACCCCTAGCATGATTTTCTATTTCTCAGGAACCACTTTTATAAACTCAGGTCTTTAGCTGCTGGATGTTTAATTTTATATAAATCCCGTTCATTCACAACTAAAGTTTTTATTTCCCCTAAAGATAGTTGGTTAAAATGTTCGGTCACAAGAAGGGATTGTGTCAGAATTTCATTTAAGACAGCGATTGCATTGCAGAGCATCTCAGGTCACGAGATTGTCGTGGAATTTTATTGAAAACAACGGTTCATAGCATTCATTATAATTCATTCACCGAGCTTGCAGAACCAGCCAGTCATTCCAAATAGAAGAGTAGCCATAAAAGAGCAGAGAACCTGTGGGTAACCAGGTCACAAAACACCAACCGAACAGACAGAACAGCCAGAACAGCCAGATTAGCCGGAACTTCGCTCCATCCTCAAGAGACCACAGTAACCTCAGGTGGAATTCGTATCACTATAGGCTTTGCTGCGATTCTCAGATCAATCACCTCTTTTCCTTTCTCGTTGGTCCAACCCCTCTCCGGCCCCCACGATATCACTTTCCGATGCTGGTTCACCACACTCGTCAAACCGCTTATCATGGGTCCATCCTTGTTGATTGAAGTCCAGGCGTCAAGCTGGACCTCTCTGATTGATGGCACAGCCTCCAAAATCTTGTCAAGCAAGGATTTCGAAAAATCTTCATAGAATGATTCGCCCAGACCTCTGGCGCGGTACCCATTAAACATTGGATCTGATGTATCAACCTGAACCATGACTTTGAGTATGCGAACATTTGTAGCATCCTTTAGGCCTAGAGATTCCGTCACCGCCCAGTTCTTCGGAGGGCTTGCAAACCCTGGGCCAAGGCGTAACTCAAGCGATGATATAGAGTTCCGGCATCGTGGGGATAGGCGGGCAAGAAGCGGCCGCTTTGACTTGAAGTACCGGTCGATACATGGGAAGATCCGGAACGTCCTCGTGGAATAAAGGAGATGAGATGCCTCCCCATGTATTTGGCGCGAGGCATATAATATGGACAACTTGCGGTGGATATTTTTGTAGTTGTCCGGGTCCAGATCAATGACGTCGGGGCAAGAGTGGAATATCAAGGCGTATATCTTCAACCGAAGCTCCGAGGGGAGATCGAGAAGTCTGAACGGCTCTGTTGCCTCTGACTTCGATGTCACATCTTCCGCAGGGTACGCTCTAGTCGCCGAGATCTTTGCACCTCCCCGTGCCCTCAGCGTCAAGACTTTGTGTTTCATTGACGAGTCTTCCGGCTCCGATTTCTGATCTTGTGGAGAATACGCGGATGAGTGGATCGCACCACTGGTCCCAGAGACTTTCGCACTTCCTCCTCCCCGTGACCTCAGCGTCAACACTTTATTCTTCATTGATGCAGTGACTTTCTCGATGATTTCAGGGTTTGGATTTGTCAAAGAGTAGTTTTATTGAACGTTAAATCGTAAAATAGGTAGCTTAGGGCCAAGATAGTACGAAAGTTGTAGTTGAAGGGTTTGGAGTGTAGCACTACAACGGGCGAGATCCTTTCATGGAGCGGTCTTCGAGAAGAGCCGGACTCATGGTCTCGTCTTTAGCAGAGCCATTTCGCTCTCCCCAGCTAATACAACTCTACGTCCATTGAAAGTAAAGGAGCGTCGAGTCAAATTTCGTTCACTGGGTGCAACTTTGAAGAAGAAAGGACGAGAAGAGGACAGGAAGTTTGTTTTATGTTGAAAGAACTGCTAGCGTGGTCGAGTCGGCCACCGTACCGACCTAGGCTGGTTTTTTTGGGAGGACCATAATTCCATCATCGAATTACCCCCGAGCCTCATCCAAGCTCAAATGTCCTTCTAGTCGGAGTGTCGCATTTGTAGGATTCACATATTGGGCATCCTTTGAAGCCCATATTTCCACAATGCTTTCAAGAGCAGTGCGCGGCTCTCTGCGCGCCCCAGCCCTCAGGGCGGCGCCAGTAAGATTCCTCCGACCCTCAACAGCTCTATGGAGTCGGGGGCTTGCCGACCAGCGACCAGGTCAGCCAAAGAAGCCGACAACCCAGCAAAGACCTTCATCGGAACTTCCGACGAAGGCATCCGCTGGCGGCGCTGCGGCTGGTGCAAACGGGAAAGCGTCATCCATCGAAGACCCCGACGTATCTTCGCAACAACCCGAATTCGAAACTCAAGCATCACCATCGGAGAATGCCCCACTGAACGAAGCCGCATCTACCAGCGGCGCGCCGCAACACTTCAAACTGCCTGATCTCAGGGGAGGCCTACCGTCGACGCTGGAGTTCGAATCCAAGGGCAGCACAGCCAACGAATCTGCGGCGTCGGCCCTGAACCTTACGGAAGACCCACATGAAGCAACTGGCGGAGGTGGACGAGGGCCGAAAGGCGAGCTCCCAGCATCGGCATATGTATCGTCTTCGGAGAAGAAGCGTGCTCGTGTTGCAAACTACCTGTACGGGTCATTTTTCGCAACGTGCATTGCCGCATACGTATACTTGGGCAGAAACTGGGAGTCGGATGAGGAAGAGCGACAACACGTCGATGCGCCTTCTGGATGGTCTCTTGGACTCATGTGGGCTCGTTTCCGAGCTCGCACGGGAGACCAGCTGAGCTACTACAGCGAGCCAACATTTAAGAAGCTCTTGCCAGACGTTGACCCAAGCTTCGGACGCCCATACACACTGGTTCTGAGTTTGGAGGACCTACTCATCCACAGTGAGTGGTCAAGAGAGCACGGATGGCGGATGGCAAAGAGGCCTGGTGTGGACTACTTCCTGAGATACCTCAGCCAGTACTACGAACTGGTTATATTTACCTCCGTCCCGTGGGCCATCGGCGAGCCAGTCATTAAGAAGCTAGACCCATACCATGTCGTCACCTGGCCATTGTTCCGAGAGGCTACAATGTACAGAAAGGGCGAATATGTCAAGGTATGAACTGCAAACGGTTGGATTGCTGACATTAAGCTAACTATCTGCCAGGATCTCTCATACCTGAACCGTGACCTTTCAAAGGTCATTATCCTCGACACCTCTAAGGCCCACACGGAAGAGCAGCCCGAAAACGCCATCATAATGCCGAAGTGGAAGGGCGATTCCAAGGACAAGGAGCTGGTTTCACTCATTCCATTCCTGGAGTATATCCCCACGATGGCCGTTCCAGATGTGAGGAAGGCCATTGCCTCGTTCGAAGGAACTCATATCCCAACTGAATTTGCGGCACGCGAAGCAGTCGCCCGTAAGAAGTTCATGGAACAAATTGAAGCCGAGAAGAAGAAGAAGCCGAAGAAGGGCGGCGTCAGCTTCTTGAACTCTGCTCTTGGCATCAAGCCACAGGCTGCCTTTGAGGGAGAGCAGTCAGCCAGCGAGGCGTTTGCCCAAGGTAAGATGTTGCAAGACCAGGCGAGAGAGAGAGGCCAGAAGAACTATGAGGCTTTGGATAAGATGATTAGGGAGGAGGGTGAGAAGTGGCTGAAGGAAGAGGCTGCTCATGAGGAGATGGCGAAGCAGGAGGGCATGAAGGCTATGAAGAGCGGGCTGACTGGGTTCTTTGGTGTGCCTGGAGATAAGCCCAATGAGCCTTCGTCTTCGTCCTCGTGAACAGGGAATGGCATGGGTGGGTGTGGCACTTGAGTCGAGGGGAAGCACTTCTTGCGACTGTTCGAGTCCCTAACTCAACTCTCATCTCTTTTGTATGTTGGTTTGCGTTGCGAAGGTACGATCTCCGTGTCTGAAAAGTGTGCAAAATTGTACAATACATCGGTTGGATTGGGTAAGGCTGTAAGATATATATAGATGGGGTGTAACGAATAATATACTTTCTATGAATTTATTTTGTTATACTTATTTTATTTATGGTGGTTTTGGTTGGATTAATATATTTGGACCGAAAAAATAAATACGTCAAGTGAGATAAATACCGTTAGCGATTATCTACGGTAGGGAAAATTACATCAATCTCGAAGAATATGGTAGGCAAAAGTGTAAAATATATATCTCTGGACTGGGGATAAATAATTGCATCGACTTTGAATTAATGAATTAATTTGGCACAATTTTTTTTTGCAAAAAGATGAATTTCCGAATTGGAGATTGGTCGTGTTTGCATCAGCCGTGAATCGAACACGGGGCCCATCGATGGCAACGATGGATTTTACCACTAAACCACTGATGCTTCTCATTGTTGGCCAATCGCGTATTGTGACATATGATGGTTGGGCCCCGGATCTCGCTCTTCCCGTTACCCCTCCCGCCGCTTTTGCGATCCGCCATTTTTGTAATTTTCGCCACTTGCAAAAGCGGCTCCCTTTAGGCGTTGGCTGCATGACCTAGAGTGGGCAGTGCAAGCACGGTTGTGCCCCTCCTCGACGTGGCTGAGGGCTGAGAACCTGAAAGTGACTAATGGGCCAGTTCCGCATCGTGGTGTGAGTCTCATTTTGGCCCCTCCTCACTTTGCCCAGCCAAGCAACGGGCTAGAACAGGGGGTTTGCATGAATAGAAGAAGGCTAGTTTTGCGCTGGTTCTAGCGTAAGGCCCATCCCTACAAATGGCAGCACGCTTCTGTGCAGGACCTCGCTGTGACACAATGATCTTAACATTATGTTATTAAAGCTATAAGGTCCTAACTTTAAGCATAGGATATTTTAGCGCGTAGCCAACCTTCAATTTAGGCACTTCCTGATCCTTCTCTTCTCTTCTCTTCCCTTCTTCCCTATCGTCTTTCCTGTCATCTTCCCTTGCATCTTCCCTTTGTGCTTGAGAATTTAACGAAGGCTTATTTCTCGCAACCTCGTTAAGAGATAACAACTTAAGTAATAAGAACTAGATTTGCAATGAATTTTGAAATGTCAACATTGTTCTGTATTTCCTTCTCCGTGATGATAAAAAAGTTGCAGTCTTCATTAACATAGATTATGCGCCATCTAGGGACACTAGGGATTTGTATAGAGGAGCGCTTTAGGAGAGTCTACTGAGTGGAGTGGGTCACAAGACTTTCAATATGCAATTTATAGCGATGGAGATGTTGAAGGGAAGGGCTCCATTGAGGCTCTACATATCAACTTGATTCTTTTTCTGTATTTTGTAGACTCAATTTTAATGTGAATTTGTTATGTATCAGACGAATTAGGAGACCAAGTAGAGAGTCTATTGTACCCTCAACTCAGTCGTCTATCTCACCAGCTATCTCGACATCTTCTTCCTTCCCGGAATATGGAACTGCTGCCATGTAGCTATTCTTTGTGCGAAGTGGCACAAGTCTTTTAGGACCCGGCCAAGAAGTGACAACCTCGCAGTTTCTCTTACCTGTGGAGTCACCTGCTGCTTCAGCTTGGTAGCTCCTGTTGATAGTTGTAGTCAGTAAATTATTTGTAGTTGAGTGTGAAAGGTATGGTCAGCTGGTGAAACATCACAAGGCGCAGCAACTTACTGGTACCAGTGGAAGAGTTCGCCATTTTCCTTACGCGAGAACTCCTCGCACTCAGTTATATTAGAACTCGCCTTGCCAAGTTGCTTAATGTTTGCTGCGTCAACCTTTGCCTGGCCTCTGCAGTAGAGACGGTATAGTTTGCCGTTAATCTTCCACACTTCGCCTTCTTTGGTCGCTAAAGGGCATAGTGGAGTCTCTGCAGGTAGCGAGGTGGGAATAGCAAAGATTTTCTCGTTTGTTCCGTAGTGATAGACATAGAGCTGGGCGGACTTGTCGACGAAAAGGTAGCAGGCACCGCTGCCTGGATACCAGTGGAAGCCATATGTAGCACTGGTTGTGTCTATTCAGCATCAGCCTTTTGCACTACGAGAGATTTTTTGGGACAAGCGTACAGCCGTTATACTTTGACTCGCATTCTGACGAAGAGTTTAGCAAAGGGTTCTAAAGCTGTGTGTCGGAGGAAAAGTTCACCTTCAAGGGTTGGCAAATAACCCATTCCAACGAAGCCATTCCACTTAGAGTTGTAGCAATAAGTGCGATAGTCGCGGCCGTTGATGCTCTGGATAGAGCCTTCCGCGCCGTAGCAGACTTCAGTGTATGTATGCTCTCCAGTCTCCGCAAGTGACAGAGGAGATTGAGAGCTGGATTGAGAGCTGGCGCCATCATTAACTTCGTTCATTAAAGTCTCTTAAGATAAACGAGCCTTCGGAGCTGGGACAGAGGAGCAAGCTGCTCCATCGGCCCCATGAACATGTTAGCATTAGTGGCAGCTATGCCTTGCGCGGCTAAGGCAAGGGCTGTAGAGATATGCACTGGCTTCATTATGTTGGAATGGTAGTTTGAAGTAACAACAATGGTGAAAATAAGGAAAACCTTAGGAGCAAGGCAAAATAACGTAGAGCAAGACGGCTCCTTTATACCTATAGAGCTGAGCAACATGCTTTAAACTCAAACTCACCCTTCTTATATTACTCGTTGATGTAATGATGAGATAGCATTGTTAGAAGTACAATACTCAAGTGGTTATATCAGGGTTAACTGATGACAACAATATGAACTTTCAACTGCTTTTCACTGTATCAAATTAAGAAATATGTAGACAGCTAAGCTGCGTGCGTGCGTGTTCGAACAGTACGACGTGTACGAAGAATGAATCTAGGTCAGACTTTTAATCGAAAGGGGTAATTGAATTACATCAATTTGAAACTTCTCAACCACTGCTCGCTATCTCTTGCCTCATCTGTGTCAGGGTAAAAATCGATTCTCCTGCCCTGGACAGGAACTAGTTGCTCCCATCTCCTATAAATCATCACTTTGTGATGGCGAGCCAACTATCAACTCGGGAGTCGTAACCGATTGACGCATGCAACAATCGTTTTTACCATGAAGTCAAGCTGACCTCATCCGGTCGGAATAGAGCCGTTCCCAAGCTTCTGGACGATCGGTGCCTAAGCCTCCCACGATCTATAACGGAACTTCCCGACGATCTGTGATGGAGCTTCCCGCCTATCCCAGTCCTTATGGAGAATAGTTCAGGTAGATCACTACCAACGCTTTTGTCTCTGTGCCATGAGCTACATATGCTGTGATCCACCTACAATGTAGCTTCTCAATTCCGTTCTATGTTAGGGGGCCCGACTGCTTTTACCACCACGCTTTTCGGTTTTCGCTACTTCGCAAAAGCAGCCTCCCGTTTCTCTTTTCTCTTCCCTATTTCCACACCATCTAACACAACATTCCATTTCTAATTTCTAGATCCTAGGCTGCTATGCGTCCCTAATGAGTTTCCGATTCTTGGATTCAGCTTTCTGTGAGCATAACGCCATGGACATCATGTTAGCGAGTAGCCTACCCCTAGTTTGGTGTCTACACACATCTACTCCGTCTCTTCCCTTCATTCTCCCGTCTTCCCTTTCGTCTTTCCTACCATCTTCCCTTGCATCTTTCCTGTCATCTTCCATGAAATCTTACCTCTCATTTTCGCTTTGTTCTTAAGGATTTTCTTAGTTATTTTGCGATTTTTCACGTCACTCCTTTACTTGCCTCTTAGGTCCCTTGGTCATTAAAGTAGAATAGTAGGCATGAAGCTCTTAAAGGATAAACTACCAGCAAATATTAAGCTATATGGATTAACAACGAAACGTCTACTAAAATTTGCCCCTCTAATAGAGAGAGGATACAAGTCCATCCTCTTACTATAGGAAGAGTACGATTCCGTCCTTTAACCAAATGCAAAGAGCTACTAACAAAGATAACAAAGAGTAAAAGGTTTGCATTGCATATTGACTAGCTAACACTAGTCCTAGACTTAAACGGGGTCCCTCTTCACAAAAATTAAATTCAGAGGCGCCACGTCAAGCGTAAATACATCCTTTGTATCCCGTAATAGACTCTGGCCTGTTTCGTTAGCCGCAAAGCGGATGTCGAAGCGCTGTACAAGGCGAGCCACAACGGTCCGGAGGGAGAGGAGCGCCAGTTGTTTGCCAACGCAGGAATAAGGGCCTGCGGTTTTTGAGTATTTAGCTAAAGACTAAGAAAGGAAGGCAGAGAGCATTAGGACTGGATATTTCAAGAACTGACCTGTAGAAAATGGCATGAATGCGGCTTTGTTCTTCAGGAGCTCGGGAGACGTTGTCCAGCGCTCAGGTACAAAGGATGAGGGATTGGGGAATGCGCCTTCCACTATTGCAATTATGATCAAGTCAGTATCAGAGATCTTGAAGACTGAATGTTGGGACGCACAACGACCCAGTGACCAAATCGGCATCGATATCGTCACATTCCCAGGAATAAAAGTATCTCCAAATACCAGGCCGCTGGCGGGAGTCTGGCGCAGCACACCGGAAGGCACTGGCGGGTGGAGACGTAGCGTCTCATTGATGAGGGCAGCAAGAAACTTGGCATCGCAAGGCGCAGTGGTGCGAAGTTCATTACGAAGCTTAGTCCCGAGAGTAGAGTCAAGGGCAAGGTGGTAGAAAATATGGCTAAGAGTGGCGGCGGTGGTGTCGCTGCCGGCCACGATCATAAGGCCGGTATCACCATTTAGCCACCTGCGAGATTGGGGTATAGATTAGATCACGAGTGTCCAATTGGTATCATTGTGCGAGGAGAAATGAAGTGGCTTGCCTCGGATTCTTGTTCATTGGGTCTGGACTGTTTTCCTCGGCGTCGAGGAGCCAGCTCGTGATATCTGGAAGTAGCGGGGTGTTCTATTTGGGAAGGATCAGATTATTAGGTGATCTATGGGGAAATGTAAACATGTGTACTGGCTGGAACTGTACTTTTCTCCGAGTTGCGGCTTGGTCTTCAATAAATTTCGTGAAGATCTTGGTGCCGGTCCCTGCGCCGGGGATGGCCAGGAGAATCGGGAGGATCCACGGAATGGGCGTGAGGATACCGACGGGGCGCATGCCATCCTGGAGCAACTTGAGGGCAAAATGTTTCTCCCCGCTCTTCAACATGTTGAAGGACTTGCCGAATGCAAGATCACCCATGACATCGAAGCTGTAGAAGTTGAACCAGAGACTCGCATTGACGGGCTGGTTGGCGAGATTGTCCAATTGCGCAATCAGTTGGTCCACATAGCCATCCACACGGCCTTCATAGTTCCGTAGTGCTACATAATAGGTGAGCACAGGAAGGGGAGATCAGCACAATATAGAGCGTGTAACTCACCCCTTGCGCTGAATGCCTGGTCCCAGATCTTTCGCCGTTTGTCATGCGTGTTTCGGTTGCGAGTCAGTTGTAGGGATGGGTTAGGGCCTCCAATCGCATCATACCAAGGTGCTTTGATGCATTTAGAGCTGGAACTGTGAATTGCGGCAATTGCATCTGGATTGATAATTGTCAACTCGTTGGGGCCGACTCTCACGATTTCCCCATATTTTTGGTGTAGTTGATGGGCCTGGGCGAAGTTGTCGGAATTTGGAAGGAGACGAGCGACGTGAGTAAGCTTGGTCAGGCGGGCAGAAAAGGGGCCAGGAAAGTGTCGTAGTGGATGAAAAAAGACACGATAACTAAGAATGCTAAGGGTCAAGGCTACAAAAAAAGAGGTCGATGCCACGATGGTCGCTTTCCCGGCCTCGATAATAGGAAAGTCATAGAGAAAAAAATTGCATGCGAAGAATATTAAAGGGCCCAAAACAAATATGCAGAGGATTCGTACGGACTGCATGTGGTGTTCGCCATGGATGAAGTAACCCAGATGAGAGATGACTCCAAGGGCTCCAGCAAGCACCGAAACGGAAGCAATGGGGATAGAAGACAAGAACATGAAGATCGATGTCGATAAACACAATTTATGTAATCAGCACAATATTCGCAATCTGATGCTAAATTCGGATGTTGAACGAGTTAAGCGGTCCTCTTGCAAAGGTGGGACACCAAAGCTCTTATGAGTACGTAAGGACAAGTTCGACAATAGATAACACATATCCAAAGGTCCGTAAGCTGGAAGTAGCGAAGCAGACAGATATATCACATATATTTCTTTGTGACAATACGTTGATGGTTGAGGAGCAAAACTGTGGTTTTCGTACTTTATCTCGGACTCGCCGAGATAATTTCCCGTTCGAGGTTCTACTGAGGCTGAGAGCTGAAATTATGCAGGCTTCGCTACCATAGAAATTAAACAACGTACAAGCTTCAAGCGACAATTTCATGGTTACATATAGTAGTGATCCAATTAATGTGTGGAAGGGGACGGGACGTCACAGGAATAATGTAGCCTATTGCGGGGTGTCTCACATGACACCTCGCGCAAAATCAATATCAATCTTTATTCCAAGCCACAGCAAGACCCCATAGCAGGAATAGAGCCGTGTAACAGTAAACAGGTCATACGGCTGGATTGGTACATAGTAGGAGTCTGTATTATGTGCATAGCTAAATACTGTGCCAGTCCAAGGTGATCATGAATACTATTCTTGCATAGTCTGTTAGGAAGGTACCACGGAGCCACGTCAACTCCTGTACATGGACCACTGCGTAGCCTAAAGAGAATACACCAACCTTACCTAGATGATCGCCGCTTATGCCCTAACATTTATCAGCCCAGGGACACGGCATGTTGATGCAGAGACTTGCAAGGATCATGTCATCAGCCCGACCCTTAGCCGTGATGTAAGCATCTAATTGGTGCCTTGATGCAAAGTGATGCGATAAGCTGCTAGACACAAACTAGAGCTGGAAAAGTTGTTTGTCAAAAGCACGGCGAAAAGCGTCAGTGAAGATTGTGACAAATCATACGGCATATCGCCGTACATCAGCCGCGACCACTATTGATGTTAATTGGGTGGCCTGACTTTCTGCCGTCTAGCAACGTTCAACTCCTCGAATTAAACGAACGGTGACGATTCCAACGATATAATTCTAGCGTGTATGCAACACGGAGAGAAGCGTGACAGTTTAGGGGGAAACGCCAACGTTAGCCATGATGTCAGTCGTCTAATGGCGTAGGTTGCCTTGTTTTCGCAACCACAGCCACTGTTACTAGTTTTCCTTAACAACTAACTCTCTAATATTCTACTACAATATAGTCATAAACCTCCTCTAAGTCTTCTTCAACCAATTTAACGTTATTCATGTTTGTACTACTTCCTTGTTACGGCTCTCAGGAAGACTATTAGCCGTGTGGGTTTCGGTTTGTAGAACAGTAAAACTGATACGGGAACCTCTCAGATACTATTTGGTGATGAGTAGTATTTAGGCCCTTTTTAAAGTATTCGGCGAGTATTTACCAAGGACCCGAATACTACAAGAACTCGAATACTACTCGAGACCTTGGCAAGCTGATGCCAAGGGTGCTAAGCCCGGAAACTACGACGGAAAGCTTAATCTCGCCACGAATCTAGAGTGGCGGGTTGCCTTTGGGCCGGGTCAGTAATGCGCGGGCATTGGCTAATGCACCTGCAACCTATTGGCAGGGATCCGGATGCTAATTATTAGACTCGAATCACACATCCCCATGTCGACGTCCAACTCTTTTCTAGGCAACAGAGCGCTAAAATGTCGCTGCTTTTCTAGGAGTCAAGAAAGGCGATTTAGGAAATGGTAAACTGGCATTAGAGGGCCCCTTGATGATTCTAATTCAAGCACGTAGCGAAATAATTCTCTAGCATTACGTATAAATAATGATCTACCAAATATTCAAAGATCGTCACAACCCTACACACAAAGGAATAAGAACAGACTAGGGTCTCAATCGCAATTAAGATACGTAGTTAATTCAGTCTGCTTACTTCAAACACGAGAGTTCTAACGCGTTCCCTAAGTGCTCTTCCAGTTCCCAATCTGCGTGACACCATCCACTGTTGCCACCTTACTATCCGAATAGACATTGAACAAAAACTGTTTCGAATTATAACCTCCGCCTGAGATAAAATCCCCCGCCCAGGTAACCCAATAAGCCCACGGTATATCCTGACTAGCCTGCAGCTCTGGATCAGGAATGACACCCACCTCCGCGAGGGCAAGCACCCTCGATCCCCCTGTGACCCCATACAGTGTCTGCCAGGCGCTAGCCTGTGGATTGTGGTCACCAGCAGATGCATATATGTCGGTGGTAGCAATATCACATTTATCGTTGCCCGGATACCAGTCTGACGCCATGGTGTTACACACCCAGACCATATTATGTAGACCGTGGTAGCTAGTCAGACGGCTATAGATGAGATTCCAGAGCTGCTTAAAGGGGCCAGATCCATGGGCGCCCCACCAGAACCAGGCTCCGTCTGGCTCGTGCAGGGGCCGGAAGAGGATGGGCACATTGGCGTCGGAAAGGCGCTTGATCTGCACGGCAATAGCGTCGATATCGCGGAGGAGCAATTGGTAGTTGGCACCGTTGGAACCCTCGTTTAGTGCGCTTTGCACGTTGAATGAGGTCGCTGCAGTGTAGAAACCAGAGTACCAGGGCTCAGCGCTAGTGTCGTAGAGGCCGGTTGGGGCGTTCCAGTGCCAGACGAAGGTGTTAATGCCGCCCTTCTTGTCAAAGGCAATGGCGTCTTCAACAGCTGTGGACGAGGTGCCATGCGCGACGCGTGATGGAGAGTAATCAATGAAGTCACTACCAAGGATGGCGGGAGTCTTTCCAATCTGGGACTGCACCCAGGCGAAACTGGTTGGATCTTGCTGGCCAGAAAGATAATGCCATCCAAACTGCGACTGGATGAACTTTAGGAGTACCTTTGCTCCTGAAGTGGCGGAGCCGTCAATGTTGTTGTAGCTCATCCAGGTACGCTTATTAAGCTCAGTAGATTCACCTAGTGCAGCATTGCGACGCTGGGCTGGTGTGAAATCATTCGCTATTGTTTCGACGGGAGAAGCTACGACAGAACCTAACAAGGAGCAGACGACGATTGGCTGAAGTAGATGCATCTTGAACATGTAGAAACGGGAAGAAGAGAAAAGGTGGGAGCTGAAAGAGTAAAAAAATGATACGATATAGCGTACTACTTATATATCACAAGCCAGTGAGACCATGCTAAGGTCGAAGCTACAGTATGAGGTTCTTTCCTGCGCAGCGTGTTAATAGCGGCTTGACCTATAGTAAATGCTATGACGATTAGTGTTATAGCGATATCATCCTTTTGTGCGATAAATTCCCCTCGTCCGATACCATGTTCTCCGCCAATTCCAAACAATGTCTAGGCACACATACATTTGAACATGTCTACCTGCATGTTTACCTGCAGCAAACCCTCTATTCTCTTTTACTCCAGCCACTCGTACAACGAGAAGCTCCTCTTGCTAGTTAAATTAAAAAAACAGCATTCTTCAGATCCTAACGCGGTAAGGCTAAGCAGTCCGCATAATGTGTCCACGTTGAGTAGTTAGATCTAATGCTTCCAAGACACATCATTTGGTTAAATTTGAAGAAAGACGATGCGCGGAGGAGCTTCCTCCTTCCTCCATAACAGCGAGGCATCTCGGTGCTTAGGATTCCGTGACTTTCTCTCATGGTAGAAATTACGGATGAACGAGCTGCAAATTTTACTAACTTGAATAATACTATATTTCTTACAGGGGTTGTAAGGAGTCACCACTGATCGCTTCACGCCCGCGTCTCTATAGTCGCATGGAACTTCCCTATTTACAAGGGCTTTGACGGAGCCGAGAAAGTTGGATCCCAGATTACATGCCACCGATGGGTAACTGCCTGTTGGTCAGCTGGTGGCATAGTCTGAATGAGGATAGCTACGACAACTACCATTCTAAATAGTTCTCGGCAGTTGGCTCGGCGATGGCTCCGGCTTTGGCGGCGCGCTTGACTTTGCCACAGGGCTGACCGGGGCGCTAGCGGAATGCCGTGGGCTCGGGAGCGGCGATGGCGACCGAGTTAACGACAGCCACAAGGACGGCGAGACAGAGGGTTGCAAGATACTTTATGGTTTGGGGTGGTGTTCACACAAGTATGTGTCCTTAGTGGGCCCCAACCTTAATTGCAGCTTCTCGACCAACTAGAACCCTAGTCATTTTGGGGGATTTCGCGACCAGGGTTAGCCTTTTACGGTGCACGTTCCACGAAAGTTTGTATATGCCGAAAAACAGAAAGAAGTGCAGTAGGTGCGAAGTATTCCAGACCTCAGTACTGCGATCTGTGTAGTTAACACCATGACTCTATCGACTATTTTAAAATGGCAGAAAGGCTCTAGAGCAAAAGCCACAATGTGGAATGCAGCTCCACGGCGCAGGCTCTTCCGGGCTAATTAGGGAACAACGGAGTTTGCGGAGGATATCATTTCGACATCAACCTTGCCAAAGCTCTTGGTCAGACTTGCTAAATGACTGTGAAGAAAGGAGTTTGTTCAAACTCGCTTTGGCTTTGGCGTAAAATGATCACAGGCACCACATATTGAAATGACGTTCCAGTGACGGCATGATCGTCTTGTACCGCGTCTTCGGGCAGAGTTTCCATCCATCGCGAGTTCAAACAATTCGATGTTCAAAAGACCGCACTTCAGCACTCATATGCAATGTTATATACGCCGCTCCACCGCACTTAAAAGATCTTTCTTCACTTTTCTAACCTGCGTGGCAACAAATCATGGAGATTTCTAGCACTATTAACATGGAAATCTGCATTTATCCGAGGCTACATCCATGCAACCCCACATCGAGCGAGGGTCAGAATTTTGTCCACCGACGGAAGAGAAGATACCGAAAGACAAGATCCACCTGTACGACGATACATAGCAACTCACTCTAAATAGAGTAACGCATTTTTGCCATATTAAAGGCCCGTTGTATAATTCAGGTACGCGGTGGTATGATAGGCCATGGGAGAATATAACGGCGGATCGTTTGCATATGAAATGAGGAGGTCAGATGAGGCGTCTTGGTTCGCCGAGCTCAGAGGAGGGAATGGTAAAAGTTATTTTTGATAGTGAGGGGAAGGCCTAGATACAACGTACGAGATTGTTTAGGCAGAATGGACCGACACAGCGAATCCGTATAAGACCACATGCGCGGCCAATCGTTGATGCTCAGAGCTCCTCCCGTGATCCCACATCGATAACCGCAGCATCACCTTTAAGATGCAGATTTTAATTCCTTTCGCAGCGTTGCTCGCCCTTCCTGCGACTCAAGCTATTGTCCTCCCAGATGGCACGGTTTGTACTTTGTTGTTGGTGGCACAGGAGACACTAATTAGTGTAGGGAAGATTGCCGGCACTAGGTTGGAACTCGTGGAACGCTTACTACTGCGACATCGACGAGGCAAAGATTTTGACAGCAGCGCATGCAATCATTGATCTCGGTCTAAAGGATGCAGGCTACGAATATGTCAACAGTAAGGCCGCGCTCCTTTTCGAGCGAACTCTAACTAATCATGACTAGTCGACGACTGCTGGTCAATAAAGGACAGCAGAGACAATGTCACGAATCAAATAATTCCCGACCCACTGAAGTTCCCTACTGGGATCAAAGGTATTGCCGATGAAATACACGATCTCGGTCTCAAAGTAGGAATCTACGGCTCTGCAGGTACCAAGACATGCGGCGGCTTCCCGGCTCAGATAGGCAACGAATACCTCGACGCAGCAACCTTCGCTGCTTGGGAAATCGACTACCTAAAATACGACAACTGCTACGTGCCTGACAACTGGACCGACATCTACAGCGCATGCGTGCCGGATCAATGGCAAACTTACGGACCATACATCAACGGGACCTGCCCCAGCGCCTCTAGCGGACAAGACGAAATCTCGGCGCCTCCCGGCTACGACTGGAGCACCTCGCTCTCGGCAATCCGCTACGGCATAATGAGCGACGCCCTCCTTGCCCAAAACCGCACGATCCTCTACTCCCTCTGTAACTGGGGCCACGCCGCTGTTCAAACCTGGGGCGGCAGCACCGGCTCCTCGTGGCGCATAACAGGCGACATCACGCCGTGGTGGGCCCGCGTCGCCGAAATACTGAACGAAGGCTCCTTCCTGAGCAACTACGCCAATTTCTGGGGCCACAACGATCTCGACATGCTGCACATCGGCAACGGGAACCTCACGCTCGCGGAATCGCGGAGTCATTTCGCGTTCTGGGCTGCTATGAAATCGCCTATTATCATTGGAACCGATCTATTAAAACTCGATTCTGAGAAAGTCGCGATATTGAAGAACAAAGCGTTGTTGGCGTTTCATCAAGATGATAAATTCGGAAAGCCGGCGGAGCCGTATAAATGGGGCGTTAACCCGAATTGGACTTTTAATGCTACCCATCCGGCTGAGTATTGGAGTGGAGCTAGTAAAGCGGGCACGTTGGTGCTGGCGATGAATACATTAGAGAAGAAAGCGTGGAGGGAGATTAAGTTTAGTGAAGTCCCGCAGCTGAAGAAATTGGGTGCCTCTAAAGACAGTTTTGAGGTTAGGGATATTTGGTCTGGGAAATATTTGGGTTGTGTGAGAGGGAGTATTGGGAGGTGGGTCGGGAGCCATGATACGGTGGGCTTTGTAGTTGGGAAGAAGTGCCGGGGGTGAGGGTGGAGAACTTAAGCTTGAGTTCAAGTGGAGACAAGGGAGTAAGAGGGGAACTGGATGCTAGATAGAATGAGACTGTGAGAATGGTGTGTCTCAGGGCATGAGCGTCGCATAGAAGCCAGCGGCTGTTCATGCATATGGTGTGGCTCTTAGCTTTCGAACAATATCAAGGGTGCTCTGCTCTTGCTTTCCAGATGATCCACCATATTCTCACAATCGCCCTCTACTTTACAAAAGCCTTAATGGGTTTTAAGCCCTCCACCTAATTAAAAGTACCTATAATATTAGTTAACTATACATCTTAAGGGCCTTACGAAACCTTAGGTGTATTATCTTCATTTTTCTAGAGCAAGCTACTAAGAAAATTATATAGGAAGCCTAGATTAAAACGATAAGCCCTTTTAATCTTTATAATATCTTCCTTATTTTAATTAACTATGAGCGCGTTAATGTTGCCCTTAATGTGATCTACCCTTCGACCTCTAACGAGTGGGAAGACGTATAGTGTCTTTTATATAACATATGCTATTGTAATTTCTATGTTCTTAGTAGAGGCAAGATCTTCTATAACTTTAGAGACAGCCTACTTACTAGAAGATAGTTTATCTTTATAACTAGGGTTTCTTACTTTATGCTCTTTAAAAGATTCCTTAGATTAGAAATGTCCTTAACCAAGAGTACCATAAGGTAGCAAAGCCATCCCCTCGTCCTTGCATATACAAATAATATCACGCTTAAAATATCGCATCGCTACATTCCACTTTCCCTAGTAGACTGTAAATTAGCGGAGACTATAATCACGTGCATACTAGTTGGCTTTCGCAACGGCCTAGGCGGGAGATTCAGAGATGCCGAGATACATGACCTTTCTAGAGACAACAAGGTCGTTAAGACTATGCATCAGTTCGGGAATGGTGGTAGCGTAGTCCTACTAGTGTAGATACAGCAAGTCTATGTAAGAGGTACACAAACATTAATTAATCATAATAGCAAGATATTAAATAGAAATAAAGCACTCATATCCTTGACTTGGTGGTCATTCAGCCTTTAGCTGCTAAATTTTCCTTACACACAGCTCATAAAACAGTAAATAAACAGACGATTGCTCCAATGATTAATCATGTCTCCTGCCCAAAGGGTGGGTAAGCAGGGGCTTCTGCCCCATTGCACGAATATTGAACAATGTATGGATTGGGAACACTGTTCGGGCCCAAAATCACCGTCCCATCTGGCGCTGTCACACTTATAGCTTCATTGGAACCAGTCTGGGCATTAGCATATACAATGCGGAGCGCATAATACTGTCCCGCTTGCAGTTCCTTTGTGAATGATATGAGTTGTCCTGACGTTGGGCTGTACCATGCATCCTCTAGATCCGCATCCGCTCTAGTCCACCCAGAATATGCTTTTGGACCTATCCAGTAGAGTACAATTTCATCGGCAAGGAGTGAGGTGAAGGTATATTGACCGCCTTGCAAAGCGTGGATGTAACCGCGGTGGTTAAGGGCAAAGTAGTCAGGCGTAAATGTCCCAGGAGAACCGTAAATATGAAGCGGTGATCCCCCGTCCCCGGATAGAGCCATGTAGGTTGTAGTGCTTGTATAGGTTGGGGTCAGGGTTTTCAAAAGGGAAGGGTCGAAGCTTGAATAACTCGTGCCAGGCAAATTCTCTTGTTGGTCAGGGTTAACATAGTAGGCCCACTCCATGCCGGAGTTGCTGACACATGCCCCTTGGCAGCATGTAGTAAGACTAGAGCACTGATAGTTTAGAGACACGAAATTAGTAGTCTAGTCTTGATATAGAATAAACATCAGTCTGGCTTACTTGATTACCACACGCGCCACAGTTGCTTGGGTCACTAGAGGTATCCACACAGCGCTTATCACAAAGCTCCTCAGAGGCAATTTTCTTGCAAGGGCCGCATTCATAGCAGGGGCCCTTGTGGAAAATTGCGGGGATGGCACAGTCCGTTGGACTTAGTCCGTGTGTCGTGCACCATGCCAAACACTCCAAGAGGCCCCTTTCCTTGTTTTGAGGATAGGCAGAGCCGGTACCAATGATACCTGATTTTGATAGAATTAGTATAGTATGATTCAGGTGTTAGAGACAACTTGGCTTACCAAGTAGAAATATAATAAAGGTCGATAACTTTGACATCTTGGTTGATAAACGTCAGATGTGATAGTATTTTTAGTTTGCCCCGTCTTAGAATCAGAAAGTCAATTGTGGATATTGTGGATTCTACAGAAACAGCAGAGATTCTATTCTACATTTATATAAATAACGTTATAGTAACATCACTCGAGGAGACAAGGTTTGTGCTCATAAGATGTTCGAGGTCAGAAGAGCTGATACGGAATTCAAAATTTGCCCAATTACTTCTCTAGGGGATGACCAATGTCTCATAGTATACGAGTCGCGACTATGAGACATTGGTCATCCCAGGGAGCCGGACGCGCCGTCAATACGCCAGGGCTGAACTGGTGTGGCCAAATGCGTCAGCGACCTCTTCTGCCAGTAACCTAGGGGGTACCAACTGTCATATCACCAATCTCCGTCAGTCCAATCAAAGGACAGTGCCGTAGTGCTTGCTGATCCGGGTTGACATCCACCCTCCTTAAGTATTTGTAGCGTGACAGGAGCAGCCTGTAATTAAGGGTGAAAAAGTCCGTAGAAAACAGAGCCGTGTCAGCAGGTCGTTCAGATAGTTGGTAAAGTATTCTAGGAATACGACAGGTCGCCCAAGTGGTGGCGCCGGGTTGCTGAAGTATGGCCATCGTGGCAGCAGGGAAACGACAGCAGTACGCCAGGCTGTGTGACAGGCCGCTGGAGTCGCTAGGGTATTGGTTGCTAGCTACATAGGAAGTAAGACACTCGTGGCATATTGTTTCAGGTCAGTAGCATCACATGGCTATACCTTCAAGGCGTAAGGAACAACATAAGCATTTACTCCCGAAGCCAATCGTGAAGCCTAAGTGTACTAACGTTTAAAACCACTTCATGCCACCTTCACCCATTGTATCTATGTGGTGTCGATCGAGCCCGTACAATCCAGGCCTAAGGGCCTATATTAGACGCATGCTGTTTTTGTCTTAGAGAGGAACAGCATTCAAGGGCGGGTCTCTCTCTGGTGTAGGTCGAGCTACCAGAGAAAAAGTTCCCGCGATGAGGACAATGGTGTAATACATGGTGATATTCGGCAGGAGAATGTGCTTCGTGACGCAAACAAGCAAGTTTAATGCTAGTCGATGTTGATCGTCGTGATGTAAGAATGCTACCAATTCTACACTAGTCATGGGATACATGGTGATAGAGTTTGCAAAAACGGCTCCCTTGGGTGTTGGTCGAGGATGCCTAACTGTAAAAGGGTGCAAGTCGTCAAATGGCATGACCCACTTCTATTAGCACAAGTTGCTTACTCTAACTATGAGCGAAGCCAATATTTGCTCACGACGATTAGACGCCTTTAGCTTTGCTAGTAGAGTTAATTTCTGAATTAAAAGGTGATTTTACAGCAGAACACTATTAACGTGATATATTAGAAGGATACAACAAGCCTGAAAGTTGTTGCTTGTACAGCAAGGCTCGCTACAAGTGGTAATAGAAGCTACGGATTACATACAACCAAAAACAAAACCAATATTTCCCGAATGCACACCTTGGTATTTCCTTATTAAGTTCAAATGACAAGCGCCAGCGCTAATTCTCAAGGACGCAGAGAGATCTCATCATCGCTTCGCCGCTTCGGTATCCCCCTCTCATGCGGTCGCTGATCAAATGTATTGTAAAAAGTGCTCTGATTAGGAAGACTCTCTCCATCACTAGACTCGCCGTCCTCAACTGACACATTCGCCACAGTCTTTTTATTAATATCGTAATCACTAAGCTCGATGTTTCCATTTGATTTTTTTCCAACCTCGGAGAGGTTGCTAGATTTTATGGCTTGCGTGCCGTTATTGCTGTTGGAACTTTCCCCCACGGCATATTCGTGACATGAACTTAATCCGTCACGCTCAGAGGCGGTGGAGGCTAGAGCTATTTTCTTGATGAGCGAGGCCATGGTCATTTCAATGTTGAGCTTGACCATGTATGCCACAGGGTGAAATTGCGTGTAGACCAAGCCGTTTGGGAGGAACATGAGGCCAATGAGCATAACCTTGAGAAGAGCAGTTAGTAACTTTGCCAACACAGGTATAAGAACGCGATCGAATACTTACATCCATAGACACTGAGACGACTAGCAAACGTGCATTGAAGGAGACGAGAGGAGCATATTTAACTAATCCATGGTATTTGACAAGTCGCTCTTTAACGCTCCGAATGAAGTAATAATTTAGGGCAGCATCGATAACGCAAATAAGGGATTTGGATGTCGGATCCCAGTACTTGTTTATCTTACCAAACCTACAATTTGTTAGTTACTATTTTAAGTTCGAGACATAAAGACGTACATAGGACTTGGAGGATGAGAAGAATGCGCCGGAATCCAGATGCAGAATACAATGATTTGAATAATGCTAATAACGATTGCAGTTCCCCACTGTAAAACCAGTAAGTATGTGACCAACTAATGTAGAATATAGAAAATACTTTAATTCTTGCTAGCAGGCGAAGGTCATCAACAATAATGGCAGTTCTGTTGATGATAATTTGCATTAGGAGTTGAATTTCGAAAACCCATAGAAAGAGAGCTAGGAAGAGGATTGGGATACTATTTGATATAATTAGAATTAATGTAGCAGAAACATGGGGTGAAAGGTATACGTAGGAGCGACTACCCCGTCTACAAGCAGCCACGCAATGATCCCTATCGCAAGATTTACCAGAATCTCACCCCATATCATATAGACGTAGTGGCTTCGAAGTGGATACCTCACAACTTTCGTCTGCTTAACAGCCTCCCAAACTGTCAGGATGCCAAAGCCTATAGTGAACCCAGCCGCAGCAGCCGCAAGCTTAAAATCTGCTTCGGAACTCATGATGCCAGAGAGTGAATTAGAAGAAGCAGCCGCATAGAATTTGTAAAGCGACACTATTTTAACACTTGGCGGAAAAAGCTGATAACGGTGAGAGTAACTCGCGAAGTCTTGGAATATCTGCCAAAATGCAGCGGATGCAGGCTATAAGTTGGGATCCTGGCCTGATTTGCAAACCCATGTTTACCCCGCATGATGATCTTCGTTGAAGACTCTGAACTAGGTGCGATTCCTTTCAATAGTGGTTCAGCCACATCTCCGGAAAAGTATTGAATTACTCCATTCATCAACCTATCATATCCTGAATATCTTTCGCCCGCGTTCCTGAAACGTGTGGCATGAGTGGCGCACCATTATTGACAATCTTTCTAGCCAAATAAGGGAGATGTTCGAACGCTCGGTTCGCTCAGGACTATGCTATGGCTGCCGTAACCCCACATTTCCCCTATACCCTGCATACCACTGACACGACGGCTGTACTTCGATGTCTATCACTTGTAGTTACCTAGCTTTATACTACCTCCCCCTGAATGATTGTAACGATTCACTCCTTTGTCAAAAAGACACTGTCAGTGATCTCATCTTATTTACGCCTTTTTACCTATATCGGGTACTAATCGGGTACTATAAGTGGGCTGACACGAACTTCAAAATAGCGGGCCGTCACAATAATTCAGAGGGGAGATAGTACACGGTATAAAATCGTAAGGAAGACGCCACTTCCGCCATCCTGTGTCACAAGTGTGTTCCAATTGAAGCATCTCGAACACGAGGAAACATCATGCCAACTATTAATCACAGACCACATAAAGATACTAGTCAGCTAAATCACCACAACGGGCACCCCACATGCCGGCAAACGTGCCACCCGCATTGACTGACGGCGCAAGGGCCTCGTCGGGGCGCGGAATGTGTCGCCTCGGATGAACATTCTTGGCTAGGGTGCTTAATTCGACAAGTGGTACGTTTCACCACGAAGCTGCTACCCCGCACCGATTGTCTACGCCACATTCTTTTGCACTTATATGGCTGTTTCCTGCCATAATCGTTGCGATTGCTCTTATCAGACATGGCTCTTATCCATGATCATTTACCTCCACCCGACTACGCGTCGCGGAAAGTACCTCTGATCGCTTTACACGTATTTTTGGTGTTGTTAGCTTTGACTTTCTATGGCCTTCGAATATACACACGTGCTCGTATCCTTCATAGTATCGGTACCGATGACTGGCTTATGGGAGTTGCGCTGGTTAGTTTGTCTTCTACATTGCTAGTTTGGTGCACTCATTCTCTGGAAAGCTTTTTAGTATCGCACTGGTGATCAATGCCTGTATTAGTACCAAATTCGGCTGGGCCGGACATCTCTCTGCAATCCCATACAAAAACTTAAGCCCTATCCTTCAAAACATCTGGATCTCCGAGCTCTTGTTTACTCTCACGACATCACTCGTGAAGATTTCCATCCTCTTATTTTACCTTCGTCTCGCCGTCACACCGACCTGGAAGAGAGTGATATATGGAAGCATTGCGTTTATTGTCGTCTGGACTATTGCGTTTTGCTCCCTCATCATCTTCGTATGTATTAAATCGAACAGAGCGGAATGTGGACTGAACGAGTTGTAGCAATGTACTCCAGTGAGCGATTATTGGGATCCAATTTCTACGAATTGCTACCCCGCTGAGATAGCTCTTTTCACACACGGACTCACCAATACGATTACAGACATATACGTCTATGTCTTACCTATGAAACTGGTCTGGAAAACAAACTTACCGAAAAGGAAGAGAATCGAATTAGTGATCATCTTTGGAGCTGGTTTCTTGTCAGTCTCAAATTGACACCCTTCCTTAAATAGATGCAACTTTGTTGACTTTAATAGGGTCTGTGTTTCTGGTGGGCTGCGGCTATATTACACGATTCTTACCCAGACGTCTGACGACAGCCCTTGGATAGGCTTCGCCATGTATACCTGGGAAGCCACGGAGGTGAACCTAGGTATAGTCTGTGCATCTGCACCTCCTCTCAAGGCACTCATCAGACACATCATCCCAAACCTCAGGCTGTCCCGCACTGATAGCACTGCTAGAGGCGAAAGACGAAGTCGCGCTAGGAATCCATTCAGGATACGAGAGGAAGGCTATATTCCGGATAAGGTTCGAACGACAAGAGATATGGAGTGGGTAGGTTGCGAGAGTTAGGAAGGCCAGGCGAAGTTGCAGCTGTACAAGATTGATGCAAGTCAGCGGGTGTGACAACTTAGTTTTAGAAGGCAGTGCATGATTAACTGGGAGTTGAGAACTACTGTGCTTAGGCTTTTATCCCTACAAAGGTTTTCCTAAGGTTGTAATGATAGGACTACTGCAGCTGTATGACAGAGCGACAGCCAACGCAGAGTGCTGAGTCTACCTTAATCATCGGCTAACCATCTCTCGTCTGTAAACGCTCGTAGACCTTGCTCATCTCTGAGTGCGGGGACTGTGGTCGCCTACAAAGTACAGGAAATAATGGCGACGTTGTACATAACGCTGAAAGAAGGTTTGTGCAAGCCGCGAAACTCAGAAGTTGGGAAGCGGAAACTAGAAATCCTGATCCTGAAGCTGGGCATCAACATTTGGGTCGCTAGAGAAGGAAAAACATACGAAAAGCAGTGCTGGTTCTTGGTTCCCCCTATCTCCTTCCCATCAACAAGCTGCTCAATATCTCGGAGTAGCTCCGTACAGCGACCCACGATGATATCCACATAAATCTCCAGCCCCATATTCCAAGGCTGCTTGGTCGGCGAGTAAAGTCCTCGGAAGGGTGCCGAATCAAGCCGAGCCCCGAGAGAAGCCAGTCCATTCGCCGAGAACCAATCGATGAGCCCTAGCGGGAGACGGTCGCCAAACCGAGTCAGGGGTTTGGCGGGGGTGGGGCCGAGAGGGGTGGATTCTCTCCCTTTAATGCAAGGCTCGGCAGCCTTCCGTGGAGTACAGTTCTGCTGCACATATAATGGAGCGAAGACATGGCGTGAGCATCAGGGAAGCGCCGGTGTCGCGGAAAAGCTTGGTTATTTGTCGATATGATAATTTCATAACCCTAACCCACTTCGCTTCCACAATGCCTCCGCCAGTACAAGTCGCACGCAGGCGCATTTTAGAACCAAAGATTGGTGAGAATGGCTACCAAGGCTTTCAGCCAGGGAAGTCTACTGTACTTCCGGCTGGTTGGAATGGGCACAATGCGAAAGCCCTCAAGAGCGACATTCGGGTCGACCACGACGTCGAGATAGTGATGCACGATGGTGTTAGGCTTTACGTCGATATCTACCGGCCCGAAGGCAGCACCGAGAAGATCCCCGCAGTTCTCAGTTGGTCATTTTACGGCAAGAAGTACAGTGCCCTCGAAATGCTTCCCATGTGTGTCTGGAACTGCTGTGTTCCCCGGTCTGATCTAAGCGGTACCGAAAAGTTTGAAGGGTTGGATCCTCAAAAGTGGTGTCCAAAAGGATATGCAATTGTGAGTGTCGACACTCGTGGGGCTGGAAACAGTGACGGGGAGATTGGATATATTATGGCAGATTTCGAGATTGGCTAGTTTTACGAGGCTGGTAACGATTCCTACCGCGATTACAAATGAACAAGAAACTGGAATCGGAGTCACCCGAGCTAGAAACGTACTGCTACGAGCTGTGCTAGCACTTCTCTTCCTCCTGTTTTTTTCTCTCCCTTTCCCTAGGCCAAGTCACATACATAGGGCTGTATCTAAGCGTTTGACTCTAATATACTGCAATTGCAGCACCCCTTCAAACATCGAAAAGGGAAATTGTTGCCAATAGATTCTAGTATTAAAGGACTAACACTCCTGCCTGGCCGACTTACGTTATACAAATCTTCATGTAGTCCACTTATGCGTATTATTGCCAACCATCTTATTATTCAGTCTCCTGTAGTAGATGTGCAGCCCAAAGCTCAAGACGCCACCCAGCACCAAGAAGCCAGCATTGATAGCATGGCCAAGTCTGTAGGCCGGCTTGTCCTTCGCACGGTAAATCCAGACGCCAATAATTTGACCGGGGCCAGTGAAAGCGATATTAAGACCGGAGGCCAGGGATCCTGCTGTCGTGGAGCGGACATTGTCAGAGACCCAAGCACAGAGCGGCGGGAGACCACCGAAGACACCGCAAGTGGAGAGTACCAAGAAGGCGTAGCGAGCTTTATACGCGTCTTCCGCGAGAACGGCTAGAGTCGTGTCAGTAAGTGTGTTTATTTGAGAATCGCTATATATTTGCTGACCTTGAATGATAAATGAGATTGCACCAATACTGAAGCATATGCCCGCGATGAGGCCTCGGGTCTTCTTATAGTCTGAGTACATGGCCACAGCAAAGGTAACGACGTAGGCGCAAGCGTATGGTGGGACGGTGAACAGCTGCGCCTGAAGATCCACGTAGCCAAGCCCAGCAACGATTGTGGGCGAGAAGAGAGAGAGCGACGAGACACCGACACCCAAAGCCATATATGTGACGTAGTGAACCCAGAGACGAAGGTCTTTAAGAGTCGCCTTTGCGTCCGCCCAGTTGAGCTTCTCCTCACTGCATGATAGTCAGACAAGCCTAGAGAGGTCACAGGAATAGACCCACCCTTTAGAGCAATTTGCACCCATTCGTGATTCTTGGAGAAGTTTTTCCTCGGCGTTTAGCCAAGTCACAGTCTCTGGATATTGAGGAAGGAAGAAGAAAATAAAGATGCCACAGATGATGGATGGTGCACCTTCAATAATAAAGAGCCATCTCCAGGCCTCGAGACCGCCGACAAGGTTCATGTGTCCAACACCATATGCAATAGCACCGCCAAAGGCACCGGCAAGAGTCGCACTGCAGAGGAAGCCAGCGATTCTAGTTGCCCGTTCATGCGGACGATACCAGAAGCTGAGGTAGAAAATCATACCAGGAAAGACTCCAGCCTCGGCAGCCCCGAGAAAGAACCGAAGAACAGTGATAGTGGCGACGCTTCTGGAGCCCGCGATACCAGCACAGAGTGCTCCAAAGGCGAAGACTAGGAAGCCCAACCATCTGCGCTTGCGTTAGTCTGACATACCTCGAACTGTCGCCGACGCAGCCTACCTAGGCGGTGAAAAGATTTTCATGGCGAGGTTGCTGGGAGCCTCGAATAGAGAGTATGCAACAAGGAAGACCATGAGGGCGACTGTGTACTCATATGTGGTCATATTGATGGAGCTAAGAAGATCATCTTTGGTGGATGAATTGAGAATCTTTGCGTTTCCTTGATATAAGTTAGAATTTGTTGCCGTGATGATTTTGTGGCCACACTTACCAATGTTTGATCGATCAAGGTAGCATAGAAGGTAAATTAGCGCCGTCGCAGGCATGATCCGCATGTCAATCTTTCTCACGAGCCTGTCAATACTAATCAGTGATATGTTTGAAATGAGCAACAAAGACACCCACTTCTTCTCAGCTGCTGCAGCTGCTACATCAAATTCAGCTTCAGCTTCAATCTTGCCATCTTCAACATGGTTAATGCTGCCGTCCATCCCATCTTTTTCAACAGGGAGCACAAGAGTAGCGGCCATGTGAGGCAGTATTAGACGAATGATGCTAATTTTCTAGAGGAGTAAATTTTTGGCTTGCGTCGATAGCTGTCAAACAAATATTTCGTAGTGGCCCGTCAATATAGTACTAGACGGAAAGGCATTTTGATGGACACGACCTCCCTTAAATCCAGACATAATGAGATGAGGGGAACCAAAGAAGAATCTGGGGTAATTGCGGGGAAGAATTAGGGCGTGCTGCTAACCCGAGAACCACTACTAGCCTGAGAACCAAACAATTACTGTGAACCGAAACGCGATACCCGACCTCTAGCTTGATTTATGACAATTCACGCGATTGGATGGAATAGAAACACTAGTCCCAATGATTCGTGTTCTAAGCAAGCGAGTAGAGAGCCTTTACGACCACATCAATATTCCCGGTGCGGGGCCTCAGATATTACTATGGGGTTCGGACAGCGTCCGGCAGTCACTAACCAAAAAATTGGCCGCTCTTTGTCCCGATGAATACTGTCCGCGCCTATCAGAACAATGTGAAGAATTTAGACCTAGGCAAGCATATATATCATGACTATACAGTTCACCATTATCTAAATAATGGTGAACTGACACCCGAACAATTCTTGTGACAAATACTTGCCATCAACACGAGCCCCTGTCTCGTTTTGCCGTTTAACTAATTCGTTCAACAATACCGAAGCTCTGATGGCGTTTTGGGCGCCTTTCTGTCCCAACCTATATGGTGGCAATGAATCACTATGTTGTTGTTCAGTATCTGGGGTTGCGGTTCTCTCTCCTAGGAGACGAAGTTGTGTAACGGACCACTGCTGTTTCTCCCCTATTTCAACCTCGCAGCCAAACATAAACATCGGCCACATCAAACCCGGGTGGATCACTTTCTGCCTGTCCATTACTAACAAGTGATTGTCCTTATTGTCCTCTGTCTCCCTAACACTTCGGCACATCATTCGCCAAAATTCATCGAGCGCCTCCTTGGCGGTGGATGAGTGAGGAAGGCCCCACCAAGCCACTCGATGTATGTAAAGAAAGTGAGCCCAAAACGTCGCAATGTAGACCGCAAAAAGTTCGTCCAACCTCTCTGCAATATCTTCACATACAACCCCAGAGAGGTCCTTTGCTGTCAGATCTAGCACGCGCGGACGTTGACGCCAAAGTTTCTTCAACTCCGTATCAATAGTTTTACAGGCAGTAACAACTTCGTATTCGTCCTCGACGGTGTTTCGTGATCGATGGTGACGGTCATGAGTTCCAATTTTACGACTATAGCTCTGCGAAACTAGGTGAAATTCTAATGCAGGCTGCATTATCGCGTTGAAAACGTTCATTTTGATTTCGCGAGGAGTTATAAACGAACGTGTTGGGAAGGACCGAGATGACGCTCTCCTCTTCCTTTCTTGGGTGAATACAGCCGCGGATCCATTCCGGCTGTCTTCTTCGGAGTCGTTGGAGACGGTTTCGTTTTCTGAATCGCCGCTATCCACAGTACGATAGCTTCTCTCGAATCGATGTTGCAATACAACCTCCAATGATTTTGGCGTCAGAAGTTGCCTACCTCCCAAGTGGGATGCCTTAGCATCAAATGAGTTTAGCCATTGGAGTAGTCGCCGGGAAGCCGAATTCCACCTGGCGCTCCCCCTGATCACTGATTCGGCCAACTCAGTTGGGAAGTTAGACCGGTGAGCGTCCTGCTCATCACAGATAACCTCAAACCAAGCCAGTAGAAAGATTGCTGCTAGAAGAGCATTCTGAGACTTTTCATCAATTCTTCTTTCTCTTAGCCCCATACACGATCTCTGTTGTAATTCAAACGCCATTCTCCATTGAGAGCTACTACTCGACCGCAGCGTGGACTCACAAACCGAAAAGAGTTGCGTCAAAGCAAGGAGGGCGTCCATAACAACGCTATGAGATGAGGCTGTTCGAAGAAGATACTGTTGCATCTGATACCAGCCAGCAGGGTCAACTGATACCAAAGATGCTGGAGGTCGTGTACTGCGCTTAAAGTATGTGATTAGGTATGCTCGCGTCTCGTCTTTCAAAGGCAAGAAGTCCATCTCTGTTGTGATTTGAGCGTGAGAGTCCTTGGCTGCCGTTGAACTTGCAATTGGCATTGCGTTGTTTCCATTAGAAGGTAGATTCGGAGGGGATGCATGCATTCCACTTCTTCCCTGCGACAACGCACTGCCATGAACTAGATTGAAGTTGTATGGCACTTCTGACCCGGGAAAGGCCTGGGAATCTGAGAAGGCGAAAGTTGCGAAAGTAGAGCCTAAATTAGGAACATTGAAAAAACCATCGAAATTGGGTGGGCATAGCGAGGTGTCCATTGAAACCGGCATAGCTGTGGCAGCGCCATCTACACTGTTGCTGCTGCCGTTGTGATTTGCATTGGAAGGTGCTTGATATTGAAAGGTGGCATCGCCCTCACTCTGGTTAGAGAAAATTTGCTCTGGTGCATAAAAGTGTTCGTATGGAGTCGGCGAGGGATACTGGCCAGCTCCTAGAGTTGTACCTGAGCTTGGCGTGACTACGACTTCTTGTCCTTTCGCTGAAGGCTCTCCTGATGGTGTATTGGGAAAACAAGAGGCTCCTGTTGCTAAAGTCGCCTGTAAATAATTGAAGTAAGGGATGAGAGTGAAAGGTAATATATACCTGAGGTTTGTGGGGACCCTGGAGAATTGCCGTTTTGAGACTGCGAAGGGCTATTCCTTATCTCTGCGTTCAATGACGCGGAAGCCGCAGACGATGCCGCACGACTTCTTCTAGGCGCAACTGGCACGTAGACACAATCTATGCGCAGTCTTTCGCAGTTGTTGCAAATTGGGCGATGTTCATCACACCTTACGCGTCTGGTCTTGCACATAGTGCATCCATTCCGACTTCTTGGCCCTGACCTGCCGAAGCCTGTCTCCCTGTTAGATATAGGCATGGCATAAACGTGTCGAATTTCTTAGAGCAGACTCTTAATAATTGCCGTTATTCTTTTAAACCTCGAATCTGCTTACGATGCTATACCTCTTCGTCCGATGGTCAGCGGCTGTTGGCAGTGTCGCGAGCTATACAGCTCTCACCATAACGAGATCCACTGGAGCAGTCCAGAATCTAGAGACGGCAGAATATCGATGTATCTCAGATGGGTTATAGTTAAGGATTAGGCAAGGAAGAGGCACTGGGTTCAACGAGAACAATGGTGGATAATCAAAAGCGGGGAACCGAAAGCGAGAAGTGAAAGGTGGGGTAACGAATGCGGGGGCTCGCTTTTGAAGTTCAATAGTTTCGTTGCGTCACTCACAAAACGTACTTCGTACAATACTAGACTCTAACTAGTGCTTAAATCACATGATAGTAGCTATAACAGCTGTATTAGAAGGAGGGAAAGAAATTAGATTCCATAGGTTACATTAAGAAATATCTATAACAAAGCTCTTTCTTGGTAATCGTCGCCATGAATAACCCAAGGCAAATGTGCCGTAGCCCACTTCGACGAGCCACCACTGCGCGACTTAACAGCCTCCCAATCTGCTTTACTGATGCTACGTGCCTCGACAGCAGGATTGTATCCTAGCCTATGCCTACCATCATCTTCTGCCTTGATATCCTCGGCTTTTGGCACGGGCTTTCCGTCAGCGCGCTTGTAAATGGTAACAACAGTTGCTCCTCCTAGGCCCATGTTGTGCTGGAGGCAATACTTGGTCTGATCAACGGCTCTTGTGGTAGCCCAGCCTCTTAAATGCCATACTGTATGGTGTTACTATATGAGTTGGGCAGGCCAAAATCGGTGTTACATACCAAGTTCTGTGCATTGCGCCAAACCAGTGGCTCCTAATGGATGGCCCTTTGAAATCAGGCCGCCGCTTGGGTTCACGATCCAGCCCTTTCCATCTAGACCAACACCACCGCCAGGTCCGTATGAAATTCCTCCGTCTTGTACCAGCTTCCAGGCTTTCCCTTCGTCAGCCAACCCCAGCCCTTCAAGAGCACACATCTCGTTAGTCGTAAAGCAGTCGTGTAATTCGACGATTGTGACATCTCTCGGTGTGATATTAGCTTGTTTGTAAGCCTCCTTTGCGGCGAGCCTGGTCATATTTGAGCCAATGAGCTCAATGGCACTTGGGGGCTCAAAGAGTAGAGGTGTGTCCGTTGACATGGCCTGCCCTGCAATCTGAACGGCGGATCCAGCAAGATGAGGATGCGATTTCAAGAATTGTTCCGAGCACACAATTGCAGCTGCCGCCCCGGTCGATGATGGGCAACATTGAAGACGGGTTATTTCCCCTGTTATAACTGGGCTGTTCATAACTTCTTTTGTAGAGACAGTCTTCGCAAGCTGGCTGTATGGGTTGTTAACGCCGTGGGCTCTGTTGACCGACGTGATCTTTGCAAAGTGCTCGTTCTTGGCTCCCGCATTGCCATATCTTTGCAAGTACTCTGCCTGAGCATTCGCATATAATTGAGGAGTCCAACCAGGAGACTTCTTTCCCTTATCTGCTTCCGGAATTAAGGTCTTGGACAGGTCGAGAATCCTTGAAAGAGGGTTTGTTCTGTCGTTGAAGATTTGAGGAAGCGCGCCAGGGTACATTTTGTCGAAACCGATGACCAAAACACATTCTGATTGACCTGATCGAATCGCTTGATTTGCCAGGTATAGACCAGTACTTCCAGAGCTGCAGTAGTTATTGACATTCGTGATAGGAATTCCGGTCATACCGAGAGCGTAGAACACTCGTTGCGCACAGGTTGAGTCGCCGAACACATAACAGCCAACTCCCGAGTCAACATCGTCATATGTGAGTCCTGCATCCAATAACGCCTTCACCGCAGCTTCGACTGCTAAGTCGAAATAGTCGGAGTCTGGGTTTCTAGCAGATTTGGCAGAGTTCTTTGGAGACTTAAATGGGGTCATGCCCACGCCAGCAATATATGTTGGCTGCGACATGATGAAGGAAGACGTTGTGGGAGAACTTCTATGATTAGAAAAGAAAATGCAACGTAGAGAAAGAAATTAAAGAAAAAGCTCAGGAAAAGAGGCATCAAGATATGGACACCCGCACAAAGAGAACCATTAGAACTACCTCGATCCGATAGATCTATAATTATTTTCCACCATCATCTTCGTACTCAACCCCGATAGGATCGCCTCGTGCCTTCGAATGCGGGGATCAAGGCGGGGTTTCATAGTAGACGACACCCGACACCCGACACGACACGACAACGACAGGCGAGCAAGCACCACCATCGAACCTCGTCAACAACTAGTATACGGAAGACTGCGGGGTTGCGGGGTAAAGTAGGTCACGAAGTTCCTGAATTCGCGCCGCACAGAACAGCTTGGACATTGATGGCCGTGTACGGAGTAAACGCTTGCCGCTCGACGTAGAGTCCTTGAGGCAATTAAGATAACTATTATTGATAATGAAGCATTCTCAAAGGAAAGGTCGCTTATCGCGATGCAAGATGGAAAGGCGCACGCTACCTTGGCTAAACAAAAGTCTCGCTTCAGGTACTTGTACTTCGGGCACGAGTACCACAGCAACGCAGAGCTTGAACAATCGCGAAGATCACCCAGCATTGCCGTGGTCAGTTTATGAATTCTACGGGCCTATATGTCTATAATTCTATGCCTACCAAAGCTCTATCGAGCCCGCGAAAGGAAGCCGTTAATCATATCCGACTGGGCATTCGGGTCGCTCCATCAATTCTCAGCACAGTGCCATTCAAAAATGAGTTCTCCAAGATATGTTGAACCAAACCCGCAAATTCAGACGGACGTCCAGCCCGATCTGGGAACTCTAATACTCGCTGGAGACTTTCTTTTGCCTTCACAGGCATGTTGGTTGTCATGCCCGTCTCAAACAGACCAGGAGATATCGATACAGCGCGAATACCGTGCCTCGCCAGATCTCTTGCCATTGGCAATGTCAACGATGCGATTGCTCCCTTCGCTGCGCTATATGCGACCTGACCGGGTTGACCGTCAAAAGCTGCTGCAGATGACACTGTGATCACGACCCCTCTTTCTCCGCCCTCATCCTTTTCTTGAATTGCGATATGAGGCAGTAGTTGCCGTATCACATCGATTGTGCCAACAACATTGATATCAAGCACCTTCTTGAAGGACTCTATTGAGAATGGTGTATTATCCTTTCCAAGGATCTAGAAAATTGTCAGAATGACAAACATTAAACGCTTTGCAATGACTCACTTTAGCAGGGCCGAGTATACCTGCACAGCAAACAACTCCCCCAATATATCTCGTTATGTCACGCTTCCATGACAAGATCTTCGTGATAGCGGCTGTAATATCGCTAGAATTCGAGACATCCACTCTGTAGAATCGAGCCTTTGACCCTAGCCGACCTGCAACATCCTCTTTATCGTGAACATCCATAATGGCAACGTATGCTCCATTGGCTACAAGCTTCTCTACAGTAGCAAGCCCAAGGCCTGAAACCCTAGGTGAATATTAGCTATGCCCAAGGGTCTCAGACGATAAGTAAGCATACCCTCCAGTAACAAGAAAGAGTCTTCCGTCGATCTTCATTTTGAGGGTTCTCGTTCTTTACGGGGTTTGAATTGTGCTTTTAGAATTTGGCAGATATAATACGAGGGCCTCTAAACATAAAGAGATAGAAAGACAAAAGTCACGGCGCGTTAGACTTGTATAACATACCCGAGGTATCTAAAGATCTAACCCTTGTCATATATAGCACATCAACCTAGGGAGACTTTTTCTGAAGCGCATCATTCATGGCCACTGGGGAGAATTCACGGAGTTTAGTGCCTGGAGTTGTGGAGAACGCGTAGAGTGCAGTGGTTGTGATGGGTGGCCTCTCGGGTCTCGGGTCTCGTTTCTAAGCTCGGGAGATTTCGAACCCCATATGCAACTTATCAAATTATACATCTTGCCCACACATTGATGGAATGGGTATCTCGAGTCCCATAGACTTGCTATCCAGGCCTCGGCTGTTGATCTCTTATAACTTTCCCAAATGACTACCTACCCCACCTTCGTGGCGGTTCAAGGTAGCGGCCTATGATTCTTATCTTCTCCGTGCTCCCATTCTGTCTTCATCTCCATCATACATCTTTATTTTCCAGCGGGCATAACTCAGCATAGTTTTAACATGGAAACTCTAAGAAAAGAAAAAATTGCCATGGCGCGGGCGGCGAAAAATGGCGGCTCCATAGTTCATGGACCATCACAACCATGTGCCACTGACAAAACATTTGGAAACTTGCTTAGAGAGCAGGCCCAGACCAATGGGAATGGACTGCTTGTACTTTCAGATCACCAGAACAAAAGTCTCACATACTCTCAGGCAGACAGACGAACAGATGATTTGGCGAGAGGGTTAGCTGCAATGGGCGTCAAGAAGGGTGACAGAGTTGCTGTTATGATGGGAAATCTGGTCGAATACGTGGAACTGTTCTTCGCATGTGCGAAATTAGGCACATTGGTATGAAATCTGTTGCTCTTTAAATATCGTTCATCCTAAATACTAATGATCTCTTCCAGATTACTCTTGCGAATTATGGTTACTCAGAGCGCGAGTTGCATTCTGTCCTGTCGTCCTGTGGAACTTCTGTGCTGGTCATGGTACCTGGCTTTGACCGCTACGATTACCGACCTTGGATTCCCAGATTGAAGAGCGGAATCAAGTCACTAGAGCATGTGATTATGGTGAATGGCGAAGCAAACGATGGCGCGCATTCCATTCCCTTTGAAGAGGTCGTTCTGCAAGGCACGAAGTCAAATTTGGATCTTCTCGCCATTGAGCGGACAAATAACTCCAACGACATCCTCAACCTCCAATTCACCAGCGGCTCAACGGGCAACCCTAAAGCATCTGCTCTGACCCACAAAGGAGTTTTCAATGCAGGAAAGCTTATAGGCGACACAATGTACCTCAAATCATATGATCGAATCTGCACTCCGGTCCCTCTCTTCCACAGTTTTGGTATCATAATCGGCCTCGCCACAGCGGCAGCACGGGGCGCATCAATCATCTTACCCAGCGAAGTATTCAACATAGAGGCAACGCTACGGTCCGTGGAGAAGAACAAGTGCACGGGAATATATGGCGTGACAACTATGTTCGTGTCAGAAATAGCACATCCCAATTTTAGCCAATACGACAAGACGACTCTTCGTTTCGCAATCGTCGCTGGCTCCGCGGTGCCGGAACCCCTCATCAAGCGAATATGGGCTGCTTTCGGGATCACCCAAACACACACAAACTGGGGCCTGACTGAATCTTCATCTATTTGCACGATGACGAAAGATACCGATACAATGGAGAAGCGGACCAAGACATCTGGCCGCCTATTTCCCGGATTCTCAGCAAAGATTGTGGACCCAGTCACGAATCTCATCATGCAACGAGGGGAGAAAGGCGAGATCGTGCTTCGAGGGGCCGGAATTCAAAAATGCTACTACGGCGACGAGGAGAAGACGAAAGAGGCACACAAAATAAGTTCAGAAGATGGTTTGGAGTGGTTCCACAGTGGCGACGAAGGATACATTGATCGTGAGGGCTACTTCTGCATCACCGGCCGCATCAAGGATATGATCATTCGTGGAGGAGAGAATATTGCTCCTCTCGAAATCGAAGAGCGACTCATGAACCATCCTGCTATTGCACAAGTCTCTGTCATTGGCGTGCCGGATGAGAAATATGGTGAGCAGATTGCGGCATTCGTGGAGTGGTCCGGTAATGGGCGGGTTCCAACTGACGTTGAGCTGAGAAGCTGGGTGAGAGAGACGTTGGCGCAGTTCAAGCAGCCAAAATATATCTGGTGGCTTGGATCGAGAAAAGAATTCCAGCTTTGGCCAAAGACCCAAAGTGGGAAGTTGAGGAAGCCAGATCTAAGGATAATTGGGAACAGGATATTGGCTTCTGGTGTCATTCCTAATCAGATATCTGCGCGCTTATAGACTGGCTATTTATTGACTACTCGGGGGATCTTAGCGAATCTGTGCATTACGGTATATAGCTGTTAGACAGTAGTTTAAGATAAACCCAAAGGAGAGGGGGAGAGGCGGGAGTAAGGGACAGCTAGGATGATGTGGGGTATTGTAGTAGTATTCTAGGTAGAGGAAAATAGCCTCTGTTACCTAAAAGCTATCGATAAAAAATTATTTTCAATCCTCTGATTCTCAGAACCGAAATCGCAAAATGTAAGCCAATTGCGTATTGGCACATATGGTGGTTGTTGCCCGGCTGCTTGGTCTGAGAAGATAGATAGATACAGCAGCTTCAAAACCCCAACTCTACGAGGAGAATGTCTACATCACAAATACTCCGCTCCCACTGCTTTTGAAATGCGCTAATCGTGGTCGCAAGCGGAGTGCGTCTGCGAGATTTTATATTGTAAATCGATTGTGTTTTAGATAAAAATAATTATTTTATATTTTTATATTTTATGACCTTAAGTCACGTTACATATAATTTACTATGTAAAAGTACCACTAAACCACTGATGCCGGATTGTTGTTAACATATTACCGTATTCCGTTCTATATTTAGCACGCCTGGTTGCTTTAACCACCGTAACTTTCGGTTTTTGCGACTGCGAAAAGCAGGCCCTAGTTTCTCGTTTCTCGTTTCCCGTTGCTCCTTCCCTATTGATCCTTTCTATAGCCGGTAGCCGTCCTTCCTCTTCCTCTACAGGCTCTAGGGCTGGCATCATTTAAGCGTGACAAGGTAAATGCTTACTGTGCAGCAATTTTTCGGTAGGATGAACGCTAAATGTAGAGGTTACCTGCCTGTTAAGGCTTCTCATGAGTTACTTATCATGAGTCACTTCTCTGAGTCACTTTAGCGTCAAGGACAGATCCGGCTTTTCTTCAAAGTTTGGAAAGGATTTTGTATAGATAAACAGCAGCCTCAAGTGTTTCCCTCTCCTGCCGACTCTAGGTATATCCCCACAAGCATCTAGTTGAAGCATCCAGTTGAAGCCGCAAGTATACGTACTCCCTAGTTCAATTTACCTTTACCAGAATCTCCCTTAAAGAAATCTCGGTACTACTTCCACAATGATAGAGCCATCTGCCAAAGCGAAAGAGCTCTCACAAATATTCCTCGACAGCAATCTAGGAGGGTTGGATCACCGTATTAATCTTACTAAGTTTTGGGGAATCACACCTGGATCACGAGTTTTGGAAATTGGCTGTGGTCAAGGTGACTGCACGACTGTTCTAGCAGACGCAGTTGGCCCGGACGGACATGTAGACGCTGTAGATCCAGGGGCGCCTGATTATGGTAGTTACACATCTCCCTACACAACCTCCATCTCTGTGATTATGGCCCCAAAAGAGCCTATTATCTGTTATCTATTTGCTCCTTTATCTTTCAAGACATTTGCTAAATCCACAAATAGGTGCCCCCTACACACTTGCCCAATGCCAGAGCAACCTCCTCGCCGGCCCCTTAGGTTCACGCATAAACTTCCACAACACAGACCCAGTCGCCTTTCTGTCCACCCTTCCTTCTTCCGCCAAACCCTACGACTTTGTCGTTCTCGCTCACTGTATCTGGTATTTCGAGACTCCCGTCATTCTCTCTGAAATCATCTCAGCCTTGGCTGGTCACACCACCCGTCTGTGTCTCGCAGAATGGGGTCTCCGTGCTAACAGAGCCGAGACTTTGCCGCATGTTGTTACTGCGTTATTGCTAGCAAATATTGAGGCGAAGCGTTTGACGCCTAGCACGAGAAATGTCAGATCAGTCTTAAGCCCACAGCAGATTGTGAACAATGTGGTAGAGAAGGGGAGGTTCGCGTTGGTGGAAGAGACAAGGGGGAAGTCAGGAGATACCTTACAAGATGGGTATTGGGAGGTGAGTGATTTATTAAGGAATAGAGTGAAGTTTCTAGATAGGATGAAGAGGGATGGGGTCAGTAACAAAGAGATTGGGGCATTGGTTGCTATGTTTGATAGTGTGCAGGCGGGTGTCGATATAATTGGTGGAAATGTAAAGGATGTGAAGACTATGGATTGGTGGACTGGGGTTTTTGAGGGCATTTGATCATGTTTTCGTGCTGATTAGGGAGATGGTGGAAGGTGCGGACGAAGATAGGAAAGAGGAAAGCCAGCCAAGTTGTCCAAACTATCCGAATCAAATAGATCATATAAATTATATTGATCGTGGCCAGAGAGACGAAGGCTAAAGTGTTGGAAGTTTCATGGCTCCGCTTGAAGCTATACGGTGGCGACCTCAAGCAGTGGCAGTCTCACCAGAAGCACTAAACGTAAAGTATTATCTACTGACCTCTGTAACTATTCGCCGAGCTCTAAACAAAACAGCTTAAGGCTCCAAAGTCTTCACTTCTAGCTAGCAATATCACTCTCGATCATTACAATATATGGTACCGGGTACTATACCATATGTTAGAGACCTCAAGTTCTCAAAGCAACTCACTCCCGAAAATGGACAATCAATCGCGATTGCCATATATGGAGGTTCGATTCATCTGACCGCTTTAAAATCTGCCCTTTTCGTGTTTTCGTCACTTGCAAAAGTGGCTCCTTATGGGCGTTGGTTCAGACGCATGGTTCCTCCCCACAAATGGACAATCGGCATTACAATTATCTGCGGAGAGTTACCCAAGCCATTGCAGGTATCTTGGGGTAAACAGGGCAATCGCGGAGGTGATGACAGTAAAAATATGTAGAAATAAATATGATTTGTGGTAAAGCTGGTCGACTCAGCTATTACCTTAATGAGAGTAATATCATATCTCTTCCTAATCCAACATATAAACGAAACCCCATTTGATACATCCAAATTTGTCTTGATAACCAAGGGAAGAAACTGAAAGCTCTCTTTCCAACCCTATATATCACCATCAACACAACCCAGCCTAGATCTAGGCGGCACTGTTTATAATGCCAAACCACTCGAGGTCTAAGTTCTCGTTAACAGGGACAGTGTGTCCTACACCATCTGCAGAGTACGCCACAAACTGGGTTCCGTCGCCATAGATAAGCTGCGTGTATCCCTTCTGCGGCGTGTTAGGGTGCTCAGAAGTCTTATTGATTCCGAACACGGTTGACCACTGCTTAATTTGCTCCCCCAAATCCTTGATAGAGACAACATTGTCGGCCGTTCCATGTAGGGTGGCAAACTTGGGTCGTCTGCCGTTGTATCCTGGATCCATGTTGTACACAATCTGAGCCCATTGTTCGCCGGTCTTGATGATATCGCCATTGGCGCATGCAGGATCCGAACTGATGGGGCTAGAGCTGGGAGAGCCGGCGAGACAGCCCGCGGGTACACCAGAGTAGCAGGTCGCAGCAGCAAACAGATCGGGATAGAGAGAAATCATAACGTTGGTCATCATGCAGCCAGAAGAGGAACCGGTGACGAAGATTTCGGCTGGGTCGGCGTTGTACTCTGATATGACGAACTTGACCATGTTGGCTAGGCCAGTGCTGTCTCCGCCTCCGTTCCTGGTCAGAGAAGCCTTCGATGCGACGTCCCAGCAACCGGTCTCATCAAGGCTGGAAGGATAAACGACGATGAAACCGTGTTTGTCAGCAAGCGATGAGTACTTCGTGAAGGCATTGTATATGGCGCCTGACCCAAAGCAAAAGTGAAGCTGAATGTTGAGTCAGCCTAACATGTTCATCTCCTATAGCTCAGAATAAAAAGATGATAATAAACATACCGCAAAAATGACGGCTGGGCTTTTAGCAACATTTCTAGGCTTATAGACCTGCATCTGCAGGTTGCTTGGGTTGTCCCCCCAATTTGTGACAGTCCTCAGTGGAGGAGGAATCCCTCCAAAAGGAAATTGGGCAACGCACTCTTGGGAGAGAAGCGCGATTGCGACAGCCAGGACGCGGAGAGAAACTTGAGAGAACATCTTGAAGTGTTAAATATTGATGAGATGAAATAAAAGGAAGGAATTAACCAGTTATGCCCAGATAGCTTGGGTTCTATCTACCTATTTAAATAGTAGTTTTATGGTGTCTAGAGACCGTGATAATTGTGTGGTTTGCCTCGGAGGTTGGGTGCCAGTCAAGGGACCCAAAGCTGAGGAGGGGAACCCTTAATGCGGTAATTTAGAGCGCTGGAAACAAGACGGCTGGCAGACGGCAGAGAAAGACAGATAGCAAAACTCCTCCGAAATTAGAGGGCCTGTGACCAACTCACCCCGCCTAAACGTTCAACTCTAAACGGCGCGCAGAGTTAGAAAGAGTAATTGTCTCCGTCGTTTTAGCTAGTTTTAACTATGATTTGAAACGACGACGGAGACAACTACCGTAATAGTTAGAGGTTCTAAGCATTATCCCCGCACCACGCTTTACTAAAAGTAGCAAAGCTTGCGCTAGTGTTAACTTTATAGTACCCTTTGCGGGGAAATTTTGCCTGTGTATCAGGTCGGCACTTATCTCCCATATTTTTAGACTGAGCTTGTAAAATTTCCCTGCACAAATCATTTTAAAGTTAAATCTAACGCAAGCTTTACTGTTCTTAGTGAGGCGTGAATGCCTACATAGCCCCAAAATATAGTAGACAGCCTCGGTCGTCCTGAGGAAGCCTAGGAAGACTTTTTCTAAAACATCAAACTCCGGAAGGCTGATATAAATGACCCAGGATCGCTAGAGCCAAAGACCGGTACAAATCAGATCGGCAAGTCAGATCGGCAGTTATCCACTGTACTTTCGGACCAAGCAGGCGCTTGCAAAGCCCCTAAACAAAAGGTACGATAAAGTTAATACTTAGCGCAAGTTCTGCCGCTTTTAGTAAAGCGTGAATGGTCGTATGTGACAATTACATGCATATTCCATCTTTAAGGATTCATGAAGCACATCCTTTACTTTTAATCTCTCAAGTTACAAATCAACGGCAGCTGCTTTGCTCGTCGCAGTCTCAATTGACGTAGATTGTGCGCCACCTACTCTTGACTACCTGGGCATGGATTGGCTGCCTGGCTTTAAGGACCATGATGTCTGTCTCATTTCTGTTCCTACATGGATGTACGAAATCAAATTTCGAAATATAGTACAAGAATAATTACACAAACAAGACACTCATCCCTAAACTATTCATCGCTGTTCTCCAGTCGACTGGCTGCTGCCGTTTCTCTTCCCCCCGCAGTCTCCAGCACTCTTCTACAATAGATAGTGCTTTTGAGAAATTCCCAAATGTCGGGGTATCCCCATTGCTCGATACCGCCAGGCCTCTGAAGAACATCTGCTCTTCTTCTATTGCCATGCAGCCTGTAATGCAATATGCCCAAGTAAGGCTGTTGATCATCGCTATATCAGGCAGTGCTCGCAATGCATCTATCGTCCGAGACACGTTTTTGCGGATTTCTGGCATTTTAGGATAAGCGCCTGAGACGACTACGTCAAGATACACAAGCGCAGAACAGGCAAAGATGCGTGTGATTAGAAGCGTGAGATGAGGCGATTCCTGTATCCCGGTACTTAGAATCGAAGGGGTGCTGTGATTTGTTAATTGGCTGAGTCTGCTAGAGGTGTCTCGAAGACCATCTTCAAGACCTCGTTCAATGTGAGTTGCACGAGTGACTAGCTCGCGCATGCTCAACTGAGCGCTTATCTGGAGATTCTGTTTCCAGTCGTTAAGAAAAGCAATGTCCATAATGAGGAGCATGGCCCAGTTTTCGCAGCCCATTATTTTATCAAGGAAAATATAACCCAAAGCTGTGCCAATACATTCGCATTTCGAGAACGGCGGCTCTCCTGTGGTGCTGCAGGAGAGAATGTCGTACCATCCAACCACGCCAGCGAAGAAGAATAAAGCTGATTGGTATCCTGGGGATAAACTGGCAAACTCGGCAACCCTTTCCTCACGTTTGATGTCTGGGACAAGCACCGCCGCTGCAGATAAGTGCATCCTCCAATTTCTTGCATCCCCTTTGAACATCTATGAGCGACAATGTTAGAACTGACGGATGGTTTCAGAGAGGATATACCGACTTCTAAAGATATCAACATTACCAAACAAGAAAGGACGTCGACGTTTTCGACTTGGGTACGAGCCTCCTTCTTGTCCCCAATTTTTGCCAGATATTGCCGGAGTTCACTCAGCGCACGTGCATATTGCCTTTCCAGGGACTCTAAGTCGAGGCCGTGGTGCTTGCTTGCACTGTCGCGGCATAGCATAGACTGCCGGTGATAGGCTGCCAAGCTAATAGCAGCATAATACAAAGGTTTTGTCGTCGTCAAAATAGATAGAAGCCAGCCCCGACCACCAGAGACTACCGATGGCTTATAGAAAGGGAACTGAAGTGGGAAAACGTGATCTAGGTAGTGCATGAGTAGTTCTGTGTCGACTTCTTCTGGAACGACCGAAAAATCTGAAAGAGGAGGGTCTGTAGCGACTAACGGGGATACACGATTCATCACGCGCCCTCCCCAGTCATCTGACGAGTCTGTCCGTGTAGGGGATGGTAGCGTAGTAGCAGGTGGTGCTGGGTGGGTTGGCTCCTTAGCCGCGGCATTGTTCGTAGATCCATTGGATTGTTGTTGTTGCTGTGGTCGCCGCTTCATTGCTATCCGCTTCCTTTCTGCAGTCGTTTCCTTGACTACACGTCGAATTGTCTCCGCCATATCCTTCTCTCTACCCTTGCCGTCCATCCACTCTGGCTTTGGACCATACCTATGGCATGTCACGGCGAGATTATTACATGTTAAACACACTGGTTTTCCTTCGTCACATTTCTTCTTACGAAGGCGACAAGTCCAACACCCCTTTGTGCTTCTCGCACTCCCAGACATGCTCCGGGGGAAACCTGCCTTCAGACACTGTTCCCACTATGCCGATCGTTACGACTTGAGTCAGCAGAGACCCCGAATTTTCGACAATATCTGTGCCCAAAGTTAATTTGAGTTAGATTCCAGAATTTCTGACTGATGGTAATCTACCGCCGATGGTTGATAAATTCGAGGTGCTTGCGCGGGTGAGAATTGACGGAAGGTGGATTAGAAAGCATTTACAACCTGTTTTATCGATTAACCGCGCAAGCAACTGCAACCGAGGTTCGTCTCGTCCTTCCATCTAGGTACAGGTACGGTTTAAATGGGTCTATACCAAGTAACTTTTTTATCGCCAACAACCAACTTGAATCTTACCGCAGTCTGAGCTAAATCAACGCTGTGTAAGCAGTTATATAGAGCGCTGGTAGGAATGTGAGGTAATCTTTGTGCCGCCTTTGGAATGGATGATTTCTTAGTATCCGCCGGTAAGTCCTGATTTTTCAAGGTAGGATAGGGGACATCGGCGGCTGATCTACTACGATGTGCTTGGTAAGAGTATCCCTACGAAACTACTTAAAGAGTCGTAGAAATCCCTTTTGTTTTATCCTTATACACATTGCCTCGATTTCGTCTCTCAACTTCAGTTTACACAGACGTCAAACTCTGAAAATGCCGTCTTACGTTGTTGTTGGTGCCTCTCGAGGCCTCGGAGTATGGCTCTTTCCACACCCCATCATATTCCAATTCTAACGAAACTCCCAGTACGAGTGGCTTCGATTTCTCAGCCAGGACCCATCCAATGCTGTCATTGGACTAGCACGCACTCCAGGACCTGTCGAGGCCCAACTTGCAGCCGATAAAATCACCAATGTCCGCATTTTCAAGGCTGACATGCTCGATCACAGAAGTCTCACAATAGCAGCCAGCGAGGTTTCTGAAGTAACCAACAACTCACTCGATCATCTGATTGTTAACGGCGCCTACCTCGGTCCTGACGCGTCTTTCATCACCCCGACGGAATTCGTCGGTCAAGAGGACCTCCTTCGCCGAGAGTTCATCAAAAACTTGGATGTGAACGTTATCGGTGTCATCCACTCCATCAACGCATTTATTCCGCTCATTCGCAAAGGCACCACTAAGAAGATCACTGTCATATCAACAGGCCTAGCGGACTTGGAGCTAGCGCAGAAGGCAAACATCGCGTTCTCAGTGCTATACAGCTCGACTAAAGCGGCCACTAACATGGTTGTTGCCAAATATTCTGCTGAGCTGAGAGGAGAGGGAATCATCCTCCTCGCATTGAGCCCAGGGGTCGTCGACACCGCTACTGGACCTCGTAAGTTCACCCATCTCAAAACCTACGAGTCGTAATGGAGGTGATTGGAATCTGACAACCCAAATAGCACCTCCAGAACACATACCGCGAATGCAAGAGATGGGAGCAGAATTTGCAAATATCTATCCGCATTTCAAGGGGCCGATCACTCCAGCTCAGAGCGTGCCTCTCATGAAAAAGGTTATTGACAATATGACGATTGAGGATTCTGGAGCATTCTTGTCCCACCTTGGCAGCAAGGAGTGGCTTTGAACGCCTTTGGTATTGGAGTTCTGATTATGATAGAGATAAATAGAACGATATTTACCATATAACTACTTCCTTAGTATGCCTCTCGTAATTTCTAGTTGCTCAGCACCCTATTTCACGATTCACATTCACTCAGGTACATGTCACGTGGCGACAAATCGGGCATCCGTCATTCCCCAACTTCCGGCTTCACTCTGTCCCACATAACATGCCGCCTTGCCAGCAATTCAGCCACCGTGGTCGGAAGAATGCGGTGGCCGCACGAAGATTAAGCCGCACCTTTTCTAGTTATAAACCCCTCACCTATATGGTCGCATCCCACCTCCCTCGCCCACTCACCGTATACACAACATCATACACAACACCACGTCTTTGAATCGTGACTTTGAAAAATAACCACAGTCATGTCCTTCTCCTCCCGCCACATCCCTGCTCTAGTGGTGTGCTTTGGTGTCGGCGCCGGTGGCACCATGCCTATGTTTGACGCTGCCTTCGCATTATCAACCTTTGGGTTCCCCAAGCGCGTCGCCTCCTCCCAGCCTGCACAAGCAGTGTCGATCATTAATGGTGGGCGGAACGTAGCCCTGGGAATAGCGCTAGGTACGCTATATTTGCGCGGCATGCTAGATGCAGTGGACGTTGTTTTAGGGTGTTGGGGCCTTACGGGGCTTGTGGATGGGTGGGTGTTGTGGCAGGAGGGGGTGAGGGGGAAGGCTGTGTTCAGAAGCGTTTTCGGGACGATGGTTGGGGCGTACGGATGGCTAGGGCTGACAGCTGGGAGGGGTTGAATGGTCTATCAAGTGATTTTCTTTCTGATTTGATGCTATAAATCACGCCTCTCGTTATATACTGTATGTATCAAGGGACAACTCCCCTCACCAAACTGCAATTCAACTGGCCTTCTCTACTCTGACATGCCTCCACTATTTTTGCACAATTCTCAATTTTGGATATTATGCAAAAACAGCCGCCAGTACTTGAAAAGAAAAAGGAACATCCTTGTTGAGGCTCTTGTGCACACATCTCCTGGCAGCAAGGCGCAGTCACAATCATCACACAGGATTTTGTTATGACTCGTACGGGGAGTAAATTTGTACATACAGCCTTGGGATAATAATGCGGCCTTGTCAGGAGCCTAAATCTTGGCAAGGGTCAGCTGCAGGCGGCGCAGCGCAATCTCAACTGCGGCTAATATTAGTTGTAGCGCTATACGGGCTGCCAAGTCCAAACTATTCCCCCAGGACCAAAAAAATGCGAATCGACAATCAACACCCGTGTGTGTGTATGGCCCTTTATTTGTGCAGCAGCGCTAGTTGGTGCCGCCAGCCGCTGTATTAGGTGTCAAAGCATGCGGAAATAGGTCCGGGGATACCGAAATAGGAACGAATGCAAGGTTTGCAATCCTAAGCCAAGACTTCAGCACTTCAGCCAAGGCTTCAGTAGGCTGAAGGCATGAATGTAAGATTAGTTCTCCGTATATATAGGGTAGCAAGTGCCGCGAGGTGCGGTTGATCACCAAAAACATCTTCCAATTCAATCAAGTCCGCTCTATAAACTCCAAAATGGCTTTCTCTCTCGCCGGCGCAAATGTTCCCGCCCTTGGTGCCGACTGGTTCAACCCCGGACTCTCTGCACGTATGGCGGGGAAGGAGGAAGCGCCAGCGACATTCCCTGTTCTTAATGTCAGGAACAATACGGCCACACCAACCCCACGAGGAAATACTGTGAACTTGTTTATGGATTCCGAATCCGACGAGATTGAATTTGCCGCATCCATCGTTTCTGTCTGCGTGGACCGGACCGTATACGCAATTCAATGTACCAAGGCACCAGCAAGTATTGGCACTGATTGTGGTCCCGGTGGCCAGGAAGTAAGCCTCAATTCCCTTCCACGAGTTTTAACAAGTACTAACTTCATCTAGATTTTGACTGTAACTGAGGGACCGGCGATTTATCAGTGGGACTACACCGCGACAACTAGAACCATGGGCTACGACGTAACTGCCTCCATCGTCGAGTCATGTTCCCTTGATGGTACAACTGCGGCTACTTGTGTTGGAACCGTTGGAGGGGAGGCCGCTGGTACAAAGACGTCTGAAACCGCACACGTCACGATCGCTAGCCCTACTTACTACCGCTTCGATGTCGAGATCACAGGAGGCGCTGAGAAGACCAATAATCCATCACCTACCTGCGGTGCGCAGGGCGCAGCTACGAGTCTTAACGCCAGGGCGATGGCGATCTGGGCGTTGACTGGTACCTTTGGCGTGGCCAGCCTTCTCTCCATGCTATAGTCAAGTTGGAGAGGACTGTGGGACCCGATCACTTTAATCACCTAATGTTTCGCAACTCCACTGCACGGAAGGACCCATTTTGTTACTTGTTTTTATGTATTTATGGATTTCGATACCCCCTCAAGAATAGGAATAGACCGTCTTTTCCCTGCTCAGCCAGGGATCACTTAACAATTCTCGTGCTGTCTTTCGCTTCTCCGGTTCCCATTGCAACATTGACCTGATGAAGTTGAGAAACAGCTCTTTGTCCTTCCCCTCCAGATTTTCCTCCATAGCCTCGAGACTACTCGGCGGCAAAAGCGATAGGCGTTCTGGGTCACTTTCGTCTGGTTCAAGCCAGTTCCCATCCGTGTCGAACCATTCTGCCGATCGCTTGCCGCGCTTGATGAGTTTCAGAGGCGGTGGCCCGAGTATGGCTGAGACCAGACTCGGGTTCACATTGGTGCCAAATTTAGCATTCAGGCGAATCAGATGAAACTTGTCTTGGTCAAGGCAATATGCAATACAGTTGTACAATGAAGATCGCTGCATATTATGGCCCACAGAGTAGCCTTTTTATGGCTTATGCAAGGATTATCTATAACACTTACTTCTTAGCGGTGTAACTCGCAATCGTACATTGTGCATGGCAATGGCCATCTTTAATCCAACATCATATAGCAGCGGTAATACGTACTTATCGCCATTTGATGCCTGTCGTAGTACAGTGCCTCATTCCATGAGTTATGGCCGTACAGTGCAATACACTCAGTTAATAAGCTGTGACGTGTTTGATTCCGTAACATTGAAATATAGTTCAACAATTTCTCAACGTGTTCAGATCTATGAGATGATGATTTTTGGTAACATGGGCAACAAACGTCACCAACTTTCAACAAAATAGTTTCGATACGCGAAGCTTCTCGGACCATGAATAGTCTGGTTTGTATTACAGTTATAACAGCTTTGATGCTTGTAAACTCCTGCGGCTGCTAGGCAGGTATTATCGTCCACCATCTACATAGTAACTTAAAGGATAATTCAGGAACGCGCACTGTGGCACATCCACAAACCCGCTTGAGACAGAGGGATAATCCAATAGGCGTATTGGGCCGTTCTTGTCCTTGATCTGATTCCACTGCCCCGTATGCTGTACTGCATGCAGCGTGTCTCCATATTTCCTTGTCGTCAAATAGCGCTCTGATGGGTTGGGCTGTCCATTCTTCACGAACTGCGCAAAATAGCCCGAGTTCAACTGCGCAGCTTTAAGATCATTCGAGTCACGGATTGGGCTTACGTTCCCAAAGATAAATGGCGCCGTGGCTCCGCTATGGAAACGGAAGTATGGGAGATTTGGGTTTCCATTGGGGTAGCCTGGGGTCACAGGAGCGCCGCCTAGCAAATTCGAATCGTAACCTCCGACGGTACGGTCCATTTCGTAGTAATAAGAAGCCGCGAATGCATGTGACTTAGCAGCCGCAAACATGGTGGCCTGGTCCACGCAGCGGAAACCACTGTCGGTTGCAACGCGCGCAGAAACGTTGAAGGAATCGAGTGTTATGTTGCCGGTATTATAGAGTGGGAAAAGTCCGCTATCGATGACGGATTGCGCATAAGACGCCGAGATACCCAGAGACTTTTGGATACCTTCTATTTCGCTGGTGACTGGAGTGGCTGGGTACGATGCGCCGATTGAGGAACCATCATCGCGAGCCACGCCAAACATCGCAGGAACATGGGCTGTGCTTCCACTGCGTTTCACGACATTAAGCTGTGGGGTATTCACGTAGGTGCCGTCTTGAACAACATAACGGGCCGTTGAACTGAGCCCACTGACGGTAGATGCAGGCACATTCTTAAGGCATGCGATTTGCTCAGAAAGAGCAGCTTGTTTGCACCCGGCGGCAAGGAAGATGTTCTGTCCCGCAAGAGCGTAGGACTCGGCGACTGTGAGATATGAACTGTATGTCGTAGAATAAGTGCTTTCTAGACCTAATGTAACACCACCGCCAAGGTTGGACATGGCGATTGCACCTTGAAACTTGCCGTTTGCTGGTGGGGAGCCGAGGAGCGCTCGTACAGAACCGGCGCCTGCTGAATCGCCACCAATCGTGATTTGCTTTGGATTTCCACCAAAGGAGGCGATGTTCTTAATGACCCACTATGAAAGTTAAATTGTGCTCAATAAATGCCCCTCAGGTTTCTCACCTGTAGTGCATTGATTTGGTCCGCAATTCCATAGTTGCCTGTGACGCTGGTTCCGGGGATGGCGAGAAAACCTAATGTACCGAGACGATATTGAATCTGGACGACAACAATATCTTCACGAGAGGCTAGATTGCCTCCATCAGTCCCTGCGTCGGCAGCTGATCCCCCAGTAAAGCCGCCACCGTGGATCCAGAATAACACTGGCCGGAGGTCTTTTTTGGAGCCTTGTTTCGGCAAGTACGGCGTCTGGACGTTGAGGAAAAGACAGCTCTCGGCACCTGATCCATACTGCATGCATTGTGGAGCATATACAGTAGCATCGAGAGTCTGTTTTGTTTTCGAGTATGGGACCGAGTGCACAAAGCGCTTTGGGGTGTCGGCATATGGTATGCCGAGAAATCGAAATGATTTCTGATTCCGGTATCCAACATAGGTATTCCCAGTCGATGCAATAGCTACCTGGTTACTCGTTGTGGCCACCGCATCCCATGGCTGGCCTTGCTGGCTTGACTGGGTACATAAAACAGGGAGTTTAATGCTTCGTGATGGTATAGGCGGGAACATCAGGTTCTCATGTGCATCCACCGCGACAACCCCATCAGAAATATGATAGAGGTGCGCAGGTTGGGCGCGGCCGGCGTAAGCAACGTAGGATAGCGAGCTGACGAAGTCGGCACTATGAGCTTTTATTTGAGATCGAGAAATAAGGGATTCCCCAATGGCCTCGCATGCCTTTGCTGCATCCTTTTTGTCGGAGGGATCCAGCAGAAGAAAGCCAATGTGATTTGAATCATCAGTACCGTTAAGGTTATTCTGGTACAATAATGTTAAGGATGTTTTGGCATTGGATATAACTGGAGTATGAGCGATTGCAGAGGGCAGAACCAAAGCCAGTAAGGCTAAGTGTAACATGACAGGCAGACTGGGGCGACTAACTTGGAAGTTGCACACAACTGCATATTTGGACGGGTTTTAGAACACTTTATTGTGTTTTGCAAGCCGTTGTTAGTAGAGAGCTTATCCTTGCAAATGAGGGGTGACGGGGTGCGGGGAAAGGAGAGGGGGGATCGGAGGAAAGGGAACGGGTGGAGTTTATCCGGAAGTTAACTTAAATGCTGTTGATGGGTTGTGATGAGGAGAAATCACGCCTAGAACAGCCATTTTCTGGTGCGCACGGCCAGTTATAAGCAATTTGTGAGCCGGGCCGTGGAGCCTGAGAGGTAATAAACCCCGTAATTTCAATTCCATTTAGGCTCGATGAACCTGTATTGGAAGATCAGGTTTCTTTGTTCACAGGCATGCCAGTTCCTACCGTGGTCCTAGCCCAGGTTCGAAAATTAGGTCGATTTAAATCACTGTGATTCCGAAGATCTCATGTAGATATCTCAACCTTCGCCGCGGCGAAGGTTGTTTGTGCATAATTATGGGGAATTCCAATTAAGCTTTGACTGCCGAAGATTTTCGTCGAACCAACTGTTGTCATTTGCGACACCATCGGCATCTACTTTTCAAGTGCCATTTTCAACAAGTGAGGCCCAGTGATGCGGAACCTCTGATAGACGCGGTGGGCGCGATGGACTCCACGGGCAACGGCCATTGAATTGGCACGCTGTAGGCAATCCTGAGTTTGCGATCAGGCGAACAACGTCCGAGTCAATTAAACCCGGCTCTGTGTACAGACCTGCTCGTCTGTTGACCGTAAACTTGCCATATCCCCAGTCTTCGTCGAATGGCTTAATATCAAATTCGGGGTTTTGAGACACATCTTGAGGCATCGTGCTAATTGCTGGGAGTAATAGATTTACCCAATCTTCCTCATCTTCACCCCCAAGATTAAAGGTTCGCCGGCAGGGATCGGTCGGCTCCGATGAATAGATCTCGGAGAGGGTTTCCGGAGAGAACGCTAAAATACCAGGAGCAACGTGCCTAAATTCAGGACGTGGTGCGCGGGAAAGGAACTCTCTTGCAAACCTGCCGATTCGAAAAGATGCCATGCTTTCGACATCAAGAGGCTCTAATCGCGACTGTTACCTCTGGCCTCGTTGTGGTAACCTGGCTTCTATGGTTGAAAGGAGCCCGCCCCAACCAACCAATGAATTTGTCAGATCTGCCTCGACCCAACGCTTGATGGCTAGGGATTGCTTGTTGGTGTCCCAATAGAACTTGACCGATTCCCACTTGTCCAGCTGAGATTGCAGTGCGAACTCCAATGATATCCATTTCTCAGATGCAGGAAAAGGCCCCGGGCTCCAATGCCAGACTACTTTGTACGTCTGTACATCAAGAAATAGCCCTCCATCCATGGGTGAGTCAGCATTGTTCTGTCCGTATAAAAGAATGACACCTGGTTCGCGGCTGAATGTATCACCCCTGAACACTTCCGGGACTGGCTGATAGATTTCTGGGGTTAATGGGATAAATAGGCTGTGGGGCAGAGAGATGGTGTCCAAGAGCGACAGGAAGTGGTACAATGGTGAAGACCCAGAATTTGGAAAATCAGCAATCTCGGCTGATACGTCGAGGAGCCCTGCAATGAGGTTACGCTCAACCATGGCACTGGGTTCGTTCACGATTGCTTTTTGCAGGAGCCTGTTATGCAGATCTGCGCATCTCTCGGCGGAGAATGACGGGTCTATAACGCTCATTGTAGGCGTAGGAGGCCTTCGAAATGGCTGTGGCAGTAGCCACCATTCTAAGTTAAGTCGAGTAAAGAGAGCAGCGGCGATCAATATGAGCACAGCGGCTATGTGACGTATGGAAACCGGCATCAAGCTACTCAGCAGGTACGAAATGTTCGACGTCGGTGTTTGTGAAAATGGAGCATGTCTTGCTCAAGAAGCCCCCAATTCGTCCTAATTATGTCCGTGCATTCATGGAGACCAGGACGCCCTGAACCCTGAGCCCCCCAGCAAACTCTCTATAGGCCGTAAGGAGTAGTTAGCAAAGCAAATAGACTGATATATTAAAGCTGTTCAGTAATTATCGTACTTAGTCTTAGTATACCATTGATTCACAGGAAAGGCTATATGGTGTTGTGGTCACGTGGGCAATGCAGACTACTCTCGGTCCGTGCATTCGGAGGCAAGCTGTCACATCGTTGCTCAAAGGAATTCGCTCGAAAAGATACGCAACAAACTTCGGAAATGGAAAAACAGACGCTTTCAGGTCAAATCAGAATATTATCAGAATATCGTGCTAAACATGGCTAAATATCACTCAACTGCTGCCTCCAAAATACGTTGTCCATACTTTCCATGCTTTCATTCTTTTTCATTCTTTCATGAAGCCCCTCCCTCCGTGATTACCCAACCACCATCCATTTTATTGTGGAAGGAATAGATGACTGACCATGTCTTTAACCTTCCAAACCCCGCCCTATCACTCCTACCCCATCGGCCAATCGACACAGAAATACCGGAACTTGAACGCTACCCACATTTCCGATACATCGTATTCCTTCCCTGGCACGCGCAACAACGCTTCCACCAGCCACGAGAGTTTCAAATTCGATTATAAGAGTTGCAACGACTCCTCAGACTCGACGTACTCGTCATAGTCCTAAAACTGGGTGATGCGAAGTCCAGATTTGGAAGATGTCTGAGATTGCCCCGACTATCTCGGGCCAGTTTGACAACAAATCCGCCTCATTCGCACCGACAGGACTCTACCAAGCTTCTCTCCCCGACGAACGCAGATGGGCCGGGCCTATCTCCATCAGCTTTCTGGGCAGTGTTGATAGCGCTCGCTCTGATGAGCTGTTGTCTGGCAAGCAACCCGCTTGGAATCCGGCACTTGGGTTCCCGAAATCGGGCAGTGGCGCACCGGGTGACGACGGATCTAATGGAGGATCGCAAGTTGGCACGCACATATACGCTAGCCTGGCAATGGTATGGGGCATATTGATGCTAAGCTTGTATATATAATAGCTTCATGTGTGCCGAACAAACCATCATTTGGGGTTTGGGCTAATGACATAGATGGCCCCTGAAAGAATGTTTTATATCCGCCAAATAGTGGGTGCTTTACTCTCAATAGCAACTCACTAGTAATAAACTCATGTGGACGTTGTAAGGTATGTGGAAATTGCAGTTATCAACTCTTTATATGATGATAAGATATATACAAAAGATCATCTCAATATATACACGCTTACCTCAGCTACTCTCCTCCCCTTTGTCCTATTCACACCCATCCCCCCATCATCTACCCCTCTCTGTCCTTCACGCACAAGTTGCCACTGGGCCACCTGGCGCTGTGAACGTCGTCGGGTCAAACCCGTTGTAAAAGTCCGGAATCAAGATATTGGCATCCTGATCCGTGTATGCACCGGGCAGCTCGATCGATGGGCTACATGACCCTCCAGGGCCGGTGATGTGCAGCTGCGCGCACCCGATGTAGAATTGCGTACCATCGACTGTCATCGAAGCGTGCAGGGTCTCCATCTCACTTCTTAACTGCAATAGTTTGTTAGCAAACCGATTCATCCATTCGAAAAACTTCCACCGCGCTTAAATTTGGAAAGGAGACCTACCAGGTAGTCGCCAGACTCAAGGTTACTCGGCAGCTTAAACTCATGCGTCATCTCCGCCGCCTCCATAATCTCATTCGCCCACTGCCCATCCACATAATTCAGCTCATCAATCTTGACCCAGCTCCCAACCCCACTCTCCTGTGTCGCATCCCCGATCGGCCCAAGCAAGAAATGCGTAATCGGCCCCGGATGCGTCGACGAGTCCCACTGGACTTTGATCGTGTCGCCCGCCGCGGCGGCGCAGACGGCTTCGGTGCGCGGAACGGTGTTGCCGTTCACGTTGCAGGTGATATCGTTGGAGCTGACGTCGGTGACGGGGTTGTTGGAGGGGGGCATGCGGATGCATGTTTCGAAGCCGGGGGAGACGCCGTTGACCCAGAACTGGTGGAAGTTTTGGTGGGCCTCGACGGCTGCGAAGGCGAGGGGGAGGAGGAGGGCGGAGGTGTGCATTTTGGCGGGGTATTTCAGGATTGTCGGGGGTGAAGGGATTGAGTGGTGACTCTGTTACGGATGGGGCACTTTTTGGAGGGTTGAAGCCCATTTTATATAAAATCACTTGCTGCCCAGCTTCTGGGGAAGGATGGCTCACGTGTGGAACTGGTTTTCTAGTTAGGTGTCAAGTATATTACAAGGCATATAGAGGTGACGAAGATGAAAGCTTACTACTGAAGTGAGTGACCAGCTCTGGTTAGGAATACAGGGTGTGTCGTCGACGCCTTCACGTATGAAGCAATGATCTCTCAGCCCCTCATATTAACACCATATGTAGTATATAAAAGCACCGACTGTGTATCAGCACTGAAGCTCTACAGGCAGTGTAATTTCAAGTTAGTATAATTTTTCCGTAATTAATCTATCAGCGGCGGCACTTGTAAAATAAGCATTTGATGTTAGCGCATGGAATCCAATCTGGGGTAGACGCAGGCTAGGAAACTGGCGATCCTGACACTTTGGTTCGAAACCGATCGTCAACCTAACCAAAACGCAGGGTCTTATTTGTGGGATTCCGTATCCCTGACTTTAACCTTTATATATCCATTTTCTATATATTAGCAAGGCCATATAACACACCTGGCTCGTTCCAGGGTTGGTGAGATCTGCTCAAAGGTGGCAAAGGCGGTGCTTGGGCGGCTTGTGAGTAGCCGGAAGAGGCGGAAGATGAACTGCAGAAATCACCATCCCGCACGGGATATACGGTGCACAGTTTGAGTTGGTCATGGCCATGAAGATCTAGTAATAAATTGTGGCTGGTCCTGCCGTATACCCGATCCTTGTGTTGTCAAAGTTGAAGCATAGAACACGTGAAGATACGTCCGTGATAGGATTAACTAATCTCCTGATACACTTACTAAGGGAACAGAAAATCAAGATCAGATAAACCAACACGGCTGAGCCAAGACAATTATCATGTTTAACGATAATTTTCCATGTTGACTTGATATAAATGCTTCACACGGGAATTATGATTATTTGGCCAATACACCGACCTTATAGTATGACCCCATACACCATCCGCATTCAGACTAGAGGATTTCTGGCATAATCGGCACGGCACAAGCCGATGGCATCCGCGCCCGCTCTGGGGGGTGAAATGCACGAATCTCACCACATCTCACGCCGAAGCCTCTCTCCATATTCTCGTACATGTCATATATAATAATAGTTAGGGCTGTTATGGCCAATATAGGCTCATGAACCCCGTCCAAAATTCGGAAGCTCAGCCCCATAAATACGAAAACCACGACTAATCGCCCCCAATGCAACCCCTCCACAACCAGTCGAACCCCCTCGGTGGCGACGGTACCTCGAACCCTACCACGAGTACAGGTCCAGACGACAGGAGTGCGCTCGCCTTGGCAATGTCTCACTCGCCGCTGCAGTCATCAAAAACACTTTATACGCGGTCGTGCGACGTGTGTCGCAAGCGAAAGGTCAAATGCGACAAAATAAGCACGGGATGCTCGAACTGCGCCAAAGCGCAGATAGAATGCCACTACCCAGGCCCTGGGCGTGCGCCGCGGCGGCCGAAGGCAGGAAAACAGGTCACAGCGAGGGAGACAGAGTTGCTGAAGCGACTGAGGCGACTGGAGGGTGTCGTGCAGGAGTTGAGCGGGCAGGTGGAGGAGGAAACACATCGGAGTTCGACAGACAGCCCGAAGGATAGACTGTGGAAAGATAAGGACGCGAGCAGTGAGCCTGATAGTACAATTGGCAAACACCAATCGGCGAAGGGGACCGTAAGGGTAGTGGGGATGGATGAGGGAAGGACGTCGACTTCGAAGTGGCTGGAGCGGATGGCTAATATGGGGGAAGGGCCTCCCGAATCCGATTTGATGAAGCGGGAGTTTGGGAAGCTGGTCATAGATGAGGGGAAGAGTCATTATGTCAACAGCGACCTGTTTGCAACTTTAAGCCACGAGGTACGTAAAATAACGCCCTTTTTCCACAACAACGCGCCAGCCCCTGAGATAGGTGTATGTAACTAACCCTCATTAGGTGGAAGATATCAGAGAGATATTTGATGGTGATGATACTTCAGTCGAAGATGATGGAGAGACTGCCGATATGCCAGGTTCAAAATCTCCTGTGGGACACCAGGGGTTTTTGTTTGGTTATTCGAGCACGATGGTGGATCTGCGGTCTTTACATCCCTTACCTTCCCAGATACCATTCTTCTGGGATGTCTTTGTGGAGAACGTGGACCCTATCACGAAAGTCCTCCACGTGCCTACAATGGCCAAGGCAATCAAGGAGGCCAAGGAAAACCTCGACTGCCTGAGCAAGAGTATAGAGGCGTTGCTTTTTGCAATATATTACTCTGTTATAACATCCTTGAGCCAGGAAGAAGTCGTGTCAAACTTTGGCACTGACAAAAGCGTGTTAATTGATCGCTATAGGTTTGGAGTGGAGCAGGCTCTCGCCCGAGCTGACTTCCTCAATACCTCGGAGCTGGTCATAATACAAGCATTCTCTCTCTTCCTGACCTGCGTTCGCCGTCATGACCAGTCCAAATTTGTCTGGTCGCTAACTGGTCTTGCGATCCGACTATCGATAGGCCTTGGCCTCCACCGCGACGGCTCCAAGATGGGCCTTTCGCCTTTCGACACCGAAATGCGCCGCCGGTTATGGTGGTCGCTTTGCGTTCTCGACGTCCGCGCATCGGAAGACTACGGCTCTGAACCTGCGATCCTGGATGGCACCTACGATACCCTTTTACCTCTTAATGTTAATGACGTTGATCTTGATCCTCTCGCTACCGAACCCGCGCAGGAGCACGTCGGCGTGTCTGATATGACTTTCTGCCTTATTCGGTACGAGGTCTGCAGAGTCATGCGGCACTTGCCTTACGCAACACCCCGTATCCATGCCCCTAGGGAACTAGCGAACGCTACCACTTTCGAAGAGAAGGAGAAAATGGTACGGGATCTGCACGCTCACCTTGAGGAAAAATACCTCCAATACTGCCTCAATTCCGGCCCGCTCCACTGGGTCGCCGCCACCGTCTCACGCCTCGTCCTCGCAAAAATGAGCATCATGATCTTCTTCCGCGGCCCAGATTCCCCAGACAACCTGCCCCAGCACATTCGCGACCGCCTCTTCATCGCCAGCATCGAAATCAACGAGTACAGCCGGCTCCTCGAGACCGGCGCCGCAACGAAGAAATGGGGATGGCTGTTCCACACGTACGTCCACTGGCACGCCCTCGTGTATATTCTTCGCGAGATCAGCAATCGTCCACGCTGCCCTGTCACGGACCGCGCGTGGCGTGCTGTGGATAGCTCGTTTTCGAGTTGGGATGACGCAGTGAAGCATTCCCGCAGCTCGAAGAATGGGATGCTGTGGCTGCCGCTGCGCAGATTGATGGCTAAAGCGCGTCGTAAGCGCGAGGAAGACCTTGCTGCCGTGGCCGCCGGTGACATGTCACGCCAAATACCCGGGTTTTTGGAGATGGATAGATGTGCGGTGCCATCGGCGTGCCCGAGCGCGATGACTCAAGGGGAAGAGCAGCAGCATCAACCCGCTGATCTTGGCGACGTCGAAGTACTCCGCCCTCTACAACAGGGCATCTTGTACCCGGACGAACCGATGTCCGATTCTACCCCGGATATCCCCTTACCGCCTTACACAATGGAATCGCATACGCAGGAGGTGAGTTCGGCTACCGAGGACGCTGGGGATGGACCGACTCAACTGCAGGCGCAGTTCCAGCAGTATGAGAATCAGCAGGCGCAGATGGCACAGCAACAGAATATGCATAACCCGGCGTACCAGGGTGTCCAAAACCAGGTGCCGGGATTTTCGGGGCAGATGCAGGGCCAGGTGCCGTGGTTGCTTGAGGCGCCGTTGGGGGATCTAGATATGGAGATGGGGGTGAGCTCGGGGGAGAGTAGTGGTATGGATGATTTCTCGTGGGAGAACTTTGATGATTTGGTGAGGGACGTTATGTTGCAGAATGATCCGGGGCAGGTCGCGGATCGGGGGCCGTCGATGGTTGGCCTGGGGAGCTGGTGGTAGTGGGGAGGAGGCTAGCGATTGGAGCTGTATGTGATACGAAAATGACATTTATGGGTTATAATGAGGGCGGTCTGGTGTTTTGGTGGTATATATATCCTCTCTACTTATTGCTGGTGGGGTAGATAGTTCAGATGGCTTCTGAGATTTGTGGAATCTATAATCTTTTCTCGGTCCCCTTCCCTGGGTGCGATGTTAGAGTACTCACGAGACATCATGACGTGAAAGGCTTGTACATACTGCTGGTATCCGCACATCTGCCTCCATTTTGTATTTGAGGTGTAGCTGGATAACTGGGAGAGGCATAACGAGTCTGCAGACCTCCTCCAAATCGGACTGTTGAAGAAAAGAGAAGGGATAAATCAACGAAAGGCGTCCTCGAAGTCAGCAATACATATATCCACCACAATCAAGGGCAAATTGACAATAAGCAAATCCTTTCATGTTCTTGGAGTTTAGACAGTAAATGTGAGTTTCCAGGTGCTATTCAAGAAGCATACTGAAAATATTGTCTTGTTGGGGAAAGTGCGGTGGTGCTTCGTCTCTTCCCTTTCTGGTTTTGTCAGGTCGCGCCTTCCACTTCTGTTGTCCTTCGCCTGTCACTTACTTCACTTTTACCTCTCTCCATCTCACAACTCAACTTTCACTCCTCGACCTTCCTCCTTCGGTTTTCATCCTTCGATTTTCAACTCTCATCCACCAATTCTCATCAATCAATGGAAGCTGGATATCCCGTTTGATTGTTTCAATCTCTGGGATATACCAAGCTCACATCAAGAGGTTGACAAACTCACTTCACAGTTGCCAAGCTCATTTCAGAGGCAACTCATCCAAGCTGTCCCTCTAAATCGATATTATTGCTTCACTCTGTACTCGTGCCTCTCCCTCTGGTCGCGCATTGAGCTTCGCCTCCCTGAGGAAAATTTCATCCACGAAACATTTCATTCATTCAGTCAGATAGATCTATTCAAACCATTGGATCAATTTGACCCCACCATTTCTCTCGTCTCAATCTACGTGGCGGCGTGCAAAAAACTCCTGTTCTAAAACTTCCACGCTGATTTTACATGTAGGATGCTCCGGCGAAGAGTTGGATGTGAGCAAAAAACAAAAGCTCGGTAGCGAGACCTTACAGTACGGTTTGAGCCCATCAAGGGTTTCATTGGGACAGATTGGGAAGGATGGGTTGAAAATCAACAGCGAAGCACGATTGCGCGCTCCAGATGAGATAGGACTTGCTGCGGAAGAGAGGACACTCGTTTCAAAAGAGAAAATCCTAGCAGAGGAAAGCATCGCCCTGGAAAAGAAAAAGCTCGCAATTGAAAAAGAGGGGCATGCTCTGGAAAAGAGGAAGCTCGTCCTGGGAAATGAAAGGCTCGCCCTGGAAAAGAAGAAGCTCGCGGTGGATGATGAGAAGACCCCCCCAAGTCCGGCGTCTACAGTTTCAATGTGAGGACTTAAATGGAGATTTATGGCATGTGAATGCTTGCGAGGTTCCAAAAGCTACCAGAAATGAGACGGATGGAAACTACCACCCCGAAGTCAACGCCTCACCGAAAGCTTACACAACGATAATACAGTTGCTTGGCCTTTAAGAAACAATCAGTTTGAGATTTTTGTTGATTCTCCAGCTTACTCTATACCATGTACGCTTTCATACAGAATGCACCCAACTACAAGAAGATGGGATCACCATTTGCTTTCTAGATCATAAAGGGTCGCTTCGACTAATATTTTTTTACTACAGCTTATTACACTTCATACATACCACAACAGCACATGTAGCGTTAGCAACAAATAACATCTCAACAATCCAATCTCACCCGTTTCTATCTTGCTATGGGTGTGACACGTGAAAAACCTTGTCCCTGAAACTCCGTTTTAAAAGGGAGTTTGTTCTCTCTTTCCCAATACTTCACAGCCCCTTCCCCTATCATGAGTCTTGTCACTAACAATATTGTATTTTCCATCTATACCCAATCTATCAATCATATCTCATCACCATAACCAACCACTGCTATCCCCACCTCTTCCTCTCTCTACACAACCCTCAAGGATACGTCCCCCGTCCGGGCTGGCTCTCAAAGAAATTCTCCGGCACCTCCCACCCAGGCACTTCCTTCTGCAGCGCCAACTTCACATCATGAATAATATCATATCCAAAATTAAACTCAAAGAACTCCTCCGGGTTTTCTATCCACACGTTAGCTCACCCCTCTCGTTCTTTCAAACCCAGCACACACACGCGCAAAACCGGGAATGGGGATGGGAATGGGAAAATCAAGATTATACGTACTAGGCACTTTATCAGCATCCATATACTTCCCCGCAGCCTCGCGAATCTTCTCGGGCTCATCCTGTCCGGCGTTGCTGAAGTGCTGGATCGCGCTGGCGCGGTTGAGACGCAGACCCTCGTAGAGAGCTAGGCGGGATTGGAGGGTCTCGGGTGTGGCGCCAGTGAGGAGGATGCCGAGCGCGAGACCGTCTTCGATTGCTTGGGCGCCGCCTTGGCCTTGGTCTGGGGGATGTCAGTTGCGTGGGTTGTGAGAAATGTGGGATGGGGGATGGGGGATGGAGGAGTTGCAAAGGGCATAGATAAACGTACGAGGAAGCATGGGATGCGCGGCATCACCGAGGAGAGCGAGCTTTCCACGGCGCCAGGTTGGGAGGGGGGCGCGGAAGAGGAGGGGCCATTGCTTGATGTCTCTTGCTTTCCTAGCTGGGTGTTAGTCATGTGATTGAGGATTTGGGGGGTGGGAGGAGGTACTTAAGGACTGCGAGGACGGAGGGGTGGAAGCCTTTGTAGGTTTCTAGGAGAGCGGAAACCTCGAGAGGGGTTCGATAATCTGTGGAATGTTAATATGTGTTTTGGTGTTTGGCATAGTATGCTTGTGGGTGTAGGAACATGCTCACCTTCCACATTTTTGACTTCATCATCGGTGCTGAAGATAGCCACAAAATTGTGCTGCTCGTTGCTTCTCATAGTCAGCGGTCGGTTCGAATGTGATTCGTTTGAAATTTAGACGAAACATACTTTCTGCACGGGTACCACACCAGCCTCCGCCCTTCAGTAACAATAACCTTGATCCTTCCATCGTCGCCCTCGGTCCAGCTGGCCGTCTCTGGGTCCGCAGCGATCTCTGCAGTAGGGATTAAAAAGCGGTAGCAGAAGTTGTACTTCTCAGTCGGAAGTGCCGGGTTGTGATGCCCTATCACGGTCTCAACGGCTTTGGAGTGCACGCCATCCGCAGCAACCACCAAGTCACCACTAGCCACACTCCCATCCGCGAACGTCACAGACCCCGCCTCAGCATCATAACTCACAACCTCCTTCTTCAAATGCACCACCGCCGGCTTTCCTTCCCCCTTCTCCCCCAGCGCCAACACCTTCAACGCCTCATGCAAATCAACCCTATGGCACCACCACCACGGCGCCCCGAACTTCTCAGAAATATACCCCTCATCCGCCTCATGGAAGCACTTCAGCGTCACGCTGTCAGCGCGCCAGCTCTTCTTGGCGGTCACGAAGCGCGCGGCCACGGGATCGAGGCCCAGGGCGGCCAGGCCGCGAGAGGCGTTCGGGCAGACGTGGATGGCGGCGCCGATCTCGTTGTTGAGGCTGGAGCGCTCGTAGATCTGGACAGAGTGGCCGGCGCGGCGGAGGGTGAGGGCGGCGGCGAGGCCGCCTATGCCGGCGCCTACGATTAGGATGTTGAGAGGGGAGGTGGAGGTGGCCATGGCGGGTTGAGGGGGTGGTTGATTGGGGTAGGATGGGTGGGAGTGGGAGTGGAGGGGTATGTTTTGAGGGTTTGGGGAGGGAGTCTAGGGGTCGTTTGAGGTTGGAGACAGAGATGGAGGGGAGAACGGAAAAACAATGATCAATGTGGAGCTATAGGATATGAGATACTAGTATAGAATGAAGCTGATTAATGATGGAGGAGGTTCATAGGTTCATAGGTTTGTAGGATTGTGTTCCTGATATTCTTGGCTGCAAGAGTAAGTTTATGGAGCAGCACCAGTAGAGTTGGAGCAGTCCACTCTATGTCCGGCGGGGGGTTGTTCTTTCCGTGATAGTGGATGTTTTGGTGGCATTTTGGTCTTACTGCATGGTCGCAACGTGGTCGTAATTGCACTGTGCCTCAGTGCCGTAATGCCTCAGTAAGCTCACTAAGCTCACTAACGGTATCACTAGCAACTCACTAGCAACTCACTAGCAACATCACTAGTTTACAGGGATCAGCCGCTAAAGTGCCGTGGCTACAGGGGCTTTCACAGGCTCAAACTCGGAAGGAACAGCGTTGCCAGGGTAGCAGCTAGGGTTCCGGCTAGGGTACCGGTCAGGGTTGCAGGCAGGGTTTAGAGTCAGGGTTCACGGTGTCAGCGTAGAGGTACAACGGCACGCATTGGCCCCCCACGCAAATCTGAAGTACTGTACTCTCTCGTTCGCAAATTTGTAAATGCACACCACCAACCAACACAGTAGAGTACCAAATCTCCAAATTTCCAAATTTCCAAATGAAGAGTCTTGGTTCTGCAATACTACTACACTATACTACTATACGTATGCCTGTACTATATTATACTATACTATATTCTAGCCCGAGTGAATCTTCCGTAGATTCCCCGACTGGATATGACTGGCTACGACTGGCTACGACTAGATATGACTGGATATGACTGGCTACTGCGGAGCTCCGTTCGGAAAATATAGCAGGTTAACTAGGATCAGATCTTCTACTGAATCTTCTAACTGACTAACTAACTAACTAACTGAGTGAATAGTTCGAATAGTCGAATAGTCGAATGGCCAGCCAGCCAGACTTAGAAATCTCCACCGAAACGCTAGAAAAAGGAAGGGGCAATGCAGAGGCCCTTGTAACCCCTCTCACTGTCGCTCCTCGCCCTCGTGGTTGACATCTCCACAGCGACCATCGGCCAATGCCAGTGCCAATCCGATGCTAATCCCCCCCTTTCAGGTGGAAACCATTCAGTGGGGACGCACCTGCCGCACGATGTCCGCCACGGCGTGGCTACAGGGTGAAGGGTGTCTGCACACCTGAACCCATCGCTTCCAATGCAATGCCATCAATCCAGGATCAATAGTAGCTCTTGCCCCATAAAACTCGAGATTGCAATGTCGAACTCCTCGTCCTAGCGTTCCCCCGCTGCTGATTCCTTCCGTGTCGAGACGACCAATTCCTGATTCCCCATTGCTATAGATCCTTCCTCTTTTCCCTCCTTCCGTGTTCAGATCAACAACTCTTCAATTCGACTTCATATTGTCTGCAGAGATGGCGGACGAAGGTGTTCCCGTTCAAGAGAAGGCTGCTGCCCCTGTGGCTTCAGCGTCGGCACCTGCAGCAACCCCTGCCGAGAATGTGGTTTCCGATAACGAGGTCGACGAGAAGACATATCGCGACAATTCGGCCAGCATTGAGGACCATGACGAGCCTGAGCCGCGCCTTCACGCGAAGACATGGCTCACGGTCTTCGCAGTCTGCCTGATCTACTTTGCGCAACTCATCAACGTTGTCGGCGCAGGTGCTGTAAGTTGCCCATTCTAGAGTCCCGAATACCGAGCCCTTCTAATTATTTCGCAGCGCGCACAAGATATTGCTAAGGTAGTTGGCGGCTCAGCCGACAGCACCTGGCTCACCTCTGCCGTTGCCATCTTCACCACCGTCCTCTCTCCCCCAGTCTCCCAAGCGGCCGATTACTGGGGACGCCGATGGTTTCTCATCCTCCTCACCCTCTGCGGTGCCGTCGGCTCCATTATCGTTGCGCGCGCAAACACCATGAACATGGCTATTGCGGGAGAGTGTGTTGCCGGAATCTCGTACGGTGTCCAGCCTCTCCTCCACGCAGTCACCTCCGAGGTGCTGCCCCGAAAGTACAGACCATATGCGCAAGCCGCCGATAACGTCGCGGCAGCGTTGGGAGGTTTGGTGGCTCTCCTCGTGGGAGGTGCCATGACCCGCACCAACCCGGAGGGATTCAGGAACTACTGGTACTTTGCGACTGCTATCTATGCCATCGCGACAGTCCTTTGCCTCGTTCTCTACAACCCGCCGCCGTTGCCAACACAGCTCGGCCTCACTCACGTCGAGAAGCTCAAGAAGCTCGACTGGATCGGCTACTTCTTCCTCACTGCCGGCCTCGTCCTTTTCTGCATGGGTCTCTCCTGGTCGCAAAACCCATACGATTGGCCAGAGGTCCATATCATGGTGCCCTTTTTCATCGGTCTCGCCTTCATGGCAGCCTTGATCGTCTACGAGGCGCGCTTCAAGAAGGACGGCATGTTCCACCACGGCCTCTTCAGCAACGGCCGCAACTTCTCCATTGCGCTCTTCGGTGTCTTCGTTGAGGGCCTCGTCTTCTTCGCTGCGAACAACTACTTTGCCTTCCAGGCATCCATCCTCTACGAGACTGACCCGCTACGCGTCGGCGCCAGGTACGGTGTCAACTTCATCATCTACGCCCTCTTCGCCGTTCTCGCGGGCGCCTACTGCGCGATGACAAAGCAGGTCAAGCTCCCGACCGTGGTCGCCTTCGTCAGCATGATCATCTTCTTCATCCTCATGGCTACGGCTGGCCCGTCGAGCGGTGATCACGTATGGGGATACCCTGTGTTCCTGGGTATCGGTCTCGGAACGTGTCTCTGCACGCTCGTTACCGTTGCACAGCTGTCAACCCCCCGCGAACTCATCGCAACGACATCTGGACTTATGATCTCCGTCCGCTCTTTCGGCGGTTCCATCGGTCTGGCTATCTGTAAGTCCACATCCCTCTATCTTCCCAGCTCCCCCGACTAACATCTACACAGACCACGCCATCCTCGTTGGCAAGCTAAACACCAATCTTGGCCCCAAGATCGCCGCAGCTGTCCTACCACTCGGCCTGCCCGAGTCCTCGCTGGGCGACTTCATCACTGCGCTGAACAACCAGGACATCGCTGGTCTCGGAAAGATCCCGGGCGTCACGGGACAGGTCATCGGTGCAGGTCTGGGGGGACTGCGCGAGGCGTACAATCTGGGCTTCAGGTTCATCTGGGTCGCTGCCGGGTGTTTCACCGTTGCGGCTGCTGTTGGTACGTCTATATTTATAATTGCTATTATTTATGGGATCACGAGACTAATGAATTCCACAGCTGCCATCTTCCTCGTCGACCCTGTCAAGGAGTTCAACAACCGCATCGACCACCCTGCCGAAAAGGAGGAGGAGCTGTTTGGGAACTCCGGTGCAACATCGGCATCTGCCAATTAATCTACGCATTAGTCTGAGCGCATGCATGCATCTGTTTGAGCACACTATTGGCAAAGTAAAAAGAGGCGTCCGAGCAAATATATGCGACGCAAAAATGCGACGCCAAAAATACGACTGGGGGATCTAGATCGTGGGCGTGGCGGGTCTATTCCTTTTGGTCGCTTCACTGCCACATGCTTTCTTTTGCCTTTAATTATGTATGATTAGCTACGCGAGCGAATGCCTGAAGGGCTGGGGGGTTGAGCGGGCGTTTTACTTTGTTCATAATTTGGAAAGTTTGGGGAGGGGTTTGTGCATATAGATAGAGTATACTCCGTACATACATACTGCAGAGTTACAGTAGATAGCAGGGTACATACATAACATTAATCTTATCTCTGGTCTAATGCAAAATTCTCCGTACAGAAAGTTGAAGTACCTCTTGCAGTTTTACGAAAGCAGGGTGATTTGAGTTCCCCCCTCCCTAGCACAGCTGGTGGTGGGTGGTGGGTGGTGGCCCCCAAAAACGCCCATTCCCAGCGCCCAGGTGCCCAGCCCCCAGCGCACGACCAACCGTCGCGTCCTCCCTCCCTCGTCCGCCCGACGCCAGCGCAGTCTTAGCACCAATAGCGCCAATTCCTAACACTTCCTAGCGCACTCCTAGCAGGAACAATAGCGAACCAAAACTCCCGCTAGGGTCCCTAGCATCGCTCTACCAGCCTTAACCTGGTCAAGCATGTTATTAGCCGGCGCTGATTACTACTAGAAGCAGGTTGTCCGTCAGCCACTACCTTAATCCGACCCCGCCCATTGGGCTGGATGGGTCCCGGAAGTTCGGATCGGAAGGGCAAGTGGGGGGTTGCTGGGATTAGGACTGCGTACGTATGTTAGGGACATGGGTAGGGGTACCTTGAACGCTGTAGGGGGGGGTAGGGTTCGCTGTGATTACGAAGCTGTAGTGATGCGCGATGCTAGGGGGGGAAATGTGCAAATCTCCTCCGAAGCAGGAAGGGGAGAGTGAAAATCTCTGCCGTGCTTGGGGGGGTGTTACCGTGGGGATTCAGGGATGGGGGGTTTGTTCCGATGCGACCTGCGTGCGGTCTCCGTATACTGCTGTAGGGGTGTGTATGTGTTGCACGGGGGGGTGAGGGTATGGTGTGTGGTGCATCCATGTGTGAACTGTAGTGCAGTGCAGGAGATCATGAATGAGTGAATCTAGATCTATGGTAGAGTAGCATGCATGCATCAATCAACGCAAAAACCTCGTCGTATAATACCCCCTATTAACAGCACCCTAGATGCCGATGACACCACTATTACAACCAAAATCTCAAACGGCTTTCTCGCAACAAACACCTCTTTTCACCTTTCTAACCAGCTCACCCCCCACTTCCTACTAAAACTACCTCGCTTCCACCTAGCACAGCCCTAAACCGCCTCGGTCTCCGCCGCCGGAACATCGCACCGTGATGACTCCACACACCACGCTGCCGAGGGTAAATGCTAAGACTAGGAGCTAAAGGTAAGAGCTAAGGCGGGTCAGCGAGGTACAAGCGCGCCTGGGTGGTTTTCTTGCTTTTTTCTTGGGGAGATGGGGGAAGAACGCCTGTTACGTGCAACTTTGCAACTGGGTGCATTGGGGAGGTATGATTGGGTAGTGCTGATGCGATGTAGGGGGTTTGAGGGGGTTATTGGAAATTTTATGGGGGTGTTTGGGGAGTTTGGGGGTGTTATTGGTGATGGGGGTGCGTGGATGTGACCCTGGAGGTGGGGGGAAGGATCGCTGCGACGAGATATGGAACCAGGAACGAGGTTTATACTAGGAAGATGAGATACGATACTACGATATATTTGGTTGAACTGCTGGGGAGAAGCTTCGATGGGTGGATTAGAGGGATTTGCAGAAGGTGCTACTAAGGAGAGATGGTGCTAGGGGAGGGGGGGGGGAGGGAAGTATCGCCGGCGTGATAGTCGTAGTGGACGTTTGTACTATACGTTACATTATGTGCATAGTTAGTGATTGGGTGGGTGATAACTAGACCCATCGCACGCCCGACTGAGACATTGGGGTTTTTGGTTCTATTGAGTCGTAAAACGTGCCTGTCGCCAGTGTTGAAGGTTTATACACTTCTACCTCCACCCTCCACGACGGCGTCGAGTTGAGTTGTCGACTTTCAGCTCCTTATCTCCTCGCCCTCTCCCCCTCCGCCATCTTCAATCCTCGCTCTCGCTCTCTCTCTACGCCGGGCGCAGAAGAGACGAGTCTCAATCGCCAAGATGGCATACGTCCAGACGGTCATCCCGCTCGTTATTACTACTCTGCTTTTTACCATTCTCGCGGGCATCCTCGTCCTCACGCGGGTTATCACCAGAGCGCGCATTGGAATTATTGGCATTGACGATTACCTCTCTTTTGGAGCGCTGGTGAGTCGAGTCTTGCTATTGTGCGGGGGGAAGCGAAATATACTGAAAGAGTGACAGCTGGCTTCCATTCTATTCTCTGTGGTTATCTTTCAACGTGAGTGCCCTTCTGGACATATCAAAAAAGGAATTGAGCTGATGAGTGTAATAGAAATTAAGTATGGCCTCGGCACGCCCTTTGCCACGATCCCCCAGGAGAACATTCCAATCTTCGTAAAGTGCCTCTGGGGAACAATCCCATGCTACAACGCGTCTCTCATCCTTACCAAACTCTCCATTGTCTTCCAGTACAAGCGCATCTTCACCACCCCGCTGATCAACCGCCTGTGCAACATCATGCTCGGCGTCCTCGTCGTCTACGGCCTCTGGACCATTGTCGGCTCAATCCTCATGTGCGTCCCCGTCGCCGCCTTCTGGGACCAGACCATCAAGGGCCACTGCATGAACCGCTTGCAATTCTGGTTCGCTAATGCGGGCGTCAACATCGCTACCGATATCATCATCTTCGCCATCCCTATGCCGCTGCTCAAGCAGCTCCAACTCCCAAAGAAGCAGAAGATAGGGCTCATGTTTGTCTTCGGCTTCGGCGCCTTGTAAGACCCCTCCCCTTTTCCCCCCACACGTCCCTCTTCCACAGTGCATACGGCTAACCATCTACCCCAGCGTCTGCGTCACCTCCATCATCCGCCTCAAATCCCTCTACGAAATCTCCGTCTCCCCCGACACCGCCCTCGACGGCGTCAACGCCGGCATCTGGTCCGGCATCGAAATCAACGTCGCCCTCGCCTGTGCCTCCCTCCCCGCCATCAAGCCCTTGATCGCCAAAGCCGTCCCTCACTTCCTGTCCTCGTCGCGCGGCGAGCGCTCTGGGCGCCACAACAACGCCTCCGGTGGCTATGATCACGCGCTGAGCGAGCTGAGCCAGAATAAGCGCAGCAGGGTTGTGAGGTCGGCGGTTGGGGATGAGGATGAGGTGGATTTGAATGGGAATAATGGGAATGGGATTACGGTGGAGCGCACGGTGAGGATACAGGGGCATCAGGCGCCGAGGGTGAGTGGGGAGGGGAGTGAGAGTAGTTTGGTCAATTGGAAGGCGGATGTGTATACGGAGGAGAGGCGGCAGAAGGAGATATAGGTGGAGATGGGTATATGTATGGTGTTTATATATATGATATCTGCTTTTGGAGTTTTTAGGGCGGGAAATTTGAAGGGAGCGAAAGGTGAATATGTATAGATGATTTGGGGGTGGTGTATATTTTTACATATTAGATGTATGTGATTGTTAATGATATATTTAGATATATTTTTAGAGATGTTTGTCTTTGACTTTACCATTCTAACTGCTCAGGCAGGGGAGAGGTTGAGAGTGGATTGTTGTGTTGTGTGTTTTGTGAAGGGCTACAGACGGAGGGTATGATATGGGATAAGGAGTCGCGCAGGGTTGGATTGGGGAGGAGTTGCACGTGCTCAGATTCTTGAGATTGAGACGAAGGTAGGATATTTATTTATTTCGTCGAACTTGTTTCCGTTTAGCTTTTCAGGTCGATTTATATGTATATTTATTAGTAGGATTTTCAAGTTACTAGATATTAAAGGGGTTGTAGAGGGTGTGTGTAGTATAGGATGATGAGTTTAGCAGGTTTATTTAAGAGGGGAGTCATACATTCTCAGGTTCTTGGGTTAGAGGTAGCACATTTATTTCTCTCGTGAAGCTTGTTACCATTTATTTGGTTTATTAGATTTATAATTATTATTTCGCTATTGGTAGGGGGTTTAATATTGAAGGCGTTATGGAGGGTATGATATGAAATAAGGAGTTAGATAGGGGAAATTGTACACGGTCGACTTCTTGGAATTAGAGGTAGGATATTTATTTCTCTCAGGAGGTTTATTGGTATTTATTTAGTTTACTAGTTGTTGGTTTGATGAGGTTTTGAGATTATTGAATATTAAGGGGGTTATAGAGGGCATGTGTGATATAGGATAAGGCAATAGGTGGGTTTGTTTGAGGGAGTCGTATATTCTCAAGTACTCCAGATTAGAGGTGAGATACTTATTTCTCTCCTGGGGCCTATTACCATTTATTTTGTTTTTGGGTTGAATTATAATTTATTTTTATGTTTGTTGGTGGGGGATTTTGAGGTTGTCTAATAATTAATCGTGTTTTATAACTTTGAAAAGTTTTTAAGCGCAACATCCGATTTACACCCTCAAACAGACCATCTACCTAACATTTAGCACAACTTCACTCTCAGTATGACTCTAACTATAACTCAATACACATATATCACCCCTCTTTATCTTTTTGCAGTTGATCTTCAGTTTACGTTTCCCCCAGAACCTCCATAAAATCTCACCAACAGCCTTTCACGATGGCATACTGGACAAACTTGCTAGCCGAGATCCGCATGATGATCCTCGGAATAGTAGTAGAAGACTACAGATTTGAGTCTGATAGATACGCCCGCGCCGGTTATGCCTGTGTATGTCAGGAATGGCAGTCAGTCTTTGAACAGAGTAACTTTCGGCGAATTATCGTTGACCAAGAGCGCATAGGAGACTTTGAAAAAATTATGGGAAATGAGGCAACTAGATATAGGCAGGGTTATCTAGAGCACTTGGTGCTTTGTATCAAACTTGATGAGTACGACTGCACTGCCTGCCAATCGAAGGAGGATGATGAAACAATTAGGAAGTAAGTTGACGTTTGTTGGTCCTTAGTTCGGCTCACTATCGCTCTATTTGTGTCCCGTTACAATCATATAGCTAACGTCAACAGTAACAATAATGTCTTTTTCAACTCTCCCTGGGATTTGTTATTTATCCTGTCAAAGTGGGTTGGATTCGTTGGGACTCGTCGCGAGAAGGGGCTGACATTGGAACTTGGCGTCTATTCTCCAAGTGATTGTAAGCACACCTTCAGAGACTTCCATCTCGAAGAAAACCACCCGTACCAAGAATTTAATGACATGAAATCATATGTCGATGCGTACAAGCAGCGAATTGACAGGCTTGACCTCGGCACCTTAAATGACCCATATCATGGATGGGTTAACGGCCATCAGGAAAGCCCAAGCTTAGGATCAAAGCAGAGATTCATGGGGACATTAACTGTCAACGATAATCTTCCTCAACTCTCTATTTACTCCTACACGTTTCCTAATGTCGAGATAGTGACGGGCCTTCTCATCCGCCGACAGTTCTATTGGAAAATTAAGGCCAAGTTTCTTGACAAGCTGCTCCGCGAGACATTTACATGCCTTAGATGGTTTAATCACGAAGTATGATATAATGTCGACCTACCACAGCAATTCCACTTTGAAAAGGGTATGCTAGGGTCCCATTCCTTACTGGATATTGTCGTAAGGCAAACAAGTCTCACAGCACCTCAGACTAACTCACTATTGCAGACTACGAGAGGCTACTTTTACATGGCATCCCAAGCACTCTGCGCGAACTAGATATATTTGAGAACTTCAACAAGGTTCTCCACCCAGCCCAGTTCAAACAGCTCACTAACCTAGAACAATACACCAAGCGTGCGAATCCTTCATTGGGAAAAGCCCTCTCAAAGTCTAGTCGGCTCCTAACAATGTTGTCTGCCGCCTTCATTGTTGATGCGGTGGACTTTTTCGCAAGCTTCAAGCCGACCAACAACCCAAATTCGAACGTATTTCCTGGGGAGAACCTGCAGTATCTAGCTCTGACATCACAGCTGCTGCATCCAAGAAAGGCAGACCGACATATCAATGGAGTGCTGATAGCTGCTGGTCGGGCGGCTGCTTTCATGCCCAAGCTCAGGGGTATGGAGATCTGGAATGGTGGTGGGGGCCACGCCTGTGTCTTCCGATATAGAAACTACGACGGCAAAACTTATATTAGCTGGGAGTGCACTTGGGGTCCTAAGTTCAAGCTGGACCCTGACGTGATAGACTGCTGGGCAAATGTCCCGAGGCAGGGACAATATCCGCATGGTAACTTTACAGTTACAGTTAATAAGAAACTACTGAGGCACCGCGACACGAAGACATATGGATCGATAGTTCCTCTTCTGAAACAGCGTTCCTGGATGCAGCATTTCATTTCTGATTTCCAGATGCTGTCAAGGAAGATCCGTACTCAACATCTACGTCACAGGCATAACATTGAATAACAGATGTTTGTTGTTTATGACGGCTCTCGACCCTCTAGGCTTCCACTTAATTGTCCATCAGCGGCCTGGGCGGGTGGCTGACAGGTCTTGGCGACGAGGCTGAGTCGAAAAATGATGCCTGAACCAGAACTATCGATGTTGGACGAGGCTGCGCCGCAGTGTAGGATGAGGCATAAACACGGCTGTCGTGCCGGACCCGCGACACCAAATAAATATAAGTGAGTGCCTTACCTCCTCTCATATTCGCATCCGCAGCATTTCGCAGTGACCGGCCACTCAAAACGGCCACAATGTCCGAATTACCAGGCTACTCGCCATATGGCGTCCCCCCCCCCGAGCCCGCCTCCTCCACCACATCCCTCGCAACCTCCCTAGCAGCCTCCTCCCTCGCACTCCCCACCCCCTCAATCCGCTCCACCACCCCCCCCGTCTTCCCCTCCCTCCCCCACTTCCCCGATGACCAACCCCGCGAAAGCCTCGCCGGCCCCGTCAAAACCACCTCCCTCTCCGACATGCAACACGACTACTTCCGCGTAACTCGCGTCACAAACACCACCTACAGCGTCGCCCTCACCACCGACCCCACCCCGCTCTACCGCGTCGAAGTCGACCCCCACATCGCCGCCGACCCCGCCATCCAAGTCTTCGACCTCTTCAACCCCCTCCCCCTCGCCACCGCCCGCCTCCACCCCGCCGTCGCAACCTCACAATCATGCACCCGCGACCCGGCGGGCGATAACCCAAAATGGCGGCCCATGTCGCTGCTGCACTTCTCCAGCATCCCACTGGTCGTCATCCCGGGCATGGCGCCGATAGAGCGATCGGTGCGCTGGCAGCATACGACGAAGCAGTCTACGAATCTGGAGCTGTGGATGCGGGATCCGCTTTTTGGGATTTCGGCTGGGCCACCGCAGTCGACGATGCCGAGGGAGATGTTGCTGGCGCGGTATGGGATTGAGGGGGTGGGGTTTGTTGCGGATAGGGTGTTGGAGATTAGGAGGGGTGGGGGGATGGAGTTCGAGTTGGTGGTTTTGGTGCAGGCTTTTGCAATTTTGGAGGCGGATAGGAGGAAGAAGGCGAGGAAGGGGGGGAAATAGATGTGGGCGTTAAGTTTGTGGAAGGGAAGTACTCGAGTATATATACCCTTGTCGGGGAGTCTTCGTTGATTTTCTGGATAGTTATCTCTCGTATGTCGAGACATACAGCGGTGGAATTAGTGTCGTTTGTATATACGGAGATCATAATGGTCACAACAGGCATTAATAGATTTCGATCAATGATTGATTCATGTTTATGTCATTGCTTTGCTACTACGCAACTTCTCATCAACGCGCCAAAATACCCATATTTTGTGTACGTTATTTATTTTTCCTAACCACGCGCCATCCAAATTACCAACGTTTTCTCATCGTTCCATCTTCGTCGTCATAGCAGAGACCAGTTAAGGCCTCTGCCGTAAAGAATCATTCAATATGCGTTTAAGCGTAAAGCTTCTTCTCGTAGCTCTCCATGTGGATGCCACCCTCAACCTGGGCACTGGCAGAGCGGAGTTCGAAGCGCGTGGTGCCAGCGGCAACCGAGGCGTGGAGCTCAGCCAAGCTCCTGGAGCCCATATCCTGCAAACTGTGTTTCAAGCCGGCAGACAGGTATGGGACGAACTTGGTGATCGGGCCACGGTGAGCAACCGCGCCGGAAACACCCTGGGCGACAAGGACGCTGTCACCCTCGGAGAAGTAGCGGGCAGTGCCAGCGTTGCTAGCCTGGCTGTTGGCAGTACCGGCACCGGCCTTCTTGTCTTGCATAGCATCGATGGAGCCCATGCCACGGTAAGCCTTGACGAGCTTGCCCTCGCGGGAAACGAAGGAAGTTCCTGGGGACTCGGAGGTACCAGCAAGGAGACCACCCATCATGATGGTAGTGGCACCAAGAGCGAGACCCTTGACGATGTGGCCAACGTTTTGGATGCCACCGTCAGCCATACATGGGACGCCGAAGCGAGCAGCGAACGTGGCGACGTTGTAGACAGCTGCGGCCTGGGGACGGCCAACAGCCATGACTTCCTGGGTGATACAGGCGGAACCACTGCCCATGCCGATGCGGAGACCATCAACTCCGGCAGCGATGAGAGTGGCAGCCTGCTCGCGGGTAACGACGTTTCCGCCGATAACCTCGATACCAGGGTACTTCTCCTTGACGAACTTAATCATCTCGACCTGGTACATGCTGTTACCCTGGGAGCTATCCAAGATAACGATGTCGAGGCCGGCCTCAGCGAGCTTCTCCAAGCGGTCCTTGTCGGCGGGACGAGTACCAATGGCAGCCGCGCAGATCAGCTGCTTGGAGTCTGGGAGCTTCGAGGAGTTGGGGAAGTGGAGGTTCTTGGTGAGATCGGAACGAGACACCATGGAAACCAGGTTGCCGGCCTTGTCAACGATTGGGAGCTTTCCCTTCTTGGACTGCGCCAGGATGGCGTTGGCCTCGGCGAGGGAGGTGCCCTTGGCAGCAGTGATAAGATCGGTGACCATGACAGATGAAACTGGCTTCTTGGTGTCTTCTTCGAATTGGATGTCTCTGTTCGTGACAATACCAACGAGCTTGGAGCCGAGATTTCCGTCCTCTTCAAAGCGATTTGAGTTAGCAAAGTTCTTGGCTAAAATTTGAAAGCTTTGATAATAAATTTTTGTTTCCAGTCATACATAGAATTTCTCCCCACGATCTTGCGATCGACTACGGATGAACGAAAGTTATATGGTATAGTATTGATAATCATAATGGAGACGCAGATGAATGAGATTGTTAAAACATACCAGTAACTGGGAAACCACCGAATCCCCATCTCTCCTTCAGGGCCTTGACCTCCTCAACAGTCTGGTCCTTGCGGAGCACAACTGGGTCGAGGATGAAGCCGTTCTCGTAACGCTTGACCTTCTGGACCATCTCGGCCTGTTCGTCAGGAGAGCAGTTGTGGTGGATGACACCGAGGCCACCCTGGAGCGCCATGGCGATGGCCATCTCGTGCTCAGTAACGGTGTCCATGGGAGAAGAGACGAAAGGAGTCTTCAGGGTGATTTTCTTGGTAACGCGTGACTCAAGAGACACTTCTGAGGCGGGGAATCCAATGTAACCGGGGAGAATAAGAAAATCGTTATACGTGAGGCCTCCATTCTTGTGGGAGTCAAGCAGACTCTCAGCATCGAGGCCATCGAGCTCCTTGTACTCGTTCTTCAGGACCTCCAGGGCCTTGGAAGAATCCAAAACCGCATCGCTTTTTGGGAACGACATGGTGATGCGGGGAAAGTTAAATGAACGAGAAGTGATGAGACTGGGGTATAATAAAGAGATAGTCGACGTCTGTTTAGGTGGAATTGAAACGTATGGTCGACGGGTAGAAGTTGCCTTCTCCCAAGAGAGAAGAAAAGAAGAGAATCAGGCGTCGGCGAAGTTGAAAATATAGTAATTGGTGCGAGTGGCGCTAGCAGAAAGTTTCGCGACGGCAATTTGCGTTCACCGCCTTCCGTAAGCAGAGCTGTAATCACAGTCATACTTTGTGGTAATTACTGAGAATACCAATGTGCTGCTTTGTAATCGCCGTCAGAACGTATAAACAAGATAAAATTACAGTCACTGTCATTGCTACTATGGATATGAGAGTATATGGGAGCTATGAGGGAGCTGGAGCGGTAGTGAGGGTGTAACTGGAAGAGCTGTATTTCAGATTGAAAAAGGTACTTAATTCTACACACAATTTGTATGCATTAACAAGTACTATTTAAAATAAATAGAAAAAGTACTTATGAATACACTCAAATTATATGTGTAATTAAGTACCTTTTTCCCATGACCTGGAATTTATCCATTTTTTGCTAAAGCAAGCTCTTATCAGCTTATCCACCTGCAGCGTTATCGGAGCTGTTTAAAGCTGGTACTTACTAGCACACACAAAATATACGTCTACCCAAAGTACCACGCTTAATATTTTCGTGAAACCGGCAAATAGGTTTCACCGCCTTCCGAACGCGGAACGTGGTTGCCAGACGCACGGTTGGGTTTGTTTACATCTGGCGATCACTGTTGACCTGCATCGTCAAATCAAATAGGGCTACCCTCTACCCAGTACTACCGAACCTTGCGGCTCCATAACCTCACTCCTTCTCCCCCCCGCTCTGGTTGAAACTTCCATCGCAGCATCGCATTCTGCTTCAACTTGCTCAATTTAATCAGACGCACACGCGCCTGCTATTCATTTCACTTCTGCGCTGTGCGCTCGATATTAATTGCTGTCATATCCACACCGTTGACACGTCTACACCGTCTCCCCGAGGGGTAATCACAAATCACAAATCACAAGTCGAAAGCGATGCAAACGCCTTGATGCGGCCTTAATTCGCGACCTGCCTTTGAGAGAGAGAACGACATCCTGGACACAATATACACAATATACAGGACGTGATGTCGTACCGTCACCCTCTGCACCAGATACAGGCAAATGACAACTCGGCTCAACTCGCAAAGCGCCAACCGTCGACTGCCTCGACGTCGTCGTCGGCCTACTCCCATCCCTCAGAAGCGTCGTATCTGAGTCGCACAAGCACCATATCATCAACTGCATCAAGCGGATACCAACAACCTGCACATAAACGGGGTCTCAGTGAAGCTAAAAACATGTCGCCCGTACGTCCCGGAAGCTCTGGAAGAGGCTTCAGCACCCCAAACTCAGAAGACCCTTTTCAGAGTGTGCGCCTGTCTTTGCGCCCGCTTCCCCAGGTACCTGCACAGAACTGTCCCTCGCCGCCTAATAAACAACTATTTCAGCACTCAAGAGGACAAAGCTTGGATGTTAAGCCCATGTACAATGACACTGCTGCCTCTCCGCCTCCGAAGCGAACAGGTGCATTGAGGCCGAACTCGATGTTACTGAGCCGCGCCGACTCGACTAGAACGGTGCGATCTAATACCCTGCAGCCAAGTTCGCAGCTCTCGCCATTACACACGCCCGTGGCCGCGCCGGACCTTCAGAGCCTTGGAAAATCATCTACCGGCCACCTTCGCACTCTGTCAAAATTTGCAGAAGTATCATCTCCGAATGAGTTTGCCATCAGCTCACCCGCACAAGAAGTCGCAGGATTACATGGTAGGAGGAGGCTTCAGAGGACGGACAAAACGGCCAATGGTGGAAGTGCTGTTGCTCTCAACAATGGCACGGGGTATAGCTGGGAGGGTCGGAATTGGATGGACAAACAACGGCAATTTTTGCAAGCCTACGAATACCTCTGCCATATTGGAGAAGCAAAGGAATGGATTGAAGATATCATTCACAGGCCTATACCTCCAATTGTTCAGCTCGAGGAAGCCCTTCGCGACGGAGTCACCCTTGCTGAAATTGTCGAAGCTCTCCAGCCGGACAACCGATTTCGCATATTCAGAAACCCTAAACTCCAGTACCGACATTCCGACAACATAGCCATATTTTTCCGATTTCTCGGCGAGATTGAGCTTCCAGATCTCTTCAGGTTTGAGCTGATCGACCTGTACGAGAAGAAAAACATCCCAAAGGTCATCTACTGCATCCACGCTCTAAGTTGGCTGTTATACAGGCAAGGTGTAGTTGACTTTCGCATTGGAAACCTCGTTGGACAGCTGGAATTCGAACACCATGAGCTAGAAGCAATGCAAAAAGGGCTTGACAAAGCTGGAGTTAGTATGCCGAGCTTTGGAAACATGGGCGCAGATTTTGGCGTCCCGGAGCCGGAACCAGAGCCAGTCGAGTCAGAAGAGGACAGGATCGAAAGGGAGCTTCACGAAAACGAGCCTTCAGTTATAGACCTTCAGGCACAAATACGTGGCGCCCTCCAGCGAATGCGACTCGCCAACACCATGGAGAAGCTGTGGAATTCGGAAGACTGGCTTGTCGATTTGCAGTCACGCATTCGAGGAGACTTTTCCCGCCAGATCATAGATTACCGCCTTAACATGCGACGATTCGCTGTTAACTTGCAAAGTGCAAGCCGGGGATTTATTCTCAGGAAGCAACTGATGAACCGAACCGAATTCTTCAAGAGCAGCGAAGCTGAAATATTAAAGCTTCAGAGCCTGTTCCGGGCAAGGAAGGTTCGTGCCGAGGTATGCATAACTAAATCTCGGTTGAGAAATGAGTCTTTTGCTGTGCGGGACGTTCAAGCTGCTGTTCGAGGATTTTTGATGCGAAAGAGAGTGGAACAACAACATCAAGAGACGAGAAGTGTGGCCGCTCCAGTGCGAGGCTTGCAGGCCTCAATCAGGGGAATGCTACTACGAGCGACCATCGCAAACGATCACCACATCCTCGACGCCGAAACAGCATCTATCGCCTTGATACAAGCAAACGCCAGGGCTATGCTGACCAGAATCCAGGTGTCTAGGCAAAAACAGGCACTTCAGGCTTCCACTGGGATTTGGAAAGCACTACAGGCTATGTCTCGTGGACACTTATTACGAAAGCAGCTTGAATTTACACGGAAAGAACTGAAAGCGCAGTCACCAAGTGTATCTATGTTCCAAGCAGCTATTCGCGCTTCGGCCGTACGAAGTGAAACAGCGAAGATCCTTGCCGCGCTCGAAACAGAAGAGACAACTATCACAGAAGTCCAATCGTTGGTCCGTGGAATGCTCTCGAGGCAAAGAATTGTAGCCCAGAAGGAAGCTCTCAGCCGGCAATCGGTAAACATCACCAAGCTGCAAGGCCATGCAAGAGGCTTCCTCTCCAGAGCAACCACTGCTGAGCTTCGTGCCGATTTATACTCGAACACCCCCGCGATAATCCAACTTCAGGGTCTTATTCGGGCCATGCTACATCGAAATGATATCGGGAACTTGCTGGGAGAGCTCGAGGACCAGGAAGACTCGATCGTCGCCTTTCAAACTGCAGCACGAGGACTATTAGTTAGGGCTAAGTTTGCAGAGAAGCAAAAGTTCTTCAAGGAGAATATGCAGAAAGTTATCAAAATCCAAAGCTTTGTTAGAGGACGCCTCCAAGGAGAGGCCTACAAGAGCTTGACTACCGGCAAAAATCCACCTGTCAATACTGTCAAGAACTTTGTCCATCTATTGAATGATAGCGACTTCGACTTCAATGAGGAAATCGAGTTCGAGAGGCTCAGGAAGACTGTCGTGCAGCAAGTCAGACAAAACGAGACATCCGAACAATACATCGAGCAGCTGGACATCAAAATTGCGCTACTTGTCAAGAATAAGATCACCTTAGACGACGTGATGCAACATCAGCGGAATTTTGGAAGTCATGCTGGTAACCTACTCCCAAGCACAGCAATGTCGTCGGGGAACCACTTTGATCTGAAGGCACTCAACAAGAACTCGAGAAAGAAGTTGGACACGTATCAGCAGCTTTTCTTCACCTTACAAACCCAACCGCAGTACCTAGCACGTCTCTTCCGCATGGTTCGCGAGCAAGGGATGGCGGAGCAAGAGTCAAAACGCGTCGAGACATTGATGATGGGCCTGTTCGGATATGCGCAAAAAAGGCGAGAAGAATATTACCTCCTGAAACTTATTGCGCGATCCGTCAAGGAAGAGGTGGACGGATCCCACTCGATACAAGACTACCTCCGAGGCAATTTCTTCTGGACCAAACTCCTAGCAAACTATACTCGATCGCCACGGGACCGGAAATTCTTACGAGAGCTCTTGGGTCCTCTTATTCGCGAGAACATTATCGACGATCCCGCACTGGATTTGGAGAGCGACCCGATGCAGATCTATAGGTCCGCGATAAACAACGAGGAGCTTCGAACCGGGCGACCCAGCCACAGACCGCTGGACGTCACTCGAGAAGTCGCTATTAAGGATAAAGAGACGCGCGACTTGTTCATTGACCATCTCCGAGATCTCCGAGAGATTTCCGACCAGTTCCTTCAAGCACTGGAAGAAACCTTGCAGAAGATGCCATATGGAATTCGCTTTATCACGCAACAGTTGTTCGAATGCCTATGTGAAAGATTCCCTGGCGAAAAGCAGGCCTACATACTCCAGGTTGTTGGCCAATGGGTATTCCGCTCTTATATTCAGCCGCCATTAACATCGCCACAAGAAGTTGGCGTTGTAGAGAGGCAGTTGACGCCATTGCAGAAACGGAATCTTGGGGAAGTAAGCAAGGTGCTATGCCAAGTCACCACTGGCAAGCTCTTTGGTGGGGATAATATCTATCTTCAGCCCCTCAATGCCTATGTTGGAACTGCCATTGAAAGAATGGGCATCATATTTGCCGACTTGATCGATGTCCCTGACGTGGAGCAAACCTTTGATATCGACGAGTTCAATGACTTGTACTCGAAAACCAAGCCGACACTATACATTAAAATGGCAGACATCTTTGCCATACATAACCTGGTGATCAAAGAGCTACCACAAATATGCCCCAACAGGGATGATATGCTCCG